CCTGAATGCGAATAACGACGTAAACTTGTCATAATTGGGTCCCTCGTTAGCATTCATAATATAACAATCCGTTATAAGAATGGAATATTAGCTAATATCAGTTAATATTCATAAGCTTAAAGAATTGTGCTTGATAATAAGTAAACAAAAATTTCAAAATGCAAATTTCTCTTTGAATGCAGAAACTCCGATTAAAATTTACAATTCGTGATTATTGCTATTAATTAGAGAAGCCAGTCACGATGGCAAATATACAGAATAATATATATATGTGTGTCGACAGTCGAAATCTTTAGATTGGAAGATTTGACTGATCAGGCTAAATAAGATTGACACTTAGTCGTTTTCATTTAGTTAATCAGATCCCTGGACATATTACTATTACTCTACGTAGTACTAACACGTCCAATTCCAATAGACAATTTTGTAATTGTACTTATTACTTCCACTCGATTTACATTCTCATAACGTGTGAGATTTCTCCCGTGACAAAACTAATATCCACTTTAGTATAATACATTACAGGTAATATTTTGTAATATTCCATAATTATACTTGCTTTTAGACAAAACGTTCTAACTCCCTAAACCTCCTGTTCCTTGCAATTTACTTACTTTCTGCATTCATGCAAAGGAATTAGAACAAAGGTTATCTAGCCTAAACATTATTTTCGCGTGTGTCTGTTGGTGTATTTTCAATTGTATTTGTTCGTTCTTCGTTGTTCGGGTTTCATTCGATGCTTTGATCTTTTACACCTTCTTATCTTGTTCGAAAAAACACTTGCTTTCTCTCTTTTTTCTCTGGAACTTCGTCTGTTGACTTGACAAATTTTTGAGAAAGGTGCGCTAATTAATTTCCATATTCTGGCTTGTTTAGGATGTCCAACCAAACTGAAAAGTCCTCCTCAATGGTCAATTTGGAAATAGAAAATATCATTAGGGAAGCCGTGGAAGCAGGTCCTGAATATGCTTTGACTTTGGATTTGTCACATTTAAATTTGCGAGAAATTCCTTATACACAGCTAGAAAAGATTCAAGACCGAATTTCTCGCCTTGCTCTAGGTCACAATTTACTACGAAGCATCGGTCCAGAGATATTGAAATTCACACGGTTACGTTACTTGAATATACGAGCAAATGCGTTTCGTGAATTTCCTGAGGTGCTTTGCCGACTTGAATCTCTCGAAATTCTGGATATATCCAGAAACAAAATTCGAGAAATGCCTCAGTCATTCGGCAATCTGATGAATCTCAGAGTCTTATCGATTTCCAAAAACCGATTGATAGAATTACCCTCTTACTTTTCTTATATGCCAAATTTGGAAATTTTGAAACTGGAAAACAATTACATCGTCTACCCCCCTCCTCACATCGTTAACAATGAGCTCCAGGAACATGACATGCCCTTGTTTATAGCAAACATAAAAGGTTACCTCCTTAGAAATGAATCATTGCTAAGAAGTCAACACCATGATTTTCCACACAACAAATCTACTCCCAATTTAATTTCTCATTACTATGCTGACGAAACAGATAGCTCTTCACCATCTTCTGCCCCTATGACTCGTTCACTGACTACCGCTACTGCTGATCCTCGTCATTCATCTGTTTCTTCTTATCATTTCCCTCAAAACGAGATTTCCTCGCATCCTTCCTATAGTACTTTAAGAGCATTACCCAATCCTAGGCTTAGTCCTAAAGATCAGTATCCACCTCAACCTATCCATAGTAACAACAGTGAGCTTCTTTCTAATAATGGAAATGAGCAGAACATACCGTCCACGTCACCTTTTTTCAACAATAAACTAGAAGGGAACAGGATTTTGGTTCGTCCCAAACGATCTGTTTCTCTCGCAACAGGTCTAAACTCGTCATCTCTCAGTAAACCGGTTCCCATGCTAAGTGAGCATACCCGCCATTCCCATCAAAATTCAAATTCTACCAATGAGTCAGGAGAGAAAACCCCCACTGTTGAGTCTCCTAATGAGCTTGGTAGCTCAGCTTCTATCCCAAAACCCGTTCCTAACCAGTCGGTGCCAGTTGCTCAGTCAACACCAGCTGGCTCCCCTGAAAGAAAAAAGAAAGAACGCGTTCGTAGCAATAGTATCAATGATGAACTGCACAATGTCAGGTTGCCGTCTTCAGTATTGCAAAGAATTGAGGGTTTGAAGGAACATCGCAATTTCACCGACCATCCACTTACTCGAAATCTATCTCATGACTCTCATTTGCCAGGCATGAATCGTCTCAAGAAAGAAGAATTGCAGGAAGGTACTGAAAATGTTAATGCTTATTTTAGCAAAATGGCTCTTGCTAAAGAACAAATTGCACGACCTTCTTATCCAGAAAAAGCATTGGAAACATGTCGCGGAATTCTTTTTGCCCTCTCCCAAGTTCAACAAAGCATTCGTCAACAATTGCTTTTCTGTAATAACCCTACTATTATTGATACCATGCGGCACGTTAGTTTTACAACAAATACGCATATTAAACGATTGATTCGAAGCTTTGAAGAAATTACTTTCATGAACGATGGAGTATACAATGCTACTCCAGTTATCCACGCCTGCCTTGCTTGTATTGGATCTTTTCGCAAACTGATCGATGTGACCAAGAAATTTTCTAGTGATTTTGTGAATTCTGCAGATTTACGATATACAAGATTGTTTTTACTGGTACTTTTTGGTGCTACTAAAGAGCTCCAAAATTCTTATCAACAACTTTGTCATAAAGGGCCATTAACTAATGGAATGCAAGACCCTCTCAGACAATCTCCTACTTATACTGGTAGATCTATCCCTATGTCTGCGATTAATACTCGATTTAATATAGAAAAGCCGATGTCGGCATTGAATCCTGAATTCGCAAAACAACTTCTGGAACAAATTGAGCTAGCAACTAGTAGTGCAACGTCGGTTTTGAGCTTACTGGTTGAGTCTATAGAAAAAAGCACTTTATCATCAGACGTTTCTAATGAATCTACTGGTTTCAATACCGTTGCTAAATTGAAAGAGCTTGCCATGTTGTCAACTTCCGCTAGTGAAGTTACTAGAAAGCTTAAAAGCCACTCCAAAGCATTTCAGGCAAATGTGAATGATGAAAATGAGTGGCAAAAGCTTTTAGAAGATACACAGATGTTTGTTAAGTCAATTATAGCTGTTGCCAATTTAGCTAAGACGGTATCTAGCGAGTATACTTTTCAAAAGAGTATCATTTCTGGTCTTTCCGCCGTTACTAGGTCTACGAAGGATTTGACCATTTTAATATCATCATCTTCTTCGCATCACCCATACCATGGTGCAGACTCTGCCTCTGCTTCGGCGGCGGCAATGGCAGCGTTGTCGCCAATTATGCGAGTACCGGCTACACCTCTATCTGCAGCTTTAGGATCGGCTGCGCAATCAATTACTCCTTTAATTATGTCTCCATCTGTACTTCCTGTAACTGGACACAAAACGGAATACTTTACTGATGGAGACCTGGAAGCCTTGCAACGTTAAATGTTCATATCTATTTATTGTGGATGAGCCCAGGGTAAAATTTAGTTACGAGATATAATTTTATATGATTTACTATTTATTCTATAACTTATACAAGATAAAAGATTTTTAGGAATTTGGATAGCGAAAAAATTGTTTATTTAAAGAGAAATTGTATTAAATTTTTTGATCTAAAATTACAAAAGATGTTTTAAATAATCATCAAAGAAAGCAAAAATATCCCAAAGCTATGTATGTCCTGAGTGTCCAAATGAGTTGTTTTCCTTTGTTGGTTTTATGCCTCAAGGTTTTTGTTGCTTTTCTTCGCAACGACGAACAATATCTTTCAACTCATGCACTTCACCAGTTGTTAGTCGATGGTATTCTATTGACTTATTAGCCGGCTCTTGCATGGCCTGTAAAGCGAAAGTTTTTGCTAGCTGATAATTGCGTAGATAATATTGTTCTTCAGCAGCAAACTTGCACTGTTCTAGGATATATTCCGGGTCTCCTAAAACAACACCATCTTTACTCAAATGCTAAATTGGGTCAATAAATGAATCCATAAAATGAAACGTTCGAGTCTAATCACATACACCAAAATCTTGAATCCGAGGCGTCCAATCCTTTGGGTCAAACGTTACTTTAGCTTCTAATCGTTTTTCCCTTTTCGTTTTCACTTCACTCGGCTCAAAATCCAAATCAATGGCGAACAAGTCCATGGTACAAGGGAAGGCCACAGAATTTTTCAAAAGACTGTTACCACCAGTTTGCGCCAACTAAAACAGCAAAAAGGTAGTTTTTTTATCAAAACTTCACGAATGAAATGCTGTTTCGCGGAAGTCGAGTGGTAGTAGCGGTATTCAGACTAGTTTGAATTTATTGGTCGTTTTCCAAGACTTAGGGGACAGTATTACCATAGAAGGAGTTATTGAAGAGCACCAAGTTATACAAGCTTTAGAAATCCAGGATTGAAAAGAGGATATTTTGAATCGCATGCAAGTATTTCATACAGTTCTGGGAGCCAAAGAAGCCAGTTTTGTATGATTCTTCATACGCAACTCATTCGCGACTACACTCAAGATACGTGTGCCAATGGGCTCTCTGTCCTTATTAACGAGGACACAAGCATTATCATCAAAGCGAACATAACGTCCATCGGCGCGTCGTAGAGGAAACTTTGTCCGAACGACGACGGCATGGTGAATATCACCTCGTTTTACTTTGTTTGCAGTAGCGATATTGGGGCCAGTTCTTGACTTTTTAACGACGACAACAACTTCATCTCCTATGCAAATATGTGTTAATCCAGAAACCTGCAAGCTTTACATACCAACTGATGCGAACTGTCCAGCACGTACAACGCGAATACATTCCGCGAGAGTTGCTCCCTTTTCAACGTTAACACTCCGTTAATCCCATCCAACTTCAAATTTCTTACCGAATTGTCAATTACTTTTAAAATACCCTTCAAACCGATCATTGTTGTAAGCAAAAGATACACCCAAGTCTGTGTCTGATGGTTCCATGGATAGCGTATCACTGAAACTCACTAGTAAACATAAAAGTACTTGAGGATTGAAATATTGATTAACGACATAAAATTATACTATGAATTCTTTTTTTTTGACTTTAGTAATCATATAAGGTACAATTTCTGTGGTGATGGACACCCTTGTGAACAAAAACTCTGTTTTGCTTAGCATAGCATCCACTACATATAGTTTGTATTCAATAGCTTCATTTACATATAAACAATTGATACTCGTAAGAAAAAGAAATGAAAATAGAAACACATCATACATTACTCCTTAACCTAGACATCCATTATAACCGATATTATTAATTATACATCATGGTGGAAAAGAAGATATCTTTAAAAATTTGCTGGTTGATTCGTCATGGTAGCATTTTCTCCTTGTAGTCGACTTTGAATCACGGATAGATGCTTTTCAATCAGAGGGTATTTTGTATCATCGCTATTTGACCTTTGAGCTTCAAAGTGAAGGAGCAACTGAATAGCTTGGAATGCTTTTTCGTGGGGTATAGGAGATAGAGTTTGTTCTTCTTCATCTGTCTCAAAATCTTTATCATCTAAAAACTCTGCAGCAGTAGCGTTATCCGATATGTTTTGCATGTCGTCTGCTAGACTTTCTTCAAACGGATTCAGGTAATTGTCCAACTTAAATTCAATTTTTCCGAGTACTGCTTCGATCGATTCAACGATTTCTTTTACTTCATTTGACATGAAAGGTGTCTGGAGCGCAGCTCCATCCTCATCGGCTATGTAAAGCACTCCAGACCGGCGAAAAGCATGGTCAATCACACTTACAGACAAAGAGGTTTCCCACGATGAAGCAATCCATTTCATGGCCAAAAAGAGATTTATCTTTGTTTGTGGAGACTGTACATTTGATAAAAGGGTCCTCCAATAACGAGTCCACCGCAGTCTATACAAGACCTTAAACGCATAGAAAACACCCAATTCAAATGGTTGGTAAACATTGGTTGAATTAGAAGGAAGAAAGGCGATTGTGGTGTTTCGAAAGGAGTGACTAGAACAACGAATGCTGTCAACGGCGAGTCGGTGAACATCGTAATTGTCGAGAATCAATAATACCTTTCGTCCTTCCATTTTTGCATCAAACCAACGAAGCCATTCCTCCATAATCGTAATCGTCATAGATGCTTTCCCAGAACAGCGCCAATTTATACCAATATTTTCAGGATATGTACCAGTCAAATGAAAAGCTCTTGGCCGCTTTGCATATCCAATGACCCATAAAGGAAGTTTTTCGCTTCCATTTGCATTTGCACACATTATGATGCTTATTTTAGCTTTATAACGCTTTGCACGTCCAGTCTCTTCAATAGAAGGGGCCTGGTTAGGCAACAATTTCCAAAATAGCCCAGTTTCGTCCATATTGAATATGTTTTCTTTCGAAAAAAAGCTAGCAACATCTTGTATCCGTACCATGCTTTCGCCAAGCTGCTCAACATTGACATGATATTCCCTCCCGGAAGGCTCGTCCACACGCTCCAGGTATCGTCTTCGAAAGCCTTCAACCCAGCCATTACTGAATTCTGGCATAGGCGATTCTTTATACTCGGGAATGGTGCTCCATAATTTTGTTGCCGCTGCTTTTAATATATCGCCTGTAGCTTTCGTCCTTGTAAGGTGAGAATCTTGAATCCAGTCATACAGTGCCTTCTCTAGAGCCGGAAACTTTGGCGAGCGATTTCGTTTTGCATGCAGGTTTTGGTCTGTATCGTCTAAGTATGCAAATCTGTCCGAGAGAATTCTCGACAAAGTTGACTGAGCAATTGGCTTTCCAAATTCACTTTTAAACCAATCCGCTAGTTCAACTTGTGTAGGTTTTCTCGCTTGATTATAATAGAATGCTCGTAATGCCTTCTTTTCTCTCCCAGAAACCGTGATTCTTGTCCTTATAGCTGTCATTTTTCATGCTATATGGAATGCGTTGTGGTATTAGGATATTCTTAAACGTTTTGAATATGCCTTGTCTATAAACATTCTGACCGCAGAAGCATATTCTAATTATTAACCCTTTATAAGCATATAATCTTAGCATCATTCATTCCAAAAAGGAAGCATATGAAAATTCAGAGATTTTCTAGTTGTAGCCTTGTTTTTTCCTTTTTTGCTCTATTAAGAGCATTTATACCACGGAATGATTCACGGATGATTTGAAGCGTTTTGTTAGATCATCCTGGATATTCGCATTCTCGTAAACTCTGCGATCCGTCTTGGAATAGCAAGGAAAAAAGATTCACTTAATGTAGAAAAGTGGAATAAAGTAAAACCGTAGTTCCATTAGGTAGAGCATTTACGAATAAGATTGCATACATTTCTGTATACGTGTAACATACTTCTACAATAATATAGTTCGCCTTGGCTTATGGATTCCTTTGTGATTAAGCAAATTCCTTCTTTTGAAATCTTTCAATCTAAGCTGTTTTGAATATCTGAACTCAAGTTTATGAGCATCGTCTTTCCTCATCCTGTGTTACATATCCTGTAGTAACAATACTCGATACCTTTCTTTGATCTTCCATAAAGACGTGTCAATACATCTTTCAGCAACAGGTCAATCCACAGTGTCTACTTTATTATCCTTTCAACTGCTTTTCTTTTGCATCCAAGACAAGTACAAAAGATTAGCGGCAGTATACATAAACGAAAAGCTTGTATCTTTATCCTTTTAGATACAAACTTAAAGGTGTCGTCGCAATACCCGAGATTCGTTTGATAAATATCAATCAAGCAAAGATGATCCTTAATTAAATGGGCACGATTGAATGGCTTTTATTCCTAAGCTGATGAACAAAAGGGAGTAACTATTGACATTTATAGCTCTCTTTTTGAATAAAAAGGCTTGCATCCTCTTTCCGATCATTCTATCCATTGGTAATAAGCGGTCGCTTTTCCTTGGCTGCTGAGGATCCAAAATGGAAGCAATTTTAGTTCGTTATCCTCATATAGAACAAAGAATCTCACAAGAGAAAATCGATATCAAGTGTAATAATGGCCTTCAATCCCTTGCGTTCCATTCAAGTGTCATGCAGAAAAGTGAACAAGTTAACAGAAATCGTACTTAAAGTAGGGAAGCATTGAAACCAGTTTATAAAAAAAGCATACAAAAAAAATTGATTGTAGCCATGAACCCTTCGTGTTGCGATGAGTAGAGCGCAAGTGAATAGAGCGACAGAATCACTTACCATCAGCGGCAATATAGTTTATCGGTTTCTTTTCAATGTATTTAATTGTTTTTTTTTTTACAAGAAAATACAAGCAGGGGTTTTTTCTTGTCCCGCTTTGTTTCTCATTTTGATTGCCCTCAACAACAGCGGCCTTCTCCTAAACTCTACGGAGGTATTCAAATTTGAAATTGAGCGTTCAAACCCGTTTCTTTTTTTGTAGTCAGCTGTTTCTTCTTGTAAAATAACGATTTGCAAATGGATAAACTACGTAGACCTGAAATTCGTCAACAAACGACCCAACAAATGTATGGTGTTCCTGAAAACATCCTGGAGATCGATGTATGCTGTTTGATTTTACATCTACTAGGTTGAATTAACCAGTTTTCCAACTAGGTCGTAAATCCTCAAAATCATGGTCTTGGAAGAGGCATGTTTACTACCTATGAAATTCAATGTCGGGTATGGTTCTTTAAATGAGTCTTGTAGTATTTGGTTTTCTTAATCTTACAGATGAATGTAGACGAATATGCCTTATTTTCGTTTGAGATATTCTAGCGTTCGTCGCCGTTATAGTGAATTTGAAAAGTTTCGCGACATGTTGGAACACGAAATTGGACGTGTTTCCATTCCTCCCTTGCCAGGAAAGGTTTTCACAAACCGCTTCCGCGAAGATGTGATTGAGGAACGCAGACAAGGCCTTGAAACATTTCTAAGAGCGTGAGTTCCATACAAAGTAAAACAACGGTCTAACGGTATACTAACAAACACTTTCTTTAGTGTTGCTGGCCATCCGCTTATTCAAACACATTCTCGTATACTTTCTTCATTTCTTCAAAACCAAGAATTCCACCCTACTATTTAAATTACCAACGAACCTGTTCTTGGATTTTCCTTGCTACGAGCACGATAGACCGCAATATCATAAACGAATCTCATCGTCTATTATTCTCTTGATTTATCCATGTTATTATATTTTACGTTGGAAGAATAGAAAGAAAATTACAAATAAAAACAAAAATGAAGTATGTTTGTTGGTTGGATCATGAAAGACGTTGCAAGAAAAAGTCGATGCTGTTTTGATTTCCGATTCTTGCTATATATTGTTTATTGAAAAAGTAAGTTTCTTAAGGATTGAAATACTGACCTTTTAGTTCCATTCGACAAATTGAGCGCTTAAACGAGCTGGAGATGGATAAACCATTGAGCAGTTCATGGCACATGGATTACAAAGACAGTGCCTATATTTATATCGGAAATTTGGATTATGATTTAAACGAAGAAGATATAATTACCGTTTTTTCAGAATTTGGCGAACCTACAGACATAAACTTGGTTCGCGATAAAGAAACAAAGAAATCGAAAGGGTATTGCTTTCTGAAGTACGCTGATCAGCGTTCAACGATATTAGCCGTAGATAACATGACAAATGTCAAGTTACTCGATCGACTCGTTCGAGTCGATCATGTTGCTAGTTACCGAGTTCCCAAAAAAGGATCCGAAGATGGAGCCGCCCCTTCTGAAATAGGCAGCCAAAATTTAGATGCTCTTTATCCTCCTTCCCTTCCACGAACCGAACTAGAGTCTGCTGAACGGTCACCTGCTCCTGATGAGCATGCTGAGCCCTTAGATGAGAAGGATATGTTGGATCCCATGCACGAATACATTAAAAATGAAAAGCGGAGAAAAGTGGATGACGCGCATCATTCTTCACACTCTTCTCGCACCCGTAGACACCGTCACTCGGACAGACACCGACATACCCATCGAAGACATCGTGACAAGTCTCCACGAGAAAACTAGGATCCTTTGTAATTCCAAAAAAAAAAAGAGAAAAACAATCTTTTACGGCAAGTAATCATAGTAAATCCATGGTTCAGTCGTTAAATGTGTGCGGCGGCTGCCGCTTCATCTATACATTATACTAAACGAAAACCAAGTCTTTATGTTAACAATACACTCCTTCTCTCCCGATACTGATTAGTTGCTTCCATCATCCGTTCAATTATTTAGCTTAATATTGAACATTTTATTAAAAACACTTCAATAAATTGAGTTACAAACCTCTTTTAAAGATTTCTTTTTTTAAAAACTATTGTCTATTTGATTTCATCATATTAAAGATTTATCATACTACTTTCAAGTAACGAAAGAAAGGGAACATGCAGCGTCAGTCAGAAGACATTAAATTACGAAGGAATAAACCTGGATTTAACTGCTTTTAAGCCAGTTTAGAAGATATAAAAATGACCTCCTACGTCCTTTCGAAAGAACTAGTAGGACACGAACAAGACGTAAGGGCGATGAATCTAGTGCAAAGAGTATGGAATGTACGCTTATTAACAACAGTTCAGGTTCGAGCGGTTTGTTCTATTTCAGATGAATTGATAGGCTCTGCTTCAAGAGATGGGAAGTACGGTCTTTGGAAAAAGATTGGTAATGATTGGACTCCTCAATTCTATGAATTTCACGAAGGATTTGTGAATTCCGTATGCTATGTTCCTCCAAGCGATCCTACTACGAAAGGTATGGATATATTCAAAGAAGTAGAGAATTGCTAATAGTTCAGGGTTTCTCTTTTCTGGAGGACAAGATTGTTCAGGTATCCTGCAAGAAGTAGATAGCGAATCTCCTGCTTACTATTTATTCGGACATGAATCCAATATTTGCTCCGTTCACGCACTTAACAGTGCTACCATCATCACTGGAAGTTGGGACTCAACTGCTCGTGTGTGGTCATATGGGCAATGCAGACTTGTTTTACGCGGACATGAATCTTCGGTCTGGGCTGTCTTAGCTTTAGGGGAGGATTCTTTTGTCACTGGTTCTGCTGACAAGACGATCAAGATTTGGAAGGGGGATAAATTGGTAAAATCGTTTGAAGCGCATGTGGATTGCGTAAGATCTCTTTGCAAAATTCCCCAAGGCTTTGCTTCTTGCTCAAATGATGGAACCGTTAAGTTGTGGTCCTTAGATGGACACCTTTTGCAAGAATTACATGGACATACCTCATTTGTTTATTCGCTTACGTATGTTCCTACGTTGAATCTTTTGGCATCCTGTGGTGAAGACAAGTCTGTACGCATTTGGAAGGAATCTGATTGCATTCAACGTATCGCCTTACCAACTACTAGTATATGGTCTGTTTGTGCTCTTCCAGATGGGGATATTGCTTGTGGGTCGAGCGACGGCTATGTCCGTGTCTTCACCATGGAGAAAATTCGAATGGCATCTGAAGAAGAATTGAAGAATTTCGAAAGACGAGTGAGTGAATACGCAATTGCTGCTCAAGAAGTAGGTGATGTGAAAAAGGGTTCTTTGCCAGGCCCTGAAATTCTGACAACCCCTGGAAAAAATGAAGGAGACGTGGTAATGGTCAGAGTAAATAATGATGTCGAGGCTTATCAATGGTCTCAAGTGGAGAAAGACTGGAAAAAGGTTGGTCAAGTAGTTGACGCCGTAGGAAGCAACCGGAAACAACTTTATAAAGGCCAAGAATATGATTATGTCTTCGATGTAGACGTAGCCGAAGGTCAGGCTCCTTTAAAATTACCTTATAATGTGACTGAGAATCCTTTTCAAGCTGCTATTCGGTTTTTGGAAACGAACCAATTACCCATGTCGTATACGGATGAAGTGGTCCAATTCATTCAGAAAAATATCCAAGGACATACGTTTGATACGTCGTCAACGCCTCAAGCTTCAAATCCATCAACTAGCAAAGAAGTTACTATTTTCCCTGTAACTTACCTTTTATTTACCACCGCAAACATCCCCGCTATGTGTCAAAGATTACTTAGTCTAAACACTACACATGCTAATGCTCTTCCCCAAGAAGACTTGGAAAAATTACAACGTATACTTTCAACGAATCCTATAACTGATACTGATCGTCAAGTTGCCATTGAGATTTGTCTCAATGTGTTGGACCGTTTTAGTTTTTCTGAACGATTTCCGGCTTTAGATGCTTTACGATTATTGGCAATCCAGTGTCCTAAGCACCTTTGTGCAGTTCTCTTGGAAGTGTTTGCACAACTTGCTCAATCAATTACAGTCACTGGAAAGTTCGAGTCGATTAACAGTATGTTGACGCTTCGAGGCCTAGCCAATCTTGCGCCAAATCTTTCATCTGAAGAAGACATTGTAAAGATAGCTGATTGTTTATTCAAGGCTACTCCGCAAGCGGAATATCCAAAAGATTACAAAGTTGCTTTTGCGACTCTCGCTATGAATCTTTCTATCTTGCATATTAAGAAAAACTCCGAGGAAGCAGCTATTGAACTTTTACCACTCTTGACAAACTTCTTAGCTACAGACTCTTCTGAGAGTGAATCTTGCTATCGTGCCCTCATGGCATTGGGTAGTCTGTGCACGCTTCCTAACGCTGCAGTAGCAGCAGCTCAAGTTTATGATGCCCGCAAGGTAGTAGACAATGTTTCAAAGGCATTTGCTAAAGAGTCTCGTTTTCTAGAAGCAAAAGACCAATTCTTTGCTCTCTTGGATAAGACGACTTAAAAGTGATGCTTTTCATCTATACTACTAATGATATTTATGAAAACTGTAAACCTAGTTCCGTAGTTGCTCTCGTGCTCAATAGATCCTTCTTGACAAAGTCTACCAATTTGCTTCGCTATCTATATTTGCGAATCGCAGTTGCAGTGTACGTTTACAGACGACTGATTATTTGCATTTGGTTCTTTTTACATTTCGCACTTTAGCTCTAAACTATTCAAATAATTTACTACGTTTTGAAATTTTCTATATCCTTTTTACCATTTTCTTCATTTAACAACGGTACGGTAGCCATCGCTATTTATTAAGTAGCCAAATTCTGTGTTCAACTTGAAGTTGTCTTTCTCTAAGCACGAAGAAATGGCGCCAAAAAAAGGCACCAAATCATCCAAGTCGAAGGTGGCTTCTTCTAAAATAAAAAACATAAAGGAGAGCTCGATCCAAAAAAAGAATGCGTCAGAAAAGAAGCAATTGGTATGGTGAATGAAAGTTAAAAGAAAGACTGTGCTAACGTGACATTAGAAAAGAGGAACTAAGCAAAATGAGAAAGGAAAAGAGAATAAAGGGAAAAAGGGAGTGCCGGCGCCTGAAGTCCCTGAACGAGAATTAACAGAGGAGGATTTTGCGATGTTGGATGAAAATCCAACGTCACTGCAATTTCTTACTAATGTAAAGCCAGAAGAATTGACAAAGAAGGTAGAGAAAGGTCCTCGTCCAGAAATTTACGATCAGAAACTTTCTAAAGATGATGACTTTGACAGTGAAGAGGAGTTCGATTCGTATGGCTCTGATGAAGACATTCCTAATTACTCAAATGATTCTGATCAAGAACAAGATTATGAGCTTCGTCCAAGAGCTATTAGCTCATGGAACATGACTGACTCAAATCGTTTGCCCATTAAGACCAAAGAGGGGCTTTTGCATGCAGTGAAGGAAGATGCAACCCAAGCCGAAGGTAATGGGAAAGAAGAAGAAGAAGAAGAAAAGGAAGATTCTCCCGAGGGAGAAGGTCAAGGAGAAGAAATAAAAGAGGAAGACCCTTCAAAAGATACTTCGGTCGAAGAGCCTCAGCTTTCACCTAAGCAGCAAATCCAGTTGGATAAAGAAGTATTGGCTTCTCTTGCTCAAAAACTATTGGAAGAACCAGAAGATTCTTTGCATGTCTTCAAAAGTATATTCGAAAAGTTTCAATCACCATTAATTACTATCAAAAAATTGAGTCTTCTGACTGCTCTTGCTGTTTTCCAGGACTTAATCCCTGGTTACCGTATCCGTCCTTTGTCAGAGGAAGAACAAAGCACAAAATTATCCAAAGAAGTTGCACAACGCTGGTCATATGAACAGACTTTTCTGAAATATTATATGCGATTTATCGAAATTTTGGAATCTATCCTTAAATCATACGCTTCTCTAGAAAACGATGTAGAAAAGTCTCTCTATGAAGTCGCAGTGCGTTGTGTATCTCGATTAATTGAACATGTACCACACTTTAATTATCATGATAAACTATTGACTTTGGCTGTTCAGCAAATCAGTCACAAGTCTAAGAGAAATAGCTTTGATTTGTTTATAAACAGTCTAACTGCTATCCTTAAGGAAGATAATCTTGGACGTGTTTCTTTGGATTGTGTTAAATTGTTGTCAAAGATGTTTAAACATCGCAATTATGATGTTCTTCCAGAGGTTTACGATTTGTTCCTGCATATTCAAGTTCTTTCCGATATGGAATTAAAGGATAGCTCTGAAGAGCGAAGTAAAATAAAAAAGAGAAAGCAGGATCGTCCTCATCTTAATAAGAAAGCGAGGAAAACGCTGAAGGAAACAAAGGAGATTGAAAAAGAAATGAAGGAAGCAGAAGCGGTAATATCCGCTGAAGATCGTGAACGATACCAAAATGAAGTGTTGAAAACTGTTTTCCTTACTTATTTTAAGACATTGCAGGCAAGAAGTAAATTATTGGGTAATGCTTTAGAAGGTTTGGCTAGATTATCTCATCTCATAAATGTCGAGTTCTTCGGGGATTTATTGCAGGTCCTGCGTGAACTTGTTTCAGATGATAATATGTTGTTAGCAGAAGGCAAACCGGCTGTTCAAAGTACGAGGGAAGCTCTCTTGACTGTTAGTACGGCTTTTGAAATCGCATCAGCACCAGGAGTCAATAAGTTAAATTTGGATCTAGATTTAAGCATTTTTATTCAACGACTTTACAGATTAATTCTTCCATTTTCATTGAACCCAGATGCCGATTTGTCATACAAGGTGAATCGACTTCGGGATCCAGATGCTCCTTCAAAGAAGAACGTTGTTAACGCTTCTACCCAAATGGAGATGTTATTAAAGTGCTATCAGTCCTTCTTTTTTAAGAGCAAGAGTGTCAGTTCCACTCGTCTTGCCGCATTTTCAAAGAGATTGGCTATTTCTAGTTTGCAGCTCCCAGAGCATTCCTCGACGGCTGCGATCGCACTCCTTGCTCGACTGGTGTCGCGGTACACTAAGTTGCATAGAATGTTTACTTCTGAAGAGCAAATCGGCGATGGCATTTATCAGCCGTTCGTTGAGGACCCGGAACTATGTAAGTCATCAACTGCCATGCTTTATGAAACTTTTCTTCTGAAGAATCATTATTCTCCTGCTATTTCGCGATCAGCAAATAGCCTTTTTAAATTGTCCACGGAATGAAGTAAAAAAATTTTTGGGTCTAGGTTGGTTATAAATTAATTACGTACAAGTTTTGGATATTATCGGTAACAGGGAATAACATAATGGTTTTCTACATATAAGAGTTTTGGTACTCGTATCATCTCGTATCTGTTTGTCGAGCTTGAGAAAATAACATGCTTTCATGACTTCTCAAAGATATAGCTTGTTCTAAGATATCCTTTATACCATGTTAGCTTGTTCAAACAAAAAGTAACAAAGTAGAGCAGGGACTTACCAGTTTTGTGATTATACCATGCAGTTTTCCACGAACTAACAAAGCTACAACGGTTATTCCCATTTCTCTAAACATCTTAAGTATCAGTACTGGTGGAGTACTATGATTCAGGGTAAAAGTAGCTGGATACAAATGATCAGAGAGCGAAAACGTCAGATCAATCGAAGATAAACTTTGTTCTTCAGGTTGCAAAGTGGAACTGACTTGTGTAAATAGACCTTCATTTAAAGGTGAAATATGTAGCAGCTCCCCTAATTTCTCTCTAGAAATAAGGCCGACAAAAAATTCTGTTTGGTCTTGCACGACAGCTATATAAGGATGAGTACTATGTTTAAATGCACATTCCATTTGATGAATAGTACATCTGTCCAAAGGTAACTTGTAAATTTTTTCACTCGGAGTCATTGGAAGATTCAAATTAAACGAAGAGATACTATCGGCGTCTGAGATAGGAAAGTAAGGGATACTTTTAAAGTGTAACCAAGAATCATAAATGGAAAATGGATTGACAAAGTTTGAGATCCATCTGCTGAGAAGGGTTGCAAGCATGAGAGGTAATACAACAGTAAAGGCACCCGTTAATTCATAGATGATAACCACCAGCGACACGGTAAGTCTAGTTGTTGAGCTTAGGAAAGCAGTTGCTCCGACGATAGCATATACGGTAGATCCTGCCAAGGAAGAAAAATTGCTTCTTAGAATGGTGCCGATGCATCTACCTAGACAAGCACCAATTGCCAACGAAGGTACAAGGATTCCACCTGGTATTTGCATTCCATAAGTAAGGCCTGTCAAAAGCAACCCTACAGTCGCGGAAGCAAAAAGGACTAAAGAGGTAATCCATGGCGGAGCTTCACATAATATAGAAGCAGACGAAGGAGAGCAGGAATTCGAAACTTGAAAAAACAAATCCGTCGGGTTGTATAAGATATCGTAATCAAACAAAGCTGGGATTGATACAAAACAAGTAATCAGGCTTAGTAAAGCAACTAAACATATACTGAACCATTTTGGAAATGAATCGTACTTTTTAAAAACTTTGATATTTAAGCGAACTAAAACTGACCCAAGAGATCCGCAAAGAACGCTAATAAAAATGAAAGGAAGTAAATCTAGATAAGACCAATACCTTTCCAACGAAATGTATGAAAGAAAACCAGCACCGGGTTGCCAAGATCTAAGCAGTTGTAAAGTAACAACCGAAAACGCAGAGCACAAGAATTCATACCATATGGAGCCTGTTAAAGAAGATGGAAATGAACTAGTGGTGACTTGCTCCAAAGCGAATAAAACTCCGCCGACAGGAGCGTTGAATGAAGCAGCTATACCAGACGATATTGCGGCAATCAGAATCTGACGAGAAAAAAGATTTGATGTTCTTATTTCAGGAAATAGTGAAGCAATAAGGATAGCTATATTGCTGGCTATATGAACAAAAGGGCCTTCTTTACCAACCCACAGACCAGAGGCAACACAAAGACATATTGACAATGACTTTGAGATAAGCGTTTTAAAAGAAAAAAAAATCTTCGCATCAGGGAGTGTATAGCCGCTTAAGGTTGCTTTAATCTCTGGAATTCCACTTGCGGATACGGAGGGAAAGAAGAATGCCTTTAACAAAGATGCCAGTAAAGCAAATCCAAAAGAGAAAGAAGAATAAATTAAAACAGCTGTGAAATATGAATGCTCATTTCTCCAATAATGAAAGGCCTGACATTCATATTCGTCGGTAAGAATCGCACAACAAGCTGTTTTGTCTAGTAAAATATTCTTTTTACAATATCCCTCACGAAAACTGTTGAGTAAGAAGGTTAAGCCATTCAGCAAAGCTGTCGATAGGCCCACCAAAATGCCTATAAGTGTTAATATAAAACCAGAACCAAGAACATTGAGTATGGAATTTTTTTTATCAAACCAAATATTACCAGAAAGAATGGAAGTGATTAAGTACTTTGTCGTTGTATTCAAGAAGTTAAACCTGCCATTTTTTATAGAATCCCGTCGTTGTTTTTTATACCGCTCATAAACCCAGTCAATGAGAGGCTCATTGTCCATTTCAAAGAATAAATTGTTTAAAAATAAATAAATATAAATTTGCAGCTTTCAGCAATTGTACCGTGTAAGCTAATATGAGGGAACTTGAGTGTAAACAAAAGACGACGAAGACAAAAGCTTTAGCAATTTTTCTCAAGTACGGAGACTTCAAAGCAAAAGAAGTATTAAAATTTATAAAGAATAGAGTTTTAACAAAGTAAAAAAGTCGAACTGAATTCAAGCAAAATGAATTCTTTTGTCCATAACGTATAGGTAGAAAGTGTATGTAGATATTGTAAGTATTGGTTTTACGATTGCTGCTACAAATAAAAGAAATGAAACATAAAGATATTGAATAAAAGACTATTTAGACGACACATTAAAAGTTTAGGTATTAGTGATAAAAGTAGAAGGAAACGTATTAAGAAAAGGGTGAGAAAAGGATTGGGATCCATCGTGTAAACGAGAGGAAAAGAAAAGAAAAGAAGATGACAGTTTATCTGTTTTAAACTATTTTTTATAAAATAGACTTATGTAGGAAGGCTATTCAAGCTTATCGAGAGTTTCAATTCGCTCAAGCAAAGCAGTTTTGTTGGACTCACCAATTTCACCTCCTAGGAGAAATTCATCCAAAATAGCGCTAACTTTGTAGAAATTAAATATGAGATCTAACTCGCATACGTTTCCAAAGAAAGAATCTAAAATCTCGACGAAAAAATGGATCATTTCTAAAACTGCCAAATCATTATCCGTAGTGTCAACACAAAAACAAAAATAGAGTCCGGCATAACGACGATAGACAAGTTTGCTGTTCCTCCATTCTAAGAAATTTGCTTGGTATTTTTGCGTTCTTTCGGATATGAGGCGATGAATCTGGCTTTTTAACTGTGTTTTTTCAACATCCTAAAAAGAAGGGTTAGAAATAAAATTCGTACAGGGCAGAATAGAAAAGGTAGGTTAGTCTATAAGAGAAAGACCTGTTAATCGTACATCAAAAGGGACGTAATATTTTGAAAGTCGGTTTTTACCATGGCGATTTTGAACAAGGACAAATTGAATCATAGTCAATTCAAAGAGCAACGAAACGTCGTATATACGTCTACTCGTAAATAACCTTACAGCGAGAATAGATAGATGAAAATAGCAATGGCAATAACAACTGCAAGAACGAATTCCTCTTAAACAGTGAGAACAGTGAAAAGGAACTTGGTTTGCAGAGACATGAGCAGGATGGGCTTTGAGTGCTTCCAATAAGACAGAAAGAATGTGTTTCCGAAATACTAGAGTCTTTCAAAGAAAAAAATGATCTGAAGAAGGAAACAAAAAGCTACAAATTCGCCAAGAGATGATGAGAGTCCTTTAGTGATACAAAAACTCGACCTGTAGGAGCGCGTATATTTACAAAAGAAAATCGATACGATTCTTTAAGAAAGAAGAAAATTTAACAAATCCTTCACAGAGAGGGAGAGCGTCAAATTGGCTACTTCGTTGAAATGACTCTTAACCGTTGAGGAGTTTACGAAAAGACCAAGTGCTGAAAACCGGATAAGGTACGTAACAAGAAAAATCCAATCGGCTAGCAATCGAAAAAGCAAAAAAGAAACAAAAAGAATTGGTTCTTGTGAGAAAATCCAACTGTTTCGCGGTAGATGCATCGAGTTTGGTTGTACTAACAAAAAATGATCCCGCCAGGAGTCGAACCTGGAATCTCCTGATCCGTAGTCAGGCGCCTTAACCATTGGGCCACGAGACCTCTTTGTTATAAACAGTGAGTATCGTTCTATCCATTATAGTAGTAAGATAATATTATACAATTTGAAGAAATCAAGCTGAAGGAATTCGGTGCGAATATTTCTTTTCGTTGTTTTCATTCATCTTTTCTTATGAAAAAGGTTGGATTAGGTCTCCATTCTAAATCATTTCCTTTGCACATGCTACTCTGCTCTGATGCTGATTCTCTCATTTTGTTGTTGAGAGCATGGGACATGGGTTGCTAAAATGCTGAAAAAGAATACACGGTTTTTGTTGAAATAATTCGTGCCTGAAAAATCTTGCTTAAAATAGTTTTCACTTCACTATGGAACACTTGGTAACCCAAATAATATGGCATTTGTTTTCATTCGGTGAATCCAGTCTAAACAAATTGCTTATAAGACTTTTAAGAAAAGCATCGATTTAGTTATAATTTTAAAGATTTGTTTTTGTTTCTTTCTTCTTTAATTATTTTTATGCTTTCCTTTCCTTCTCATAAAAAAAGCGATTGCCATGGTTTTTGCTTCTGTTTCATTGTTTACTTATGATCTCATTCGGTAACGTTTTTAGGAACGATAAACCATCACCCGCATACTTTTATTTCTATTTCCTTTTTTACTTTTTATTCTTTTGACGGGTTTCTTTCCAACTCGCTTCCTTTTTTGTTTATTTTCTCTTGTCTCGCTTTTGTTTACAAACATGACCGGAAATGCCGCGGAGACTTCCGATACTTTTTATGAACACCGTTCTCCTTGGCAATGACTGCATACTCAGTTTTACAGCCAACAAATAAAAAAGCGCTTGCTTGGCTTCTCCAGCCATTCTATTCAAACCATGCTCACCGTGAAGAGGTATCCAGGAGCCACTGAATTCATCGTTCACACAAGCAAAGGTTATGGCACGCAAATGTTTGCAGTTTGCTTTTTGTCTTTCAGTGTTGGCGTCACGATACTAGCTTTTGAGCCATCGCCGAGATTGTTGTTGTGGATTTCTGGTGCAATATTTATTTTGTCCCTTTTCCAAATTATAAGCGGCGTAAATCGTAAGTCTTGTGGTTTTAATGTCCGAATTCCTTTGAAACCAGAAACATAGAAAATCCCTACAGAATTGGTTTCTGTTTCTCTCTCGCTTCTTCTTGAGTACAAAAAAACTAACTTTGAAAGATGAATCCTTACTTGTTGTGCGCGATCTAGGAGTCCAAACCAATTGTCATTCTATTGTTCCCTGGAAGTCTTCCTCCAAATTGGTTCCCTTGGATTCCGTCAGGGAAATATTTATTCACGAAGGATTCCGAAAGTTCGACGTCTGTTATTACATGGGCATTGCCATCGACCATGAACCCCAAATCCATGTTGTATTTCCTACATTGCTACCTCGAAGAGATGTTTTGCAGAAAATATATTCTGAAACTTTGCAATTGCTCAAACAAGAAACATAACTGAAAGCTTATTACTATAGAATGCATCTTTGTTCATCCTTGTTGCTTGACTTTTCCATGCCTCGCTTTCACCAGCATTCATACGAAGAACAAATCCTTCCCTTTTTCGTTTAGCTCGTCCTTACAAGCCTCTACACATGTTCTTTTTTTGTTTCGTCTTATACCGTTAGATATCGAAATATCCGTCCTTGAAAGCCCTCTGCTCTTTGTTTTTCTCGTACTCCATTTGTTTACACATAGACTTACTCCCGCATTCCTTTCTCCTTGCATTCTCTTCCAAATGGTCATTTAACAAACTCTCTTTGCAATGTGCTATGGTTATATACCGAGAGCTAGGCGATTTTGTAATGGATGGGAAAGGCAGTCACATTTTTGGTGTGCAATTTCTTTTGAAATAGTGTGTTGGATATAGCATTTCTCCATCTTTAGCAATGGCACAGTCCGGACGCCCTTCTATACTGAATGCTACTGTAAGTAAAACAAGCTAAATTATGCTCTTGCGTGTCAAAGATATTAATCCAATGTGTTAGGATGAGGACATCAAGCAGCTCCTTGCTGCTAGCTGCCATATTGGCTCCAAGAACTTAGAGGTCCGTATGGACCCTTATGTCTGGAAGCGCCGTAGCGATGGCGTCCACATCCTCAATGTTGGTAAGACTTGGGAAAAGTTGGTTTTGGCCGCTCGTATCATCGCTACAGTTGAAAACCCTGCCGATGTTTGCGTCGTGTCTACCCGTGCTTATGGTCACCGTGCTGTTCTCAAGTTCGCTGCTCATACCGGAGCTACTGCCATTGCTGGCCGTTTCACCCCTGGTAACTTCACCAACTACATCACTCGTACTTACCGCGAACCCCGTTTGATTATTGTCACTGATCCTCGTGCTGATGCCCAAGCCATCAGAGAAGCTTCTTTCGTCAACATTCCCGTCATTGCTCTTACCGACACTGACTCTTGCTTGAATCACATTGATGTTGCTATCCCTACCAACAACAAGGGCCGTAAGTCCATTGGTTTGATCTGGTACTTGTTGGCTCGTGAAGTCCTTCGTCTTCGTGGCACCCTTTCTCGTTCTACTGCTTGGGAAATCATGCCCGATCTTTATTTCTACCGTGATCCCGAAGAGGTTGAGCGTGAAGAGGAGGCCAAGAAGGCTGCTGCCATTGCTTCTGAGGAAGCCCAAGTTGAAGAAGCCGCCGCAGCTGCCGAATTTAATGTTAACGACGGTGCTGCTGGTGCTGTTGACCCCACTGTTCTTGCCGCTGCTACTGCTGGTCAAGTTGGTGAGAACACTTGGGAAGAGACTGGTGAGTGGAATACCACCGGTGCTGCTGCTCAAACTTCTGATTGGGCTCAATAAAATCTTTCCTTTAATCTTTAATTAAAATAAAATGGTATCCATGGTTGGTGATCCATAGAGTTGTTGTATTGTAATCCTAGAGGAGTGTAATTGATTTCTCTACACGTAAAATAAAAACGAAGCAGAGCTATAAGACGTATATGCTTTGTTATTCGGGTGGTAGACATGGTAAAGTTCACAGCAAAATGGTTTTTTTTGATAATTTATTATTTGTGTGGTGTATTTTAGGTCCTATAAAAGGATAGCAATCGTCTATATGAAAAAAAAAATGAAGTCCAGCTCTATATCGATGAATCCAAACTCGATCCCATCCCTACACGGTACGAAAAAGAATTGGTCCCTTCATATTCTACACGTACAGCTACACCAACAGTTATAAGTTTCTAAATTTTATATTTAGAAATTAAGATTCATATTTTTCCAAACACTACCTCACAATTAGAATCTTAAAGGAGTAAAGAACCAAGCAGACTTGCCGGTTTGGTACTTCTCTTCAAAAGTCTTCTTGACGGTCTTCTTGGCAGCAGAGCGTTGGGAAGGCTCCTTGAAAGTCTCAGCATTGACAAGGTTCTTGAGGTTGTCAAGCTCGAGAGCATAACGAGTGGGCATCAAGTGGTTGTAGTTAACAACTCTGACGAAAGGCTTCACACGAGAACGCTTAGCGATGCGCTTAGCACCCATAGACTTGGTGACCTTCAAGGGGTAGCGCTCAACACCAGCAACGATGGCATGTCCGAAGGGATGGGACTTGGTGCCTTGGTCGACGTTTTGAAGAATTACAATCTTCTTACCGGCAAAGCGACCTCTGGTGATAAGAGCAACCTAAAATTCATTGTTAATACACTTATTCAGACCCTATCGCGAATTCAGTACCTTTCCTGGCTTGAGAATCTTAGCCATTGTTTTGTCGTGAGTCAAACTTGCTCTTCCTCGAATTCCCAAGACACGAAACTTTGTGACTGTTTTCTTTGTATTTTCCGAGGGGTGTCCCACCTCCCTAAATGGTTGAAAGAATAGGAACGAAGCGCAACATAGGCTGCGGAACCACTGTGGACTTCTTTATTCAATAAACAAAGCCATGTTGGTGTAATTTTCATCAAAACGTCAAGCCTGTCGACTGAATCTGCTTTTTCTTTTCCCTATTTTTCTTGTTCTTTCTAGTAAATCATTGACACAAAATCCCTTGTTGAGTTTACAGTTTGTTTTGCATTTCTACACCGCGAGTTCGTCTTCTTCACGCATTCCTACAACTAGGGAATCCTTTTCACGTTTTGAGGGTAAAAGCCTAGCCTAGAAAGGAAGAAATAAAACAAACAAAGAATGGTACCCTTGAAAATCCTTTTGTTGAAAGCTAATGAAAATACGATTGTAGGTTCTTGTCAAGTTTAAGCGTCAAAAAACGAGTATTTTTCTGGAAGTGGCAAACAAAGAGACATTGAAAAATGCTGTGGATACATTGCGACATATTTTAAAAACCAGTGATGATCAAGCGATTAAAATCGGCGCTTTGCGTAATGGAGACTATGTTGCTTTGGAGCCAAGCACTTGGTCCAACACTGTTCTTACTGAGAATACAGACTATGCATTTGCGTATGAGAAGGAAGATTTTGAAGTCCATCAACCGTCTGACGAAGATGTCATGGAGCCTGAGGGCTAGCTTTCCAGAAGAAGGAAAGGATATAGCATTGTCTGAATATGAAGCTTGTTCATCTCCAAAGCAAAAGGCCCTCTCTTTAAATTATACCTGTTTTCTTACAACAACAATGGATGAAATATAAATTCTACAGGTGGAATTGTTCGAAAGTTTATTTCGTTGCAAAGCTACAAAACTCTACTAATTCATCATCCATGTATGTTATAAAGATCGCTTCCTTTGTATATTCGATTCATATTCTCTTATAATTGATTCGCACATAGTTACTAAGTCTCTATCTTTCGTAAATTCTCAGTCTTTAGAAACCTTTCACTTTTTGTTTTTGTTTTCCTCAATCCATATTCACCATGTCAACGAAACTCACGAACAGGATTATCGAACCTGAACCGCTGCTTTTTTTACTTTACTTTTCTCCTAAAAACCTACTCTCGAGTCTTTGTTGCGGATTTGCAGAAATAAGTGACAAAAAGTATTGACCGGTGAGGGATTCGAACCCTCGCATCATTCGATATAGCAAGACTTGTACAGTCCAAGTTTCCACTTGAGTGCTACGCCATAGACCGCTCGGCCAACCGGCCAGTTGTTAATATACTACATCAATGAAAATATATATAGCCCTTAAAACATGAAATACGGTATTAACCGTATTGAAGAGAATGCAAATTTTGGTTCTTTCGACCAAGTGTTTTTTCAAGAAACATGAAACGAAAATATATGAGTAACAGCCATTCGTCTTTGTCTTTCGCGATACAGAAAGACCTTTAGTCTGCTCGAATAGGGAAGGAAAAAAGAAGCTGGAAAATTCGAACCCGTTATATCACACTACCACATATTAGTAAAGTAAGAAGACATCGTTGAGCTCCTTTAAACAACCACAGTACCGTACTTTCGCTATGCAGTTTGATTTTCTAATTTATGTAAACAAACCAGATGGTGTTGGGTCACGGTATCATAGATACCGTATTAGACAACACACGGTAAATGATTTTGTCTTGCTACTCAGAAGGGAGCCTGAGCAACTTGAGAACAACAAAACACGTTTGTTCGGCAGCAATGAGCTATGGATAGATGAAATGTCCGAGAATATTCCGTCTACACCGAAAAAGAGCTCTGCAGATAGCTTCTGGCAAGTTCCTTCGAACCCAGTGACTCCTAGAACGCCTGGACATCGTGTTTTACGACAAGCGGGACCCAATACCAAGGAGCGCTCTGCTAAACGGCGGCGGGGCCGCTTGGAAATTCAGCAACATTTTCTTGGAGAAGTTGATGAAAATTTGGCTTCTGACGCTCTTTTGGACACGCCTCGATTCCAGTCGCGTGTTCCTCCCTCACCTTCTTTTAACGTGTCGTCTCCATCAAAGGGGCGGCTTCTAGATCATAGAGAGATTGAAGATACTGATGGAAATGCCTTTGAACTGACTTCTTCTCCATCGGCGAATCGAATATCTTTAGCTTCATTTCAACCAAGCTCGTCCATTTCAGAAGGAGAAGTTGATGAAAGCCAAAAATTACAGGGTTTAGAGGCATTGGAGGAAGAAGAAAATGAAAAAGATTCTTCTCCTCTGAACGAGGATATTGGCCATGGCCCCGGTTTCGATGAATATTTTGACAAGTTTTCCCAGAGGAAAACGTCCAGCAATACTTTATCGCAGCTTCCTCTTGTAGACAACCAGCTATATCTGGATACCATCCAGAAAACAGTCCTAGAAAACGACCGTTTCACTCAAACTCTCGTTCACTTTCAATCTCGGAACTTTCAACAGTGGTTTTGTGAGGCTGTATTTGGATACAATTTGCTATTTTATGGCTTTGGATCAAAAGAGCACTTTCTTTCTACATTTGTTGAACAAAAATTTCACGGGTTTCCAGTCTTTGTTGTCAAGGGTTATTTTCCACATTTGCAATTGAAATCAGTGTTGACTGCATTTCTCGAGTTTTTAGAAGTTGTTCCCTCTAGTGCCTCTGTCCCCGATATGTTGCAACAGGCCCTCTCTGTATTAGAATCCGGCGAAAGAGCATTTGATAAAGCTGTAATCTTAGTCCACAACATTGACGGAGAGGATTTAGTAGATGAACGATTCCAATCAGCTTTGGCAAACATTGCAGCTTCTCCCAATGTTTATTTTTTCGCCTCTGTCGATCATGTTAACTTTCCTTTACTATGGGATTCTTCTCTTGAATCGTTATTCAACTTTGTTATGCACGATGCTACCACGTTTGCCCGTTACTATAATGAGACTACATACGAAAACTCTCTTGGCATTGGACGCGCCAATGTTTCCAATAAAGAAAAGGCTATTAAGCATGTTTTATATTCTTTACCTGCCAACTCTAGAGAAATCTTTAAGCTTTTGCTTATCCATCAGCTTGAACGCCTTGCTGATTTTGCAGATTCTACTAGTATACGACCTAGCGAGCGAATCGGAATCGAGTATAAGGCGTTTTATCAAAAGTGCAGCTCCGAGTTTTTGTGTAGTAATGAGCTTAATTTTCGTTCTCAACTCACAGAGTTCTTTGATCACCATATTATTGAAATGAAACGAGACTCCACAAATATGGAGATAATATGGATCCCTCACCCGGCAGATTTATTAGAGAATTTATTACAGGACATGATGGAAGATATTTGAAATTTACAACGCATATAAATCGATTAAACCGTGTCGCCCTCTTATCATATACACTCCTCATATATTTATTTTCACTTATTTATAGCTAGAAAGCAAATCGATTAATAAAGTGTAAGATAATTTCATTATCATAGATCATAGAATAAACAATTGTTACTAAAGACAAAATTATGCGAATATAAATAAGGTGTGCGACTTGAATAAAAAAATTAGTAACATAATAAAAATTGGAAAACATAAATCACCCATAGTGCTGTACAGTTTAAACTAACAATATACAAAAAAGGCGTGATATCGTGAGCCTTTAAATTGTAGAATGATCCATATAGTACTCTTTGCATAATAATTTCTGCTCTCTTAGCTCGGCAACAAATTCCAAGAGACCATTGATTTCCCATCTTCCAAATAATAGGCCAATACAGAAACCATTAACGACAGCTGCAATGGCGATAACTAATGTGAAGAAAAGGATTATTACCTTGAGCCAGGCAGGATCACACCATGCTATCGCAACATGTACACCAACAATAATAGGTATAGAAATAAAAAGCTCTGCGATACGGAGGCGCATATGCAATCTTTCTCTTTTCATATATTGATAAGTTATGCCAAGGGTGTCGTCAATAATTGTGTGACCAACGCGAGTTTCAACAGGTACTGAAGGTTGATCGAGAATCTTCAAATTGGTTTCAATGGCAAAATGGTCTGAATAGCTACAGCCCAATTGAGGAACACGATCAGTAAAAACAACTTTACTTTGAGTAGCATTACACGTGCTAGGTGAATAATAAACATAATCCAAACGTTTAGCATAAAAATCATCCATATCCTTCGAAGAGATATTTTCGCGCCAGCTATTGAGGCGAGAGTCGCAAGTAGCTCCCGCAATGTCTATCAACTCCTGATCAGACATGGCATAACGGTTAGGAGGATGCGTAACTTGATCCGGATGTACCGTTAGCCAAGCATCTTGGACCAATCCATAAGAAGTGATAATTTCATGAGGTACACTTAAAGGTTGAATATTAAAATCTCCACTGGCAATTACAATATGACCTCGTTGGACTGCTGAACGGAGTAACTTGGAAATATACCAGGCCTGAGAAAGTCGATGACACAAATAAGTATCTGGACCTTTTCCGTAAGGAGCATGCAAATGAGTGTTGAAAAGAGAAATTGTTTTTCCGGATGGATGCTGCAGACTGGCAGTTGCTACACCTTTACCCACGTACCAGTCACCTCGCCAAAAGGCTTGAGGACGACCGTTGAGGGGATACTTGCACATAGCAGATTCAATGATGGGGAATCGGGAAAGCATTGCTAATCCAGCCCCCATTGCAGCGCTGTGAAAAAACCTTGAATAAACGAGGTTCCCGCTTACTTGGCTGCGAATTTCATTGAAATCATTAATGGACCATACTTCTTGTAATAGCACGATGTCGTAATCCGAATTAGCAAGCTTCTTACCAATCTCCTTCAAACGCTCGGTGCGATATTTCGACACAAACCGCAATCCCCAACAATTGAAGGAAAAAACACGAAGGTCCATATCTTCTTTTTTTTCTTGATGCATTCTGCTAGTTACTTTGCAGAAAAGAGATTCTGAATACAACTATAAAAAAAAAAAACAAAGAAAGAAACACAGCACTCAAAATGATCTGTTTATACGAGATTTGTGATTCGGAGATTTCCTTAACAACCTACTACAAAAACATGTTAATAAAAGCCATTGAATCTTTAATGAAACAAAAAGAAAAAGAGTTGGGAAAAAGCGATAGCCAAGACAGTTCTTCACGATTTGCATTTCTTTCTTTTTAGGAGCGAAATCTTTTCCAGCCGAAAACAGTAACCAATGTACCGATAGACATTCAACAATCGTTCTTTTTGGAGACTCTAATAAATTCATTTCTGAGCCGCAAGAGCACATGAAACCAAATTTGGTGATCTTCTCCTTCCAACTTTCTATTAACAAAACTTACTCAGCCTTTGTGTTTCTGCAAGAGGAAAGAATGCAAAGCACCTAAACTTCAATGAATTTGAGGCAATTGATAAATTGAAAAAGTGGTGTGTTAATGGATGGTTATTTCCGCACACGTACTTCATTATACAATTGTACGATATTGTAATGGCAGAAAAAAATGTATGTGAAAAAATACCTGAACGAGGAAAATTAAGCAAGATGAGAGAAAAAAACATAAGAAAGAAGATAGATTCAATGCATTTATGACTACCGTTCAACATAGTCGGCGATGAAATTTCTCATAGTCAAAAAAGTTTGAATAGCAATGACGAATTCGTCTACAAGAGTCGAAATCCAGACTATAAGTATTTAAATGAATTATTCTGAGAAAAAAAAGAGTCCATTATGATAATTTCGATGTCCAATTGCTAAAAACAGCCGGCGAAATATTGGAAGCAAGTTTCAGCAGAAAAACCAATCTTACAAGATGAAATCTGATAGTTTTCCTAGCAAAGAAAAAAGAAGAGTTATTAAGAAAGCGATAATATTTCGGCAAGAGTTGGACCTTTCTAGTCCTATTTTTGTGTAAAAACATTTGTTTGTTTACACAACAAACTTCTTCCAAGGACAAAAGTTCATCCATTAAACACGTAGAAATAGAAAATCAAAAAGGAAAGATGAAAGTCCTCGCCTCGCATGCAGAACATAGCGCTGAGTGGAAAGTATAGTATGCCTTGCAGAATAGTTCAATCTCGTCTTTAAACAAAGAACAAATTGCGACAGTCATCTTGAATGAACGAAAAGGGATTCATGAGAATGGTCTACTTTCAATAGAGTATGAAATGAAATGGGCCAATTGCAAGATCATTGGGTTATATAGCTGAAAAGGGTCGTTCATTAGCAAGTTTTTAACATCATTCATTTTTCTTGTCTTTTCCTCCTTCCTCCAAAAGAATGCATCAAAATATAAACCGTGGATGCCATTTCTTCTTTCATTTCCAATATGGCTTCGCTTCTATGAGCTTGCCCAGAGCTACACAAACTGCACCTATTGGATTCAACTCTTTTAAAATAGTAACTCCGTGTACTAATAGACTTCCTTTTAATTTTGTAACAAGAAATTATTGAATTGAAAGGTTTTCCGCAACCATGAGAAGAGAATATTTAGTTAGTCATATCCAAGAAAACGCTCACGAAGCTGATATTTATTCATTATGTGTCATTTCAGGACGATTGTGGTCAGCCTCTGGAGATTCAAAAATTAAACAATGGAATGTGGAAAGCGCAGAACACGAGCTTGTCGAAGAAATCGACACTCCACACAAAATTGGTATTCATAACATGGCAGCATCATTGGAAGAACAGTTACTTGTTTCCTGTGGTTTCGGACAAGATGTCTATCTGTGGGATCCAAGCACGAATTCATCTCGTTTGCTGGGTAGGTCCTTTTGTTCTTTTTTGTCTGTATCTAACATTTGTGTTTAGGTGATTCGGTTGAGCATCCCGGAGAATGCTGGTCTGCTTGTATAAGTCCAGATGCACAAACCATTTCCTTTACTTCTGTAGATGGACGTGTTTGTGTTTGGGACACACTTGGCAATACAAAGGTAGCCGACTTGGACACCAAAGGGAAATTTGGACTGTGCACGGCTTATTCGCCTAATGGAAGATTTATTGCGTCAGGACATCAAACAGGTCAGCTATTTTTAATCAGTACTGAAACAGGTCGGTTGTTCCACACTTTGTCAGGACATACGCTCCCTTTGCGAAGTCTAGCATTTTCACCTGGTTCTTCCCTGTTGGCTGCAGCTGGGGACTCCAAAATGATTACAGTATACGATGTAATATCGGGAGATCAGGTTGGCCAACTTCGTGGTCATAGTGCTTGGATCTTTGCTTTGGCATTCAATCCTGTTGGAGACTTGCTTTTATCAGCTGACATTGAAGGTTGTATCAAAGTTTGGGATATGGATACAATGGAATGTATCAGTACAAAAAATGAAGTGGACGGTGCCATCTGGGCTGTTGCTTGGTATAACAATGGATTTGTAGTAGCTGGTGCTGACAGGAGCATCCTTTGGTACAGAGCTGCCGCTTCTGAATAATTCCTTTATGATTTGATAATGGAGAAGAGTTTTGTCTTTGATGCACAAGAAAAATTTATGCTATTGATATTCTAATACATATACCCATTGTTTCCATATTCATGGATCGATGTAGTATGAATTGTATATTAAAAAAAAGGATAAAGTAATAAATAGAGACTATATATGTCTTCTTTGGTAGTATTCTTCAAGCATACATTCATTACTTCAACAACAAACAACAGTCTACAACAAATACAAAAGTAAAGGTTGAAAAGAGTAGAATAAATTTCACTGAATTCAAATACTTGCTTTTTCATGATTCTAACGTTTCAGCTTCCATCCAAAAAGGATTTTTGTTTTAGCTGATCACATTGTTTTGAAGGATTCCTTTCCCTTTCATACACTACCTCAAACTTAAAAAGTATATCATTACAAACGGATTCTGCTTAGCTGTGAATATTCTGTTTTGACTTTTCAAATTCTTTAAAGTCATTGTCGATGAATACAGTAGGAAAGTAATGATTGAGAAAAAATAAGCAATTTGGTTACTTGTTTAGAGATGAGTGAATTCAGTGAAAATACTTTGGCGTTCCAACAGAGAATGAGAACACTAAAATTTTATCAAAAGATGGCTTCCTCCACACCCGCCATCGTTGTTTACCTGCACGACCAAAAGGAAGTACAGGCAGAGTTTGGCGGTATCGACAGCTCAGAATCAAAAGTTGCTGTCTCCCATCTTCATACCGATTGGGGTACAGTAGACAAAGCTGTCCTTCGATCTGGCGACATTGTAAACATCGAATATGTACTTCAGCAGGAAGAAGGAGAAATCTAATTCATTTTGATTCCCTTTTCTACACCCGATTGAACGAAAAGGAGAATGGGAAAGGGGCGGTTTCATAGAAGGAGCTAAAGAAGGATATTTTATTTTTATTATTATCTTTCAATGAATACTTTACGACCACTGTGTTTAAACTTCCAATTTCAGTATTCGCGTTTGAGAGAACGAGAAAAAGTAAAAAATGGCAAGTTTTCAAGTATAATAAGAATTTGAAAGAAAGAAACATCCAATAACATAAAGGTGAAGCGAAATAAATATGAAAACTAACAGTTTCTTTCTATACTATTAAACTCATCCGGAAAGAAAAGTCAAGATTAGGCAAATTCTCGGCTATTCATAGAGTGATTAGAATAGAAGGAATCATCAATAAAGAATATTAAAAAAAAACAAAGGACACCGTCTAAAGAATACTTTCAATATCGTTTTCGATATGCTCAGGCTTACTAATACTAGAGTAGCGCTCGATAACTTGACCTTGGCGGTTTACAAGGAACTTTTCAAAGTTCCACTTGATTCTTTCGAGACCAAGCTGCTTCTTCGCGCTCTTTAGATACTGAAAAACGGGATCAACATCATCGCCATTGACATTGATTTTGGACAAAACGGGGAATGTGACACCATAGTTCTTTTGACAGAATTCACCAACCTCTGTTTTCATATTCGTTAGTTAAGCTTGACTTTTACCTACGTGAAGTCGGTTACAGTTTTATGGCAAACCGTAACCACAAGAATTCATTGCATACCTTCATTGCTACCGGGTTCTTGTCCACCAAATTGGTTGCAAGGGAAGCCGATGACAATAAAGCCACGGTCCTTGAACTTTTGGTATAGATTCTCCAAACCTTTAAATTGGGGAGTAAAGCCACACTTACTGGCAGTGTTGACAACCAAAACAACTTTACCCTTCAACTCACTAAAAGGAAAGGGTTTACCAGTTCTATCTAGAGGCGCAAAGTCATAAAAGTGGGAAACCATCTTGGTAATTTTTATTCTTCTTATCCTTTATGTGTGGTAGAAGACAAGTTTAACGTTGGCGATCCCAGCCTTTTTTAATGTCTTTGCTTATGACGTCATTGTGGCCCAGGAAGATTGGAGACCGATGATTTGTGTTTTCCATTCGAATTTCGTTAACCGAGAATATCTGTTCAGTCAACTACTGACTTTCCTATTTACACTTTTAGTGATTACATTAGTTAGCGAGACAAACTTTACCTTAGCGATTGCTTCATCTGTGTCTGTTGGATTCGTCAAAGATTGTAGGGTAGGGGGTGGTGGATTCCCAAGGCTGAGTGAGGAAAGCTTTGCAAAAAGAGCCCGTATGCCAATTGTCAGTCATTGGCCTGGGCGTGGTCAGTATCGAAAACAAAACAAAATCATAAATAAACAGAGAAATGGGAAAGGAAAAGCATGAGAGAGCGCAAAAATAGACAGTGTTGTTGACACAGGGTAAAAATATATGCTCCAGCAGTGACTCGAACACTGGGCCTCTTGCTTACTAGGCAAGCGCTCTACCACTGAGCTACAAGAGCCTTGTTTGATTTTGGAAAGGTATTGATTAATATATAACCTATATTATGGGAAGGACATTGCTCAAAACAGGACAAGGAATTTATTTGTTTGGTAACGAATGTAGGACTTGATTGTGCATGTATAATGAATTCATTTTGAAGATTTCTGTTGATTCTTGGATTCCAAGAGAAATAAGGTTCTTGTATGTTTAAAATAAGTATGAGCAAGAAAAGCCTCATAAAAAGGGTTACTAGTTGGGTACCAGGCTTGTTTATGAAAGTGTAAACAAACGCGTAATCATCAAAAAATTCAAATGATTCGCGATTTTGCGAGACGATTAAGTGAAACAGAAGAAGCCGCTCAAAATTAACCTCCATCTTGGTTTCAAAATTGGTTTAAATGATCCAAATGCTATCTATGCCTTTCAGATTAAAGACGAAGTTTGAGAGATTAGAGACAAGATTTGACATGTTGGAAACGAAACTTTTAAGGTCCGAAAACCTTCAGCGACGATCCATGGGTTATCCAGACGATGTTATTCCATTTTTACATTCTGATGACGAACCTGATGCCGATTTTGCCTCATATCACTTCGGTTGAAGATATAGATCGCTTGACTAGGGATCAATGCGCTCGATATCCTGCTGGATACGGAACTCCTTGCAACTAAAATGAAACCCATTCGGATGAAAGAAAGGCTATGATATGGCGTTTCGTTTTTCAGGATTACATTAAAGCTGTGCAAATTTTGTATACATATGTAAGAGACGGTAGACTCCCACACGTATTTTTATATATATAATCAGATCTGATGATATTCTTTAAGATTTTTAATGCTTACATGAACACATTATTTCATACTTGCTACTGTGAGTGGGTACCCTTGGTCAATTAAATTGAAGTTACAAATTGGAAGTGTCGAACCAAATAAGCATAGCATATTCCTTCATTCTTGAATTAATATTCAAATTTGGTTGATGAGAACACGTCTGTTTACTTTTATTTGTGTGTTCATAAGCTGCTTCATGACCAAAAAGGTAAGAAAATATGATATGGAAATTGATTGAAAAGGAAGGAAAAAGAGAAGATACTGAGAAAGCCTACAGCACGCCGGATCTCCATGTTGTCTCCAACTATAGTACGAACTTAGACGTTTTCAATTAACTGCAGTGATCGGACGGGAACTGGTGTTTTCGCCTAGGTGTAGCCGTAGGCATCTCATCAGATAGAAGAATAGATGTACGATAATTCACCTCTTTGCTTGTCCTTCTCTTTTACTTACATATGACATTCGTTATATGATATTACTCACAATGACTACTTTCTATTAATGATAATAATTAGATAGAAAATGAGACCAATGAAAATAGCATTTACACTTTCTTAATTCGCATTAATCGACTTACTGTTCATCTAAAGCTTTGTTTACATTGGCCCAGAGCTTTTGCTTAGCAATGACATACAAAGAATAGCAACTTTGGGATACCGCAGTACAAGGCTTCTATTCATAATTGTAACCACTACGCTACATAAAACAATCCAACGATGTACGTTATTCTTGAATTCGTAGTCAACAAACGCGACAGAAAGAAACCTGTCGTTTGCCAAAACATAAAGGAGTCGTGGTTTTTGAGGTTTTTTCGTAGAATTGAATTGGGCTTGGAAGATGTCAAGTCTAAAGACATTTATAAAAGCCGTCCGGGCGTCGAAAACGACAGCGGAAGAAAACAGTGCAATTCGTAAAGAATCGGCACAAATACGTAAAAACATTCGCCAGGGATCAGCGGATACGCGAATGCGAAGGAGAAATGTTGCAAAATTATTGTATCTCTATTTGTTAGGAGAGCCGACGCATTTTGGACAAATCGAATGTTTAAAGTTGCTTTCAAGTGCCCAATTCATGGATAAACGATTGGGATACCTGGGTGCTATGCTGTTGCTAGACGAAAATCAAGAAGTCTTGACCCTGCTCACGAATTCTCTCCAGCAAGATTTACAATCACCCAACAAATTCATCGTTAGTCTTGCATTGTCGGCTTTTGGCAACATCGCCAGTCCTGAATTAGCCCGTGATCTTTCCAATATTATCTCCAAGCTTTGTTCCAGTTCACATAACTATGTCAGCAAAAAAGCCCTTTTATGTGCTTTACGTGTTGTACAGAAAGAGCCAGAGTTGGCTGATCTGTATATTCATAACACTGAAGACCTTCTTGATTCCAAAAGTCATGGTGTTTTAATGTCCGCTATTTCATTCGTGATGGGGTTGTGTAAAATTAATCCAAACCTGATTCCCCGTTTTGCCCAGCATACCGATGGCCTTATTCACCGTCTCCGTCAACTTTCTACCAACACTTATTCATCGGAACTCAATATCGGCAATGTTTCAGATCCTTTTTTGCAAATTAAAATCTTACAGATCCTATCCGTTTTCGCACAACACGATCCTTCCATCAATGACCGCATCAGTGATATTTTGGCTCAAGTTTGTAGTAATACTGACTCTTCTCGAAATGCAGGAAATGCAATCCTTTACCAAGCGGTTCGTACCATTCTAGATGTTAATTCTGATAGCAGTCTTCGTGTTTTGGGTGTCAACATCCTTGCAAAATTTTTAGGAAATCGTGATAATAATACTCGCTACGTCGCTCTCAATATGTTGAAGCGCGTCGTCAATACAGAAGAGAATGCTGTTCAACGTCATCGTTCTACTATTCTTTCGTGTCTTTACGACGTTGACATCTCCATTCAAGCTCGTGCTTTAGAACTTTCTACTTTCCTTGTGAACGAAACCAACGTCCGATTTATGGTACGCGAACTTCTAACTTATTTGGATACCGTATACGACGATATACGCTCAAAAACTGCCCAATATATTACGGAGGTCACGAACGCTTTTGCTCCAAACAAACGATGGCATTTTGACACCCTTTTACGTGTATTCAAAAGTGCCGGTAATTTCCTTTCCGAGTCTGCCCTTTCAACTTTTCTACGACTGATCGCTAGTGCTCCAGATCTTCATGAGTATGCTCTTTTTAAACTTTATGCTGCTTTGAAGAGTGACATGTCCCAGGAAGCTTTAACCCTTGCCGCGTTATGGGTCATTGGAGAGTATGGCCAGTATCTGTTATCTCCCTCCATGAATTTTGACGACGATACTTTGCCAAAAAGCATATCTGAAGACGATGTTTTGGACCTTATTGAGGAAGTATTGATAGGGACGAACTTCGCACAAGCTACTAGCATTCAATATGGGCTTAATACTTTAATTAAACTAAGCACTCGTTTTCAATCATCTTCTTCGTTATCCAGACTTCAAAGGCTTATCGAATTTTACAATAAGCATAGAAACACGGAAGTTCAGCAGCGCTCAGTCGAGTACCAATATGTCATTCAAGATCCTTCATTAAACCGCACCGTGATGCAACCCATGCCCGCACCTTCTCCACCAGCACGAATTACCCCTTACCAAAACGCTGAACATAAATTAAACGCATCTAAAAAACCAATAGAGGAAATGGAAGAAACGAATGACCTTTTGGACCTTATCGGTTTAACTAGTACTTCCCAACCCCAAACCCTTGTCGATGAAACTCCGTCTGTTAATGTCGGTGCAACGTCTGATCTCGCAGAAGTAGCTCCAGCACCGAAAAAGAGTCAAGTTGACGACATTTTGGGGTTATTTAGTGCTCCAGCACCAGTACCAACACCTGCGAATGCAACTGATACTTTGGCAAGCAGTATCGCTTCATTGGAAGTGGGTGGCAATAACATGTTGGACTTGTCACAGACAAGTTCTGTTCCTCAAAACAAACAATACGAGCCTCTTCTTGTATATGATAAACACGATGTAACGTTGACATTGTTTCCTTCGAAAGACGAAGTTACCAAAACCGCAATTTTAGAAGCCAGATTTAAGAATACAAGCACAATATCGAGAGTCGAAAAAGTGCATCTTGAAATTGCTGTTCCAAAATCACAAAAACTACGACTTCAACCTCTTCGGTCAACGAGTTTGGAACCAGGAATGGAGACTTCCCAGACTATGCGAATCCAAGGACCTAAAGGTACTCAAGTCAAGTTGAGGTTGCGAATTTCTATAACTCGACAAGGCAATGCTGGTATTCTAGATCAAGTCGATTTTGGCAACTTACCTTCCGATCTTTTAAGTTAAACTCGCTATTTATGGTTTGCATTGTACAATCTTTTGTATTTTGCGGTTTCAATAATCATGAACTTTATAATGGCTAACGAATTTCTCAACCTGTTGATAATGGTAACCGCATGAGTCAATGGCTGGAATTTATAAAAAATTTTCTTTTAGATATGCTTACGAAAAGGCTTAGAAAATGCAAATGAAGGTATGAACTTTCGTATTGATCATTATTTTAGAAGCATAAAATGAACATAATGAAATGAGACTGGAAGACTACACTAAAAAAAGATAATCAGTAAAGCTTGAGTTGTATCGAGGACAACAGGTTCTCTACGCCGTATGTTCATGTTCTTGTTCTTGTTCCTGTTGTTTTTTCTTTTCTCTATCAGCAATCGTTTGTCGAATATAATATGCTCGAGCATTTTGGTTTCTGGGCTCCAAGACTGCCATCCTCTCTTTTAAGTCTCTTTCCAAATCCCAAGTAGGCTTCTTTGGCCTTAATGTTGTTAAGTCTAATTCTTCCTCAGGTATGCTTTCTTGCTCTTGAATCTTTCGTTTCGTTTCGTTTTCTATGTCCCTCGAAATAGTTTCAACTGTAACGTCTGCCGTCGGGGGTTCAACGAATCCCATACGGGGAGCTTGTGTCTCTGGATCATAATTGCGATGCGTTATCAGCTCTTCTTTTCTCTCTCCTTCAGGAGCTTCTTTGATGGTTTGTGATTCTTTGATCTTTCGCAATTCGCGCAATCGTTGTTTTCTCAATTCTGCCGATTCATCCAACGAAGACATTTTTTATTAATTCTAATGTGATCAAAAACGTAGTTATTATTTAAGAATAAATCATATATGTCATAAACGCCCGATCAGAGTTTTTAGAAGAACGTCAAGGTTTTACCTAGAAAAGAAAGAGTGCTGACTTCTTCACTTATATGAGTAGCATCAATAGAAAATAACTATATAACAAGCCTTCTCTTCTATTTTCACGAACCAACTGTAATATTCAAAAAAGACTACTCTCCTTTGGTGTTTGTAGCAAGTGGTTTACGGATACGCAGTACGCTCCTAAGCAGCTATACTGGTATCGTACGTAATACAACACGACGGTAAGTACTTCGCAAAATCTGTGACAGAACGAGTAGTGGCAACCCTGGTAGAAAAAAACCTGTCTTCTACCAAGTGGAATAAGAAGATGCCTCAAAACGAGTATATTGAGGAATCAATCCGTAAACATGGACGTCGCTTTGATCATGAAGAGAGAAGGTAAGCTGGAAAAGAGATAATTACTAAAGAATTGTTGGATCTAACGCTTGATGTTTAGACGTAAAAAAGTAGCACGTGAAGCTCACGATGCAAGCCTTTATTCTCAGAAGGTTCGTGGTCTTAAGGCCAAATTACACCAGAACAAGAGGCGCAAGGAAAAGATTCAGATGAAGAAGACGTATGTAATGACTTTTACACGAAGGATAGATACTGTTGATCAGATGGGTGATGAAAATGTGCCATCTCAGCGAATCTGTTGTCATGAAGACTTAAAAATGGTGCTAACAATTGGTGCTTAGTATGAAGGAGCATGAAGAACGTAATACTACTCAACGCGGTACGGAAGCTCCTGCCCCCGGTGCTGTTCCTATTTATTTGCTTGATCGTGAACAGGAGTCACAGGCGAAGATGCTCTCTAGTGCCGTTAAACAAAAGCGTAAGGAAAAGGCTGCGAAGTTTTCTGTTCCTTTGCCCCAAGTCCGTGGTGTTCCTGAAGACGAAATGTTCAAGGTTATCAAAACTGGTAAAAGCAAGAGTAAATCTTGGAAGCGTATGATTACTAAAGCCACTTTCGTTGGTGATGGCTTTACCCGACGTCCCGTTAAGTATGAGCGTTTCATTCGTCCTATGGCGCTTCGTCAGAAGAAGGCAAATATTACTCATAAGGAGCTCGGCGTTACAATGCAATTACCCATTATTGGTGTGAAAAAAAATCCTCAAAACCCTACATACACCCAATTGGGTGTACTCACAAAGGGTACCATCATCGAGGTCAATGTCAGTGAACTTGGATTGGTAACTTCTGGTGGTAAAGTTGTCTGGGGAAAATATGCTCAAATTACCAACAATCCTGAAATGGATGGTTGCGTAAATGGTCTTCTCTTAACTTAAATGCATTCTTTCCGGAGTGATACACTCTCTGCATGGAAAGTGTTTTATGTCATTGCCGCTTCTACTAGAATTTTTGAAAGTTTGTATAATATTTTTGGGAATTAACGTTATTTTATTTGCAGTCCTTGAAATTTTATTAGAGCTGGTACTTGATACTAGCTAGTAATTGGTGTATGGTATGGTTAATAATATACATCCATCTTTTGGTCTATGACTTTTTGAAGACTGAGTCAGTCATGTCTAAAACTTGAAATTATGAATTAAAGATGAAAGTGAATGGGAAGTGATGATGAAAACGACTGAATTAAATGATATATCCAATATAGTGAAACTAAAGCCCGTGAAAGCTGAAAATGAACTACGTTTTGGTGACAGGAAAGATATTTAACAAGAGTACTACAGGAGATCAAACGAACATAGGAAAACTCAGTATGGCTAAAAAAGAAAAGTGCTTAAATTAATACAAGACTAAAAAAATCATATATTTTGCGTTTAGTCGAACAAACCGAAGCCCATGTCTTCGTCAGATTCTTCCTCAACCTTGGGTTCCTCCTTCTTTTCTTCAGCAGGAGCTTCGCCAGCGGCAGCAGGGGCACCAGCAGCAACAGGGCCAGCAGCGGCACCAGAGCCAATGTTCAAAAGGAGTTCCTTAAGGTCCTTGCCTTCAAGAGCCTTAGCAAAGATGCTAGCCCAGATGGGTTCAACTTCAACATTACCAGCCTTGGTCAAAGCCAAAAGCTTGTCAGACTAAGGATCATTAGTATACTATTTCTATATATGGCAAGCTCTAAGCTTCCTCCAGTTTCAAATAGGAAGTGTTTCTACAAGAATGCGCTGGAGGTAAGTTTCACTGATTTGTCTGACATACGGTGATTTCAATTCCCTCGTCGGCCAAAATGAGAGCGGCGTAACTGGTAGCGAGTTCAGAGGCAGACATTTTAATTGCCTTTTCGTGTTTTGTTGTGAAGAAGAATGGTTGCAAGAGCTTGTCAATCTCACGCAAAATTGGTTTGGCCCAAATTTTGTGTGACTGTTGAATTATACTTTTTCGTTGCCTATCGTTCGAGTGTGTTATATGGTAATGTAAACAAAAATGAATATTTGTTTTGAAGGAAGGCCTCATTAGGAATTGGATATACTACGGAATAGTTTTTTAACTACTATTGACAATAAACTGAGGTTGGTTCTTTAGGACCATGACTTAACAAGTACCGGAAGAAAAAGTTGAAGATTTATATCATCAGAAGTGAAAGTATTGAAGAATGAAGAAATGAAAAAGTATCAAATCTAAAGAATGAACGACAAGATGGACTGGTTCTGGTCAGACGAAAGGAAAAGGTTCAATCCGTGTTGAGACGGCCAGACGCAACAGCTGTATGAAAAATTGACTACCGGAATCTATTGTTCTTCTTATGTATTTCCTTTTTTTATTTTAAATTCAAATATCGATCCTTTATGAACTTTGCTTTGGAGTGATAGTCAATCAATTCGACATAGAAACAATCCTTTTGAAAACTTACCAATTACCAATATGGCGACAATCAGCCCTAATATTTGGATTGCTGCTTCTGATGGCAACACTGAAATTGTATTGGTAAGATTTTTGCTTAATTGTTGGAGAAATGAAGTTTGTTGCTGAAGCTGTCTCACTGACATAACAGAAACATTTAAACAGCGGTGTGTCTCCAAATCAACCAGATGAAAATGGGTATACTGCTATGCATGCTGCGGTATCTTACGGTACGTTTTGTACTAAATTAACATTATACTAATAGCTCAGGTCATCGCGATTTGCTAAAAATCCTTGTCGAGCATGGGGGAGATGTTAACGTTCGTGATCAGGACGGAGAGACACCCTTATTCGTTTGTGAAAAGATAGAAGTAGCTCAAGATTTAATCGAAAAATATAAAGCAGACGGTTGTGCTAAAAATAATGATGGCTTGATTGCCGCGCAAGTTGTTGAAGAGAATGGGGAATTCCCTGAGCTTGCCTCGTACCTTTACACGTTCAGTGAAATAGAACCTAATAATGGCAATATGCCCAAGGATACAAAGTTAGAATATGCTCGTTTCGTAACTCCCCAGGAGATGGATGAGGCTGCTGGAGAGCCTTTGCTTGATCAAAACCGGAAGGAAGAAATAGAGAGAATTATGGCTCTTAGAGAAAGTGGCGTCAATATTGATGACCAGTTACGCGAACTACTTCACGGAGCTCTTTCTGAGCATTTCGAAAGGAATGTTCGTTCTCGCGAACAATAGATGAGCTATGAATAAATGCTATGGCTGATCTTTTTAAAGAAAGAAACTTCGATTATCTCAATGCTTTTGTGTATTTTTTAACGTGGTCCGTCTTAAAATTTTCGTCTTTCTGCTTTTTTATTTTTTTTATTTTTCAAATGTATCATCATAAATAGGAGAAACCAAGCAAATGCTTATTAGCTGTAAAGCTCTTCTTTTCAACTAACGGATTATAATTTGGTATCTACGTCTTTAAGAGCAACTTGGAGTAAAAAGCAGATTCGCTTTGCACAGATGTGCCATACTTAAGTTTCTTCGTGTCATAAAATTACAAATACTTTTTATTTACTTAAATAAAAAATATGGTACTAAATTTGTGAGATCCTATCCGAGCTAACTTAGGAGCGATGTTCAGGTCGGCAAATTTCCTCCTCTACCAACACCTGCCTTTTTCGTCTTTTTGAAAGCATATCGAAATCATGGCTATTGGAAAGAGAAAAGCAGTTAATGGATTGAAAAATGGAAGCAAATTTGATAATAAACGATCCAAGCCTGCTGATTCAGTTGAATTGAAAGTTAAGTCCAAAAAACAAGAAGTTGCTTCTCCGGAAGAAACCTTGTCGCAATCCGATTCTGAAGCAGAGGAAGAAAACAATGCATCTTCTGTTGAAGAAAGTGAAAATGAAGAAGCCGAGTTTACCGGTTTTAAAGACGAAAACGAACAAGATAATGAAGAACAAGAGGAGGACTCTGAGGAAAGCAAGAAAAATTCTAAGGAGGCTCACGCTAATCAGAAGAAGATACAAAAAGACCGTCGAGCATCAAAACCGTTTGCTGATGTTAGCATAAAAGCCAAATCCTTGTGGGATAAACTTCGTCAAAAAGGAACACTGAAGGCTGATGAGCGTAAGAAGTTAGTATCAGAACTATTTGATATGATTAAATCGCATGTGAAACAGCTAGTGTTCAAACATGATATGTCTCGTGTTATCCAGACATGTGTCAAATATGGTTCTAAACAGCAACGCGAAAGTATTGCTGACGAACTTTCTGGTAGCTTTGTTGAACTATGCAAGAGCCCTTATGGAAAATATCTTGCAGTTAAGCTTTTCAAATATGGAACTCCCAAAATGAAAGAGGCAGCTCTAGGAGAATTACATGGACATGTTACAAAATTGATTCGACACCGAGAGGCTGCTTATGTCGTAGAAGATGTATTCCGCGAGTATACCAATTTGCAGCAACAAAATGCGTTAATTTGCGAGTTTTACGGTCCAGAATATCAAGTCTTTAAGGAAAGAACGCAGGATATGCATATAGACAAAATTTTGCAAGAACACCCCGAAAAGCGAGCAAGCGTCATGAATAATTTATGGAAAACTATCGATGGATCGATTGCCAAAGGCTCAATCGGATTTACAATGGTTCACCGAGCGATGTTAGAGTTTATCCAGCATGCTAGCTCGAATGAAGCAAAAGATCTTTTGCAAGCTACAAAGGAACAAATTTACGAGTTTGTGCATACAAGAGACGGTTCGCAAGTTGCTATGAAGTTGTTTGCTATTGCAAATGCTAAAGACCGTAAGGCTATGTTGAAAGGTTTACGTCCATATTTTGTAGAAACTGCTAAAGACTCATATGGTCATTTGGTTTTAGTCACTGCTTTAGACTGTACTGATGATACTATTATGACTGGAAAATTGCTGCAAGCGGAATTTGAGAACGAACTAATCAAAATATCCACGCATAAGTTTGCGCGCAGAGTTTTGTTGTACATACTGGTTGGTTGGGAAGACGCCCGATATTTCAGTAAAGAAAACCGCAATATGTTGGCTTCTTTAGAATCGCTTAAAGCTGCCACTTCAAAAAAGGATCCAGTTGTTCGTAGAAATGAGTTGAAGACCACTGTTGGACCTATGTTGTTGAATGTGATCACTAATGCTGCTGGTGAGTTGTTGGCTGAATCCTTGAGCTCTCAAGTGGTTGTCGATACTTTATTGAGCGTGCCAGGTGATAAAAAGGAGGCCGTGAATGCCGTAGTGAAAGTGTTTGAAGGAAATCCCGCTGATGAAAAGCATTTGATCCACCAAATTCACTGTTCTCGTGCCTTGAAAACACTTGTTCAGAATGGACATTGGAACGGAGCAGAACAACGTATCGTGAAGTCTGAAGAAGAATTAGGGGTAGCAGGAACCTTAAAAGATATGATTGGTGAATATTTGGTAGAGTGGGCTGCTGGAGACGGTGCTTTCGTTGTTCTTGCTGTTTTGGAAGCATTGGATGAAAAAGAAAGGAAGAAGTTTTTAGACCAGCTGAAGAAACATCAAAAGACATTAAAGAAGTCGGAATTTCGTGGAACACAAAAACTTTTGGAAATGCTTTAGTACTATAAAATTTTAGTTATGGGATTAGCCGGGTAAAAATATTATCTATTGGATTTAAAGGAATTATGGATTGCATTCGCTGTTGACGAAGGTGAATAGTTTAAAACATAACATAACCAAGTACCTTAAGAGAGGACTTGGTGGATGAAACGGAAAGAATGAAAAACAAAGAGGGTAAAGATATCAAATTAATTAAATCTGATTGCTATAATGCTTTTTTAGTATCAATCAAACTAAAATGGAGAAGAGGAACAAACTATCGAACACGGGTTATAAGGAACACAATGGGATTATCTACAAACTTTGAAACCAAAACGAAAGTTTGTGGTTTTTTGGGATCCAGTGATTGAAAATGTAGGGAGTAGTGAAGTCTAATCAAACAGTAGTTCAAATTCAATTCCTGTTCAAAGGTGTAAAGAAGGTTAAGAGGGATATAATTCAAACTCGTAAAATTAATTTCTTCCTTAAATAAGTAGAAAAAAGGAACTGTTCTTTTTAGCCTTGACTGGAAACTCTGAAGGCAAGAGGGATACCTAGCGACTACCAGCTACCTCCAATGATGGCTGCATCCTTAGTGGTATTGATTTCTGGTTCGGGATCCAATCTTCAGTCAATAATTGATGCTACGCAAAATGGAATTTTAAAAGGAGAAGCTATTGTCACTCATGTGTTGTCAAATCGTAAAAATGCGTATGGACTAGAGCGAGCATCGAAAGCCGGAATTCCAACATCAGTACATCCTTTGCTTCCATATAAAAAGGAATATGGAAACGAGGTTGGTCGGAAGAAGTACGACACGGATTTATCAGAGAAAATTATTGCTTTAAAGCCTTCATTGGTCGTCTGTGCAGGGTGGATGCACATTTTGTCTCCTGAGGTTTTGGCTCCATTAGAAAATCGAAACATTGGAATTATCAATCTTCATCCTGCTCTTCCTGGTGCCTTTAATGGGATTCACGCGATTGAGCGAGCTTTTGAAGCTGCTCAACAAGGAAAAATAACAAAAACAGGAGCCATGGTTCACTGGGTTATTACAGAAGTAGATGGAGGAAAACCAATCTTGGTTCAAGAAGTTTCTATAGAACCTCAAGACACGGTTGAAACTTTAGAAAACAAGATTCATAACATTGAACACAAGATTCTTGTCGAAGCCATTCATAATATCGTTTCTGCTACTACTGACGCTTAATTAACTCTACAATTACTTGGACTCGCTTACGAGATAAAAGATTAATGGTTTAAGAAAGCGTCTTTATAAATATAGTCACTAAACTAATTGGACTTAAACCTAATCATACAAATTCTATGAAAACAAAAATAAAACGAGAGACATAAAAAAAAGGCTACTCTTATACAGATATGTTTGAACCTTCATGTCATCAAACTTTATGTTTTTTGGTAGCAGAAGAATCAGTCTCAAGATGATTACTAAAGATGGTACATGTAAATTTAACTTTATATCTTTACGAAAGAGGATATCATACCAAGAATGCAATGGAGAAATGTCAAATGTGAAAAGTTAATATCTACGTCACACGAAACTGAGACCTTGCCTCTTTCGTGAATATGCCAAGAAGAATTTGCGGATTAAGACGTAGATGCGCTAACAAACAATGAGTCGATGACATTTGGACACTGACGCAAGGCGGCAAATAAGTTGCCTGGATTTCATGACGTTTCAGATGAGATGAAAGTATAAGTATATATAATATACTACAAAGGTAGAGCGCGAGTTAAGGTCTATAACAAAGTATCTTAAATTAACTATTATCAGCGAAAATGTCAAGAGAGCATTTGGGAAATGAGAACGAGTTACTAAAATCTGGAAAAGAAACTCCTTCTAGTCCAGGAGCATCTAAGAGAGTTAATCGCCGATTGTCAGTGGCCCAGGAGGATAAAGGATTTTTGGACAGAGAGTTCAATAATCTGACTCCAGAAGTGGATTTTAATCAGGAAAAATGGGAGCAAAGAACTACACATCCTAAACCTGATACTCCGTTGCATTTTCGCGAATCCAATGAAGAATCAGGAGCAGATAAGACAACGGACATCAACTTTTAATTGATGTCTGCTGTCTTAAATCATTTCCTGGATAACAGAAAAAGAAAGTTGTTTTGTCTGAAGAAAAACAAAACTGGTCTAATAATTTATTTACGAAACTATGTTCCACGATTCTGAAGTGATCGGGAAGTAAAAAGGATATTTCTTTCATTTCACTCGTTTTATGATTGTAAAAGCAAACGTTAGATTGATTAAATAAATAATTTTGAATTATATTTCAAAGTCAATATCGTAAGCTTAGAGATGTCCTGGATTAATAGATGTAAATATTTGAGATTATAAGTTCTCTCACCCTTTTAATGTTTGATAAATACGTACAAGGTCATATGAAGGTTGAATTTTCCTCGTTCCTTGCTTACACAGTCTGATAATTCAGCTGACACAGGAGTAATATCAATTGTGTTCCTGAATGTTTTAGACCTTTATATTGTATCTAAAGAATTCATTCTCATTTGATTATAAAAGGTGCGGAGGTAATTAATATCTTGAGAGGAAACTGTTATATTCTTCAATATTATTAATTTTCGGTTTTCGCAGAATATAGTTTTGGAAATCATCTTTTGCCTTTCAGAGATTGGGTAGTTGAAGAGCTATGGAGCATGCCATTAAAGGATATAAGAAATAAATAGACGGTTCTTTGTAATAATATTGGTGTTCTTATATAACACCTGGAGTAGAACAATAAATAGGTCTCATCGTCGGAAATAGAAAGGGACCTTGGAATATTAATGAGCATAAGTCATGTACGGCCGTAATCCACAATATGTTTGCAGAAAATCTATTTAAAGATAATTAATATCTGAAATATGTCAAACTTACGTGAAGTCTCTTACATCGATGTGTTTTATAGAGAAGTCGGTTTCGACTCAACTCTTCTGCTTCCAATATTTCGACATATGAAACAAGTAGACCCCCTACATAAACAGATAACTGTTAGTACGTACAGCATGGTGTGAGAGACAGACTCGCTTACAAAGGATTGCTAGATATAAGCCAAGTAATACAATGCCGCAAGAAAAAAACTCAAATCGTCCGGATGTTATATAACGGATAAAAAGTTTTTCTTTAAATCGAAACATGTGATAAATATCAGCGAAGGCGACAATCATCAAAGTGAATATTCCCCCTGTTACGAAAAAGTGAATCCAGGGCAAGATGGACTTATTGGCAAAAGTGGCCGTTGGTTGAATTTCCTGTCCAGTTATTGCTGAAGATGAACTTTGACTCTCGTTTGTTTCTTCCTGCTTTTCTTGAGGTACAGACTCTGCATTCGGCGAAACTACTGGAAATCCGAAGGTACTTTCCATAACATCTGCAAGGTCGATCCAATCAAGCTCATCAGTTGAGCTTCGTAATGAAGGGCTGGACGACTTTCTATTCATAACAAGCAGTTCGAAAAACGCAAAACGTGAAAGTTTGGATGCAGAAATCCGCAAAACGTAAAGCAATTTAAATCGCTGAATCAATTCAGTCTCAATCAGATAGTAATGTTTTTTTCTAATGACAAAGCGAAGAATTGGTATTTAACATATCGACGTTTGTCAGTTTTTCCAGGGACGAATACGATCACTTTCAGTGAACGTACATATGACTTCAGCAAGAAAAGACAAGTCCTTTTGGCCATCACAAAATTAAGTTATTTTTGATTCCAATGATACCATCAGGATAAGACTATCAATGTTGTTATGCTTGAAAGTGTATCGTTATGAATTTAGTCGAACGTAAGAGGAGCTGAATTGTTTTTGCCTGCAGAAAATGTAAAGATTCCTCAAAAGAAATAATAAGAAAGGATATAAAAAGATATTTGAAAACTGAAAGTTTTTTCAGCTAATATTTCATATAGCAGATCTTAGGATGAATTTGATGGATAGCAGCATATTAAAACGAAAGAAAGAAACCAAGACAAAAAGTTTAATGAATGTATCATCATAGTTAGTATTGTTTCTCTCTTGGTTGTAGGTGACATAAAACGCTATGTCAAATGGGAATTTTGCAAGGATTTGAAAACGTGAAATGATGGGATGAATAATAACATAAGAGAAAGAATATTGGCTTTGATCTAGTACCTGTACCCTGTACCTGAGTCATGGAAATTTCATAAGCAAGTATGGTGCGTTAAGTCTGAACTTGTTTTCTTTTACTATTTTTACTTCCAAAGGACCTTAGGTATTGAAAGATTGAAATCTGATGTATGCGTTCTCTGTAGCAGACACAGGAAAGTAAATTCATTGTAAAAACAACCCATTTTTAGATAAAGTTAAGTCAAAAAAAGCCTCTATAGCAGTCTATACCAAAATCCTTGCCATTGGAAAAGGGAAAAATCGGGATCTCAAAATACCCTTTAGATTTGTGATTGCAGAAAGTCGCGGAGCTTCATAGCAGCAAGGAAACGATGGCTACAAGCATTTCTTTCATCATCATCCATTTCTGCATAAGTCTTTTCATGACCATTGGGCTAAAACAACATGTTAGCTGAAGCTTTTTACCCTTGAATACGTACCTGGAAAATGGAGTTCCAACCGAAACCCTTATCACCACGGGGGGAAACAACTTCACCATGTAAAATGCCATCAAACATATGGATAGGCTTTCCTGGACCTTCGGTATAGCCAAAAGTACAGCCAGCTTTGGCATCTTTGGTGGGAAAGCCATCCAACATATGATATAAACCTGTCAAAGATGATGTTAGAATACACTTAAGAACACAAAAATTTTCGCATAGTAACCTACCATCACAACCGATGCTGTTCAAAAACCATTTTCTGTAATCCTGTTAGCACAAAGCGAGAAGCGTGTTTTCGTATTTTTTTTCTCTTCCCGGTACGTACATATAAGGACCAGGAAGGCCGTTCATTGCATCGTAAGAAAGCCATGTATCTTCTGTCAATACAGGACCTTGAACCTAAGCAAAAGATGTTAAATCCAAACTATATTGGCATGAGTTACTGAATATCCGCCGTAAAACAATAAGAAGATAGAAAAAGGAAAAAGAGATATTGTCTATACATTCTGGAGCCCAGCGGAGTCAATTTCTACTTACAATTTCAGCAGCAGCCCTGCATTTTTCAGTAACAATATCTTGAAGGCTTCCCTGGATTTCGGGTACTAACACAAATGGGTTAGAGTTCATCTAATGGATATATGAACAGGACATACAATCATAGCTATGATTCTTGATTTCAAACTCGTTGCCAAGAATGCTGGTAACGTCAGCAAGCTTGTGTTTATTTCCAGTTACAAATAAAATAGATCTAGGGACTGAATTGCAAAATATTGTTAGAAGAAAGTCGGAATCCTGAAATACAGTGACGCTCAAGGTTCTTCCATCCAAAAGTTCCTTCTAAGGAAAAGACATCACTAAAAAATTTTTAAAACTTACTAGACATGATGATAAAAGTAGAATTTCAATAGAAACTTTAGAGATTAATTGGAAACCTTGAAAAAGGAGGGTAAAGTAAATGAAGCAGATTTGGGTATGGAAGGAAGAAAACCGAAATAACGAGACCATGAATACGCAACTAGAGAATAGGAAACTATCATTCCAATGAACTATCTATAAAACACAAATATCCAAACAACATCAGTTGTGGATTTTTCAAACGATATCATTCCCTCTTTGCAAGAACCATGCTCCTTGAGTAGAGCACTTGACTCCAAAATTTGTTTACAGCCCTTATTGTTTTTTTGTAACGTCTTTCATATACATAAAAGAAAAGAAACAAATCAATGGTACGCTTTAAATCTCGATATTTGTTGTTTGAGGTGCTGTATCCACAAGACAAACAATTTCATGAACATTCGACAATTCCTTCAGACGAAAGTATCACTTCCTCTAGTTTATCCAAACTGTTAAGAAATACAATAGCAGAAAACTTTGGAGACGTTGGAATAGGCAAGGTAGCATCGAGTTTGTCAGTGAAATATTTTTCACCTTCGACATCTACAGGAATTCTGCGGGTTTCAAGGCAACATATTCGACTAGCCTGGGCTGCCTTATGCTTTCTGAGAGAATTGAATGGCAAGCCAATTGTTGTTCGTGTCGTACGTGTGTCTGGGACGATCAAAAAGGCTGAATTAGCTGCTATCGACAGAAATACTACAGATATCCGACTACTTTCTAATCTAAATGACATTGTTCAAAATGCCTAACTACACAATCCATGCTTGCTGGCATATCTTGTTTCTTTCGGTTTTTAGCAAACAGTATTTATTTTTTTTTCCTAATCAAAACTAGCGATTCTAGGAAAGCATCGTTGTTTTAAAATAAAAATAGAAAATAAAAAGAATCATATAATACAAAGAGTCGAATTTCATGTTCTTCTCTACTTTTTGAAGAACTATGAGACCAAGAATTCTCGTTTGTTTATTTGTTTACATGTAAAAAAATTGGATCCAGCCAAAGAGCAGTCACAAATGTTTCAAGAATTACTATATATATTGGAAACTACCCTCCGACTACCAATAAGGCACTTTTGGTCATGTTATATAGACATGAAAGTTGCTTTGTTTATAGAAGGTAAGAACTATTGAAAACTGCGAAACATGAAAATAGCTTCAGAGGATGCAAGAAATATACCCAAATTTTATAGCAAGGCATACGGGGTAGCCGTTTTGGTTGCCTTCTTGCAATGATAACAGTTTTGTCATAGTTACACTGATGAAGCACATATCGCGTTTCTTTTTTTTTTATTAAATGGTCACTAACCTATATAGATTGCAATGATTGTACAGTAAAATAATACTAGTTTTCAAGGAAAATGAAGTAGAAAAATAATGATTATCTTTTATTTTAATTATACAGGAGGAAAGAAGGTTGTAAAATCGTGGACATTAAATTGATGTCAGATCGTCCCTATGTAGGAAAAACTAAGAACGAAAGTATCACTCATTGTGTTTTTTTACATATAGCTTCAAAAGGGGAACGTTTGTCAAAAAGAATTAACGAGTTATGAATAGTAGAGAAAGAGTAATGGCTATGCTGTGTAAAGAACAATGTATACATGATAAAGGAAGGAACGTGCTTTTGCAGAAACCATTTTCATAAGAGATAACGCACAACATGAAGGACCCTATATTTGTGGATGAATTAAATATCTCCATCCTGTAAAACTTGGTTCATTTTGCAGTAAGTTTTTTCTTTTACTAATCTATATATGCTTTCTTTTTCGTACGTTTACGTTTTCTAAATCATGCAGCTTGATTCTGCCTTGTTTGTTTATCGTTACTTCTTGGGTAACGAACTTGACAATCAATCAATGAAGGGGTCTGATAATTCACTTATTTAACAGTGTTCTATCATTGTTTTTTGGAATACAAGACTGCTCTCGAGAGGATGAAATAAAGGACTGATTTCTTTTTGGAATGTGATGGCTTGGGAATTGTCATCGTGGATACCCATAGACGAAGTAGCTCTGAAAGAGAAGGCTTTCATATTTGTTTTTTAACTGTCACCAAAAAATGCTTTAGGAGAGCTTTAAATAAACAAAAGCGCAAACATGCTAAAGTATAGTCAATTCAGTCGCGGTAGAGAAACATGCTTGTCTTCAGACTCGATTTCCTAAAGTAGTTATGTATAATGGATTTGCAAGTTGGTGATATCACAAGCTAAAGTCTCCATGTTTTTAATGGTGAAACTGATTTGCCTGTCTGTATTTTGTAAGCTTTTACTCTTAGTTCGGATATTTCTAATCCTGCTTATAAAAAAAGAATGAAATATTTGAATCGAAAGGTCTAAGCACTTTCTCTATTTTTCTTTAATATATATCTATAATCTCGCCCTTTGCCAAGAATCAATCAAGTAATCATTCCTGCTTGAAAATACATGGAGAACGTTAATTATATGATAAATAGACTTAAATTTCAAAATAATTAATTCAGGGCAAAGGGATCTTGGATTAGTAGAAGAACCTGGTTTATACTAATGTTATATAGCTCACAACTGCTGCTTATGTTTACCAATTTGTTTACAGGCAAAAAGTTGCTACATTCCTCGCATTGTTTCTTGCAAACAGAGTCAACTAACGAATTTTAAGATAAAAAAAAATAAAAAGGTTATATCACAAACCTCATCAATAGTTTTTCATGAAAAAGGCATTTTATTTTTGTTTTATAAGGACTGTAAATAAAAGCGAGTGTTTTCCAAAATAATGAAATATAACGATAAAAACTAATTGCTACAGAGGAATCTTTTACGAAGTCTACAAGAGTACTGTAAGTATTTCATCATGACGTTATTCCGCGTAAGTAGTAAGGATCCTTCTTAAAGGAAACTTTTAACATTTACCAACTACTTTTATTAAAGAAATCGTTTGGTTTCTCAAGGAAAATACCGAGTTTTTTGCTAAATAAAAGGAAATATTTCTTATAAACCATCAAAATGTCTATGCAAGTTCGCATTAAGCAACAAATGCAGGATTTGGACCAAAGAGTAAGTGGCTTGTATGCTTTGGGATCAAGAGACGCGGATCGATTTTGAAAAGAGGACTATTTTGAATAAGATTCATCCAGTAGAAACTTGATTTCGTGTACTTTCTATGAAGAAACCATTGCCAGGTTCTTTTGTGTCAAGGTGGTTGGAGAAACTAACACGGATTTGTAGTTGGCGTCTTTTCCTCAGCTCAATCAGCTCGAAAAGACCGTTGGTGTTAGTAAGCTTTATGTGTTTCTAGGCGTTGCTGGCGTTTACTTTTTGTTTTTGATTTTTAATATGGGTGGCCCTATTCTGACAAACCTCTTGGCTTTTGTTATGCCGGCCTTTTTTAGTATTCATGCCATCGAGACTACAAACAAGTCTGACGATACTCAATGGCTCACCTACTATTTGATCACTTCTTTCCTCAGCGTTGCCGAATACTGGTCCAAGTTGATTCTTTACTATGTCCGTATGTAACATAACTCAGTTGATTGATATTGAATCATTCCTAAACTAACAAACATAACTAGCTTTCTACTGGCTCATTAAGGCTGTTTTCATCTTATGGTTGGCCTTGCCCAAGTTCAATGGTGCTACCGTGATTTACAATTACGTTATTCGTCCTTACATTACTCCTCATGTTCTTCGTATGTGCAAGCAAGCTTCTCAAAGCAATTCCTCTAACCCAACTGGCTCTACTTTTGCCAAGTCCACTTCTACCGACGTCCCTCACCACTTGTAATGACTTTCGTCAAAGATGCAAGTCGTGCAGAAATCGGTTGCACAAAAACGTTGATGAATTCTGTTTATGGAAAAGATCAATAAGTTGATTTCCTTATTAATCTTCTTCTACGAACATATTCTTAACTCTGTTTGCTTCATAATGTACGCTGAATGAAGGAGTATGGATCATTAGAATGCGGACGACATAAGCTCAAAAGTCGTCCTTATATCCTATGCATAAAATTTAAATCAGGAAATACGAAACCTTGAATGATAATTTTCATTTCTAGTCTTATGAAACGTTTCATTGTATATTTTGGTGCGATGTAAACTGTTGCAACTTAACTTTCCCATTACCGTAGATTTCATTTCAAACAATTCATTAAAAGAATTTCTTTTTATTTAAATAAACGTTTGAAACCCCAGAATGCCATTCGAAAACTTGAAATTTCAATTGGAGGAAATTATAGTGGAAAAGATGCTTAATTTTTTGTATAACATATCGCAACATTCTACGGAAGTTACTTTAGTGCATAATACCACTGCCTTAATCTACGTTACGGTTTGCTTCTATGGTATGGATGTTTCTCGCTATTACTCGAAACTTCTAGCATTTCGTCACTTTCTTTAAATTGGGTACAAAAATAGTGCCGTCTGCCATTGCTCTTGTCCTTTGCATACTACAGAACGACCATTAAAACGTTAAAAACCGAGATCTTCGATACAATTTCTAAATTACTTGACCTAATACACCTCCTTTCCTTTTTTCCCCGTTGAATTTCGATTTGTTTTGATTGATTGTTTATTATATTCTTTACAATTTCGAATTTTTTTTTATAATCTCTATTTGGCTTTAATTCTTGTTGGTTTCGTTTTAATATAGTCTTTTTGGCAGAGTTGATTGTCGATTACTTGACGAAATGGTAGCAGATACAAAATTGTACGATGTTTTAAAAGTTAGTCCGGATGTCAATGACTCAGATCTGAAGAAGGCATACCGGAAGCTTGCCTTGAAGTACCATCCGGACAAAAACCCAAACGGTGAACAGCAGTTCAAAGAAATTTCCCTGGCGTATGAAATTTTGAGCGATCCTCAACGCAGAAAGATGTACGATCAATTTGGTATTACTGAAGGAAATGCTCCACCTCCAGGAGCAGACGCTGGCGCTGGCCCTGGTGCTGGATTTGGTGGCTTCCCAGGAGGAGGTGGTGGTGCTCGTACCTTCCACTTTAATATGGGTGGTCCTGGAGGCTCTCAATTCTTCAATGCCAGTGACCCTAATGATATTTTTGAACGTGTCTTCGGAAGTGCCTTTGGTGGAGGCGGAATGGATGAGGACATGGATATGGATGGTGGATTCGGCGGCGGCATGCCTGGCGGATTTTCAAGCATGTTTGGCGGCGGCGGTCCTCGTCCCAGATCCAGTGCTCGTCCTTCCTTTGGTGGTGCTAGACCTCGTGGTCCTCCTCCTCAAAACGAAGTTGTTACCCGTCCCCTTAACGTTTCACTCGAAGATCTTTTCACTGGTTGTGCAAAGAAACTTAAAATTACTAGGCGCATTATGGATGCTTCCGGTTCTTCAGTAAAGGCAGATCGAATTTTGGAAGTTAACATTAAGCCTGGTTGGAAACCAGGCACCAAGGTTAAGTTTACCGGTGAAGGAGATGAAAAACCCGATGGTTCTGTTCAGGATATCCAGTTTGTTCTAGGTGAGAAGCCACATCCAGTTTTTACTCGCCAGGGTGATGATCTTCGGATGTCTATAGAACTAAGCCTGAAAGAAGCTTTGCTTGGATTCTCTAAGCAAATAAGTACTATTGACGGTAAAAGACTAAAGGTTTCATCCTCTCTTCCTACACAACCTGGTTACGAGATTAAATACCCAGGATTTGGCATGCCTTTACCAAAAACCCCTAGTCAACGTGGTAACATGATTATCGAATGCAAGGTAAAACTTCCTTCGAATTTGTCTACCGAACAGAAGGCTGCCGCTGAAGCCTTTTAAGGATGCTAAGCGCTTCTTCTTTCTCTATTACTTATTATGTTGTTTTTCCTCCGTCTTCGTAAATACGTTACCCATTGTTTTACACTTTTGTTAGATTATTTTTTTGATGAACCAAGTTCCCTGTGGGATTTTGTTATTAAAAATTTACTCTCTTTCTCTCTCTTTCTCTGTCTCTGTCTCTCTCTCTCTCTCACAATCTCCAATACATAAAGGCTGCGTCATATAGAATGCATCAGATATTCCAATATTAGCAGTCGCTTTTGTTTTTGTTTGACTTACTAAGTTTGCAATCTTATACTGCTCAATGAAGACTCAATTTTATGAGCATTGTCTAATGATATAATGAAAAATTTATTAATGGGTTTCATGGCTTCTAAGCGCATGATCAAATAATGATTCCTAAGGTAAAAAAGCAATAATAACATTTCACATAAATACTTTTTACTGTTCCGTTATACCTGAGTTTTTTTTAGAGAACGTAGCGATCATAAACAGTGTAAACAACTTCGCCAATCCCAATCAAAGTTATGATAGAAGCATGAACAATATTTGACGCAACAGGTTCAAGGATGCCGTAAAAGAAACAGTTATACGTGTAACAAAGAACAAGAAGGTGGTTTTACTTTCTTGCTGACACAGAAATAAAAACGCAGCTAGTGCAAAAATAACTTAAAAGAAGCATTTAGAAATAAAGTGAGAAATAAAAGATGCATGCATTTTGGCTAAAGAGGGTATAAAGGAATTTAGAAATATTAGGAGAATAAATCGAATGCAGTAGAATTGAATTCAATGAAAAGAGGAAAAAAAAAAGAAACTCCAAAAATTAAAGAGTTTATGCAACAAACCATGGAAATAAGCGAATAACAAAGAAAAAAGGTTAAAAAGAGCTTAGCGTCATATTGCTGGTGACATTGGAGCCACTTACAACTTGTTTAAACTCTTCAAAACTGATTTTTCCATCACAATCCCTATCGACTTCCATGATTGTTTTATCGACAATCTAGTAAAGCAATTAGCAATCTGAAGAAAGAATAGGCAAGTAATACGAACCTGCTGAAGCTGGTCTTCGCGAAGATTGGTCCCAACCATCATCTTTAAGACCAAAAAAAGCTCTCCATTTGAAATGTAGCCATCACGGTCAATATCATAGATCTTAAAAGCAACTGAAAAAGGAGGTTAGTGATAGGAGGAACTTTTGAGGAAACATAAAACGTACATCGAAGCTTTTCCTCTTTATTACCATGAATTGAAAACACTGAGAGGCTATTAATGAATTCTTGAAAATCAACATCTCCTCCGCCGTCTTCATCAACGACAGAAAATAATCGAGAAGCTAGAGGATTGTTTGCGATACTAGGGATGGATAAAAACTCATTCCTGTCAATTGAACCAGAATGGTTGGCATCAATTTTCTTAAAACGCTTCCGAATTCTAGCAATTTCCTCGTTTGTGACTACAACATATCAAAATTAGTGGAAAGTCCAAACAATAAGCAGGAAAACGCGAAAGCTTCATCCTTCGGCCATGGCAAAGGAACCTAAACTAAGCGTCTATTGCAAAAATCTCAATGCAAGGTAGATAAAAATTCACAGTAGTTTTATATAAACCCTTTCATTTTCCATAAATCCTCTTATACATACACGTAGAATTGGAGATCAAATCTTCAAAGATTTGAGACTGATTTTGGCCCATTTTGGGAATGAAAAGCAAGTAAGAATGATATTGAAACAGAAAGAGGTTGCTTTAATATAAAAACTGAAAAAATTCGCCGTTTTGTGATGCGTACTAGGGAAGTTGGGAAAGTGCGTCGAAGCAGATGTCAGACCTGTCATTTACCAAATACTCACGAATTGACGAATGGTGTCGACGAAGGAAGGAAGTTGAAATTAATTCAAAAAAAGAAGAATAAAAAAAGATTTCATATGAATTACGGGAAGCTGATAGCTTAAACGCATTCGATTTGCAATGATGCCTTCTGGAACGCTAGGAAAAAAATTGTGCTACACGCTGTTTCTATTCGCCGAAGATGCAATGCTTTGAAGAAACAAGTAAGAGCCACTTAATTTCCAGGATCGTGAGCTTCCAAATGACATTCGCTAGGGAATGAAGAAAAAGAAATTTTGACAGAGAATGGGCTTTAAAAGAAACACAATTTGTTATAATATGATACGAATGGCTTGTATGAAAAGTTTGTTAGCCTTTTTTCGAGCCTTTTCATAAAATATGTTTTGCGATTTTATGATTTCTACCAGAGGTGACGAATGAATAGCAGAATGAGATGCCCGATATGCTTGAAGGTTTACCTTTGAGAAAAAAAGTTATCTGGTTCCTTTCATGGTATTCTTCTTGGTTCATCAGAGGCCTGAGAAGCTGAAAGTCTGAGAAACACAACCATGATTCTTTCAAACTATCGTACTCCGAAATGGTCTTCTGCTAAAGAGATTTCTTTAGAGGTCGCTGAGTACAGAAAAATGAAGGGTTTGTAGCCCTGATGTTAGAAACCTTTTCTTTCAACGAGATCAGACAAATAATTGTAAGTCATTCTGAGAAGGATAGACGTTCCTTGTCTAACTTGAACATATCTTTCTACAGATATTCCTTTTTCTTTTCAAGTTGAGAACTTATCCTTCTATATCGTTGGTTCATAAAGGTGTAGCTTGTCCAAAGAAGAATGATGGTTGCCTTTTGTACTGATTCACTCGATGCCTTGTATACTATCGCAATTCCAAATTGAAAATCGAATATACTCTAGAATGATTTCGCAATCTTGGTATAGCAACCTTTCTCTTTTGGAATGCTGTCTGTTTATTTGTTTACATACTCGTTGAAATTCACTAATATTTTTTATATGATATTGTGAGCTTTTATGAGGCATACCGCGCTTTAAAGCAATGCGGTACGAGGCTGCCAACACCACAGGCGGTAAAACCATAGACGACAAAATTTTTAGCAGGCGGATGGTGGAGTGTTTTGCCTCTAGGAAAACACAATACGGACGACTGCAGTCAACAACGCCAAGATTTAGAGCGGTTTTTCTGCGAAAATCTCAGTGGTATTGACGATATTGAACCATACCATTGAATAGATCTCTTCGAGAGGAATCGAACGGTGCCCTATAATCATGAGTTCCGTTGCTAAAAATGCGAGGGCATACCGTCAACGAAAAGTTGGTATCAAGACGGTGATGCCTATATGTTTAGAAAAAGATATACCTGATTTTGATGAAGAAGTCTCCCAGCAGCGAACAGTGCCGCAGGTGGAGACAGGCGTCGAAAAAGAAGAGGAAGAGGTAGGTTGTGTGATTTAGGTCGTAGACACATTTTGAAGCTATATATTTTATATGGGCAGAATTTGTCCTATTTCTTCTGTGATCTGTTTGTGGTTGTATTGCAACTTGAGGGTTGTGAAGGATGTTCGATATTTGCCTATAAACCTTGAGATTAAAAAATCCCTACGCTTTGCAAAGAAGTTTTAAGTCTGTCTTCTCTCTACTCTGTTCGTTTTTTTTCTACAATCCTCAAATGCAGCCGTAAATGTGCTCTATGACAATTCATGTGGTGATTTCTATTTTCATTTATCTAACTAACATGCAGGAAAAACACTTACAACAAGTCATTAACGCTGCACATGAAGCCATTATACGAGGAGAGGCAAAGAAGGTGGTTATCCCTACTCGTGAAGTAAAATCTATCGGTGTAATAGACCATTATTATAAACGGAATTTTATTTGCCCAAAAACCTTACTGCGCTTTTCATTAACAGTAGAAGAATGTATTAGCCCCGTTTATTGCATGGATGAGCAAGATCAGAAATTTTTTGATGAATTAAAAGAGTCCCAATCTTCTTTTACTAAGTTTTCCGAAACGGATTTTGAATGGGTAATCCAGATTTTAGAAGACGAGATCGATGAAAAGCAACCTTTTTTAAACATGGACACCTCTCAAATATTGTCTCTTTCAGAGTTATTGCCTGCATTTGAGGAGCGTGATCTGATGAATTTAAAACCCCTTGTTACTCATGTTTATCCCTATTGGCGCGAGCGGCGCATTCAATCAGAAGGGAAACGTATTCTACTTACTGCACAGGTTGGTGACGACAAGGAAGACGATGATCCTTATGTCTGTTTTCGCCGACGGGAGGTTCGACAAGCTCGTAAAACTCGCCGCTCAGATACACAATCTATGGATCGTTTACGTAAACTACGTTTTAGCATGGAAACTAGCTTCCAATTACTTGACCAAGTATGGAACCGTGAAAAGCTTAAACTACATGGCATTCAGCAAGACTTCTCTATTTTCCAGCATCGTTGCTTGGTCAAACGGCTAAAGCGCTCTTTGAATATAAACGATGGCGACGAGGACCTAATTAATCCCAAGCGACGCCCCATTGAACCAAAACCGGTAGCTCCGATTGCTTCTCCTTCTCCTGCACCACCGGCTCGTCCTGCTGCTCATACTCCGGCTAATCGACCAGCTGCTCCACGTACCCTTGAGGTCAAACCATTGCTTATGTTAGATGACATGATTGCGTCGCAAATCACTCAATTTCAAATTCGCCTACAAGAGCGACTCAACAAAAAAGAACAAACAGATCGGAATTGGGTTGATGTTTTTGAAAATCCTAGTACAGTTGTTCCGATTGACTACCCCGACTCCTTTTATAGAAACATACATTCACAAATCGTCACAGGCTCACCACCACAACTCTCTAATCCCTCTAATAATGCTGTCCTTTCTTCAACTCCTTCCTCCCCTTCATCTGAAACTGGTCCTACTTGGTCACCTCCTACATCATTAACTTCCAACTCTCTTCTTGCAAGACCACAATCAGTATCTGTCAAAGATTCCTTACACCAATATAATCACCTTGTATCCGCACGAAATCCTCTTTGCGTAAGACAACGACGTGGTCGAGGAGGACGTCTCATGCTTGATCGAACTCGAGCTTTGCCAATTCACAAACAACGTTTACCAAGTAACCGTTTCGAAGATCGCTGGTTTTTCGATATTCCCTTTGATCCTGATGACACAGTAATATTAGACGACGATTCAGATGCCTGTATTTCGTTTCGTGCGAACTTGCTTGCCGAGCATTCCACTGCTTAATTATTATTATTATTTTTTATTCATTTTGGGTGAAATAATTAATCATGGAAAAATGATTCCGTTGTGGCCTGTGAATATTCTTCGCAAAGGGTTACAAGTTCTCTTTTATTAAAGGCCTTTTCACATGCTGCATTTAATTTTATTACGCTTCTATTATCATTATTATTTATCCCTAAAAAAAAAACAAAGGCCTTTAAGTGCGATATTAAAAACGCTTCAGCTTATTCAAGGAATGGATAATGTTTTAAATCCATGAATTTTTGTTGAGTCGTGATTTTTTTTTTTTGGCGTTCTTTTTTCTTAAGCAAATATGCTTTGTATGCAAAATGTTGTTTATGACTCTTTAATGACAATTTTTTGTTTTCTATATTTTTCGTACCTGGTAGTAATGTGTATTTATATGTAATTCTTGTTTAACTTTTTATCTTACTAGGTTCTGTTATTAGCTGTGTTTTTTAATGAGGAAAAACTTTTTGGAGCTGCTTGTTTCATTTTATTGATATGAAAATATTTGTTACGAGTATAAGACTGTAAATCCTCATTGAATTGTGGCCCTATTCAAATGTTAATTAAAATAAAACACTATTCCTCCAGCGTATCAAGTTATCACACATATCTTGGAGAGACCAAAAAAAAGTATGGTTTGACGATTAAGTATTAGAAATATAAGTAAAATCCTTTTCAAGGAATTTAGAAGTTACTAGAAATGCTCATCTTTTTTTATTTGCAAACCAAACCATAATATTTAATTTTATGCCCATTAATATATAAAGCCTTATTCCCAAACACGCATATAATTTTTTTTTTTTCTTTTAACTAGAAAATATCAAACTTCAAACCTACAAAAGCCTTTGCTTCGATATAAAAGACGTAAAAATTATGAAGCATCATGCAAGCAATGCCCAAAAATGGATCTGAATGAACTGTATGTATGCTGACTAAAAAAATCCCGCAAATTATATCTGTAAGCAACTTTTGTATCAAAAGTAACACGACAAGACGATTTTTGTAATCCATAACCAACCTACCCCTTTTTCTTTTCAGCATTGAAGAATAGTCATCATAAACGAAATAAACATACTTTGCCATATACAATTAATAATCAATTAACCCGTTAGACCACCACGACGGACAATGTTGCGTCTAATACGTCTTCGCTGAGAGCCTGCTGCAATTGAAGCAAAATTTCTCTCGAGGTATGGTAACTCAGGGAGAACAACCAAACGTCTGTCAAGCATAGTAGAAAGCGGCAATTCAAGACGACCTCGTTCGAGAACAATTTTCATTCCTTTTGAATACGCGTCTGCTAGTAAGTCCAAATTAATTGGTCCTACAAAGTGAAATTCCTTTTTGACTAAGTCAATACTGCGAAGTAAAACTAATCCAAAGCACTGGGCATTGGCTGGATCCAACGGAAGACCATCGTTAACGAGCACAGGTATTCCCTCAGGCGTTTCGACAATCTGATTATCGTTCCATTCTTTTTCATTTGATACTTCGTATGCGCAAAGTGCTAGAAGAGTACCATTAATGGCTTTCGAAATATCCATCAAGTTTAATGGTTCTCCAATTATGTTAACCGCATCTATACCATGTTGTGGGCCGCTAAAAGACGTTGCCAAAGGCTGGCGCACTGCCAGGCTCCTTGTAAAATCCCAAACATTATGCTCTATATCAAAGTGTAAATAACTCAAAAGTCCTAATTTCCGATTGTCAGCAGAGGAAATGCGATGCGCATTAGGATCAGGCAAATACTGCCAAGATGATTCCAACTGAGAAAACTTGAAATGCGTTGCCTGTAGTAGGAATTCCGGGATACCTTCTTTATGCTGGTAGATACTCTTTTTATCAACCTGATTAGATCTCGAATAACTTCTACTCAAATAAACTACTTCAGTAGGTGAAATTTGATTAACAAGGCCAAAAAGAAGTTCCGCACCCCCTCCTTTCATCCATCCAGGGCAATTAATAATTAACGAAACGGGCGGTTTTCCCTCAAGCTCTCTTTCAAAGTTAAATTTTTGATATTCGGAGAAAAGTCTGAATGTAGAAGCAAGATAATGAGTCGGATCCCTTTGAGGTGTACTTTCGCCGATATGAATTCGAAAAGATCGTACATTAGAAAGCAAGCGACAGAAAGCAGGACCCTGAAGAGGAGAATTCAAAAAATATAATGAAATGTGGCCAAATGGAACCACTTCTGGTTGACCAGGATCAATGTCTAGAAACGCAACATAGTCGGTGCAATTTACTAGGCGATTCGTAAGATATCGACAACAAGTACTTTTGCCTGCACCTTTAGGTCCACAAATCAACAACTTGGGAGGGGTATGCATGGATGAAGCATATGTGGAAAGCATAGAGTCAGCAAAGGTTTTCCAAGAATCTGGTATAATTTCAAAACTCGACGATAGAGAAGATGCATTTTCCAAGAGAGAAGGCATATTAAAAAGCCGCTTAGCAAAAGGAGAAACACGTGGAATTTTAGAAATACCTATATCATTCATTTTGAACACCAGTACGGTCTCAAAAGAGGGAAGTAAAGAGTCCACGTTTACGCCTAAGGCGTTCTCAAAATCGGATATGCTAGTACTTTCTACAGATTCCGTTGCGGGATGGCCTGTCGATGAGGAAGAATCGGTTGATTCGACTGAGTTGAAAGTAACGGACGTATTAGAAATATTCTCCGAAACAAAAATCGGAGTGGGATACATCAAGGGGACATTTAAAGAATGCCAAATTTGGCCTCTTTCATTCTTTGGTCGACAAGCATACGAGGCGCCAAATAAACTAAAACCTCCACGGGCGCAGGCAAATAAGTAGGTTCCGACCATAGCCAGTTTTTCCCCAGAGTGCAATCCGACAAACAAAGCATCCTTGACGCGAACAGAGTTCGTTTCAGTTAAGTGTGTATATGGATACCTAAGGTCCTCTTTTTGCAATGATGTGTTAAACGAAGAAGATGGTGTATTCGACCTCGACTCAGCGTCAGCCTCCACTAAAGAAGGAGAGGCAGACAAGGGAGAAGGCGAAGATTCATCTGCAACTGAAGGTTTGTTTAAAGTAACCTGTACGGAAGATGGCATGGTCGGTACGTCAACACCACCTTCATGGGGAGGCGGCTGATCAATACCGGTTTTACCAGAACGATCTATCCCGGGAACTAGGACCTGAAAAGAGGCTTGTTTGGAAGAAGAATGATCTTCTAAAGGAGCAGATGTTAGTTCCATGGTTTCTAGAGGTTGCTCGGTACCTTCGTTTGGTAATTCATTTTTATTTCCCCTCTTCTTCTTCTCTTTGGTAGTATTCTGTTCTAGATTTAGTTGACGAGCGGCGAAAGCACTGAGAGGAGCTACTGCATGTTAGTTTCCCCAGCTTCTTGTGAATGCGAATGTTTTTCGCATCAATAACCTATCGACATACCTTTCGACGAGGATTCTGCACGTTTCCGTTTTGCCATGGTGATCTGATAGAAAGCAGAGTGTTCCATTTCCTCTCTTTAATTATATAAATCCAAGAATGACCAAATCGTACCAAGAGGAATGTGAGAAAGCAGTTTGTCCAGCAAACACGATATAACGAATGAATGAAGCTCTATAGATGGAAATAGAAAGCCGTCAATAGATTTCCCCTAAAAACAAACCAAAAAAACTTTTAAGAGCACGAAACAGCCTTGCTTGAACAGAATTGAAGCATGCACAATGTAAATAAAAGACGCGTAGCGGTGGAGGAAAGGACTACTAAATGACTCGTTCCCCTTTCTTCTTAGTACTGATTTACAAATACTACCATTGTATCTAATAATACGAAGCAGCATGGTAAAGCTCACTATGTGAGATTGCAAAGTAGAGTGTGATTCGAGAAATATAGACAGAGCCAAACGCGTTGGTTGCAGAAAGAAAGAAACTGTGAGAATTTTGAAAGGATTCTACCGCGAAAATGAGCTTTTTTAGATTGAAGTTACAAAGATCTTCCATTGGTCTTTCAAAAGGAATCCGGGATGTTATTCAATCTTTGGGACTAGGAAAGCGCCATTCGATTGCGTATTGTGAAGCCAATCCTGTGTCTGCTGGTAAAATATTCAAGGTAAAGGAATTGGTGAGTGTAAATGAAGTGGAAAACAAGATGTCCAAGTACGAAGAACGGAAAGCCAGAGCTCCTCCTAGTGGATTTACGGTTGTGAATCGACGATTTCCTACGGCCTAAATGAAAGTAGAGCAAAAACGAGTCTTATGGATTAATTCTATACATAAATCATATATATCACCTTAACAAGTCATCTAGCCAGGACTGGTCTTTGGAAGCGGTTGTAGGAAGGGACGATGAGGACAAAGGCGACAAGGACGTAGATGGATCCTTTGTATGCAATGTGGAGTCATTATGAGAAGGACCTTGTTCGGAGACTTCAGTCTCTTTTAAAAAGTCATCAATATCTTCCTCTTCCCCTATGTGCCCTGAGGCATTGGCTACACGAAACTTGGGCTTTTCGACATTATATCGTTTCCGAAAATCTTGAATCGATTTCTCATGTTCGGCTGCCTGTAAAACATCAGCCACTTCCTCTCGTTTGATTGTCTTCACCTTCGTCTTGGGTCGCTGACGGCCAATTCCCATTCCAGTAAGAGGACGAGCTTGTAGTTTCGAGTAATCGACCTCTTCCTCTTGTGGCTCTTCTTCCAACTCGTTACCAGCTTGTTCTCTCTCTTTCAAGCTTTGTAAACTTGGAAATTCCTCGTCCCTTTGCTCTTCATCAAAAAGGTCTGATACCTCTTGAAAGCGCCATTCATTCGTCCCCAAATCCTTTTTACGTGGTTTTGTTGGTACATCTCGAATGTTATGTTTTTTCTTGTAAGCTATTGTCGCCTTTTTTTTCCATTTATCCTGAACTACCATTTTCGCCTACTTGGCCTACGTATGGGTTTTCCATAGACTCGTAGCTCCTAATGTACCTGAGGTCCGGTTCTGTCTTTTTGAAGAAAACTTAATTGAGGGAAGTTAGAAACTTCATAGGAAATACGATAATAAAAAAGAAAATAGGTCAACTCGTTAGATATTGTGTAGGATGGATTTGCGCACATTGACTTTAATTTCTGCTTTGCATTCTTTTACTCTGTGTTCGCGGAAACCTAAAACTTGACTCCAAATTCTATACTATTCTACAAAAAATGCCTACCTTGATTTTCTTGTTCTCAGAATCGATGCTGTTTTACTCTTCCTTTGCTGATCAGCAACAAAGAATTAGAAAGGAAAGCTCTTGAAATCCTTGGTATCTAGAATTCTCCCCTCAGCACTTTTCTTTAGCTTATTTTTTTCTAATTTTTTTTTTGCTTTATTGTTCTATTTTTAATATTTATCTGCTCTTTTCTCTAGCAAAAATCATTATCACAGTTTGGTTCCTTATAGATTCGAACCCCGGGTTTTTTGTGCAAAAGATTCACTTTCTGTATTATCTTAAAATATGCTACAATGTGCTATATCTCGTTCGTTGCTATAACGAGAAATAACGCATAATAACGTACAGCATGAGTCAATGATTTTTCATGCGAAATTATTCTTCCCTTTACCATCATGGCTTTACGTGCTCAATTTGAGAATAACAACGAGTATGTGGTTTAATTATACCAGAAAATAGATTACTAATGAATTTGTTTAGGATTGGTGTCTTTTCTACGTTAACCAACTCGTATGCTCTTGTCGCCTTAGGCGGATCTGAAAACTTTTACAGGTATGGAATAAGCCCAATGCTGGAGCCGTGTCAAGTGGAATAAGAGAAAGGAAAGCTATGCGCTTGTTGGTTATCTTGATTTCAATTTCATTCGAGATGTAATGCTTTTTTGTCTGTCGTAACCCAAATAATATTTTCTTGAAAAAGAATTAACGGCGAAAGCACTGAGGTTTCATTAGCAGATCTTAAGCTCTGCATGCATATTATAACCCGCTAGCCTCTAGCCTTTATACTTTTCTTTGATGCGCTCCTTGTTCGGTGTCTTTTTTTTTTTTTTTTTCTCTTAATGCTTTTTGACCGTATCACTAACTTGTATATAGTGTTTTTGAGGCTGAGTTAGGCGATGTGATCCCTGTCGTGCACACTACTATTGGTGGTACTCGTATTATCGGTCGTTTAACTTGTGGAAACAAAAATGGTCTTTTGGTACCTTCTTCAACCACAGATAATGAACTTCAACACATTCGCAATTCCCTTCCTGATTCCGTAAAGATTCAACGTGTTGATGAGCGTCTCTCTGCGCTTGGTAACATTGTTGCTTGTAATGATTATGTTGCTCTCGTTCACCCAGACATTGAACGTGAAACTGAAGAAATTATCGCTGATGTCTTGGGTGTCGAAGTTTTCCGTCAAACAGTCGCTGGTAATGTCCTTACCGGATCTTACTGTTCTTTAAGCAACCAAGGTGCTTTGGTTCATCCTCGTACTAGTATTCAGGAGCAAGACGAACTTTCTTCCTTGCTTCAAGTTCCTCTTGTTGCTGGTACCGTCAATCGTGGTTCGGATGTCATTGGTGCTGGTCTTGTTGTTAATGACTGGTGTGCTTTTGCTGGTTTGGATACCACAGCAACCGAATTGGCTGTTTGTGAATCTATCTTCAAACTTCAAGATGCACAACCTTCCGCCATTATCAGCAATAGAGATACCCTTGTAGAATCCTACACTTAAAAGGTTATGTAAAAGTTCTATAAAAAAAGAAAAATAATTATAGAATCATTTAGTCTATTGTTCTTTTTTTTTTTCGTCCTGATCTTTATTTTCTTATGTATTCTAAGTGTAATTTCTTTATCATTGCGTTTCTAAATCATTATTGAGAGTTTCAGTTTACTACTACTACTAACGACGTAAAATATTATAATAGAGATAATAAAAGTAGGTCATTATTAAGGATGTGCTTAAAATTAAAATGAAGGATAACCCGAGTCTATCATAGTTCCTTTTCTTCATCAACGTCCTCGAAAGGATACATTATATATAGTTACGTATATTCAGTTTTTAGAGTGCCTTTATACCATTACCAATATCACGTAATTCATTCTCTTGATTTTCGAACCGATTCGTTTCAACCGAATTATCATGTAAAGTTAATAATGCTTGGTCAAAACTCTCCTCGGCACTAGCAAGATCAATAATTCGTTGGATATACGTAACATTACATTCAACGGGAATGGTAACTTGCTCAAGAGAAGGCTCTTCTTCAAATGTGTCGTTCAGCTCGTATATCACTTTATCGTACGAAATCGTCTCAGGCCGATCAAGTCCTTCTGCTCGAGCCATATTAGATAATTCATCCATAACTTTTTTGGGTACTTTCGATTCATAAGTCTCAGCAACATACTTGTCCAGCAGTTTTCTCAATTGTTGCATATTCAAAATCCATAGCAAGGAAACATTATCCAGAATCTTCTGTTTATTCATACAGGTCTGCAAAAATTTAGAAGCCTGGCTGATTTCTTCTAATTGAAGTGTAGCTTCTACAACTCCTCGTTGTGTACACCACTCTCTTAAACGAGAAAAGTTATACGACATGTTTACACCACGCTTCCAGCTACCTTTTTCCTTAGTCATCAGAGCATTAAACGCTTCGACATCTATAAATCGGTACAGACTGGAGACCACAGATGCAAATATCGCTAAACTCACCCGATAAGTTTGACACGAATCGTGAACCTCATTCAGAATATGCAGTATATGTTCTATTGACTTCACATCTTTATCAAAAACCCTTGGAATAAGCCTCTTTTCTCCTTTGTCGATTTGATTACCACTCACAATTATTCCATCAACAATCAAAGGCCTCAAAGCAGTATTGATTTGATCAATCCATGTAGAAACGATTCTTGATAGGTGTGAATCCAACATGTCGAATATTGTTTGGATCGCATCATAGGATTCACTAAAGGATAGCGTCAACGAAGACGAACGCTTAAGTCCATACAACTTGGTGCGAACTAGATAGAGCAAAGTATGCGTATTGGCAATCCAAAAACCCATATCAGCGCGCACTTCTCTCCTGATTTGTGTTCTCTGAGAGATATACTCCAATATATGGACACAATAACGTTCAATTAAAGCAATACTTTCTTGAGATAGATTGGTTTTCCACATTTGGGAAATAATGATAAACAATGCCTTAGCCAGAAACAAATGCGGTTTACTTTCATTTTCTTCGGAACTATTAAGCAATTCAACAGTTTTCTCCCAAACGTACGTCTTTCCGGCAAACTCTGTTAATTTATCCAAATCATGTTTTAGTCCATCATTCATTAGTAAAATCAGCAACTCCTTTTGAGTGCGCATTTCCATTAGTGAGCTATCCCGTTTGGACTTTTCTTCTGATGTACGAGTTTGTTCAGAGCCAAAACTAGAATTAAGGACTTGAGAGGCCTTCGTTAGTTTCGCTATTATTTTATTTTTTTCCTTAATCTCAGTAGCCTGAGCAGATATAACTTCTGCATCTTTGCCCAATTGTGATTTTAAAGTAGTATTCATACGAATCAATTCCTGATTATCGTCCTTGAATTGATTAAAGGAATTTTTCAAATCAGACAGCTCCTTTTCTTTTTCAGATATGGCGGACTTAAATTCTTGATCTTGAGAGTGATCTGAAAGCAGTACATGTGTCTGTTCTAATTCACGCTCCTTTGACAAAGTAGCTTCGGCATAATTCGACAAATGTGACTCCAGTTTAAATATTCTATCTTTAAGTTTCGCATTTTCTTGTTCAGAATTATCTAGTTTCTTTGTCACATCGAATAATTTACTTTCTAACTTGTAAGACACCTGCTTGAAGTGACTAGCTTTTTTGGATTCTATACGAAGTTCAACAAGCTGTCGTTTGGCATATTTCATACGAATCAATGATTGTATTCGAATGGTAAAATGTTTCAGCTTCGTAAAAAATTGTCGTTCACGATAAGTTTTCCAAATACTTTTTATGGTAGCAACGGCCTGTTCCATTTTATCAACAAGTTGATTCCGACGAAACAAGAAACCACGAACGGTGCGTTGAAGTAAAAGAATAGACGCTTTAGCCTCTAAAAACTTTTTTCTCTCAATGTGTGTTTTCCAGAATAGTGAAATGACTGAAATACTCTTTGAAATTAATTCAGCTTGAGTAGTACGACGACGCAGAAAACCGTGAGCCATTGCTTGGAAATAGGAAACACGTTTGCGCAAATTAAGGAATCGTGTACGGTAATAGTTTGTAGCAAATGCATCGTAAAGAAGTTGAGCAGCATGTTTCAACGCCCGTTCTTTTGCAGCCTCCAGTTGTGGGGTAACACCAGAACGGAAAAAAATTTTAGATTTACCAACTTGATATTTCGTAGAGTCAATAGATTTATCCAAAATGGCAGTTGAAAAAGCCAAAGGATCACTAGACCGATCAGACGAAGGAACAAGCATATAATATTGGGAGACAAAGTCGCCGAAAGTCCACCGTGAAGGAAAACCAGCGCACGATATCTTTATGGTTTCTAAGACACCACAGGCTCTCAATTGAGATGTTACCATTACATTATCAAATTTCCAAGCTTCTTTTTGTTCATTAGGCTTTATGCATCGAATGTAATGAGCGTTAGTCTCGTTTATAGTACCCATAAGACTAATGAGGGAATTTTTAAACATTGAACCCAAAGTGTTGCTCTTTGGCTTTGCTTTTGATCTCTTATTATTCGATGCACTAGAGTCCTGCGAAGCAGTTTGCTTCAAACGGAAATGCACCAGATCTTTAATAAAAGGGACTGAAGACTCGCTGAAAAGATCGATCAGTTCGTCTGATATGGTATCCTTATTTTTCTCAATAAATCCTTCAGCATTATAAGTAACGTCGAGAGCATAATGCTTAACGGTGAAAGAATCATTTCCAAACCTAGCCTTTTTATAACTGTTCTTAAACTCTGGTTTATCAAAAGCATCGTTTAATTTTGTGACCCAATTTTCGTCACTATTTGTAGGCATTCGGCACTCTTCGTCTAGAAGCGAGAGTATTCCCATTCTATTTTCAATCATACTTATGCATTGTTGGTTGTCTTGGTAATCAATATAAGACCAGTTAAGACCTTCATTAGCATACTCGTCCTGTTCAAGTTTGAAAACATGTTTGTAAAATTCTTGTTGAAGTTTTTCATTGGCATAATTGATGCAAAATTGTTCAAAGGAATTTTTTTCGAAATGCTCAAATCCATAAATATCTAATACGCCGATAAAACTTTCAGAAGTTTGGTTTTGTTTTTCAGCAGAGTCCATTAGAGCAGTATTAATCGTAGCGACAAGCCAATCGAACAAGGACGCATATAGGAATTTGGAGACCGAGTCGCGAACTACAAAACCTTGGTAATCAGTTAAAGGCTTTATGATACCCTCAGAAGCCATCTTAATTTTTCGTTTAGTCAACCATTTTATAAGCAAGCTTGGGTCAACACCCAACAACTTCGAAGCATTCAATAAATGCTCACTTTTTGAATCAATATAAGAATCGTTTCTAGAACCCTTGATCTCTATGTTACCAACATGTAACAGCGCCGCTAACAGGTTGAAAATACTTTTACAGGTATCATCACCAATGGCTACTGTTTTGAGTGCGTTAACTGTTTCTTGAAACTCCTTAGCATCATCGACACCATCGATTGTATGCGATTCACCTTGACGTAGATAATGATAGTCATCGACATTGGCTGAAAGACGCCATTCTTCTAACTGTTGAGGGGAAGCGCCTGCCAGTAGCTGATAAAATATGTGATAATTTCGCTCTGACTTTGGTTGGAATACTAAACGGGACCTTTCTAAAAGATAAGTTTGAATTTTAGCGCCGATGATAATAGAATTTTTGTCAAACATGATTTGAATGTATTTTCCAAATCGGGAAGAGTTATCATTTCGAGAAGTTTTAGAATTACCAAAGGCTTCCATAATGGGATTGGTAGCAAGAATCTCATTTTCTACCGCCGTCAATTGTACCGAATCTGAATTTAGAGCACCATTGCTACTAGGATCACTCAATGTTTGCACAGAGGCAAAATAACGCATTATGTAACGAGCTGAAACCGTTTTGCCAGCACCAGATTCACCGGAAATAATAATCGTTTGATTCTTTTTTTCTCGATTCATGCACTTGAAACTGTCTTCAGCTATAGCATACAAATGCGGATCGAGCTGGTCTCGAGATTTTTCAGAGTAAACACGTACAACCTCAGGAGTGTAAAGCTTCGGTAAAGACTGAAAGGGATTTAAAGCAATCAAAACAATTCCGGAGTATGTATAAATTTGTAATTGATTATATCTGGTCAACAATGCATCAAGAACAGAAGGTTCATTTAAGTAAGCCAAATTCGTCAAATCATCTGGGTCAGAAAGATTGGACCGCAAGAAAGGCAGGCCATTTTTGCCTTCCTCCTCCAAATCCTCTGGTTTTGCATGAAACGTTACTTCCTATTTTCAACAGTTATTACTTCATTCACAAGATGGAATCATGAAAGTCATTGATGGTTACATACATTGCCATCTTCATCTTCAACGATCAATGTTGCTTTATTTGATTCACTTTTACAGCTTTTGACTGTTCCAGATAACCATTGCCGTTCATTATCAGGAATCCAACATTGACTAAATTGCAGGTCGTCAATACAAAAGTCCAAACATCAAAACTAAACGTACAGTCCTTTATAGTAAATTCCAGAGGACATAACTGGAAGGCTTGCAAAGGTTTTCCTATTACCTCTACTATAACTATATAGGAATGTTTGTTTACGATCCTACTGATTGGAAGCCTTCCTCCTCAGTTCCTAAAAGATACTAAAAATAGTAAAAGAAGAAATATTTCCTTTAAGTAACCTTAAATCAAAGAACGCGAAAGAAGCACGTTCTTTAAGGGAATATATATATATAGTACGTCGATGTTGCACTTGGCATACTCCAAAATGACCCTACTATTGACTAAAATAGCGACCCTTAAGCGACTTATTTAAACAAGCATTACGTATTGCAAGACAACATTGCTAATAAACAATTTCTTTACATATAAAACATCTCAATGATTTATACTATGTTTTTCTGTTCTTGATGTGTTTGGATATTGGAATCCAGTAAGCTTATTAGAAAACCTTTCATCAACCTTTTATATGTGGTAAGCTAGTGGTGAAATTGGGTAGAAGAATAGTAAACAAGTCTTTTCGTTAGTTGATAGTTGAAAGGCCATTTGTTAGTAATTTGTATCAGAAATACTGGATGGGAATATCGTTTAATGAGATCAGGTTAGGGTGTTCTATAGGATGACTCCCGGATGGAGGAATAGGCTTCTCTGTAAAAGGATAATCAGAGAAAACAATAGCTTTTTGTCTTCTACAAAGCAAGTAGCAAATTAGAATACATTTTCTATGTTCACAAATATAAATCACGGATATAATCTCGAGTAGAAGAACGAAAGCGTAGCCTGCATTCCCATTCAGACAGCTTTGACTGGCCATTGTTATTTTTGTATAAACGAATTTTTACAATCATCTTTTATTTGTGTATATTTAGAAATAATTATTTTATGGTTTCTAACATTCCTTGAAACATTGCAAGATGCACTTTGATTCCTCTCTGATAGAAATCAATAACATTGATACCAACTTCCTGGATTCCTAATACGACATAGTACAGGATAAACTATTATAACTGTAGTTTGACTAGACGTACAAAGCCATTCCAAATGAGCGGCGAGATGTATAATAAACATCGGTCGTATAGAATGTAAACAAACAAACCCATTCCACTATATAAATCGCCTTCAATGCTAGTTAAGTTATAACTAACTTAATAACCAGACCCCAAAAGAATTAGTTGATAGTGGAATTACCAAGTGCTAATGGAATTAACAGATTCCCATAGAGCATAGAAAAGTTCAAGCAGTAGAATTGAAAAAATGGTTACAAAGTTCTTTTCGTCATGGAGGTATGAGTCATAGAGTACAAATGACTGGCTAACCTTTGAAGCACAGAAAGAGTATGTGAAAATTCGCCTGCTTGTTTTTAATTTTTATAACTGAAGGGGGACGAAGCCTTCTACACTCAGACAGAGAAAAAAAATAATAAAGCAAACGCTAACTAATTTGTAGCTTCCGACTGATCAGAGAATTCAACTTCCTGATAGCTTTTTGCAACTTGAAGAAGAAATAGCAATTCGAGAAGAAGGTAACGACAACATTTAGCTTGTAATAAAGCTAATAAATAGGAATAACGAAGCTATATCAAGCAGGAAATATCTGGATTGATTCATTAGGTGAGTAGTATAACCTCAGATAGTGTCTAATAAATAAACAGGAAAAAAAGTTGATGGAGAAGAGAAAGAGAAATGTTTCCCTATTGAAAAAATGGGACAGGTTATGGTAAGCCACGGAAAAGCTCTTCCTAATGACTCCCCTTATGGTAAGTAACTTAAGAAAAGCGCGGACTAACCATAGGTACCGCGCTGGTTAGTTATGGTCAAGTACAGTTGAAAATCGGAGAACTGTTAGGCTTTTTTACTAACAGAGCCAATGTCTGCTACCTTGATTTCTTAAAGCGCTACCTGGTCCAAATGAAGGATTATCACACAGCCAGGAAAAAGCTTGAAAGTCGTCGTCAAACCTATGAGTCGCTTCTAGTAAAATCCTATAAGGCTAAAAAGGAGGATTCCCGTTTAGAAGAAGACATTCGTCTAGCATCTTACAAATTCGAAGAGTCAACAGAAAATGTTAGAAGCCGTATGGTTTCCTTGAAGGAAGCGGAGATTGATCAGCAGCATCAAATGACCCAACTATTGACACACCAACTTGACTTTTTCAAGGAAGCTACCAAGACGCTAACCAATGTCTTTGACTTGTGGAATTCTCCAGCCTCGCAAGGCATACAGGACAGTCAAGCGGAAAAAAAGAGTGCCGAGGAAAGCGAAGTTTACTTACATAAAGTTTCTTCAAATCCAGTTACACCTCAGAAGCCTCTGAGTTCACAGCCTTCGTCCATCATTTTTCAATTAAGCAACAGCCAAAATAACAGTTCAAGAGAGGTTGTACAACAACAAACGGTTGTTCAAGCACTTTACACATTTACTGGAAGAAACAACAAGGAACTCGATTTGAACGCAGGCGACCTAGTTTCTGTGAGCCATAAACTAAGCGCTGATTGGTATGTTGGGGAAAAAATGAACAGTGAAATGGAAATGCTAGGAAAATCAGGAATGTTTCCAGCAAATTACTGTCGCCGTATTCGTATCTCGGACAGAAAACTCCAATGCAAGACACCTACCAACTCTATAGAGAGGGCAAAGAGCCTTCGACGTATCGTCAGTGACGAACCCAAGGAATTAAACTCTCCTATAAGGCAAAGCCATGGTAATATTGGTAAACTGCTCGAAAGTGACAACGGGACCTTCGAACCTGCTAGTAACTCATCTTCTTCTTGTATTAAGGTTAAAAAACCCTTGCCTAACATCCCTAACAAAGGTGCTTTTATGACATAAAACGGTACTTCGTTTTTTTTACGTTGCTGAACGAGTCAGTTTATAGCAGAAGGAATCATTATTGAAATTCATTTCATTACTAAATCATGTCCTCTTTTTTTTATGACATTGTAAACGACGTAGACACTTTCAACAAACCAGTGCTTGCTTTCGTTCCTACTGACCAAGCAGGCAAATGCTGGAGGAAATTTTCGTAAGCGGGAATGGTACCATCATTAATATCATCATAAAAGCATGTAATCTCAGTAGATGTTGGTTCAGTGATAGTAAGATTAAGAGTGTAAGGCTTTAGAAAATCTCTTTGACCCATACGGATAGAAGAATATAACTTATTGACACGATTTTCATTTAAATCTTCAACAAACACCGAGTCGTTAAAATTGATTAGACACCATTTACTTTCAGCAAGGATTGTGAGATCCACTTGATGCTTTCCTTGACTAATATCGTAGACAATAGGATTCTCTGCTTCAAAATATGGCTTAACAGATTCAAAAGAACAATAGGTATCATTACATTGGCCACCATTTGCTGTATAGTATGGATTTAATTTCAAAACCTTATCAGTGAAAGGAGCAATGTTCTTAACGTAAAATGTATGGTTACCATTATTCAGATCATACGTTTGAAAAGTTGCCAGCTTTAATGGATGAGTTTCGTCGAAAGGACTTAAGAATAATGCTTGAACAATGAGAGTTATCCAAAGCATCGTCAAAACTGCTGTCGACTTTTTGGACAATGCACGGAAAATAAACGGTCCACTATTCACCATTGAAAAGAAGGCTATTATTATTGTTAATTTATACAGCCTGTTAGAGAATGGAGCGTCAGTCAGAGTTTGACTTCCTGCTGGTAAAACTACTTCTGTTAAAATGTCGTAACACAAAAATAAGGGAAGGGGTACAATGAAGATGAAATAAAGGACAGTCCAGATATTATCTTTAAGCTTCGCATGCGCTTTTTTGACCGATAAATTTGACTGTCTATGAAACAGAGATTGCTGAGGGACAGCCCCATACTGGGAGTGATTTGAAGAAGGAGCACCAAGAAGTGATCGTTCTTCGTGAGTGAAATCTATATCTTCAACGTTATCAACAAAATAACGGATTCGAACTAGAGTCAATATACAGCAGAAAAAAGTACTTAGATACGAAAGCGTCACCCAATATGTAGAACTCAATTCAAAGTAAACGGAAAAGATAACAGAGATAAGAAATACTACATACCATAGCATTTGAACATACCAAATAAGGACAATTTCGATGCAGCTCAAGTCTTCGGATGAAAGTTTGCTATGTGTAGCGGCAGTGCGAAACGAGAAAGCAAGAGCAATCAGATTTGTTAAATAAAACAGGGCAGAAACGAGCCCACTGTGAGCATTAATGAGGTACGGATTATACCAACTTAAAAAAAGTACAGTTCCAGTGTCGAAAACAAAAACGAAAACACAAGATAAGATAAAGCATGCTGTATATCTAATTTTCTTTAATTGAGCATATAACGAAGGAAACCGAAGCAAAATTGAAAGTAAAAGAATCGGACAAACGACGACTAAGGTGATATTTATCATTTGATATAGGGGATATTTAAATTGCCAGTACTTTCCAAATAACAAGAAAAATGTCGGTTTTGAAAATCTCGTCAAATCTTTCTTGGATTCGTGAAGCAAATTATTTACAGAATGAAATGCTGTATACATCATATGTCTCAAAGACCTTGGCATGATATGGGATATATCGTCTTTAGCAGTATGATAGATATTGCGATTCTCATAAAAAGCAATGTCAAGGCCAGCGGTCCCATTGTGCATATTCTCATATATAACATAATCTGTTTCACTGCGAATTATCTTACGCTTGAAAAAGTCTGAACCTAAGATTGAGGCTAAAGGGTACTTGTTCTTCCGAAAATAAGACTTAGTAACGTAGTGATTAGTAGATCGGAACAGCATTGCTTTCCCCCCAGACCCTGCTCCTTCCAGATTAACAAAAGCTGTTACATTTTTAGAAAGCTCATGAGCAGCAAAAGCCCGAGCTCCGTATAAAAAGTCCTCTTCAGCATTATTGATGTTTACAATTAAGTCTCGCTCTGGTTGATACTTTGCATAGTATCTGCACAACTCCAACGTAGTAGCAACACCTATGCCATCGTCAGTGGTACCTTTACCGGTAGAAACTGAGTCGAAATGAGAAGATAACAGTATAGGAAGTGCTTGCCGTTCCTTTCCTTGAAAATGTACCAGGATGTTATTCCCCTCGAAATAAATCAGACTGGCTTTATCTTCTAACTCAAATGTTATGTTTGTATAGAGGTCGTTGACGACAGTTACGTGCGACTGATTTTTTTCTTCTAGTAATCTCAACTCATCCAGTATATAATCACGAACCACCTCATTTTGCTTTGAATTGTAGGGATGAGGGAGTAGCGAGATGAATTTCAGGTCGTCCCAAGCACGCTCAACATTTAGTCCCTGGAGTGACTTTTGCGGAGGAAACCTAGCAATTCGAGACCAATCAAGCAAATAAAAAATGAAAAGGAACGTAAAACCAAAAATGGAGCATGTAAGGCTGGACTTGAACGTTTTCGCGCATATTTGCTCAATTAACGCCTTTTTGGAAATAGCCATGAAAACACCAACAATGGTTTCTTTATCTCTATCAGTTTAATTTTCAAAAAGTAATTAGATACAATATATTCAAAAACTTTACGCAAATGACTACTTTTTCTAGTTAGAGGTTGGAGACTGTAAGTGGAGAGAAGGTGATATGTAAGAAATCGTAATAAGTAAATGATGTGAATGCTAGGGAACTTTTAGTCTATAGAATCATCGGAACTATCTACTGAATCACTTTTCTCTTTAAAGGTTTTTCTTTGATTATAAGGAACAACGTTGCTTCCTGGGAGAACGAAACAGTAATGTCGAGAATCTCGCAGTTCACCTTTCCAATTTGATTTTTCGCTAATTCCCTGTTTCCAACCGATTGTACGTCGATGAGAGTATTCAGGATAAAAAGAGGAATCAAATCCTTCAGTCATTAAACTAACGAAACCTGCCTCTTTGGCTAATCCTTTCAGATTCCACAAATTGTATGGTTTCGTTTCCGCAAGAGTAATGACAATCACTCCTTTTTCCGAAAGAAATTCTTTTGATTGTTTGAAAAACTCTAATAGCATTTCTAAAGTAGTTAGTAAGGGGCCCATATATGTTTTCAAAGACTGAAAAAAGTAGTGGCAGATTCCAATTCCATTCCTTAATTCCCGAAAGCTAGTAGAGAAAGGTAACTTACTTTGATTATCTAAAATATTCCGATCCTGATCCTTTATACCCTTTCCTGAGTGTGGGAAATTCCATAGGATTGTATCAAACTTTTGATTTCTAAACTTTTTATTTTGCTTCAGCTTAGTAGCATCTACATCGTATAGAATTTCACCTCCGTTTTGTAAAATTTGTTCAATGTACTCTGAAGCGTCAGGATACTTCAGTTCTACGTCTGCTTTAGTGTCGTAACAGGTAGCTATTAAAACTGCTTCATCGTCTAAATGATGCTTCTGTAAAGAAGCTGCAAATGAGAAATTTCCTTCTCCAATTAATAAGAGCCGATGGTTACGCTCAAATGGAGCGACATATCGAAAATTCGTGGATTTTTTAGGGGTCTTCTTAACTTTGTCAGTTTGCAGAGAGTTTCTCTTTTTTAAAGCAGAAAACGAGCCATTCTCCGTTTCTTCTCTTTGTGATGGTTTCCTTTGCTTTTTAGATCTCTCCTTTTTGCCCATAGTCCGTAATTTCAAATACTCTGTTTTGGTTAACTTACTAACATTTCGCAGAAAAAAGTTAAAAATAATATTGCTGGTAAATACTTTCAGGATACGTAGCCAATTTATATTTATTCAAGAATAAAAATATTAGATTTATTAAAATATTACTCAAACTTATGAGGATATATCCTTAAGCCTAACTCCCATATACTTGGATTGACAAGGATTAGGAGCCATGTCATCCCAAAAAAGGCTTTGTAAGAAACAAATCATCTCAAACGATCAAACGAACATTCCTCTTTTAGCTCGAAAATTACAAAACAAACTATTGAAACAAAATAAACCATGTGCACAAAATTCTATGATTCCAAGATTTAAGAAAACAAAATCAAACGATAACCCATATTAAATTACCAAAAACAATAAAGCCAAATATTAAGACAAGAAACCAAAAATAATATCTCTTTAAACCAATTGACCCACAACCTCAATTCCATCTTCAAAAACAACGTCTCTCTCTTGCTTTGGTGGAGGAGCATTTCTCTCTTGCTCAGCTTCATAATTTGCTATAATTTGTCGCTGCTCAGCTGTCTCCACAGCACGTTTTCTTTCTTCTTCGAAAGCGCTTCTTATATGAGCCAGTTCTTTCTCGACTTCTTCCACAGGACGAAAAACTTTTCCAGACTCTTTGCTGTATTCTTCCATATCTGTTTCAATGTTAGTTTAATTAAGAGGGAGGATAGCACCTTGGAAAACTTACCAACTGGCTTTTTCGTCCTTAATGCCTCATTTATCCGAGCAGGGTTGCGCTTTTCTTCCTGCTTAAATTTAAGCTTTATTTGTCGACGATTGCGAATTGGAAACATGTTAGAAATAAGCGCAAAATCTGTGCCCCATTGAGAAAGTGCCTATTTGTTAGCTAAACGGATCCAATTGGATAAAATATACCTTGTAAAACTTCTCAGTCTCATCAGCCTTCCACTTTTCTGACTTTTGACGGTTTCCCCAAGTTGCACTCGTAACCCTTCGAGACAGTGCATTTTCTTCCACGAATTCACGATCTTCTTCAGGTACGTAATCTCGTTGATGGCGATCTATTTCCAAAGAAGCTTCATCCAAAACAATCTGGCCATCTACGACTCGAGTCCTAGGAGCAGAAGCGCCTGAGCTATTTAGTTGTCCTTCCGAATCCATCTTATCGGCAAGTTGGTCCAATATAGACTTGGAAGCTATATTAGACTCTTCTTGTGTTTCTGAATCCTTTTCTTCCGGTTCAGTTTCCAAAGTCCCAACCACCTCTTCTTCCTCTTCTTCGGGCTCTTGTATACTTGTTTGTGAAGCTGTATTATTTGCTGTCTTCAAATCTCTTTGTGGAGACTCCTCCTTGCCAGGTGTAACGGATCCGGTACGTTTTTTCCTTTTGGCCATCTTTTCTTCCAAAAGGAGTTTTTCAATTTCAACAAAGCGCTGGCTTTTCCTGCCAATACCAGGATCATCACATAACGCCGACATTTTCGTCTCGTTTATATTAATACTCTCTTGCTCAGTTCCGACGTTATCGACGATGAGCTTACGCTTCCTTCTACGGATAGAGGCTAATTAATTGTCAGCCATAACTGCAACAATGAAAGACTTACCATTTGTCATTCGTTTTGACTGAGATCCACTAACATCCTCAAAATTAGCGGCAACAGAACTTATTTGCGAAAGGGGAATATTTTCATCCACAGGAGTCTCTCTTTTAACTTGCCCAGATAACTGATAGACTTCAAAAGGAGTAAGATCGGATTCATCATTGTTAGACAGGGCAGAAGCTGGCTCGACTGTGGGCTTAAATACACGTGAAGTCTCATTGTTTTCCAATAATAAATCTTCATCATTGTTATTTCCCAGCTTTTGCGCTTCTTGGGCGGCTTCGACTAGTATGTTGAATGAATCACGCCCCTCCTGAGAATTGACAACGGGCTCCTCATTCACGCCATTCAAATCCGTTAAAATTTCTTCTTGAGGTACTTCTAAACTTCCATTTTCAGAAGTCTTCTCAACAGAGCGCTCTTTACGAGCAGTAAACTTTGGGGCGAATTTAGAATATGGATTTTCTTGAACTTGTGTTAACAAAGGCCTACTTTGAGTAAAACTTACTTAAAGGAGATGAAATTAATTTAGCACTCATATCATTGACAGAAAACCCTCCAATTGACTTCAAAAAGTTTCAATTGGGTTGTGGCAGTTTCCAAGTGTAAACAACATTCCCTCAACAATTTCGTGGTCTAAGTGCCAACCACCAAATTTTTGTAACTACCGATGAACTGGTAGACACAATCTAAAAAGAAGTTTATTTCATTATTTTTATAAAGGATTTAATAAAGTCTGAATAACTACAGAAAAGGCGTAGAGATTATGAATGTAGTGAACGAACCGCCAAGAAAACGACGTTTAGTGCATGATGAGCAAACCAGGCTTCTTAATTTTGAGGAATCTAGCGATTTAGAGGTATGAATTACACTTTTGAAAAGTCGTAGTACTAACAGCTTGCTAGTTATTTCAAAAAGAAGCAATATGGAGACGAGCTCGCGAATATGACATTCTCCTTTTAGAAGACGAAAAGGCACAACAAATGTGGAACCATTTGTTAGAGAAATTCAATCTATATGTATCAGAAGCTTACAATCATCATCAAGAACTTATGAGTCATCTGCAAAAGGTAGCGTCTCCATTGCTTGAAAAAGAAAATACAAACATAGTACCACGAGAACTTTCTTTAGATAAAGCTCTGTTTCTTGAAAAAAATGATTTAGTGTTTGAGGATGTGTGGACGTACTTCTCAGATTACGATAAGAATTTGAAAGTTATTATTTCAAATGGCATTCTATCGAAATTAGATGAAGCAAATGTTTCAGAATGGAATGATTGGATTGAGGAAAAGGAAAAGCAATTTTTAATGACTTTTGAATATTATTTTGAGCGACTGAAACTGGCTTTTTTGAAGAAAGAGCTTACCTTTACGTCTGACGCTCAGCAGTCTGCGGAGCTTGAATGGAAACAACTACAGCAGCAAAAGATTACGCAAGAATTGGAACAAAGTATAGAGCGAAAAAAAGAACATACGCTTCAATTAGCAAATGCAAATGGTAAATCAGAATCGCTCAAAAGTGATGTTTCTCTGGATGATGACAATGTGGTTAAGCTAAAAAACAATTTTGAGTCACAGTCTGACTTGATGAAAACAAATGTTAGTCAAAAGTTAAATCAGCTTTTAGAAAAACAAAATGAAGCGGCGCATTTGTATATGGACTTACTCAGTGTGACTGATAAAGCCTTAGAAAAGACACCTGAATATCAAGCTTTACAAGAGAGACTACTTGAAAATGAAAAGAATGTGGAGAGTATAAACAGCAAGCTTGTTTCTGTCTTTAGTGAATTACAAACATTGATATCCCAACGGACGAAAATACAATTAGAGGATGCTAATCAAAAAATGCACGAAATAAAACAAAAGCAAGAACGAATTGAAGAACTTGAAAAATCTTTGACTACAATACGAACAGAACGTGACGGACTTGTCGTACAACAACAGATGCAAAATACCAATGATGTATACTTTCAAGAGATTTTACAAATATGGACACTTCTTGGCGATTCAAAGAAGTCGGTTTTGGAAGCTCATAAGACTAAACTTGCATTTTTAGAATGGGTAGAAGGTTCTGACTTACAGACTGATCAGAGTGATGACGAACTGGAAAAGATTTCCAAGAACAATGCTTGCTTAGAAGCAGAACTTCCCGGAATGCATCTAGCTTTCAATAAGGCTTATTCGAAGCTTCAAAATAGTTTAGGTTTGCTTCAAAATAATGAAGAGAACTTAAGAAAAGCCCATTACGATAAATCCAGAGCTACACAGAAATACTTTTCTGCGATGAAGTCCCGCGATCTGCTGATTACAGAAAGTAAAACTCTGAAGCTAGTGGACAGCAAAGGTCAAGATTTCATCAGCAAACTCGTTGAGCGTGAGCATGTACTGGCCAGATATAACTCATCCCTTAAAGAAATGGAAGATGTATATAAGCAGATTAAAGAAATTTTTGGAAGGCATTCTGCTGAAGTTCTTGAAGAGGATAAACGGTTGCAGACAAAAAACACTGATCTTGAACAGTCATTAAAAAACTCACAAGCATTAATTGATCGTATAAATGAAGAGACTCATGCTGCATATCAGAAGCATCATTCTTTACAAATAAAGGAAGCTCAACTTCGTTTACAGAATGATTATAATCAGAAGGAGTCAGCCCTTATAGAAAAAGCTTATGAAACCGAGGAAGCTCAGGTCTATAAAGGGATGCTAAAGTGCCAAGTTTGTGAGTATTCAAACTGGAAAAGCAGGCTTTTACCTTTTTGTGGTCATGCATTCTGCTCATCATGTTTAGAATCCAGACTAAAGCAAAAGGATCGCACCTGTCCTATCTGTGAAGCAACATACAACTCAGCGGACATCGTGACCATTCATCTTTAATGTCCTTACTCTTTTGTATCCTAATGTATCTATTTATGGTTTTTTTGGACTTTTTAATAACACCTTCTTTTTTGTTTTTAGTACATTTATTTGGTAGCCTTTACAAAAACATATGTATAAAATTAATTGTAATAGTTTGATTGAATAAATCTGGCTTTACTGACAGTGAGCCATTCAAACTGTACTTGCCAACATCTCACTCCTGTATTTCTATCATTTTAATTCGACTGGTATAAGGGGTATAACTGACTGTTAAAATCTACGTTTTTATTTTTTCTTTTTGTTTAACGAATTAAACTATTGTACATTCTTCATTAGGACCGGTAATTTCCAAAATTATTTATACACTGCCCATTTATGAAAGATGAGTATAGCAGAAGATTGGGTAGATCCTGCGTCTTCTGAGAATACAGATTTACGCAAAGATTTTTATTATGAAGGGAATGAACTAAACAATGAACGAAGGGGCTTATTCTCTATCGAAAAAGTTCAACTGCAATTTCCTGTTTCAATACGTTGTTTGGCTGTCGAGAATAATATTTTAGTCATGGCTCTTACAAGCGACAAGCTAATGATTGTTGATTTAGAGAAACCAGAAGAAATTGTGGGTACGTAAATCTTTCTTATGTTTTTTTTTCTATGGCAAATTTTTAACCTTTTTCAGACATCGAGCTTCCGAAGAAAGCTTTGGCTCTTGGACTGACCTATAAGATATTCTTAGATCCTTCTGGACAGTATATTTTTGTCACAACAACGGCTGGTGATAATTGCCTTTTTACTCCTTCCCGACAAGGCCGAGTTTTGACGAAGCTGAAAGGCCATACGATCGAATCTATGATGTGGAGATTTGGCGAAAATGGTAATCTAGAGCTTTTACTTGCTTCTAGGTCTGGAGCTATACTTGATCTTATGTTGAGTTTGGATGCAACAAATGTGAAACGCCTTGAAAAGTCTATGAATACCGTTTATTCTTTTCCATATCCAGAAACACCGTTAGATATGTTATTGGCAAATCAAGAAAACATGGGAGAAGGCTACCTTGTTGTTGCTACTAATCAACGTCTTTTGAAGTTTTCGAAAGGGCATATTTCCAGTATGGACCAGCTCTATTTTTTTTCTTTTTTTCAAGGGGATATCGATGGTATGGGTGCAGTTGATTACTTGCTTATGACTAACATGCAGAATTATATCGTATATTCGACAATGAATCTGTTGAATGTGTTTCACATTCTCCATATCCGCAAATCTCTGCTGAGCCCTACACAATTGCTTTAAAAACGAATAAAAGGATTGTGTATTATGATTTGATAAATGTAACCTTCGATGTGATCCAGGAATATCAGTTTGTTGAATCACCGCGCCTTTCGGTGCCAACTATGGAGATGAATTTGCTGCTCACGCCGTTCCATACAGCTGTCTTTGATTTGGATACTTTATATATATTCAACAGAGTTAGTCAAAAGGAAGTTTATCAACAAAAAATTACCCTTTCCCCTCATGAAGAAATATTGGGACTCTCTTGTGATCATGAAAAAAATACATATTGGTTATACACAACAGATAGTCTTCACGAACTGGTGGTTAATAATGAATTGGATGATGTCGCTATAGTTTTTTTACAAAAGGCGGAATATCTAAAGGCTTTGGCATGTGCTAATACTCCGAAAGTGCGAAATTCTGTTTTAGATGGTTATGCTGATCATTTGATGAAAATAGGCGATTACGAAAAGGCCGCTACTTTTTTCGCTGAAACTTACAGATCTGTGGAAGAAGTTGCTTTGAGCTTCATAGAAATTGGACAAAAAGATGTTCTGAGGCAGTATTTATGGAAAAAGGTAAAGTCTTATAAGCCATCTATGAAGTCCCAGCGAGAAATAATAGTAAACTGGCTTTTGGAATCTTTATTAGGAAGATTAAATGATCTAGATGAAGAAGAAAGGCTTGAGTTGTTTCCCGATGCTATAATTGAAAAGCGTCAACAGGTTCTGCTTGAATTTTCAAGGCTCTTATCGCAGTACAAAGATGGAATTAATAGAGAACTTGCATATAACCTTGCCAATAATTATGGAAAAGAAGAGCAGTTGCTGCAAATTGCAACAGTGATGAAAGATCAGTCCTATATCATGCATTATTGGGTGCAACGAGAAAACTATGATAAAGCCCTAGAAACATTAAATGAAGGTGTGGATCAAGGAACCCTTATTCAGCATGCAACCGCTTTATTAACCCATCGGCCGATGGAAACTGTCAGTATATGGGAGCGGCAGGCAGATATGGACGTTCATGCTTTGATACCGTCTTTGCTAAGTTATAATCAACGTGCTCGTGTCTCTGTTGAAGAAAATGCAGCAATTCGTTACTTAAAATTCGTAACTGGGGTTTTAGGTTGCGCGGAGCCATCCATACATAATACACTGTTTTGCATTTATGCCTGTCATTCTAGCTCAAATGAGTCTTACCTCATGAATTATATAGAACAGCAAGGTGATCATCCTTTATATGACATGGATCTTGGGATTCGACTTTGTTTGCAGTTCAATTGTCGCAGAAGTGCTGTTAAAATTCTGGTGTTATTGAAACTGTACAGTCAGGGTGTTGAACTGGCTTTGGAAGAAAAGGATTATGAACTAGCTGCTTCCGTCGCAAATATGCCTGAAGATGACTTGGTGTTGAAAAAAAGTCTTTGGCAAGCCATTACGAAGGCGATGTTTGCTACTACGGAAAATATAAAGGAGTCAATAAAGTTTTTAGAACAATCCAACGTTCTTCCACTTACGGAACTAATTCGACTTTTACCAGAAAAAATCACCCTGGACGATTTACGAGATAATATATGTGACGAACTGGAAAGTTGTCGAGAGCAAATCGAGCAACTTGGCGTTGAGATTGAACAAGCCACGGAAGTTGCAGAAGCTGTACGTACGAATTCCGATGACCTAAAAAACAGATATATTGTGCTTGACCATAACGAGCCATGCTGGCATTGTCATCAGCTGCTATTTTCCGAGTCTTTTGTTTTATTCCCATGTCAACATACGTTCCATAGACAATGTATGCTTAAGCATAGACTTACCAGTGTTCCTGAAAAGGATATTTTAAAAGAGTGTCAACTATGCGGCCCTTCATATACCGTCCGGCTATTAGATGAACCATTCCCTGACACATTTTGATTGCTATTCTCTATAAAAAATGGTTAGCGATGCTGTATTTATTTAAAGCATCTTTTTTTGTTTCTTATTTGAAATGTATTCTCTGGTTTCGGTAAAGGTCCTGGAACCACAGAAGAAACATTCTCCTCAACGTTCTTTTGATGAGTACAATAATAATGAATAGTCATGCGTTAGTTACTTTTAGATGTGTCTTAATGAATTATCTTATTAAAAAAATATATTAACTATAATACTCTACGACTCTTCTCCGTTCATCTGCCTGAAGTAAAATGGTAATAGCAGACCCGTACTGTATTGGATCAAAATTGAAAAGTAACCTATATCTATTTAAAACATAGATTATGTTAAATTAAATTCTTTAATTGGAAGCAACGTTAACAATAATAGTAAGATTTGGAACATCATGCAGAAGCTAGAAAAAGCGTACTGCTGTTCCAAGCTATTCTGCTCTATACATGATACCCATTCCTCTTATAGATGTCTTTAATTAATATATGAAAGATAGAAGAAGGTAAAGAAATTATAAAATGATTATCAAAGTTTTAGAGCGCTTTCGGGATTTCGTTCAGAATCTACCATTATGGACGAAAACTGTAACATGGACAGCGTTGTTTATTCAACTTGTTTCCTTTATGGGTCTCCGGACGAGTAAGTTGGCATTATCATGGAGCAACGTTTTTCAAAAACACCTTGGTAAGCACCCATAAAAAGGAACGATTTGCTGATGCTTTTCTTCAGTCTTCGAAGTCTATACATATGTATTTTTACATATCTCTCTTTTACACATAATATTTAATCTTGTTTCGTTACTCCCAGTAATGGCTAAGTTTGAAAAGGAGCATGGCACCTTTGCATGTGTATTTATAACAATGTTGCCTTATACCCTCTTTCCTGCCTTCATGCATCTTATTTTTTATCGCTTTATTTTTGCAAAAGAGTCAATTTCGATTGCTGGATTCAGCGGATGGGCCTTTGCATTTATTTCTGCAACATGTATTCATAATCCTCAAGGCCCGTAAGTATACTCTACTGTATGTCAGCACTAATCATTACTTGTAGGATTCAGAATTACATTCCCAAGCACTGGATTCCGCTTATTTACTTGTTTATAACTACAATTTTTGTACCTTACGCCAGTTTTATTGGGCATGCCTCCGGGGCTGCAGCTGGCTACGCAACGCCCTACATTTTTGAGCATATTCCTTTAAAATTATGGGCAGAAAAGGTTGATTCAATAGGGAGTCGTTTCAAAGGTTACCAGTCCTACGATGAGTTGGCATATGCATCACTGCCAATTGCAGAGCCAAGTACTGGTAATCCTAAGTTCCCTGGAACGGGGACCCGTTTGGGAACTTGAGAGTTATAAAAAGCTTAACTGTAAGCGATTCTATTAAAGGTGATAGTAGTAATAGAAAACTCACAGAACAAAAACTAGCTATCCTATTCATAATATGCACTGAGTCTAATGATTTCGAATTCAAAACAACTGTTTTTTCCTGTATTCCTAAAAAATAAATACTGTTTCCTCGGTTTGAGCTTTTTGCTTAAAATCAAAACACATTTTGATAGTATTCAACCGCTTAACCCCTATAGTTATAGGCATCTTTTCATCCGTGCATTCAAATCAAGCTGCAAAAAACAAACTTCTGTCTACTAAAACCAAAGAATGTGTAAATTGACTCAAGATTTGGTTTGCTGTCTGCAAAGCAGCTTCATCAGCAGGAGACACATCTGCTAACCTTTTGGGAAAGGATAACGTTTGGGACAAAGGGATATTTACAGAGCATACAACATCTGTTTCAAACTCTTGTAGTGTTATTACATGCACAAGTACAGCTACGTTTGAAGCGACGTCTGTCATCTTTTTTCCCTTTTCGAATACTTTTTGGCATCCAAATGTGCATGTTCCGATTGCTCGCTCGTTATTTAATCCAGCGATATCTTCTTGACTTAGATCTGTATCTTTCCAAATGATAGATTCACTAGCATCATTATCGTAAGCAATGCTATCAAAATGAAACTTGGCGACCGTCGCATCTTGAGGTTTCTCTACCTGTTCTAGCAGTTCCAAAATTAGAGTTAAGTTTTCTTTGGAGTCTTGAAGAAAAACTTCTTGATTATCAGGAATTTGTCTCAAAGCGCTTGCATTCAAAAAGTTTCCAGGTAATTCAGCACGAAAGGCTCCATCAAATAACTGAACCATTTTATAAATAAAAACTATACAATCTTTTAAGAAAGAAAAATTCTATCAGTTATAAAAACTTTCCTGTCTCCAGCCCTCAATTGCTTTTGTTTACTAGTCATCTGAAGATGAAGAAGTTCTTGGTGTTGTGGTACTTGATTCGCTTTAGTAATATTTTTTTACAAGCATATTAGATGATAATGTCCAGTTGCTGTGAAAGTTGACGGCAAAGTGCAAGATACGAGCTTAACGTCTTCTTTAACTGTTCTATGAAAAATTAGAGTGAAAACAAATACAGGTAAGCGTCGAGAAAAAGAAACTTAAGTTAAGTCTGAAAAACGCTTCGGATTAAAACTGTAAGGATTCTCGTTATAGAGATATTCAAAATATAATACTATAGAGGTATGGGAGGTTTGAAAGAAGTATAGTATATTGTCGCGGGTTATGAAAATGTTTATAGAGTGGAAGTAATAATTTCAATTGTAGGATTGTGTACTTTAATTGGGCTCTGTTAAACTACGCGTATAGACGCTAGTAATCTCCAGGGATCTGGCTAATTAAACTGAAAGTGTGAAGACGATCTCATTTGACCTTGCCAGTCGATTCTGACTGTAGGCACATGAGTACATATAGTTTTGCTGAAACAGCTTTTTACGAGTAAACGTCCGTCAATCACTTCAAGTTGCACCCTGCGAATTCAATTTTAAGCAGATACCTTTTTCCTTGATGATAAAGATATTCGTTCACCTTTGCTTTGATCGGAAACTTATGAACCAAGAAATCACAATTCAGTTGAAGTATTCAGCCTTACAGGTCGGGTAGCACTTGAGATGGTTCTAATAGATTCTTTGATAAAGCTTTTATATGAAAAATGAAAAACGCTGTGTCCCTAGCATTCATCATGTTCGACCTAAAGCATTCTGTACGTGTGAGATTGTTTTATCCAACCTTAGTTTGAGAAAAGTCGATTTTTAAGACACGGATGAGCTAGCAGTTCTCATACTCAGTCCTTTCGTGCTTGCTAAATTCATTCTGATCATGAATAACCTCTGGCAAAGGGCGGAATGTCCTCTACTTCTTTATATATCTAATTCATGCTGGTTAGACTCTATATCCAAATAAAGTTTTCTTCGTCAATAATGACGCTCCTATCGTTAAGGGTTTACTCCTTTTCTTTCTAATCTTTTTTGATTTTCAATATCCAGTATGAGAGATGGCGGATTCATCATTGTGAAGTCTTTTCCTTCATAAGCTTCATGCAGCTTACAAGAAGAAACTGAATTCAATTCATACTTCCTATATTTGTGGATCTTAATCAGTGCGCAGTGGAAACCCTAATGTTAATATCTGGATCATTTGCTCGAAATGACAAGAAATATTACACTGGAGGACCCCTTTCACATGCTTTCGTATTATACATGGTAAACAACCAAGCCATAATCGGAAATCCCTCGTGTTTGTTATTATCTTCTCGAAGTTGATTCATTCTTAATTTAAGGAATATTGAAAATCTTTGGGTGATCAAACAGATTATTCGATATCCACTTTGAGGATACCAAACCAAGAATGGTAAAACTTATATTCTTTCATCCTTATTAAAAGGACCTTTAATTATTACCAGCCACTGCAATTGACAACGGCCGTTTGTTCTAAGGCAGGTTTCATTCAGGAAAACATAAAGACTGTTGTTTCTCTACACAGAAACTACTTAAAGCCAAAGTAAAGCAAATCACTAGTAATCTTATTCAATTCTATAGATAAAAGGAAAAAACATGCATAGAAAGTATTTTTAATGCGTAAAATATCAGGCCTCTCGAAAAAAAAGGTCTGCGACCGCACAAAAAAGGTTCATCTATTTCCATATTGAAGAAATAAGAAACGAGAAAGAAAAGGGAATAAAACGAAAAAGAAACGATGAACAACTTTTTGAAAATTAACAACCCATCCTCTTGTCTTTAGCATGATAATTAACAAAAGGAAGCTTTGCACCATATGCAATAAAATAGTAAATAACATATGCCAGTAAAATATATATAATATTATATATAGTAAAAAATTTCAAATTTGGAATAAATCAACCATATTTCAAATATGAAAACACCATTGTTTTCGATGTTACATTACTTTCATGCTTCTAGCATAAAAAAGGAAATGGTATACAACACATTTCATCGTACATAAAGAAATTTTAGTCAGGCTTAATATGAAGTATTGAAGACGAAGTTCATTCCCGCATAGTTTTGAGAGTAGTTGAGCGTCCAATTAACATCTCTTGGTTGTCTCAAACCTCCGCCAATACTAAGTTGAGTAAGGTTTTTGACTGTTCCATTAGGATAAAGAGGACTGATTTTAGAAATTGCATCAACACTCTTGAGTCCTGACCATATTTCACTACCAGCAACCAAAGGAACAATCAGTAAAATGATAAGAAAAATCAAAATGGAGAAATACAAAGCAGAATAACGACGCACAATACGCTTACGTAGTCTGCTCTGCTTCGTCGAAAAGATGGGAGGTCGGATTTGACGACTAGGTCTCAACCAAAATAGCAAAACCGAGTGCCAGCGATCTACATATGGGATGCAGATTACAGGAAGCATGAAATAAAGCAACAAGTGACCTAAGAAAAAGTCTGTTGCAAAGAGGTTGAGCTCAATGGATTTGCACATAAACTCACGTGCAGGTAAAGTAACTGCATGATAACCGTAACCTTTACCATACCATTTGCCTGACCACCATGAAATATTGGAGTCGTCTTGCTTGGTTTCACGAGTGAGAGTCAGCAAACTCAAAAGTTTAAAGATAAATCTGTGAACTGCAGTAACGGCACAAAAAGCTAAGACAGTCTTCGGTAATGACCAGCCGTCTAAAAACCAACAAACCTCAAAGACAGCGATGAAAATTATTATTTGAATAGCGTGAGCAATTGCAGCAAGTACTGCAGGGAATTTCTTGCAACACAATCCTAGCAAAGGACCCATACAGCAGGCCATACCTCCGAAAAATCCGACCATACCGAAACTAACAGCAATCGGTACAAGAGTGATAATGGCAAGTCGTAAGATAGGGTTAGTACCTGTCTTTGGATCAGTTGTGTAGTACATCTTATCATGATCCATCCAATTGGCATAGGAGGGATTACCAGGCATAGAGTTCATAAAGAAGTAGGGAATAACGGTACCAGCTGCTAATAGAGCAGGAACTAGGACTTCACTGAAGAATACACTGCTAAGCTTGGCACGAGGAGTATCCATAGAAATCTTATCACTAGGTTGTCCCAATACCTTGCGTTTGTAACCCGTAATCCTGGTACGAGACAACCGACAATAGCCAATCCAGGAATTAGCGTGAGTACGGGAATTACCTCTGGACAACCAGCGAATAAATTCTCTATAGTCTACAAAGAAATCATTCCAGTCAAACTGATGGGGATTAAACAAGAATGGGGCTACACAAAGAGACACAATGGATACCCACCAGTAGATCAAATGGGCGACCCAAACAGTCATTGTACCAAAGAGCAGCATCATCAAAAAGCGAGCTCCAGCATAAATAGAAGGTTGAGCAAATCGAGAGTATAGTACAGAGAAGGGTAAGCGGACAGTAGCGAATCCACGACCAGTACCTATATATCGAGCACCGCCAAAAGAAAGATCAGCAACAATTGCTTGACAATTAACTTGACAAGTGAAAACTTCAAACAAGGGAGAAAACGAACCAATTTGCTTCATAAATCTCTTAAAAGCTCTCCACACACCACGTTCAATTAACTCATGTACTGTCAAAGGAATGAAGGAAATCCAAAAGACGATGAAGATAGAAATAACGCATCGTTTTAGCCAGGATAAAACTGGAGCAAGTTGGTAACAACCTTGAGGAACGAATGTAGTATCATAACTGAGTTTCTGAGACTTGTTATAGTAACAAACGGTAACCACATGGTAGAAAGCACCTAAGTTCACAAGGACAACCATGAAGAGTTGAACTGAAAGCATAATAAACATATTGTTCAAGTGGAAACCAGGGTGTGCGAAATAAAACGAAAGGAATCTATCTAAGGGGAGTTGCGTACCAAGATAGTAATATTCACGTGAAAGCATTTGTTCGCCCATACCAGTACCAACCTTCGTATTGAAATTCAGAATAGATCCAAAACCTAAATCACGACCCTTACCACATTGGAAATACTCACAATGTTTAATACGACCACCACGAAGTAAAGCAGTCATACCGGCGTAGATATCTTCGTTTACGTGCAGACCTTTCTGAGCTTTGGAAACACCACCACGTGTAGTCATGAAAACACCGTTCAAAAAATCTGGATGACCGTAATGCAATTTACCACCAATCTGTGCAAGCGTACGAGAGAAAAGAGTACCAAAGGTTTGTTCTTTACCAGCTGCAACATCACCAAGAATACCGATATTTTCGGAGAAAATGTATTCACGAGCACCAAGGATTGCAACAGGGTGGTTGTTCCTTTCTTTGGCTGTTTCTGAATAAGGATTCACATTATCTGTTTCCATTTCCTCAAATTCAGAAAGAACACTGCGGATCTTCAAACATTCTTCCAAGTAGTTGTCCTGATTTGCGTCAATCAATTGAAGATATTCACCACGATAGAATGGTAAGGCCATATTTTGATTATCAGATTTACCATCACCAAGGATTGGGTTGCCGGATAAGCGAATACGATACTTGGGACGACGACGTTCATTTTCCATAATTTCTGAGTGACCATCTATAAGAGCAGCAAACAGTTGTGGTTCTCCACCTTCTTCAAGTGGAGGATCTTCGTCAAGGTAGGCTATTTGAAGATCGGGGTATGCACGAAGTAAGAATTCTGCATTTTCATATTCTTCCTTGCTGAACTTAGCATAGCGTTGCATAGAAACAACAATCTTAAATTTACGACGAGCCATACGATCCAACTCATGTTCCAAACGATCAGTGTTACCACCAAACATTTGCACAATTTCAGGATTTTCAACACGATATAGTAATTTAATAGCACGACTGTAATTCATAAAACCGCTGATAGTACGATATAATGTTTGGCTTCGTAGAGATGCCCAGATACGTGTACGAAGAGTGTATTCGGGTACGGCAGACTTGAAACCGATGCAATAGAAAGGGAGGTCATCGATCTTGCTTCGGATGACACTTTCCTTTTCGGAAACAGAATCATCCTCGTAAGGAGCATTCTCTTCCACCAGAATCTTGGTATCTTTTACAAAACAATCCCATTCAACAGGATGCAATTGTTTAAGATATTCAAGCAATGTAACACGAGAAAGCTGATCCTCTTCTCTGATAATTTCTCGTAAAGAGAGTAAGATCTTCTCTGCATAGTGAGGAATGAAGACAGTGAAGGTAGGCATGTTATCAACAGGAACAGGCTCAGGAATAGGAGTGGCCATTGACTGGGCGAAGAATGACAGACGACGCTCTGCCTCAGAATCGGCAGGAAAGAAATCAGTATGGACTGTGTGATCGTCTTGAGAAATGAAAAAGTTGGGAGTACGTAACGTACGTCTTCCTTCTTCAGCAGGAACCTGATGATAAAGCAAACGCTGAACATGATCGATAGATAGTAAGTGTTCACGATACATAGAAATAACAACTGCATTCCAGATTTGAGAAATCAGAATCTTCGGCTTATATTTTATTTCCATATCATTGGTAGCAAGAATTTTGCTATAGATTCTCTGTGGCAGTCGACTATAAATGTTCCTCCAGGGGGTCAAAATTGAAATACCAAGAATAAAGGATCTTAAAACAGAGAAGATTGTGTTAAAAATAACATACCACAAATAAGAGTCCAAGAAAAACAAAATTAAATCAGTAAAGTACATAATACCAAGTAAAATTCTAGGATGTACAAAGCACAATCTACTTCCCACCCAGTAAATTGAGCAGAGGTAAGGGCGCATTGTACTAAGCACAATAATTGGATCCCTAATTGACAATGTCAAGTAGAAGTAAGACTCGGCAAATTTACAGGTAAAGATACAAACCCAGATAAGAATGGAAACAGCCTGATTATCAAACTTCAACGGAGCAAAGTTAGCAGTGAAGTACTTGTTAGCCAAATACTTCCGGTCGCTCTTAACAGCCCACTTTCCAAAAGCAGATTGGAGTGGAACGATAGCAAAATAGAAGTAGGTTGCGATAGACATCAAAAACGCTATTACACCAACAGCAATTCTTCTTCCACTTCTCTGCTTTTCCTCAGATGAGAATACCAATATATAACCGATCGGAATAAGATTGATTCCGCAAACCGTAAGGATTAGCATGATCCTTTTCCAAATTGGTTTAGATCCCGGGAAGCGTCGAGGTACATATAGATATTCACACAAAGATGCGACCAACATGATGATACAGGCAACAATGGAAGACGTTGCCGTAGCGGCCCATTCAGATCCTCCAGTAGGCCTTGTGCCTTCTTTTCTATGGAATTTCTTGTTGTACAAAGTTGGAGAATTGTAAGCAGTAAAAAACCAGAACATGCAAAAGTGGATAACCCAAATACGATTGAAGTTGACAACGAGATGAAGCCAAGAACGAGTTTCATAGAACGTTTTGTAAAAAGCGCGATTCCATTGAACTTGAGGCAGTCTATGGAAACGCTCAGAAGCAGGAATATCAATTAAACGAGTTCCATCCTCGAAAATGAGTCGAGCGATACCTTCTGCATGCCAAAATAACTGATTGATATCATCATATCCAATGACTTGGTCGTGAGTGCGTTCACGGCGAACATATTTACCATCTATAATTTCAAATTGTTGGTCATGCATGTACTGGTAAAGAGGAGTAACAATACTGTCCAAGTAATATCCCTCCTCAACAGGCTCTGTAACATTTTGAGCTTCTGGAGAAGAGATATAATCATAAGCACATTTGAACAAAAATGCCATTAGCTCAGGCATGAACCGAACGTTGTTAGCTTCACCCCACAAAAGTAACCAAAGAGCAACTTGTTGGGCACGTTCAAATTGGGTCATTTGACGCATATGGGATCGCCAACGATATTCCGCTGATTCCAAGGAGTCATCTGTATTGACATCAATATACTCATCCTCTTGCTCGGCAGGCTCATCCTTCTTCTTATTCTTCTTGAAGCGGGACTTTTTGGGGGGTTTGGCTACTTTAGGAGCTTTCTTCTTGCGGGAGAAAAGCTTTCCCTTTTCTTTGACAGAGGTAGCTTTACCACCATACACGCCAAGGTTGGCAAGACCTATAGCGTCTTCACGGTCCATTTCAGCAGCAAAGTACCATTTTTTATAATTGGCAAGGTCACTGCCAATATAGTCAGCATGCAAGGTCAACAAAGCTTGATCGGGCGTCATACGCGATGCACGTGAATCTAACAAAGTCATGAAAAAGTCGTACATATTGCGCATAGAATCACGCTGAAACCCAAGCTTGTTAGTCAAATCAATAAAGATATCCTCAATTTCCTCTTTAGTCAAAGGAAGTTCATTTTCAGGAGTCCAGGCAGGATAGGGTTCTCTGGGAGCAAAATTAGCGCTATCAGCATAAAAGGAAGCGCTGTCCACATCCATAGGAGTGCCAGAGCCAGAATTGCCAACAAAAGAAGAATTACTAAATTCATAAGGACTTGCACCATAAGGAACGCTATTGTAGACATTGGCAAGCGAATCAGAGCTAGGATCGTAGCTGTTGTAGCGGCCATCACCACGCAAGTTGTAAAAGTTTGCCTCCGCAGGACGAGCATTGTAATCCGAATACTCTGAACCATACTCGTCTGAAGGATGGATATCCTTGGACTTGTCTGCAACATACTGATAAGGAGAGTCACCTGAATCAACAGGCGTATATTCGTCACCGTAGCTTTCCGTTACGCCAGTAGGATAATCATAGCCTTCGGCAAAATCCTCCTCATATACTGAGCCATTATCATAGCTTTCACGGGGGTATGAGGAGGCAGAAGGCCGTTGGTATGCGTTTTCATGATAATCTTCAGATTCATAAGCAAGCCCACCGTTGGTAGGATCTGAAGAACCTTGTGGATGATTATGATTGTCGCTCATAACAGCAAAAGGTAAGTAAAAAAATCTTTAAAAGTAAGAAAAAAAAAGAACGGGATTTAAGGGTAAATCCCAGGAACAAGGTTAAAAGAAAGAAAGAAAAAGAAAGAATATTCAAAATCAGCGAAAGACAGACAAATTTACAAGATAACAATTATAGAAATAATCACCTTGCAATTTTGAAGTGGGTATGATTAAAAATCCTTATATTAATAATTCTGAAAAGAAAGATGGGAAACCGTCCTGTCGTTCCAAATTTACGGGTATAAGAGGAGGTAAAGTAAAGACGGAATATGCTTGAATGCAAAGAAGGAAATCCGGGAATAAGGAAAGAAAAGAAAAAAGAATGCAAGTTTAAAAAGGAAAAATTCCGAGATACAACTTTTAGCACGTTGCTAAATTAAGATTACAGACCTGGAGCAAGCTACGAAAAGGAAAACGGAGCAAGCTAATTGGAGTGCAAAATGCAAACGCGGAAATGGGGTTGAACGCGAAAACTACTACGAGTTCAAGCGATTACTAGACCCCTTGAAAGAGAAGAAAAGGTAAAGAAAGAAAATAATAATAATAATCCTGTGTAGACACGTTCAAGTCTAAACAGAGTAAAAAATGCAACGGAAAAAACCGAACCAAACAAACGGGATATTAAAGGAAATCCCTAAACGGTAGGCTATATCGGGTCTATGGTATGTCAATCAAAGAGAAAGATAAATACAAGAGACCAACCCAACCGGTTATAAAGTTGGTGAAAAGACAGAGATCTCAAATTACAAAAACTAACGCGTCTATTAAGCGAAGAGTAATTCTTGTAAGGAGATACCTAGTTTTGGAAAGAAAAAACTTTGGAAACAGGTTAAATTCCTCGAAAAAGGGGGATTCGAAGAAAAGAACCTAGTGAGAATTCAGGAAGTTCTTTCCAAAGCGTCTATCCAAAAAAGTTTGTTTTACACCAAACTAAAAGACTACGCGAACACGAATGCTTTATTAGCGGTTTATAGGGTGTGTTTGGTTCGTGGAAGACGGCAGGCTGGTGTGAGGGGGTGGATTTATACAGGTTAGGGGAAACTGATAAAAAACAATAAAAAATCTCTAAAAGCTAATAGGGAGGAGAAATCAATAACTTGCTTTTACGAATCCCAAGGACAGCCACGTAAGCAGATTGAACGAGGCCGAAAAAAAAAAAAGATTATGTTGTGGTCGTTCTATGAAGATGTAAACAAACATTTTGTGAAAATAAAAAAATGCGTTTCTGTAAGGAAGAATAACAAATCATATTATAATCAAGAAGTTTATAGATATATTTATCTGGTAAATGATGAAAAACTCGTAAAAAAGCTTTTTCAAGAGTAGCAAGCTGGTTTTGTAATGCCAAAATTTGACAAGCTATCACCAGTTATATGCTTGAAAGTAATTCAAAAAAAAAAAAAAAAAAAAAAAGAAAAAAAGTATAAAATAGGATTAAACTAGAACAAACAGATGTTACAAAGGTCTTAAAAACTTAACATTTTATGACCTTGCTTTGGTTCATAACGCTATAAAATGCCTTGATTACTACCAAAGTTTCTTTCAGACAGCATATGCAATCCGTAATTTTCAATAATTTAGGAATAATAAAAATAAAATAAAATAAAATTAAATTAATTTTATAAATTAACCAGCAAGAACTGAGTTCTTATCATATATTGTTGCTTCAATGCTTATTGTTCATCACCCTAGTACACACACACTGTAACTTCGCGTGACACATAGACTAGCCGTGTATTTGTTATAAAGTCTTAAGAAAGAAATAAAAGTAATTCAACCTAAAGTATATTAAGATATAAACCTATAAAAATTTCTCGCGAGGATCCTAAAGCCTTTTTTATTTGTAAACAAAACACACTTTTCCTTAACAAACTACGCAACGTCTGGTTGTGTGGTACGATAGAAAGCTCTGAAAGTTTCAAAGTTGCCAAACGTATGACGTTTTTTGGTTCTCAGCCACGCTGATGTCAAAAGTTAGCGAGGTATACAGCGACTGTTTATTGAAGTCTGGGGCTAGCGGAGCATCGTTATTGGTATATAAGTTTCCGCGGGACCGAGCACAAGCTTTTGGAGGATGCAAGTAAGCGGATAGATCTCTAATGAGGTACTTAAAAAACCAAATATCATGAAAGTATATAAACACGTTTTCCTATTTACATGAAATTACCAAGAATGTTGTTTGTATTTCCATTAAATCTTGATCAAAAATGTAAAATTACATCACTTTTAAAGAGATAACCCCGGATCTTTGACCTGCCGGAAACCCTTTTTTTTAGAAGCTCAGACGATGTCTGTGTGCTACGGTAATCTTTGATAACAACAGTTTGAAAACTTCTATTATATTAAACTTTTTTAATATAATGACATGGGTTTCGTTGGGCCATCCTTATAGATATTTACCACGAAGTTGGAATGTGTTTGTGTAGTTTGCTATCGTTTATTACAAGTCTCGTAAAAGTACGTTAGTTTTTTTCGATTTCCTAAAAGAACCTCAGGAGCATACAGTTTCTTCTTTTGCATCCGCCCTTGGATTCCATTTCTGTGGAAATACTAGGCGTTCTCTTTTGTACCCTTATATATTTGAATCTCATCCTCTTTTACCCAATAACATTCGTTTTGCATCGTAGTTCGCGTCTTGTTCACCAAGGAAGTCTACGATTTGAGTATTCTTGTTGAAATCTCTCCGTACCGTTGAGATTCCTTTGTCTTTATTATCTACTTTTTTTCTTCTTCTGTTTATTTTAGAATCCTCGCTTACCATTGGATTGTTTTTCTTCGTACTAGAGCTGTATCTTCATCATGTCTTCTAGTGTTGCTCCAGAAGTTCTTTCATCCTTGCTGGTCCTTGTTCAAGGACTAGCTTCTCCTGACAATACCATCCGTACTGAAGCCGAAAAATCTTTAACGGCTGATTGGATTGCCCCACGAGCTGATTTGTTGCTGAACGGTTTGGCTGCTTTGGCTGCTCAAAGTGAAGACATCTCTGTATGTTGAACGTTAATAATAGCAAGGCATAAAAAAAGGGTTAAAGATAACACTAATAAAGTTCACCTTTTGTCCTTTCTTTATTGTTAGGAATATGTATATCTATTAAATTTCCCTTTTTCTTTTTTTGTCTATTGTTATTTTATCTGTTCCCTCCATCTTCTCTTCATGATCATCTTACTAACTTAATCTTCTCTTTAGATTCGTGCATTTTCTCTTGTCCTCATTCGAAGAATATCTTTCCGTACTCTGCCAAGCGATAGCGAACTTGAAGTGTTTTCGAGTCTTTCTAACGATGCCAGGCAATTGTTACAGAACCAGCTTTTGACTTGCTTTGTCCAAGAGGCTGTTCCCACCGTTCGTAACAAGCTTTGTGATACCATTGCCGAAATCGCCCGTTCTGTCTATGACTGTCAAAATGAATGGCCTGAACTTACCACCATCCTTTTTGGTACTGTTAACTCTCCGGAGGAGTCGTTTCGCGACTCTGTCTACCGTACAATAGCTGCCTTACCTCTCTTGTTATCAGGCCAGGAGGCTGCCATTGCTCCTTTGTTCAGCGCTGGCCTTGCTGATCCCAGTATCCGTGTTCGTGTAGCTGTAGTTCGTGCTTATGCTTCTGTTGTATTGGAAAGCAAACAGTCAGTTCGCAATCAAGTCATCCCTATGTTGCCTATTCTCCTCAATATTCTCCCTCCTTTGCAGCAAGAACATGACTCAGACAATCTTACCGAATGCCTCATGGCCATCACTGAAATTGCTGAGGTGTTCCCCAAGATTTTCCGCGACATTTTTGAAACTTACCTTCAATTTAATCTTGGCATTATCAAAGATAAGGAGCTTGAAAATTCTACTCGTCAAGCTGCTCTGGAAGCCCTTGTTTGTTTCTCAGAAGGAGCTCCCGCCATGTGTAGAAAATCACCAGAATATGCTAATCAGCTCGTTTTGCAATGTTTAATGCTTATGACTGACGTTGCTGGTGACGAGGAAGATGAGGCTGAAAATCTTCAGGAATGGTTAGAGACTGATGATCTTGACCAGGATGAAAGCGATGCCAACCACATTGTCGCTGAACAAGCAATGGATCGCCTTTCTAGGAAATTGGGTGGTAAGACTATTCTTCCTCCTTCTTTTACTTGGTTGCCCGGCTTGATCTCTTCTCAAAAATGGTCTGAACGCCATGCCGCCCTTATGGCAATTTCTTCCATTGCTGAAGGTGCTGAGAAAATTATGAAGCGTGAGTTAAGTCGAGTATTAGACATGGTTCTGCCTTTGTTGGCTGATCCTCATCCACGAGTTCGCTGGGCCGCTTGTAATGCCGTTGGTCAAATGTCTACTGACTTCGCCCCAGATATGCAAGTCAAGTATCCTTCCCGCATACTTGAGGCCCTTATTCCTGTTTTAGAGTCACCCGAGTCTCGTGTTCGTGCTCATGCTGCTGCTGCCATGGTAAACTTCTCGGAAGAAGCAGACAACAAGGTCCTTGAGCCATATCTTGACGACGTCCTTCAACGTCTTCTTACTCTGTTACAAAGCCCTAAACGTTATGTTCAAGAACAGGCCATAACCACAATCGCTACTGTTGCCGACGCTGCTGCTAAGAAGTTCGACAAGTACTTTGATGCTATTATGCCCCTTTTAATCAGTGTCTTACGCCAAGCTGAAGGCAAGGAATTTAGGACGCTCCGTGGTAAAGCTATGGAATGTGCTACTTTGATTGCTTTAGCTGTAGGAAAGGCTCGGTTTTTACCAGTTTCTCAGGAAATCATTCAGGTTCTTGGTACAATCCAAATGAGCATCACTGACAGCGATGATCCTCAGGCTAGCTATTTGATTTCTGCATGGGGACGCATCTGTCGCGTCCTTGGAAGTGACTTTGTTCCTTTCCTTGGATCTGTGATGCCACCTTTGCTTGCTGCTGCTACTTCCAAACCAGATTTCACAATTGTTGATGAGGACACTGATGATAGTAAGTTTTCAGAGCAAGATGGTTGGGAGTTCATTCCTGTTCACGGACAACAAGTTGGTATTAGAACTAGCACTTTAGAGGATAAGTGCACCGCCACGGAAATGCTTGTATGTTATGCTGCTGAACTGAAGGCTGACTTCGACCCGTATGTAAATGAGGTTTTGACTTCTGTTGTATTACCTGGTTTGAAGTTCTTCTTCCATGATGGTGTACGTTCTGCATGTTGCAAATGCATTCCTCAGTTGCTGAATAGCAGGATCCTCGCAAGCAACCGTGATCCCGTCAAGGTTGCTGAAATTTGGGATCCTATCCTTCGTAAATTATTAGATTATATCCAAAGCGAACCAAGCTCGGAAATGCTATCTGACTATTTTCAGTGTTTTTACGAAAGCTTAGAAATCATTGGTCCCTGTCTTGATGCTGCTTCTATGGAGAAGTTGGTTTCGGTTGTTGATCTACAGTTGAAGGCTTTCATTCAACGTGTGCAAGAGCGTGAAGAGAATTCCCGCAATGGTGACGCTGATGTGGAAGAAGATGAAGACATTATTTTGGCCATTGAAAATGACCAAAATATGCTAAACGAGATTAATAGAACATTTAGCGTAGTTTTGAAACAACATAAAGCAACGTTTTGTCCTTATTGGGAACGTTTGTTACCTTATATGAATGGTTTTTTGAATGGCTCTGATGTTATCGCTAAGCAATGGGCTTTGTGCATGATGGATGATTTAATTGAGTTTACTGGTCCTGATTCTTGGGCGTACAAAGACCATTTCCTTCCCTATTTGGCAGAAGGCATTCAAAGCCAAGAACCAGAAATTCGCCAAGCTGCCGCTTATGGTATCGGTGTTGCTGCTCAACATGGTGGAGAAATGTATTCTGAGATTTGCTCTAGCGCTTTACCTGCTTTATTTAACATGCTTGAGAATCCAGATGCTCGAGATGAAGAACAAATTTTTGCTACAGAAAATATAACTGTTGCAATTAGCAAAATTTGTCGCTTCTGTAGCCAGCGTATCCAGGATCTTGATAAAGTCATTACTTTTTGGGTAAACACTCTTCCAGTTACACATGATGAAGATGATGCACCTTACGCTTATATGTTTTTGGCCGAACTGATGGAACAGAACCACGTAGCTGTTGTATCCCAAATGCAGGTTGTCATCCCTGTCCTCGCAGATACCTTTGCTTCTGGAGTTTTACGCGGTCGTACTTTAATTCGTCTACTTGAAGCCTCTAAGGCATATTTGTCCCAATTCCCTGTTGATCAAGTCAATAATGTCATCTCTACTTTGAGTGTTGACAACCAAAGGGCTTTGTCTGCTTATTTTTAAACGACTAAGTCATTGAAAAGTTTTTCTTTTATTAGTCTATTCAAAAAAATTAGATTAGGTTAGGTTAATTGCTAGGTTTAATTAATGTTGTTGAAGTTCAGTTTAGTTCAACTACTTTCTATGTGGATAAGAATATCTGAATGTATAAGAGAATAACCTTCAATTGCTGTAACATTATATACCTCGAATAAATGAGTAAGTTGAAGAGGTAAGAATGAAGGCAAGCAGTGGTGTATTTTCCTATTGCTAATGAATGATCTGACATTAACATCAAAATAAACAATTTTTATTTCTTGTCTGAATCTATATTAATTGTTTAATTATAACAACTGAAGAATATTGTATGCTTACTAGTAGCTATGTACTGTAGAAGGCGCAACCAGTTGATTCTGTTTCGCCCCAGCAAAACTTTTTTCTTTTCAATCCACACAGCGAATTCAATATGAATTACGGCTATAACGGTTATAATGGCAACTCAGAAGCGAATTATGGTCCTTACGGGCCTCAATATCCTGTCAACTCTCATTCAAATCGTGGATATCCAAATGTAGGCTATGATCCTCCATCTGTGCCACCTCCTCGCGGTAATAGACCTAATATAGATGGCTACACGGACCAAGTGCCTACACAAAATGTAGGACATATTGATATCGGTGCTAATCAGCACTATGGATATGCACCTCCTTCAGGACCACCTCCCGCAACTGGAAATTACGCTTATAACAACCCAGGCTATCACGGACCGCAGTTACCTAATTCACAATCACAATCTTATGGATTTTCTGGTGGAGGCTCATTTAGCTATCAGTACTCTACTTGTCAAGGAAAGCGAAAAGCCTTGTTGATTGGTATCAATTATGTGCATACCCCTAATGAATTACAAGGATGTATTAATGGTACGAACCTCGTCAATGTTAGGTTTTGAATTATGTCTAATGAAAACTAGATGTCCTATCCACAGGTGAACTTTTAAAGGAGAGATATGGATATAAACCTGAAGACATGGGTATGAATTTTCTGTGGTCTTCGTTACGAGTTTTTCTAACTGTTAAGTAATTATGACCGACACCGCTCAACATCCAAGAGCTATTCCGACTCGTCAAAATATGATTGATGCCATGCGATGGCTCGTAAGCGGCGCTCAACCAAATGTAAGATAATGAAAAGAGCATAGTCAGTACCAGTTTTCGAAATTCTTTTAGAAAATATGAACGAGACTAGATTACTGTTATCGTATCTTTTCTTTACTTTATCTCTATATTCGGTGATAGCTAACATAGTCTAGGACTCTTTGTTTTTTCATTATAGTGTATGTTTAAAAGAGTTTCTTGATTATACTAATCATTCTCAGGGACACGGTGGACAAGCAAAAGACTTGGATGGCGATGAAGCTGATGGATACGACGAAACGATTTATCCCTTAGACCATGAAGTCTCAGGACAAATTATTGATGATGAAATGCATGAAGTTATGGTTCGACCTTTACCTGCTGGATGCCGTTTAACGGCTATTTTTGACTGTATGTTTATCAGCTACAAACGAAGTACAACTTTGACTAACAAATGATAGCCTGTCATTCTGGAGGTGCTTTAGACCTGCCTTTCACCTATTCTACTAAAGGTGTACTTAAAGAACCGAATATGCTGAAAGAGTCGGGTATGAATGTTCTAAACGCTGGCATGTCGTATATGTCTGGCGATATTGGAGGTATTTTCAACAATGTGAAAAGTGTATTCCAAAAGGCTTCTGGCGGGTTTAACAATAGCGCTGTTCAATATTCCCGACAGTATAAGTTTTCACCTGCAGATGTTATTTCTATTTCTGGTTGTAAGGATAGTCAAACTAGTGCCGATACAAACGTTAATGGGTTTTCAACCGGCGCTCTTTCGTATGCTTTCCGTGAAGTTATAACTCAAAATCCTCAAATTAGCTACCTGGATATGCTTCGAGGCGTTCGACATATCTTACAAAGCAAGTACTCACAACTTCCTCAATTAAGTTGTAGCCATCCTTTAGACATGAACTTAGTTATGCTTCTTTAATTACAAAAGACTTTTCAATTTTTATTTTTATTATTTGAAATAGCCAATTTACAAATTACCACTAAATTAGCTTCCTTAATTTAGATGTATCTTAATGTTGATATTTATTAAATTTGGAAAATTGTATCGAACGTTTCCATTTATCAAAGAAACTTTTCTCATCAAATAGCATGAAAGGGACATTTTCGCGTAGCATAAAGTCTTAAGGCTCGCCCAAACCATTTTGTTCGGGCTTGAACCATTCATTTTTTATGTCCATACAAACCCCTGTTGCGTTCTTTTGGGCCTCTTCTGGTGAACTACCTCTGGCACAAATGTAGTACTTGAGTTTAGGCTCGGTACCGCTGGTACGGATAGTCATAACGACTTGGCCATTTTCGAGTTCGAAAGTTACATTATCTGAACTTTTAGAAGTTGGTAATTTAGCTTTCTTATCCACTGTAGTGGAATCATAATCAGCAGTTAAATCACGAACGTTGGTTATGTTATAGTTTCCTAGTTTAGTAGGGTATCCATTAGTGGTGCTTTTCTTGCGAAGGGCATCCACCAAACCACGAAGTTTTTGTGTATCGCGAGAGAAAAAATACGAGTTTCGGGTTACATAGTAACCGTACTTTTGAGAGATTTCAATAAAGACTTGAGTAACGGAAAGTTGTTGAAGTTTTAGGCGTTTAAGAAGGTGTAGGAAAGTTAATAAAGCATTCACACCATCTTTGTCTTTTACAATACCACCTACCATATAGCCAAGGGCTTCTTCATAAGCTAGACCCACGAATTTGCCTTGGTCTTCTAATTCAGCAGCCGCATTACCAAGCCATTTGAAACCGGTTAATGTCTCTACATGATGAAAACCTTCGATCTTTGCCATAGATTTCATAAGAGCGCTGGAAACGGTAGTAGAAAGCACATAAAAATTATTAACAGGTTTACCCGCGTTCTTATACTCTTGGAAAATGAAATAAGCCAAAATACAGCCAATTTCATCTCCGGTAAAACGTCTCCACTCATTGTTTATCTTTTCGGCAAATGCAAACCGATCAGCGTCAGGGTCGGTAGCCATAACATAAGGAATATTATGGGTGTCGGCTTGCTTAAAAGCAAGGTCTAGGGCACCCTCTTCTTCAGGATTGGGAAATTTGACAGTTGGGAAGTCAGGATTTGGTGAGTCTTGAAGAGGAACGGAGGTCATGTCAGCTTGCTCACCAAAAAGGGTTAAAGCAGACGTAACGAAAGGGAGACCTACACCATGAATAGGGGTATATACAAATTCAAGTGGTTGCATATCTAATGAAAAAGTATTCTCCGCGTGGAATTCATGTAGTTGGGACCAATACTGCTTCAGTAAATCCGTTGCAAATGTACGATTTGCCAACATGTGGTGATCGACTAGGTCTTTGTCCCAAACTAAAGGCTTTAAGTTCTTCTCTATACAGGAAGCTATGCCTTTATCATGAGGAGGAATGATTGCGGATCCATTGCTCCAATAAACCTTATAACCATTATAGACAGCTGGGTTATGAGAAGCAGTAATCATAACACCAGCAGCAGCCTTTAGGTTTTTTATAGAGAAGGGAATAAGTGGAGTATGGATGAGGAAACCATAAGCATATACTTTAAACCCCTTGTTCAAGAAAGCAGCGGCTGTTAAACGAGCAAATTGCTGTGAGTTATGTCTATGATCGTGACCTACGACGACGCCCATCTCTTGAGATCCAGGCACGGTTTGGATTAAATATTCAGCAAATCCCTGAGATGCTTGTATAACAGTTAATTCGTTCATGCGAGCAAACCCGGCACCAATTTCAGCACGCAAACCTAGGCGAAATGTTAGAATTTACATAGTTTACATTACAGTTACAAAGAGGATATCTTTCTGAGCACATTCCCCAAGAACGCTCAACTCATAGAGAAAGAGAGAGATTGTAATTTCAAAAGCTGATTGGAAGCAGGGACAAACTGTTCGACCCACTTAGAAAATAAAGGTCGCTTTTTGAAAGGGTAATCAAACTTGCCAGAAAGAGTTCCTTGTAACATCTCGAATGAAAATGATCGTTTAACTTACCTGAAGTACCAAATCCGATTCTTGGATGCATGATTTGTTCCAAAGTTGCATAATCGCCAACGTTAACTAGATTTATTACTTCGTTCCTTGTAGTTTCATTCTATTTTCAATAAATACCATTAGCATCTCATCAAGCTCATTTCATCAGAAAGGTTGCGTACTTGATCAATTGCAAGCCATTCATTTACCAAATTTTGCAAAGAAGCATCCATTTTGCTAAAAAACCAACTTCTTAGATCTGCTTCTTAGGGATTGACCGTACAGAGTTGCTATATCAAACAGTAGGTGGTAGATCACAGTAGGCAAGAAGTATATGAGTCAGTACATTCGATTAAGAAGTATGAGGTAGAGGTGATTGTAAAATAGGAAATGAATAATTCAAACAAAGTTTAAAAATTATTGTTTGTTTGATACTTGTTTATGTGAAATCGGCCTACCTTTGTTAATACCAAAGAATAAAGTGTAAGAACAGAATCAAAGACACAACGTGCGTTCTACATGGGATTTTAGCATGAAATTTAGGGTTGATTGAAACTACGAATACGTTAAGTCTTTCTATGTATGAACGAATATTGGAATGAAATTCCAAGCTTTTCATACAGAGTCAACAGCTTTGTAGTTCAGTGGAAAGATGAACGAGCTTAAGTCATAAAACAAATCTTCCTTCAATGATTTACTATATAAAATGCTATGATCTGAGTGGTTATCTTGTTTGTTCCAAAGAAAAATTTGTATTCAATATAAGATCAAATAACAACCGCTAGAAAGCCATATTCGGCATGCTATAGCTTTACGGATATGGCACTGCATTTGAAACAAACATAAGCACATATTCAGCAAACCCAAGAATGCCACTCAACCGAATGAACGATCGATTATAAGTGGACACTGCGAGAATAAAGAAAGAAGATAATTAAGTAAATTTCAGACCTGTCAAGATGAGGAGAGGAGCGTAGGAAATTCTGCGTTGACAAATGTCCAGTAAGCATGACAAGTAAACATGCTCAAAAGAAAGATTGTAGAAACGTTTAAATGGCATCTATATAATTAGCTTCACGTCGTTGGTAAAATAAATACCTACCTGTCATCAGTTTGTTCAAATGGTTGACACGAGAAGAAATACTCACGTCAAGGATGTTGTCTCCGATTTCCACAATAAGACCGCCGAGAATGGAAGGAGAAACCTTGTTGCTAACTAACAGTTTACCCTTGCCATACTTGGACTTTGCGATCTTGGATTCCAAGCGGGACAAAGTCTTAGAGTCCAAAGGAGCAGCGGAAGTGATAGTTACCTCGACTTCACCACGCTGGACACGCATAATCTTTTGGAATTGATTTTCAATACGATCAAGCATTGACAAACGATTGTTTACGGACAAGATGTTGAAAAAGTTACTCAACAAGGCATCACCGCCAGTCATCTTGCTTAAGGAAGATACAATCAATTTCTTGTCCTCATAATTAATGGAGGGATTAGCAATAAACTGGGCAAACTCTGGGCGTTCCTTCAAAGTAGCTCCCAAGGTAGTCAAAGCTTTTTCAACACGGTCCAACTTGGATTCTTTTACAGCAGCAGTGTAAAGAGAAGTAGCATAAACACCTATCCACGTTAATAAACGTGAACGTCATTTCAAGTAATGGAACCCACTATATTCTCCGTTTCCTATGCACAAGGAACTTACCATCTAGACCATGCAATTGAATAGGAGGGCGAACAGAAGCAGTAGCTGTAGTTGCATTACGAAACCCGAGGCGGGAGAATCGTAGAGAACTCGATTGTACTTGGCGTAACATGGATCCTCGCATAAAATTCATCATTTTGAGTATATCGCTGTTGGCAGGTACTCGGGTTCTTCTCTATGTCTTTATACGGATTGTGAAGCTTGTAATTCTTTACTGCGAAACTTCTTATCCTTTGTTACCTATGATGAAGTAACATAAACAGTATAATGGAAAAAGGTAAAAGAAAAAATTGCGAGTAAATAAGAGTATGACAAATTTTATTAGGCATATAATTATTAGTATGCAATTAGAGAACGTAATCAATTCATCAGCTAATAGAAAGTAAAGCGGGAGGTTCCTTTTCAAAAGTGACATACATAAATAAGGAAGAGAGTGCCAGGTGGTAAATTTTTACATATAGAAGAGAACAATAAGTGGTGAATAAAAGCTGGGTGTTTTTCTTAGTAAATGCCCAAAGTGAAAGCGCAGGCTATAGTTTAACAACACGGTCTCTGTAAATGGCTTCCACGGCTGTCATTTCGTCATTTCGAAGGATTCGCAAGACCGCACGTTCCCCTGAATACGCAGTAGACAAGCCCGTATCGATTAAGATGACTTGGCCATTGCAACGACTACGAATTCCTTCAAATTGAGGTGTGTGCCCTATGACCAAACGATCAACATTCAAGCTTTTTGTAACATTAGATGCCACTTCGCATGCAAGTTCTAGAGGAAGTTGAGCATAACCTCTGTACCACATAGGGCCTTTTATCCCCCAAAACGCCTTCAGCTCATCTGGTAACTCTTCAGCTTTCATAAACATCTCCAGAAGTTCATGTCCCATCGGATTAACGAAGTTCTCCATAAGACTCCATTCTGGGGACAGTCCGGCATGCATAAAATGAGATCTACTGGTTTCATCTTTAAATGTCACGTTGTATTTAGTTATGAGTAAATTTCCAATCTCTCCTTCAGGTCCCCAATCGTATTTACGGTTTTCAATAGAGGGTTCAGGGTACGAAGCTAGGTCTCCATAATGAACATAACGCCAGTCGCCATTCGCATTCATAAACTCATGGTTTCCAAGTAAACGAATGACTCGTCCTCCTTGCCGCTCTGCCTGAGTGCTTAATTCATCAAACCATCTGAAAAGAAATCTGGTATCCGGGCCACGATCAACAATGTCTCCCTGTATATAATTGTCAGCTTTTTCTCTTTTCTCTAATTCATGCTTACCGTTTGGACCAAGGTTGCGTTTCCTGCAGTCCATTCAAAAGGATGCACTGGAGACACAACTCCAGCGGCAGAAAGAGCGTCCAGAGCGTTATGGAAATCTCCATGAATATCTCCAATTGCATAAACTTTCACAGGAAAATCCTCTGTGTTTCTGTTTCTATTGTCAAAAAGGGGAATCACGTCTGGTAGTCTAATGTTCAAGACTTTATCGATATTCAAGTTGGCCAAAGCATATTTAATGAAAAAAGCGAAAAACAAGCCAAAAGTAAATATACGAAACAAAGATAACAATGGATATTGCCTAATTTCTGGTATTCTCGACATTTGCGTTGAACTGTAGTTTGAAGAAAGACTTCGAATGTAAAATACAAATCGTAAAAGAATTCGGATTAATTAAACACTACAGAAAAAAAGGCTTTTATAATACCTACTATTCGTCTACAGACACATAGCGTGATGACAAAAAAAATAAGAAATGTTATACATATAAAGCGACTGGGTTGGGTTACTTATATAATACACATTAGGAAACCCCATCGTAAATAACCATTTGAACAGTTCATTAAATAAACCAGACGAAAATACAAGGAAACTTATGGAAGCACCGATGTTCAGAGAAGTTGAATTGTTATATTAGATACTGTGTAGAAAAATAGTTTTTTCAGATGCTTTTCCTTAGGTATTGCGGCGAACGTTGCTTTAGATATGTAATTAGCGATCGATTGGCTCGATACAGAAGACTTTTAACGGAAGACCAATAAAGTACAAAAATAAAACAGCCAGCTTGAAGCCATATATATTTCTGGTAAGAAGCTAAGAATTCTTTGACTTGAACAAGCCAAAAGTACTCGTGACTTACTGTTAAATTATAGGGAGGAGGTTGTCCCTTAATTGACAAAACACTCAAAGTTGTATTGATGATGCGTGCAGGTTGATCTAACTTGAGTAATGTACCATCTTCAGACTGATCCCAATATTTTAATCCCGATGGATGAACTAAAACGAATCGTGAGTAGGGTACAGACTTTATGGAAAAGGTATCGCTAATCCATGATTTCCACTGATGGGCATTCAACCAGACGAACGTTATCTTATTATTCTCGGGTAGAGGTAAAGCATGTTTGGCGGCACGAAAAGGAACATCTTCGTAGCCTTTCGCTTTTAAGTAGTTCACATAGTCCCACCATTCTTTACGAGCATTGAGTAATTGGTTTCGTTCAATAGATCTTATAGTCTGCACCCACTGTTTTCCTATACTTTGGATATTGTGCAAATCTTGGCTCTCAACGTGACGAGAAATAGGATTCACTAAAGCAATAGCTAGATAAGAATCATCATCTAATGTTTTCGCAAATTCAGGGGTTAGCTCTGGTACAAGAGGGTATTTAAGCTTGGCAGCCCAGGAACAAAGACGGATAGGATCGCGCATAGAAGAAACAGACTCTGCCGGATAAGAAAAGGAGACTCCATTTCGTACTGCCATTAAGTGAGGGAGTCGAGTGATATTATAATAGTTAGCCAGATTTTTATCATCTGACCGAAAGATGGGAGCATAGCCAGCTAAAGAGCGAGAAAACATCCGCAAATAATTAAAATCTTCAGATGTTGACCCATAGTCATGTATATACAAGAAAAAGGTGGGGTATTGACTTTCTAAAGACTCTAATTCTTTTAAACGAACCACACTGTCGATATGTGGTTTTCCATCCAAGTTATTTAAAGGACGTATAGTTTCTGCAAATTTAATCAGGACTTCAAATGGAGTATGGCTGGTGAAAAAGGTGAATTCACCCATTAGGTTATAGTAGGCAAATGTAGGATATGTATGAATTCCCAACTCTTGTTGACAGTACCAAGGGTTAGAGCTGCAGTCAAATGAATAAAAAGGGATCCCTGATTTATATTCCTTTAATAATTTTACAAACGCAGAAGCAGCATTGTGGGCATAATAGTTGCAAGTAGTGCATCGTTTGTCCTTCGACGTAAACAAAATAAATCCATTTTGTCGAAAAGAACTATATACATTGTTATGTAGCTGGTCATAATTTATCTCTTCGAAATAGCTAACTAACTGAGACTCAAGTTGGTTAGAAGTCTCAGCTTCTGTGTTGATTAGCCGTTTTTCCTTTGTTGTAACAACATCTAAAAGAGAGGCTCCTATTAAACTATGGTTTACGTTTTTTCCTTCTTCAAAGGCTTTCAAGCTAGTATTATTCGTCAGTATTACCAAAGAGGAACCTCGCAAAACAATGGAATATAAACTTAAGCAAAGGACCAGAGTCTTTATGAACCCCATCGATAAGCCCATATTTAGAGAAAAAACTGAAACCCGTCAACTTCAACGCCTTTCCTAAAATTTACCTCCAGCACCCTATTTCTGTACGAAATTGAGTTCGTAGTCCATTGGGATAAATATGTAGCAAGGTACAGTACGTTCCATATTACATTTAAGGATGGTTTGCGAAGTTGAAGGAAACAAGAAATAAACAATGACAAAAATACAAAGGAATATCATTTTTTAAATGTAAATTTATTATTGCTTGTAATATAAAATGTATTTGTCAATATAAGTAAAAAAAAGACGAAATCAAACTCTTCGACTCTTATGGGCTATATCATGAGTTTTGTTCAGGAATTTATTATTGTTTACGACGATTCCCAAGCCTAAGGCTTGGTTAAATCAAAAAGAAGACGAATTGGAGGAAGAAGATGCTCGATTCGCCAAGTCTTTGATTTCTTGTATTCCCAATGGACCAGATTTTGAAGGATCAAGAATAGCTTCAAGAGCAGCTTTTGCGACATCTGAAGTCGGTAAAGGCTCAGCAGAAGCAGCTCCAAGAAAATCAAAAAATCCAGAGCAAAAATGGTTGAATCCAGAAGAAAGTTTCAGAAGAGGAGCGAAGACTCCAGATATAGGTCGATTATAGGTATCATACATAAAGGTAGGACGTACAAAAATGGATCGCATATTTGGTATTTTAGAAATAGCTTGCTCGGCCTCTCGCTTCGTACTTATATATCGTGGATCGAGCCCAGGAACAGATGCATGAGCGGAAATATAACAGTATACTGGGACATGGGCTTCAGCCGCTATATTGGCTGTGTTAATAGCTAAGTCTCGGTTGATAGTTTCAAATCGTAGATTTGGCTTAGCAGGAGGAACAGATGGAGAAGGGGGTTTTTTCAATGGGTTTTCAGAGCCTTGGAAAACATTGCTCCTCAAGTTCTTGACGAGTTGAAGAATCGAGCCTCTTGGGTTTTCAAGAGCTTGCTTATAGTTGGATTCCATAAGGATTCCGACCGTATTAACTACTGCAGAAGCATCTTGAACAATAGGAAGAAGGGAATGGGGTTCCTTCATTGCATCCACTTTTTCCCAATGGACTTTTTCCATCCATGGTTCTTTGTATTGAATTCCACCACGTCCTCTTCGAGACACAGAGACAACTTGATGCCCTCTTGCAATCGCAAGTTTACATATGTTATGACCAAGGAACCCAGATCCACCTAAGACAACCAGCTTCATTGTAACAACTATAGAGCACTATTAAAAATTTAACAAATTGTCGAATTCTAGGAAAAAGAAGAAAATGTTAAAAGTTGAAAACAAATATTAAATAACTCTGGATCGATTTTCAAAGATGCCTATTCCTCGAATGTATCTTGCTTTATGTCAACTGAAAGAAAGCTTTATAAAGGAGGCTAATAAAACCGGAATGTGAGAAAAAGGAAGTAGGAAGTTGCAAACAAATAAAAGGAAAATTGAGAATCTTCTTTTTGAACCTTACTAGTGGAATCTTGGTACGATGTCAAATTATGATAGAATTGTTAACTCATCTGTTACTCCAAAGGCATGATGTTTGTTTACATATAAGAGGGAAAAAAAAGACAAGAGTAAATACATTAATACGGATGGAAGAGAGGAATGAATATCTTGCCTACATATTGAGGTTATATTCGTTGAGACAGATCCGTACTATGATCATTCAAGTAAGGAAATGAGTTATTAACCAAGAAAAGTTTATGAACCTTTTCTTTGTGTGACAATAACTTTTCGCTAAATTATAATCAAAGTCATTTTGTGTAAATAACTGGAAAACCAAAGAGTCTTACAAATACAAAGATTGACATGTGTAAAAAAAACCAAATGGTATTTTGATATCAAATAAAAAGGTCAATTGAGATATTAACCTTTACGTCCGCTTATAAGACATAGTTTAGCGATGTTTTAAAGGAATTTGTCTGTCGCAGTACAATTCAAATCTAGAAACCTTTGCAACTCAATAGGACATTCGTCACCTTTCGTGTTAAGTTTTGTTGAAACATAAAATTGAACCCATTTCTTTTCCTTCGATATGAAGTGTCCATTTTCAAAAAGTCTCAACACATACTCATCCCTATTGTAAACAAAGCATGAGACGCATTCTAAATGGTATTAATGATTATGCTCCTTGTCAAATAGCTTAAAGATTTTCGTACTCAATTAATAGAGCTTAATTAAACTTTATACAATCGAATTGAAATAGGTTCATATCATTTTATTTCTATCAAAAATCTCTTATTAATTGTAACTAGAATATATTCTGTATAATTATATTACGATTAATATTGTTTTAAGCTGTTGCGTTGTACCACAGGATCTTGTGCATTGCCCCTACCATATTTATAAGGTAGTACCGGCCTGGCCCAGCTTGAACTTAGTAGCCAACGACTTCATTCACATTCAATTAATATGGGAAATGTTCAGTCTCAGGAAGGTAAATTTACTTCTTTTCATTCATTTGCAGAGAATTAAGTTGGTTATTAACTATTTTCTTCAGGTGACTCCGCTTTGTCACGTAACGCCCAGGGTGTAAACAAATCCGTTACGAAAGAAAAACCTGACTCGCTTCCTCATAGAACCCAAAGCATGATTAGTATTGCTCCGGATGATCTTAACCAGGATGTTGACCTTATGGATGACAATTCTAGTATCACGGGTGCTACCGATGGTTCTCAAAATGCCGCAGGTGCTTCTGGGAGATATAAACGTCGCTCTCATTCTTCTACCAAAAGAGAACCATATACAGGTATGCCGTTCATGCTCAATGGAAGATATGCTCTTTGTCGAGTGGATGGGATGGAACTCAACCAATTCGGAATTCTGTTCTCCAACTTGACTCTATTTCAAAGAGACCTATCATTCACCTTTCTTTTATTTATATGTCCAAGACTTTTGTTAACTGATGGTTAGGTCCTTATGTCCCTACAGTCCTTCGATGGAGAGGCGGAGGTGAAATCGTTTACGTTACAGGTTCTTTTTCAAAATGGAAAAAGAAAATTCAGCTGCTTAAAGGGTAAGAAAGATTCTTTTTAAATACTAACAATGTTCATTAGCGAAGATTATACACTCGTCTTGCAGTTACGCCCTGGAACTCAAAGGTTTAAATTTCTTGTCGATGGTATTTGGTGCTGCTCTTCTGATTTTCCAACTGCTACAGATGCTGATGGAAACCTGTACAATTATCTTGAGGTTGAAGCCAACGAAGGTGTCGATACTACCCTTGATCAGAGACTCAGTCAAGTTCACACCAATTTCCCTCCTAGTGAAGAGCCGGAATCCGAGAAATATGTTTCTGAAATCCCGTCTTTTCTCTCCAGTAGCTCTTTAGCCGAAACTAAACTCCCTAAACCTCCTTCTTTGCCTCCTCATCTTGAGAAATGTATCTTAAACTCTAACACCACTTACAAAGAAGATCAATCTGTTCTTCCAAATCCAAACCATGTCGTTTTGAATCACTTGGCTGCTGCTAATACCCAACTGGGTGTTTTGGCTTTGAGTGCAACTACTCGCTATCATCGAAAGGTAGGCTTTTGTAAACTCCTTCTTCTTGACTTTATCTAACCATACAGTATGTTACTACCGCCATGTTTAAGAATTTTGATGTGTAATGACTTTATTGCGTTCTTCTTTCCGTACTTATTATTTTCTTCTTTAAGTAACTATCATATATTAATTTCGTAATTATAAAAAAATATTAAAAAGAGAATACTTAGAAGGGCTCATTATTATTCCTGATAGCACCAATGACGAATTAGAGTATACATGTTCTTGTAAACTGCTTTCATGACTGTTTGTAGTGTCCCTTCACTTTTCGTATAAGGAAAATAGTTATATAGAAAAACATTCCAAGAATCACTGTGTTTGTTATCCATCGAACGGAATGTTCATGTTCAATGTTGGCAGTTGGAATCATTATATTTAAGGTGGAAGGTCCAATTAATGTTAAGGGATGCACAAAGCTATTGAGAAGCAAATTTGAAATATACTCTTCTTTTATAGGTTCCCTATTCCTAGAACAGTCCCAGTAAAAACTAGGTGAATAAAAGCTTGTGTCTACATAAACAGAGCCTTCAGCAGGTAACTGGTAACGAGTGTGCAAGGGAAGCTCCAGTCGGAGCGCATGATTATGAGTATTTGTTTCATTTAAAAACACTTGGAACCATAAAACGCTTCCTGTACCTGCAAGGGTATAAGTTGGGGCCTCTAAGTCTGTTTCGCCGTAAATCCTAATAATATGATCCAAATTTCCAGCGTTCATTTCAGCCATTGAAGATAATTCGTATTGATCAAAGAATAATGTAGAAGGTAAATGAAGGATGCCTCGTAAAGAACAATGCTTGCTTGGCGGCTTCAAGTTTTTTAAGTTGACTTGTAATTTGGGATGCAAGCCTGTCGGTTGTACCAATTCTGCAGCATATACATTTTTTTGATCTTTGTTTTGAATACTGATATCTTTTACCTTCCAGAATTTGGTTTTTTCATCCCAAAACCCGCTTGTATTTATATTAGCATAATCACTTGATTCATCAATGGCTTCTGTCAATTCATAATATCGGATCTTTTCTTCTTTAAAATACATCCACTTTTCCTAAATATTTCAAGTGAGTTAGTAAGCATTCTAGTTTCAATTCCATGAAAACTATGTACCTCTTGATTTTCTATCAAGCTATCATTTTTTACAAAAGGGATTGATTTAAAAGCATCTCTATATATTTAGAAAATTAGCAGTTTACTCATATTCTTCGACTTACGAGTTAAAAGTATCTTTGCCTAGAAAAACCCAAAAACCTTTTGGGAATACCCCGTTTTCATGTAAAAGAGCAAATCTACCAGGAAGTTTAGCGTCAGATGCGGAATTGAAAGAACTAAATGGATTGTTTTTATCAAGAAAGGACTTCAAATTATCAAAGAACTGCATTGTTTGTCCTTTAAGTGCTCGTAGAATAGCTCTGTGAACACCAAAGTTTATTTACTTGTCAAAGTATGAGCATATTGTTAAACCGTGTTTACAATGTAGTTATGTGGTTTCAGTTATAAAATTTTAAAGAATTCAACGTATATACTTATTTACATATATATACACAACAAAAACCCATTAGAACCCAGTACCTATGTCTGTAGTACTATAGTCCATTTACCCAAAAATTCGTTTTATGTTTTATTTATTCTTTGTATAAACATTCAGGAAAATAAAATAAAAGTTTTCCTCGCTGAGGGAATAACAACGACACTGAAGCCGTCGGAGAGTCTATAGTCAATTCCAAAAGAAAATAGAAAAGCAGGTATAGGAAAAGTTGCATTACATTTGTTTCAGAAGTAAGTAAATGAAATTACGTTAATATATATATATATATACATACATACATATACTTATGCAGACAAAACCATCATCTCGCTCGTTCGTTCATGAAGCCTTAATGATGATTCGTTCTATGTCACAAAAGGATCCTTCAATAATTCTTGAGTATTCATCCTTCTTTGAGGATCCTTTTCGAGTAATTTCGTTAATACATTTCGAAGGGTATCACTAGCATAATTTGGAATCTCAAGCCTGAAAATCCACGTTAACGATAAATACTTTGGTATGAGAAAAGCGAACTTACTCTTTCTCTGTTATGTTGGTAATCATTTCAGAAATCGAGGTTCCAGAAAAAGGAAGCTTTGCAAAAGCTATAACATAAAGGGTAACTCCCATAGACCAAATATCAGTCTTTCTGCCATCTACCTTTTGATAAGGGCTGCTAAGTAGTTCCTAAAAATTAAAAGTTAGAGACAAAAAAGAAGAAGAATTATAATAAACCTACAGGCGCCATAAAAGCTGGCGTTGAAGACACAACATTGACCAATCCATCAGCCGGAAGAAACTCTGCTTGTCCAAAATCAATCATACATAAATTTCGAGCAGCATCCAACAAAAGATTGTCAGGCTTTATATCTCTATGAATAACGTTTTCTCTATGTACTTGAGTTGGAATCGTTAGTAAGGTGTGCTTAGATTTAGATGTAAGTTCAAATTAAAAACATACCGTAGTCTACACAGAAGACGAGCTGACGAAAATAAAACTGACAACGCTCTTCTGGAAATGCAGAAAAAGATATTCCATGATCGACAGAGGCCAATTTTCCATTAGGACAGTAATTTAAAACTAAGCAATAGACTTCATTAGCACAGTAATTAGCGAAAGGACGCCATTTGACGACTAGTTCACATACCAACGAGTAACATATCCAAATATTCATTATTAATGACATCCAATACTTTAACGATGTTCGGATGATTTAGTGACTGAACGATGTCAAGCTCGTTTCGTATATAACAAAACGGATCTGACCGCTCATCTTGAAGCATATTTTTTTCTAAAGATATACGATCTATAGGAACCCCTGCATTTCGCCGGTTGGCATTTTGAAGCAATTCAACTCTTTTCTGACGGCGTAAAACGCTTTTACGAAATTCTTTGATCGCCTAGAACAGAAGAATGTGTTAGTTGCTTTAATGATGAAAACTCAGCAAGTCTGCATGCTTTCATGCTTACATATTCAGCATTGGTAGAGCTTTTCGTAGCCAACCATACGGTACTAGAAGAACCGCGTCCAATTATTCGGTGAGCAAAGTATTCATTTGCAGCGAAGCCAAAGTCTTCCTCATCGCACGGTCCCTCCGTTAAAAGACTATTTTCAGAAATTGCTGGTGATAAAGATTCTTCGACGTTGTTCTTTTGTTTCTCTGTTTCCATACTAACATTTTTTAATTTACAATAAATAAATAAATAAAAGCTTGACGTGGTTTTTTAATCAGACAGCTTAATTTTGTTGCATTTAGCAGAAACGGCTGTTTGGCTTCAATATTAATAAATAAAGTTATTCATTCTTTTGTTTACTTTCTTATATATTAAAAGAAAAGCCGAAAACGCTCATGTGATTTCAATCAATTTTCTTCTGTTGTATGGTCTGAGTGAAAACTCGCTTAGCTCGTCCATCTCCCAGAAAATAGCCAAATTCAGTTAATTAGGACAAGTAAAATTGACAGGATATAGAGCGGTAAATTTACTTTTTAAAAGAAAGAAAAAAAAGCTCCCTTGATACTTTAAGCATCCTTTGGTAGACTAAACGTACTTTCTCTTGAAAACGGTGCTTTCCTTATCAAAAGCGCGACTTCTACATTCATTTAGGAAAAGCAAATACAAAAATAATTAGGTAGTAAAAGAGAGTTCTGTGAATTATTAAAATGGCTACGGAACAAAGAAAGTTACCCAATATCATTCTTTGCGGCACTCCTGGGTATGTTCATTGAAAGGGACATTGAAAAAGAATAGAATTACAACTAACAACAAACGTAGTACGGGAAAAACTACCCTTGCTGAACAGCTTGCAGATGCTTCTGAATTAGAACATCTGTGCATGGGCACAATAGTAAAGGAACATCACCTTCATTTTGGATTCGATGAGAAATGGCAAACGTATGATGTTGACGAAGAAAAAGTCTTGGACTATCTAGAACCAAGACTATTGAAAGGAGGTTGCATAGTGGACTGGCACACATGCAGCATTTTTCCTGAAGAATTGATTGACTTGGCGATTGTCTTAAGAACTGATCATTCCAAACTATGGGAAAGACTTGAGGCTAGAGGATACTCATTACACAAAATCCAAGAAAACAACGAAGCCGAGATTATGCAAATTTGCTTAGAGGAGGTGAGAGAAAGTTTTGACCCTAAATTAATAGTAGAGCTCGAAAGCAATTCGACAGACGACATGGAATCCAATCTGTCTAGGATTCTCCAGTGGATTGATGCTTGGAAAGAGAATCATGCAAACTGATGAAAAAGAAGAAAAGCCGGGTACTTTGGGATAAAATTTCTGGAGTATATGGATTGAACTTTTTGTAAAATAAAGCCTTTATTAACAACTAGCATGTTCAAGTGAACCATTGTGTTTTGACGTTACTATCTATTTGATTTTAAACTAGCTTATCGGGATGGAGCGATTGGATATAAAAAAAAGAGAAAATGAAAAAGTGAAGTACTTTTCGCTATTAATTTTATTTCAAAAGACGGAATGTATTTTCATTGAGTTGACTTGCATACCATGCGCATAAGGTACCAGAAAAACACTTCTATACCATGTCCGTGTACTTTGTAAATTGCCAATTTATCAAATTGCTTGCATGAGAAAAAGCTCAAGATGACTCCATTTGTAAAGCATACACAGGTCCGTAACTCGACAACACATATTGAATGGAAATTAACGACCATTTTTACTGACTCTATGTTGGTAGTACACGAAGGTTAGTATGATAAAATGGGAAATTCCTAGTAGAGCTTCCCGTAACGGTTCATCATCGGGAAACATAGAAAATATAAACAAAAATTCTAATTCATCAATACAAGCAATTGAATTGCTCCCAACGACGAAAACTCAAACATAATCTGTAAATAATAACCTTTGTTTATCATGCTACGTTTGTTTGCGTTTGTGAGTTTTAAGGAATTGGTAGCCTTTTTTCGGTTCACTGCGTAAAATGTGGAGTTACTTGATTAGATAATACCTATCAGGGTATAGCGATCTTTATTATATTATGACGCGAGTAATAAACAAAACAAGTAGAATTCGATCGATTTTATACCAGGTAGTGAAATGAAAAAAAAGCTTATATAAAAATGAATTCAAGAGATTTGACTTTGTATTTAGGACATGATTAAATAAAGTAGTTTCTTTATATCCATCAAATCAATAGAACCTGTAACTTTGCAAGAATGTGCATAATAATGCGATACAGAATTGTCGGTTTCGCTTTAAAAATATGAACATTATAAATTATAATTAATTAGAGATATACTAGGTACTGCAACTTTGTCAATATCCACAATTTAATCAATCATCTTAAGGGTAGTGATTGCTTCTGTTAATTGTGTTGAACAAGATGCTCCATATATTTTCATAATCATTCGTCTTCAACAGGCAGGTCGCTTCGCTTGTCAGATAGAACTTGCTCCAATTTCCGTAGAACCTCTACTCTACTTGTAAATATTCAATTCCTGAAAGGAAACTCAAACAGGCATCTTAAGAAAACATTTGAATTTCTGCAAGAGCCAGTCGATTGGGTCATACTTCGAACGTTTGTAACGCTACCTTTTCGTCAAATTTCCTTTTCTTGACAAGTTTTCCATCGGAATTGAATTGACTTCAACCTTGACAACAACACGTCGAAGGTAAATTAAAATCAAAACCAAGCAGGCAAGACCAAATATCAAGCAAGGAATAAGTGTAAGAAAATGAGCAATGTCTTCAATGATTTTTCTTTCATTTATACCTAAGGTATATGTATAGCCGTATATAGATGTCCCTGTTTCGCCATATTTGGCGTATGCAGTTGACAAAAAGTTACAAAGGTAAACACAAAACAAAATGCAAAAATATATAGAATACGGCACAATGAAAAACAATGAACAGACTTTTAAATCACTTTTTTTTCTTTCTAGTTGTTGCCAAAGACACCTGCTTGATTCCTCTTCAGGATTAAGAGCAACGTCAGACGTTAAAGGAGCAGTTTCCTCAAAATTCTCTTCGGGTTGACTCATTCTTAAGATTCTGAAAAAAAAAGGTGGTGAATTTGAATGGGAGTAGCTGGTTTCAATACCATCCATCTTCTCCCTTCCGACTGACGTCGAATACCATCCTCTTTCCTTCCCTTCCAAATTCACAGTGAATCGTCCTCAAAGAACCATCCTCAATTTTAAAGCAGCGGATTCAACATGTTTCAACCAAGAGTTGTGTACGATTATCGGCAACCTGAAGATGATTCTTACGAGAAAGTCAACCAAGAAATAACAAGTTGGAATTTTAAAATGTTTCTGCATATTTGCTGTCTTTTTCTCATATTTTTTCTCAGCGGAGTGCTGTCAGTAACCTTGAATTACCATAACAAACCAGATCTAGTCGCATGGTTCCATTCTGTTAGCTATATTGTATGGTTGATATCTTTTATTAATTTGCAAATCCAAGACGTTTCTTCAGACTTAGTACCAAGGAAAGAAAAGGAAAAGCACTATAGAAAACAGCAATTATCAGGCGCAGGAACCAATGGCCCTTCAAATCCTCAACCTCAAGAAGGCCAGTCTTTACCGGAATACACTGAGACGATAGGGCAAAGCGACTCACAGTCCCACTATGCGACTCAAACGTAATTACCCTTTCTTCTACTTGTAAGGCTAGCAACCGCGTCTTCTGTTTGTTTCCAAATACGGTCCACTGTACATTAATCAGGTTCTCCCGTATAGTACAGATGTTTGGTTGGAAACCACTGGACCAAAGGGAGTTCCCGTTAGTTTGTAATGGATCTTCTACCTGTTTTGCATGAGTGCACCTTCACAACATTTGTCCTCAACACTCAATAAGAACTCATCCGAAGATTAGTATTTATCCTGCTATCAAATCCACAAACCTTAGACTTATAATTTTTCTACTAATATTAATATATTTCCAATTTTGTTGAATCTATTGAAATGCTATCCACTACTATTTATCAGCGTTACCCGTGTTACCCACTTTCGACCTTTCTAAAATTCAACTTCCCAGATCTATTCTTACTACATTGTGTTTCCTAAAAAGAACAATCATTTCAAGTTGTTGATCTCAACCGAGTAGAAGAGCTGTTTCGGAAGATAAAAGATATTGTTTTATTTTAAAATTCTATGTCAAGGGTCTTGTATTCACTGCCATTATTCGTAAGTTGAACAGAAGCCAGAATACACGAATGGTATCTTAAAACATGCCATTCCTCAATTTTTCCTTTGTTAATTAACTAGTTTTGTGTTAGGGCACCAAACGATTTTTGAACACTGGATGTCGAAGGCTTCAATGGGTTCCTTTTACACAATTCGTTTGGCGAAACCGCGGGTACTCTATAGCTGCTGGTATACATCCCAGTAAACGAAAAAGGCTGGCTGATTACGAACAGTTAGCAAATGAAAATTTGTCTGACCCATATTTTCAGGCCAAGCTGTACAAGGAATTATCAGATTTATACCCCGAAGCAATTCAGCATCGCTACGAAACTTTAGGAGTAGCTAGAAATTCGATATGTGATCGATTTTACCAAGAAGCTTTACAAAGGTTGTCTATCAAACAAAACTTCCCGTCATCTTTCGCCCCTAATTTAAAACACGAGTTGAGTTCTTACCCAAAAAACTCGAACGAATTCATGAAACCCCTCGAAAGTACACCAAATCTATATTCTTCGACTTATGCACATGCACCGCAACCACCACAACCTCCTACGCAAGCAATGTATCCGACGCCTCCGCTGGCATCTACTCTGGGTTCAAGCAGTAAAACTCCTATGTACGTCGTGGTCGATGAGCCTCGCTTTACAAAGTTTTTTCGTATTTTTAAGTTTATTGCTGGTCTCAGTGTAGCTTCCTACTTCGTCTTGCTGGGTGTTAGTATCTTTGCTGAAACATCCGGGCTCAATAACATCATGTCCAACGCTGCTGAACAAGAACCGATTGAGGAACGTTCTATCGATGTGCGCTTTTCAGATGTTCAGGGTGTTGACGAAGCAAAAGAAGAGCTTGAGGAAATTGTCGCATTTTTAAAGGACCCTACCCATTTTACGAGACTCGGAGGGAAACTTCCTCGAGGTGTTTTACTAACTGGTCCACCAGGAACAGGAAAAACTATGCTTGCCCGTGCTGTGGCTGGTGAAGCAAATGTCCCTTTCTTTTTCATGAGCGGTAGCCAGTTTGACGAAATGTACGTTGGTGTTGGTGCTAAGAGAGTTCGTGAACTGTTCATAGCCGCTCGAAAACATGCACCTGCGATCATTTTCATTGATGAACTAGATGCTATTGGACAGAAAAGGAATGCCCGAGATGCAGCCCATATGCGCCAAACGCTTAACCAACTACTAGTTGATTTGGACGGATTTTCCAAAAGCGAAGATGTAGCTCATCCTGTTGTATTCATTGGCGCTACCAACTTTCCCGAAAGCCTTGATCCAGCTTTAACGCGCCCTGGACGATTTGACCGCCATATTCATGTTCCTCTTCCTGATGTTCGGGGTCGTATGGCAATTTTACGCCATCACACCCAAAGCGTTCCTTTAGACTACACTGTAGATCTAAGTATCATTGCACGAGGAACTTCTGGATTTGCAGGAGCAGATTTAGCAAACCTGATTAATCAAGCGGCCGTACGTGCTAGTAAGAATCATAGCTCGAATGTCGGCATGCAAGATCTAGAGTGGTCTAAGGACAGAATACTCATGGGTGCTGAAAGAAGAAGCGCCGTGATTACTACTGAGAGTAAACTAATGACTGCATACCATGAGGGTGGTCATGCTCTAGTAGCTTTGCTAACTAGAAATGCTATGCGGCCATATAAGGCAACGATTATGCCTAGAGGAAGTAGCCTTGGTATGACCATTTCTCTTCCGGATATGGATAAGGATAGCTGGACTCATGATGAATATCTTGCTATGATGGATGTGGCTATGGGAGGTCGTGCTGCTGAAGAGTTACTTTACGGAAAAAACAACATTACCTCTGGTGCCCATAATGACATAGACAAAGCTACCCAAGTTGCCCGGAGAATGGTCACCGAATTTGGCATGTCAGAACAAATAGGACCTGTTAGTCTTGAGGCAGATTTGGATTCCCTCTCTCCCACAACAAAAGCGATAGTAGAAGCCGAAATCAAATCTTTGTTGGAAGCAGCATATGAAAGATCTCTCACACTTTTGAGGTCACACAAAAAAGAACTGGATGCTATTGCTAATGCTCTGGTCGATTATGAGTTTTTGACTGCTGATGAAATGAGACTTGTTATGAATGGCGAAAAAGATTTGACGAGAGCCAAACTGGCCTGAAATTACCTGTTTGTATGGTAAGTTTAATAACGGAATTTGGCTTTATGCTTGTTTATTCCTCTTATCAGATAACGAACTGTCCAAGGTATATACTTTCGTGTATTTTTATTTTGTTTCTGCTAAAAATTTTGTTTAACTTATTGGTCAGTCCGAAAAGTTTGGTTTTGAGATTACAAAAGTTACTTGTTTTATAAAAAAATTCTGTTAATGAAAACCTGTAATGGAATAACGATATCAACACCACTTCTTCTAGTTTGTATGCATAATTGTATATTAGATGTAAATAGTCATGTCGCTCATCAAATTTAACAGACAACTATAACTGGCATCAAGATGGGCTAAAAGAAAGATCAACACAAAAGTATTATTGTGCAAAAGGCAAGAACACCAAAATACGACGTTTTATTAGATTACTTGGTGGAGTTAGTAACATGTTTCATAATAAACGAGAAACCCTTCAGGTAATTTTCTTACAAGGTAGTTTATACAAAACTAAATAGGAGTATTACAGAAAGCATTGAACAATGAACTGTGTATAACCAATCTGGGTTAAAGACGAGAAAAAAAAATTCACCCGTCTAAAAAATGACATCTTCGTCCGAATCCGCTTTCTCATCACCAGATACGTTAGTAGAGGTTGAAGGAAGTGAGTAAGAATCTTCCTTATCGGAATTTTTCTCTACTTCTGAAACAAATTGCTGTCCAACTTCAGTAGAAGGAGGCTTAACTGTTTCACCTTCGGAAGTAGCCTGGATTACATTGGCACCAGTTTCTGTAGTATCTTTAACAGCCTCATTCTCTTCTCCTTGTTCCTTGGTCTTTTGTACTTTCTTCAATCGTGTAAAATCTTCACGCTCAAGCTCTTCCAACTCGGATTCGATATATTTTATAGTATTTTCCAGTCTTGGAATTATAATATGTTCAATTGAGTTTACACGTCGGTTTGTTACCTGTAGAACATCACCTAGCAGAATAAATGCAGATTGGTAGGAAGCTAATTGAACAAGAGTTTCTACGGCTTTCCCGTATACTTGTCGAGCTTTGTGAATTTGTTGTCCTCCTCTACCTAAGCCAGTCAATTGAAAGTCATCTATATTTTCGTTAAGCTTTGTTTCAAACGCAGGAAGAAAAACTCCGCTAATATTTTCTTGCTTGGAGTGAACTTTGAGTCGCGCTTGCTTCACAGACTGCTGCACTTCAAAATTGATGTTACTTCCCGTTGCAAAGCCCACTTCAGCCATCGAAAAAGCGGCTATCTGCATGACACGTCCCATTTTTTGTTTAGCCTAAGTAGAAATGTTAGTTGCTCCTTCATAAACTTCATTCAAATGTATAATGCGACTGGTTTTAAGAAATAAAAGAAGCTTCACGAGAGTTTTTCCTGGTAGACAATGATAGAAGGGTTTAAATCGATAAGTTCGCATCTTATTGAAGGTGTCTTACCTGATCAATATTCATTACAATTTCGCGAAATCTTTTTTTCAGAGCCTCTGATTTTCGTTTTAATAGTGAATGTCCCGTTTGAGCTCCCTTGAGACGAGTTTTTATGGCTGTAAGTGTCCTATGTCTATTAGTGCTTTTTCAGATGACACTTATCGTACATTCTAGTAGGAAACACATTTTCTCTTTGTCCAGACGACATATTTTAATATGAAACTTGTCCAGAATTGGCGTCCTGGAGGTAAATTGAAATTAAAGTATAGCTGGGTAGTGGTCAAGTTTGTCTGATATCAAGAGTCACTAGTTCAAATTTGATCCAACAAAGGATTCCTTACTCAAGTTTCTATCGTTTTATAATACTGATGTAAATTCATATATAGGATACTCCTAATTACTGTCTCGTATTCTTGCGTTGATACCAACTGACAGCAGACAAGAAACGTATTCGTAAAAGCATCAAAAGATGCAAATTACTTACATTCAATTCCTTTGAGTTGACCAACTCAATTTATACTACTATATCGGCGAAATTTATGTGGAAAGGTTTGTCCGAATTCAATCTATGGAATAAACAAAGTACATATAAAAGTTTTGCTCTGGAAGCTTTAAACGAGAGAAGCACTGTAGCAATTTAACATCCATTATAGTTCTACCAAACATATCCATATTATTAAACCTGATACCATTGAAAATATATCCATGTGTACATTATAGTAAACAAAAACGTGAAGTAAGTAATTTTGAAAGTAAAGGAGAAGACTGAATAAGAAAATAGGCGTTAATATCCCAAAAGGAGGAGGATGATTTCGTTTTAATAGTCCCGACGATAGTATGACTCAGATCCGACCGAACCATTCTATCAAGGAATCTTGGTAACATCACCTTTATTCATCCAAAATAGGCTTTGCGCATTTCCTTTGTTCGGTAAATCCGGATCCTGTCTGCATATGTTGATAATCAACTGGGAACATCTGTTCACCGGTTTCACTCGATTGGGCAAATACAACGCCCAAGTCATTGCGCGCTGTGGTCAAGAAATAAGCTGATCCGTCTCCCAGAGAAAGCTATTGTATAAGGTCAGTCTTCTATATATTTTTAAAAATAAATTTTGGGTGCGTCCAAATCATTTATTTACGTACCACCAAAGCTCGAACAATATCACCTGGTCGAAAAGAGTTTTGGACTTTCACTTTATTTTTCTCAGTAGCACGGATATCCTGAACATGAATGACTCCTTGAAATTCTTCTTTTACGCAGATGTCATCCACAACACTTATACTAACCGTTGCTTGTCGAACATTAATCCTTGTGACCCGGGCCAGAACAAGAGACCCAACTTTCGGTAAAATTCCTGTTTCTTCTATCTTCTCTGGGAACCTAACAGATATTGTCTTGGGATCAAAAATGCCTGTTCTAGTCGAGATAACAAAATCGCCTTTTGTGGTCGTGCCTTCCCCATTTGCAACTCCTCTAGCAACAGTTTGTCCAGGCAAGACGAGACTCATTATTCCAGATATCAAAAACCTAAAACAACAAGATAACTACGTTTCCAAAGGTGTGTTTTCTTTTCCTGCGCTTCTTGTTGGAGAAAATTAAACCTACTCAGGTAACATTGTATCTTCAAATCAGCATGCAGAATGACGAAGGTTTTTTGTCCAAGGAAGAAGCATTGCAATAATGTTTATAAGAAAAGAGCTTCTTTTGGAAAAGACGATGAAATTTACGAACGAACGACATAATTTCGATCCATTAGTTTTGCCCATCCTATGCAACCATGTTTCTACCTGCAGAAAACAAAACTTGAGAAGCAAGTACGGGGAAAGAATACCGAAAAAGGAGTAAGAAGAAAGTGTTCTATCGATGAGCCTGAATAAAGTATATTCAGCTATGGGAAAACATTACCAACAACAAATTTGGAAAAGACATTTCGAGCAAGACAGAGTAGAGTGCGTAAAACTAATCTGATGAAGAATTTCAGAAATCTCATGCTCTTTTATGTTTCGTAAGCTGACAACTGAGTGAAAAGACCATGTTTTATTTTTCAGAAGAGCAGGAAAAAAAAAACTTTCCAATGAACCGAGTCATGGCCATGCTTCCATTCTGAACGAATTCGAGATCCACTGTTTACTGCTTTCTTGTTGAAGTTTACGAAACCAAGAGACATTTTTTCTTATTTGGCTCTATTGGAAAGCACTTTCTCTTTAATGAAGAATATCAGGAATTGACTCACCCCGAATCTTTTCCCAATCTATGTCTGCATCCAAACTTTCATTCACCAGTCCCACTATGGCTCTATAGTAAGTTAGCACCTCCCATTTGCTCCTTAAAAGAGACAGGTTGTTACGTACACATTTTCACCGCGCAGCAAATAAACACCCAAAGGAATCGTTTCTGTGTCTTGGTCTAAACTAATGATTCTTTCTACAGAATCTGAAAGAATTAAGTTTGTTGTGTGATCAAATCCTCGTAACAGACCTAAAACAACACGCCCATCATTCGTAATGACTTGAACTTTCTCTGTCGAGTTTCCAGTGTCAATACTTTCCTTCAAACAACATTTACTTACGTTCAACAAAGTCAGCCAAACTCATAATGACAAGATTTTGCGCTAAGATTCGATTCTTGTTGTATAGTTGACTTGGAATTGTTGTACTCTGTTGAACTTGGATATAAAGTAACACGTTACTCGTCTGCTAAAGGGAAAGAAATGGGAAAAGTATGAAAATCGTGGTTAGTTTTGATGTAAAGTAGAAGAAAAGAACATCTTTAGTAAAGGACGAGCATCAATCTCGCGCAATCGAGAAAATTGAAGGCTTTCAATGCTTTACGGAAAAATGTAGTGTCCATACTCCATCCATCATCAAAATCAACATTTTTAGTTTTCGAAAAAAAATACAAGGTATAATAAAAAAATTATGCTTTCATGAATCGTGCAAAACACTCAAAAAGAGTTGTTTTGCTAGTTCATGCTACCTACGAAATATCTTACTAAAAGCGTTAATACGATGAAAAGTAAGGCTAGGAAACATTTTGATTTCCATAGGCATTTCCAAAGGTACGAACATTATAGAGATACTCTGATCTGTAAAAGACTGAAACCAATAAATTTGTACTTGCAAGTGACAGTCGATGGCTCAAAGAGTCTATGCGACAAAACATATGTAAACAATATTAATGCAAGCGAAAGAATGAGAACGTTGAGTAAACTCTTTTCAAATCATTTGGAAGCCGTAAAGGTAAACATAGCTTTGTCTTCAAATTTAAAAGTTTGAGTGTTTACTAGGTAAGTAAATTCTTGGCATAAAGTTGAAAGACAAAGATTCATTTTTATGAAAACTGAAGTTGTATTCTAACTTTTTCCTTTCTCAACTGCACTTTGACTGCAGAATGGCTTGAGCGTAACAAGATGAAATCATACGTAGGTAGTTTCCGATACGGGTGATTTACGAACAATCGTATTCTTTGGCAAACTTTTCTTCCATGTACCTTATTTTTTCCAGTAGACATGCCAACGAGTGTTTTCGATTCTCTTGTCTTTCGGGGAATTTTTGGAGAAGCCAAAATTAGCCAAATTTGGTCAGACGAAAATCGCACCCAACAGTATCTGAATTGGGAGTCAGCTTTAGCGAAAGCAGAATCTTCATTGGGACTCATTCCACAGGAAGCCGCAGAAGAAATTGGTCGTGTATGTCAAGTGAAGAATATTGATTTCCAGAGACTAGAAGATGAAACATTGACGATTGGATATCCAGTATTGGGCGTTGTACATCAAGTTGCAAAGCTTTGTAAAGGAGATGCAGGTAAATACTGCCATTGGGGTGCCACCACACAGGACGTTACGGATACAGCTACGATTCAACAAATACTGGAGAGCCTTGAAGTTATTCGGGGTTACTTGGACAAGGCGATTGAGCTTACAGAAGCCTTGGCTCGAAAATATAAGGACACACCAATGGTAGGAAGAAGTAACTTGCAGCAAGCAGTTCCCATCACGTTTGGATTTAAAATGGCTCGTCTTCTTTGTACGTTCCACCGACATATCAAGCGCTTGGATGAGTTGGTCCCACGTCTCTCTGTTGTTGAATTTGGCGGTGCTTGCGGCACTCTTGCCTCTTTAGGGAATAAGGGTTTAAAAGTCCAGGAATTACTTGCTAAAGAACTTGGACTTTCTCCTCCTGAGATTGCTTGGCATACAGAACGAGACCGGATTGCAGAAGCAGGATGCTTTTTGGGTCTTGTCACAGGAACTTTAGGTAAGTTTGCCTTGGATGTGAAATTGATGATGCAGAATGAAATTGGGGAAGTAAATGAGCCTTACATTGCCAACCGAGGATCATCTTCCACTATGCCCCAAAAAAGAAACCCAATTTCCTGCGTATATATTACAGCTTGCGTGTCTTGTGTGCGGCAAAAGGTTGCGGCTTTGCTGGATGCCATGGTAGAAGATCATGAACGCTCAACTGGGACATGGGAAATTGAATGGATTGTGTTGCCAGAGATATTTTCCCTGACAGCTGGAGCATTAAAGCAAACCGTATTTGTGCTTCAGGGTCTTGAGGTGAATCCTGAGAGAATGAAAGCCAATTTAAGCTTAACCAAAGGTCTCATTTCCTCTGAAGCAGTGATGATGGGATTGGCATCATTCCTTGGGCGTGATGAAGCACATGATTTGATTTATTCATTGTGTAAAAAAGCCAACGAGGAAAATCAATCCTTGGAAGAAGTATTGTTACAAGAAAAGAAAATCACTGATCACTTGACAAGGGAACAAGTGCTAAATCTCACCAATCCAGCAAATTATTTAGGACAGACTTTGGAAATGATTGATCTTGTCTTGAAATGAATACACTTGAATGTTTATGAATGGGCGATATTTTATAATTTGGAAATGGGATATATTTTTAATAAAGATAATTAGACTCTTTAAAGACATGGGGGATATTCATTTGTAAAATTCCAAAAGTAATCATTCAGCATACCTATTTGCTTTTCGTGACAAAACAGAATTTCCAAATATGTCCGCCTAATGGAATCCATAGCGTTAGAAATTAGGAATGGTTTTACTGGGGTCCACGAAGGCCATGATTACCCTTATAATTGATAAATTGAGGAGGGTTCCAACCTTTTAGAGTGTCTTTCTCGTCTTGTAATTGATATACTTCAATACCCAAGGGACGACAGCAATCAACCATCTTGCTTTCTTCCTTGTTTTCCTCGCTTTCACCCCAACCCCATTGGGACAAGTCGCCCCCAGGGCATGCGCTAATAGCAACAAGGAGATCCTGTTCAGCAAAGCATTCAAAATAATCCAAGGATGTCGCAGGACAGGCTTCCATGAAATATTGATCGCGTTCGTTCAAGCCGGTGACTTGAAAGACATTCAAAACATCATGGACATCAAATTCGGTGAGGCCATAAGGCATGATAGCTCTTGTTAGATTGGAATGGCAATGTAAATCATTGTCCATGCCGGAAATAAGTTTGTCTACATAGGGATCACATCTTGTGCCCAAGGTGTCATGGACTCGGCCTCCCCATTCGTCATGGCGAGCCTCCATAGAATCGGCAGTAATGGTAACTAGGGGACGCAGGTAGGGCAAAGTAGACCAGAGTCTGTCAAACGTGGAAACATGAGCGGAATGCAGCTGGCGTGTTCTGGCAGCCCAGAAACGCTCTCTGGGATTATGAAGGTTCCAAATATTAAGATCACAAACTTGAGGACCTTTTGGTGTAGTGATACGAAACACCGACTTTGCAGGAATTGTAACAGCAATGCCTGAACGAGGGGCACAATTATGAGTTTTTACTAATTTTTTAGGGGACTTTGCAATACGGGTATACAATTCTTTGTTAGCATATATAGGAGAACCAGGATGTGGGTAATAAGCAGGGACGGGTTTTGGACAATTGTATTTTGTTTTTTCCAGTCGTTGGGACGATGTAGCTAAAGGAGTCGTTTCGTTGTTAGTCATATTGTATGTCTTGTTTCGAGTGCTTTTCAGTGAAAGATCTTGGCATACATCCGCAAACGAGGGAAGCGGGTACTGTGGAGTATACTTGGATTTTTGTAATACTTTAGGTGTGAATAGATGATATTTAAATGGCCAGTTATATCTTTCCTATCGCCGGTTTTTTGTTTCTGGCACCGGCTTTCTTGTAATATCTTAGGTTATTATAAGCGAATTTCATTTTCCTGTGATAAGATGGGATCTATTATGGTGCTTATGACATTTTTTATTCAATAAAATACAAAAACAAAAAGAAAAATGAATGAAAATGTGCAAGGTAAACAAAAAGCTTCAAGGTGAGAAACAATTCACACAGGAAACGTTCCATTTTTATTAGGAACTAGGGTTTTGTATTGAAATATGTCAATTAGAACTGATTTTTACTTCGATTTGGAAAGTACATTTTTCCCCTTTGACTTATGTCGTCAATTAACTTTGATTTTTCTATTTACGAAACACAGTGACAATGCGATTAAAGCGTCAAGATAACTCATCGCTTTAGTAATTAGTTAGAAGGACTAGGAATACATTGTTTTTCTGGTGTAAATCTTTCATGAAAAAGAAAAGAAAAGGAATGAATACTCTCTCTGCTTTTTTTACTCAAAAAACAATTCTCTATCGTTTCTGTTTATAAACTATAATATATATAATAACATGGAGTTCCCCCTTGGCGTTTTATAACTATATTATCAAGTCCCTAGTATGCGTCACATGGAGTTTGTTTATACCGTACCGAGTTCATAGTGACAACTTGAAGTCATGAATCAATTCGTTTTAGAGAAATTTCAGGCTATTTCACCTGGTTTTCGACAAAAGGCTTTACAATGGACGGTAAACTTTACGAAAATTCTGTCTGGCTTTCTATATATTGCGTTCGTCGTTCTGTGGAGCATCACTGCTGCTCTCTTTCGACGCGTCCTCTTGCCCGGATTCTTTATTTTTCGAACAGTTTCTTTTTTTATCATTAAAGCTGCCTCCATGCTACTTTTGATCATTGCTGATCCTGCCATTCTGATGATTCAATCTGTATATTGGTACTTTATACGTGCGCCAGCTCGCTTTATTCTCATGGTGGGTGTGACCCTTTACCCATTGTATGTTTTGCTATCGTGGGCTGTCTTTCTTGGAATCCTTACTGGTTTTCTATTGCATACGATATTTACGGCCCTGGATTCCTACGTTGCTCCCAGCACAGAAGAAGATTCTCAAATGCAGGACCTTCCTATTATATCTCCTTTTACCTCTAGTTTGTTTAACTTGCGCTCCAATCTCGAACCTCCATGTAAACCTGCGGACTCTACCAAGTCAAAAGTTACAGCCTCGAATCTGAAAAAAACCGAATCTTCCGTATCATTGAATGGAAAAGATTTCAAGAACCAAAGTTCGCCTCAATCATCAGAGAAATATGACAAAGAAGATTCAAAGGTACCTCCAGTCGAAACAAGAATTATCGCCGAATTTCCAATTCCTCAGCCTGCTAGAAAACGTAAGCACCGTTCAAAAAAATCCACTGGAAGTGCATCGATAAATCCATAAAGCACTGAAGAATGGTTGCCTTCTGCTTGATTTACGAAAACCAAATTTTGTTATGATGTGTATAATATATCAATGACCTTCGTTTTTTATGCTTTCATGATAAGAATGCTTTTATTTATCAATAACTGCTAAAAATTATTGAACTATAAATCTATACGTTGGTTTGCCTGCCACTTAATCCCCCTCTCTTCCTCCAAGTTGCTTTAAATAGAGTTGGCAAATTGGAATTGTGTTTACTCTTAAAATAGACAGTACAAAACTCAATGGAATTATCAAGCTGTTATCAACATACTAAGATAAGTATGCTGTCCAAGTCTCAACCAGCTGTATAGTTATTGAAGATTGCGTGAAAGGATTGATGGTTGACATCTTTTTACTTTTTCGTTTTTATTTTTAAATGAAATAAAGAATAAAACGCACATATTATTCTTCTTCATAGTTACTTGGATTTTGCCGAGCTAGTCTCGGACTTTTCTAATAGACGACGGACATACGCAATGGAACATAGGCTTTCTTTGATTTATAAATATTCTCTAAAGTTTCCTCCTGAGATTCGTTTAAAGCAAATGTAATCATTCAGTCCTCAAGTGGGCCTTAGAGAAGTTCGTATCTATGACCACTCAAACTACCACCATATAGCAAGCAAGCCATTGTCATGGCAAAACCCGCGTTAAAAGCTGCAAGAGAGGCTTTAAATACAAAGGATTACGAAGAAACTATAACTCAATGTGAAAAAGCTCTTTCTTTTGACCCTGAAAGTTATAACGCTTACGTATTTTTAGGTGTCGCAAACTTTTCATTAAATAAGGAACTTGAGGCGAAGAAAGCATACCAAAATGCAATAGAATTAGATGATAAGCCCTTGCTTGCTTGGCAAGGTTTGTGGAACTTACAGGAAAAATTCAAAGACGTTCAAGGACTTCATCACTCAACAGAAGTCTTGGCCTATAAGTTTATGACTGCCAATGAAAGCGAAAAGTGTTTGAACTTTGTAAACAAATATTTAGAACTCATTCGAGGGGAAGGTTCTAAAGCTGATCAAATGAAAGCATTGTCTTTGCTGACGCCTAGTCAGGGAGATTTATATCAATTCCTTGAAGGACGAATTGAGCCTGTTCAAAGTTTGTATATGCAAATGGCAGATCTGCAAGAGTCCCTTGATCATGACTACTACCAAAGAGAAGTTAATAAACGAAAGAGCAGACTTGGCGCTCGTATAGATCAAGTAATTCGCGATGTTGAAAAAGAAATTATTAATAATTCTCCTATTGAGAACATCTACATGGAAATTATTAATTGGTCTCAGGATGATGAAATTCGTCGCTTGACTGAAACAAAACTTCTGTACATGTATTTGAAACGACTCTACGCATCAGATAGCAAAGAAAAAGCAATTTGGCGAAATAAAGTTTGGGAACTGGTGCAAGGTATGATTACGTTACATATTCCAGAACAGACGGCATGGACTATTTATTTGGAATGGCAGGATCATTCGCATGTTGATCAATTGAATCCCATTGAAATCAAAGAGTTCTGTAATCTTTTTTCAGAATCACCTTTATCGAAAGCGTTGGTCGCAATTCAAAGTTCTGATTACTGGATGGAAACACACTCACCCAAAGAAAAGGAATCTGAAGATTCTGCGTCCAAAGGAGATGAAATTGATAATGAAAATCAGTCCAATGGCAATTTTCTGCCACAAGATCAAGTATTAGCCCTATTAACGCAAGCATACCAGGAATGTCCTCACTCCTTGCTGATTGCTGAAGTGTATACCCAATACTGTGTATATTTAAAAGAATATACTGATGTAGTCCAGCTTAGTTCATCAGCATTGGATCTGTTGAAAAAATTGGAGTCTGACACAGGTCTTCATTATCAAGAACTGCCATATCTTTTCTATCTATTCCTAGCTATTGGATATTCTCATTACGAGGTGCCGAGATATTTATTGCAGGCAGAAGAACTTTATAATAGAGTAATAACCCATGAACCTGAGAACTATAGCGCTCTTATTGGTTTAGCTGATGTGCAAGTGGAAAATGAGCAGCATGAAGATGCCGCTCAAACTCTAGAGAGGGTGCTTGAAAAAAACCCTCAAGATCCATGTTTATCTCAACTTTCATGGTGTTACTATATGATGGGAGATCTTGATAAAGCCATAGAGTTAGTTCAATTTTGCTTACAAATTTTGCAAGGAAACTTAAAAAATAAGCCAGCTTTAGCAGAAGCTTACTATCGTTATGGTATTTATTTGACAGAAAGAAAAGTGGGGAATTACGAGGAGGAGTCTTTTTCAGCTTTTGTTTCTTCTCTGAGATGCGAGCCAAACTTTGCTTCCACTTACACTCAATTAGGATACTACTATAAAAATGTAGATGATACTTCTCGCGCTATGAAATGTTTTCAAAAAGCTTTCGAATTAGAAGCATCACAAACTGATGCTGCTGAAGAATTAGCAAAAATGTTTGCCGAAGTTGAAGAATGGGAGTTGGTGGAGGTAATTTCTAAACGTGTACTAAGTACTAGTCAAAACGATTTAAAGCGCAAAAGAAAGTTCAATTGGCATCATAAGTCTTTGGGTGTATTTCAATTGCATTTTAAGAATTTTCATACTGCCATTGTCCATTTTCAAGCAGCCTTACGTATCTTCCCCAAAGACGCACATTGTTGGAGTGGCCTAGGTGAAGGTTATGCTCGATCTGGTCGCTACATATCTGCTTTGAAAGCATTTAACAGAGCCAGTGCTTTAGATCCAAATGATTGGTACACGAAATACTTTATTGGCTCTATTCAAAAAGATATGGGAGACTTTGAGAAGGCAATTGAAACGTTGTCATTAGTATTACAGGAGCGTCCCTCTGAGTTATGTATACTGGTATGTTTAGCCGAATCCAGCCTACGACTTTCAAAATATTATATCCGTCACGGTTATTACCAAAGATCTGCGTTGGCTTCACAAAAGACAATTGATATTTGCTGCATGATTTTGAATATGGATTCAAATACATATTCTGCCTGGAAAATGCTTGGGGATGCGTGTATGGTATATTCGCAATTAGGAAAGTACCAGGTTGACTTCCCTGTAAGCAGTGTTTCAGATTTACTATTATCCACGGAATCAATGAACCTTGCAAACAATGGTCGACAGATTGATAGCATGATTTATTTTCCTGATTTAGAGAAAAATGATCCTGCTTATATGATTGCTTGTGGATGTACCTGTTTTACTATTTTATTGTCCCTTTCAGCCGATAATAAACTTTTGCTATCGGCTTCTTGGTACAACACGGGTGTTTCCTACTTTACTCTCTTTAATTTCACCCGAAACAAGTCATATCTGGGAGTCGCTATTGATTGTCTTAAACAAGCTATTAAGTTAGAGCCAAAGAATAATAATTTCTGGTGTATGCTTGGTGTCTTGTTATCCCATAGATCGGCTATTCGTGCTGCGCAACACTGCTTTATTCAAGCTTTGCAGATAAACGAGAGAGACGCTGATGTGTGGGTAAACTATGGCGCCCTTTGTTTACAAATCTTGGATATTGAATGCGCAGATACCGCCTTTACGCGCGCTATTTCCATTGACCCTGACAATTCGCGCGCATGGCTTGGATACGCATATTGCTCGATTTCTACTGGATACCACGAGAAAACAGTTCAAGCTTTACAGCATGCATTTGAAATCTCCGGCGGTAACGTACGAGACGTAAATTATTGGTATGCAAGCACTATGCTTACCTTGGCAAACACAGAACAAGAAATAGATGTCATGAAGTTATGGAACGCTGTGTATGCTATTAAACGCTACCTTTCTGAAGTACCTAATGATGTCTACGCCAATTTCATCAAAAGTAGCCTTTTGGAACATTTGGGAGAATCAAATGACAGTACCGAAACTGCGCATACCCTTTGTCAATTACTAGAAAAAGAATACGATGTCACTGAATCGGTTGGTGCACTCGAGAAATACGTTGATGCCAAGGGGCAATTGGCGAGATTGTGTTTACGTTTGAACAAGTTTGAGGAGTCTTCCGAGCATGCTTCCGTTGCTTTGGACTTAGTCAATGAAGAGGATGAAAACGCCAAGCAAATTTCGTTAGGATTGAATCTTACTTCTGGATTGGCGGCATACTTTTTGGGTGATTTGGAAAAGGCACTACAGCACTTTGAAAAATCTCTCGAGTTAGGGGAATCTCACCCGGATGTTGTGGTCCTCGTTGCGAAGGTACTTTGGGCATTAGGCAGCGAATCTGGTAAGCAGGCTGCCAGAGAACAGCTGTTTTCTGTGACAGAACAGTTTCCTGAACATGTTGACTCGCTTGTATGCTTGGGTGCCATTGGTATAGCTGATCAGGATAATTCTATGATTGCGGCAATTCAGGAGGCCCTGTTGAATTTAAACAAGGACAAAACCTCAAATCCGGAAACCTTACGTGTCGTCCAGAGTTTGCTTACGATGTTAACTACAGCTTGCGATCCCAAACAATTACAGGCTCTACTCTTGCAGCAACTTTTTATATATCCCAGTGCAGCATCCACTTGGTCTTTGCTCATGCAGCAAAGATACAGTTCGCCTTCCGTAGCCACGGCTTTTGCTCGCACTCTGTATACGCATCCTTCTCAGCCTGATGATTTGGCACAGGCATATCGACATCAGAGCACAGTTAGCCAAGCGCAGGCGTCAGTTCATTTAGTTCCCTGGGAGGCAGAAAACTGGAACTCGTTGGAAAAAACAATTCAGTCTTCATAAAAATAGTTTCTCTTTCGAGAAATTTTCAATTTCCTTTCTCCTGAAGACGAAAAAGAACGACAAAAAAAAGTTAGGGACAAGAGCTGTAATCAAACAGATGTTCTTTTTCTTAACCAAAAAGAAAGCACATTCTCATGACCCTGGTTTATGTTGAGCTGTAGTTGTACACTGTACTAAATAGTTTTATGAAGTTTAATGAATCAACAAAAATGGCGTTCATAGAAAAAAAGATTGAAAACGGAAGGAGGATATTCAATCTGGCAAATTTGTTTTAAAGTCGTCTCTGCTTTCAGCAAAATATTTTTCCCATAGTGTGGTCTTTCTTTCTATGCTAAATCATGTACATGGACGGGTTTTTATCATTGAAAATCCACAGACCAAGTAAAGATTAGCGTATCAAGAAATGGCCAAAGTATAAATGAAACGACAAAGCTTAGTCTTTATGAAACGTCGTAAAATAAAGATGTCATTTTCATGAATTTTTGAATGTTTCATTGTTTCAGTTTCAATAAAGAAGAAATATTTTAGATGCAAAAGTTCAAGAATATTCAAAGAAAGATAAATATGCTTTTTCGTTATAATATATATGTTTATTATTCCTTGAAGAACATTCAAAATGTAATTCTTTGTTTTACTAAGAGAAGGCCTGAAATGAACGGCTGCTGTGTGGTCCAATTTATACTTACAGAAACCCCTCATTGTTTGTTATCTTGATGACGCAGAATTGCCAAGTGCATATACTGTTTGGACAAATGGTAGTAAGTGAATGTTCCGAAATGACATACTAACAGTATATGCATTTGAAACGGGAACATCGCACGTATTGATTTTTCGTTTTGAAACCTTGTACCCAAGATTTTGGTTCTCTAAAAGTAATAAATGCTAACCAATGTCTCATAGAGTAGAACTCTTTCTACACATTGTTTTGCGTTATGGAAAGTGATGAAATTAAAAAATCAATCATAGCAATTATCATATTAGGAGGAATCCATTTCATAAGTCATATATGTCAAGGAATCAAACTAAGTTCGATTGCATAGCAAAGATTCCTATGATTTATTTTTCCAGATATCGGTTCGTTTAGATTTGTCAATTGATGGTCATGAACTGGAATGCTTCAAAAACAAAATCATATTGGACTGTTACTTTATTGCCCTTGTTTACTGTTACTTGAAAGCAGTCGGTTTCTGAAATTGTAGAAGAAAAAACTAAAGGACAGTAAGCAGTAGTCTTACTAATGAATCTATAAGTCGGTTTTGAACCTCGTAGAATTGACCTTCATAATTGTTTGATGTATTCTGTAATTAACAACAGCTTCATTATCGTAAGTTAGCGCAGACGCTCTCTCGGCTAAAGGATTATTTTGGAACTGTTATTGCGGTTTATTTTTCTTTCCTTTTTGAGAACTCTGAGATCATTTTCAATCTCATATTTCTTCAAGTTGAACAGTCTTTTTCGCTTTCAGTCACTGTACATTGAGCAAGTTAAAAAACAATAAAACTGAATCCACGATCTTGCTATTTATTAACAACAAAATTCAAATTAAAAATAAATCCCTCTGTTCATGAATGCCATGCTATTAGTTTCTTTTGTTTACTGCTTTCCTTCAAGGTACTTCCTTTTGTCTCCTTATTTGAAACTCACCACCAGAAAATCAGATTCGACAGCAAAGGAGAACCTTGTTCACCACATTACTAGAGCTTTATTTATGCTGAAAGACAGATAGTTAGGATGTCACTAGCAATCTCACACGAAACCTCATCTTTGAGAGAAACTCATATACGTATGTTAAATTGAATTACTGCGCCTAAACGTCAATAAAGTTGAGGGACGTAAACTAACCTGCGAGATAGGATCTTTAGAAAAGCTTTTAAATTTGAATCAGGATGTTGAAGATTTAGAAAAGGATCCAAACTACAAATCAGAATTCCCAATCTGGAAAGTTCTGATCTTTGATAAGTCTGGTTCAGAAACTATATCTTCTGTACTGCGCATTAGTGACTTGAGAAAACATGGTGTCACTGTCCATATGAATATCACTTCTTCCCGTCAACCTATAGCTGACGTTCCTGCGATTTATTTTGTTCAGCCTACTGAGGAAAATGTCGAGTATATTATTGATGTAAGTGCTTTTGTTTCTTCATGAGAGCGTTGTCATTTTATACGACTTCTAAAAACTCTAATTATTTCTTCTTATCAAACCGAAGCAATCTATGTAACTAACCGGCTTTTAGGACCTCTCTAAAGGTTTATATGAATCTGCTTATGTTTGTTTCTCTTCCAGCATTCCACGCAGTCTTTTGGAAAAATTCGCGGAGCTTGCTTCCAAAACCAATACAAGCCACATGATAAACCAGGTTTACGATCAGTACTTGAATTACGTAGTTTTAGAGTCTGACTTTTTTTCGCTTCAGCTTCCAAGAGTCTTCCATACTATTCACAGCCCTTCCTCGGACGATGTATTGATTGAACATACAATTCAAAGCACAGTTAACCGCCTGTTTTCCGTCATTGTTACTCTTGGAACTATTCCCATTATTCGTTGCCCTCAAGGATCTGCTGCTGAGTTGGTAGCTAAAAAGTTGAACCAACGTTTGAAGGATCATTTGATGAATACTAAAGATGTTTTTGGCTCTTTAAATCCTAAAGTACGTCCTCTACTCATCCTCTTGGATCGAACAGTCGACCTTGTTCCCATGATTAATCACTCTTGGACCTATCAAGCATTGATTCATGACACTCTTAACATGCAACTTAACAGAGTAACCATTGAATCTGCCGATGAAGGAAAGGTCTCTAAACAATCTTATGACTTAAACGGAAGCGATTATTTTTGGGAAGCGAATGCCAATAAACCATTTCCAGAAGTGGCTGAGAACATTGACGAAGAATTAACTCGCTATAAAAATGATGCAAATGAAATTACAAAGCGTTCTGGCGTTTCGTCTTTAGAGGAATTTAATGCCGATGCTTTTACGGATTCCGCTTATTTAAAGACTGCAGTTAGCCTTCTTCCAGAACTCACAGCCCGTAAACAGCTTTTAGATATGCACATGAGTATTGCAACTGCAATTTTGAAAGCCATTCAAGAACGTCACCTCGATGATTTTTTCCAGATGGAAGATAACGTTACAGGACTTAACAAAACCGCAATCCTTGCTTGTATAAATGATAAAAGCAAAGGTACACCGGAGGACAAGCTTCGTTTTTTCATCATTTGGTACTTAAGCGTTGACGCCGTCCCTAGCACTGACTTGCAAGCATATGAAGAGGCATTGCTTAATATCGGCTGTACTTTGGAGGCTCTTAATTTTGTCAAAAGGTAATATTAAACTGAACAGTTATGTTTATATATGCTAATCATGGCAGAGTTCGTGAAATTACTAAAATGACCATGTTGGCTTCTTCCACGGCGCGCCCCGCTGCTAATCAATCAGGAGATAATATTTTCCGTGGTTTTTCAAGTCTTTCTAGTAAAGTATGTGAAATGAATTTATTAAGAGAAATACTAACCTATAGTTTACCGATCGATTCAAAGAGGCTGGAATCGGTGGTTTAGAAAACATCATCTCTGGTGTGAGGAATTTAATCCCTTTTAGAAAAGATGGGACAATTACCTCTATCGTTCAAAGCTTGATGGATCCTGGATCTTCTTCGGTATCAAAGCAAACAGAGTCATATCTTGTATTCGACCCCAAAGCTTCTCAAGCTTCTAGTGATCTCAGGGGCATAAATAAACGCCAAATATTCAATGAGGCCATTGTATGTGTCTTGGGTGGTGGTAATTACTTAGAATACGGAAATTTGATGGACTGGGCAAAAGAACAAAACCCACCTAAGCATATAACCTATGGCAGCACCGACGTTCAGTCGCCTAGTCAGTTTATGAACGAGATGGCATCTCTATCATGATTTTAAAAGTAGCATATAATAACCCTTTAGAAATGATTATTGATATACTTTATGAAAAATGTAAGTTTTTGTGTATATATGCCGTAAGAAAGAAAAAAATATATATCTTATTCAATTAATGAATAGCTCTTTAAGAGCTAAAAAATTAAATTACAAAAAAATTGAGAAATGAATACTTCTATAATTGATCTAATAGTCCGTACATTAAAAAGAACAATTTTAAACACCGAATTATTTGAGATAAACCAACCATCCTTAATTAGATAAAAGCTGAAGTTCATAATTGGACATTTCAAGAGGTATTTGCATTATCAGGTATCATGAGGGACGAATTTTGAAGATGTTGGGAAGATGCAGATGACGATAGGTTGGAAAGTATAGAACTCAGATGAGTATTTGAGTTGTTCTCAAGTACCTTATCATCTGCGCGGACATTAGTTGAATCACCACTCTTTTCATGAAGAAGGGAGTCTTCAACTTCCTTAGGGAGTGGTATTGACACGGGAGACACAGCGGCATCGAATATTTTCAGGGGATCGGAGACATTTGAAAGAACAGACGTACTTGAAGAGATATTTACATTGAGCTGACCCTCTCTTTCTTCCTCGTCTTTAGATTCCAAAGTTGGCTTCGTATCAGCACCACCACCACGCTTATAACCTCGTGGATGTAATTCTTCCTTTGATATTACAAAATGAATAGGCTTTGGTCTGTACCAAATTATTTCGTCTTCAACGTCGTCTTCAACCTGATTACCAAAAGCAACGCGGGCCTCCTGTCTATCTAAATCTCTTGCACTCCCATATATATGAGGTGTTTTTACAGCTAATTCTTCTTCATTTGCATGCTCAATGACCTTAATTTGAACAAGCTCATCATCAGGTTTCCAAGTAACGGATTTCTTCCGGCGTTTCTTCCTTAGAGAGCTTTCTTCACTGGATGCTTCAGATTTCTCAGATCCTTCTTCGGATTTGGCAGAACGTTTTCTGAAACTGGGCAATTCGTCACGTGAATTGGACTGAGATTCTGTCCGTAATGACTGAGACTTTTGCAACTCGGCATCCTTCCCTTTCAATCCAGCTACTATAGAGGAAAGAGGCGTTGATGTAGATGTTTGCTTAGCACTCACAGTGGAGGGTTTTGGCGCAGATGTAGCGGGTCCGGTTTTAGGATTAGACAAGTTTTTGAAAAAGGAAGTACCAGGAACGCTTGTAACCTTTTTGGTTGACGGGTTCTTGCTATTTGTAGATGATACATTGGTTGGCTTCGCAACGGTTTCGGGTCTAGTTGGTTCTTTCTCGAGATCTTTCAGCTGATCCTTGCCTAGTTCAACTGCAATAGATTTCTCGGCAAGATCGGAGAGCTTTTCAGCATGCTGTCGAATGACAGAATTTGCTGACTTCTTTTTTACAATCAAAATTGGTTTACCAAACTTGACATCTGCAAGCCTTTCAGCAGATATGGGTAATTTACATAATAAAAGCAAAATTGAATGAATAACTTTATCTGATTTAGAACGAATAGCAGAAACAAACCAATTACGTAGTTTCGGAAGAAATAATTTTCGACCACCATCTACTAGCTCTGAAAAGATCGTTGCTTCATTATTGTTTTTCAAAATTTCAAGAAATAGTAGTTTCTGATCATCCTGAGTTACGGTGCTCATCATGTTCACGAGGATAGCAACACATTCCTTAGGAGCTTGGCTAGTGTTTAATGGATCAAGGCATTCATTTAGTGTTTGTCGCAAAGATCCCAAAGAAGTTTCCGTTGGTTTTTGGTTTGCTTTTGACTTTAATTTTTCAATCACTTGCTTGTCTGAGGAAGGCGACCTAGAGAATGGACTTGGGTTGATGGTGCTTGAGGGGGTATTATTGCCTACGAACGAGGAAATAGAGCCAGAGGTGTTATTCGTGATAGTATCTTTCAAATCAGCATGACCACTTGGATATCCTAATACAGGAATTTGGAAAGATGAAGATGGACTGGAGTTAAGACCAGCATTGGGCTGCAAAGCAGAAAAAGACGAAGGATCCAGTTGTCCTGAAGGTATATTCGAAGCAATCGAAGGTAGTTGAGGAATTTGCCAACTGTTATCAGTATCAGAGTAAGGAGGAAATTGGGTAGGAAAGGAAGATGCGCTGACAGGAGGGGATGCTAGAGATGGAAAATGTGGTTCATTGGGATAGGATGCTTCGAAAGGAAAATAATCTAAGAATTGAGATGTCAGTATAATTCATATATGACTGCTTCAAAACTTACTTGATGGGTAATGGCTTTCAAAAGAAGCAGGCATCTCAAACGGATGCGGTGGTGGCTGAGAATGCTGAAAGACATGAGACTCTAACCCTAAGGAATAGTTAATTTTATCATTTCTATCAAAGAGGAAGACATGAAAAGCTACTTCTTCTCAAGCCCTACATCACTACTTGTCCTAAAAATAGTGTCAATACATACCAGGAAACGCGTTCATCAACTTTTCATCTAAATTCTTTTCTAAATCCTCGCCTCCACTGTTCAAAGTTACTGGAAATTGAGAGGTTCCAGGAGAGTTACTGGGCTGATTACCAAATGAGGCACCGAAAGGAGTTCCATTGACCCCATTTTGAGTATGATTATAATTCTCCATAAATGGAATAAAATAGTGCTATTAAACCAACAGTTCTTACCAGTTTACTTTGAACTTTCTAAATTGTTCGTATGTCGCGTTAAAGGATTGAAGAGGCCTTGCTACTTGATTAATGTCTCCACCAGCTAACATTTGTTACCTTGCGAGCCTTCGCATATTCACCAAGTCGCCAGAGTATATGTGGTAAAATGGTGAGAAGTATCAAGATGAAGAGTTTTTGATTGAAAGTTTTGAGATATATGTATATATGTGCATGTAAAAGTCAATAGAAACATGTTGCAAGAATTGGCCAATATCATTACGGTTAGATGTGCATATGCAAGTAAGATACAAAGAAAACAGATATCAATATAAGCTTTCAATTGATTACTAGTAAACTCAGATAGAGTATTGGTAGAAAACACATTACCCATTTTCTTCTCAGCAATTGATAAAGGGAGATATGTCAACTTTGAATATGCTCATAGCGTAATGGTCAATGTTAGCTCCATCGATTTCGATCAGGAAACCCTTTTCAAAGTTTCATAACCCATAAGCTGATCTATTAATTCCCGAGAAGCTATTGCATTTTACTTGTCCTACTTTGGTTTAATTGCCTTTATGTATTTATATACTTTCTAGACACTGCACAATAATCGAAAGTATTAATTGACATTAAATAAAACATAAAAATTTGATACTAATACTTTTATGCATTTTCTTATAATTTTTGAAAAGGTTGTGTACACGGCAAAAAACAGCGGGATATGTTCTGAAAAACAATACCATAAAGGTGCATTATTAGGTTAGTTTATGTGCTTGAACAAACTAACCTTTTCAAGCACTTCGTCCTAATGATAGTCTTAAGTTTAATAAACATTATGGATTTTATTACAGAATAAACACCGCCCAAATGCAAGTTTAAGCACGTTATAATCTGCATAACCATGTGCAATACATAGTTCATCCGCCATAGGAATTTGCTCGAAATGTGAATTCATTAACATAATTCAATAAGAGTTTCGTAAAAAAAAAAGGAAAAGAGAAGAAGGAGATCGAATAGGAATATACAGGAATTTTGAATTATTAAGCAGAAAACAATTTGCAAACGAGAGTAGCACATAAATCCAAAAAGGGGAACGAGGACTTCAAATCATCTACTTCATGATCCGTAACAACTGATCCATGTCGTGAAAAATCTTTATAACCATTTGCCTTGACATCCAACATATAACAATCTGGCATAACTTCATAAAGCTGTAACTCAATATACGCATAGACTTTTCTTCCTTCTTTCTTGCAATGAGGAATCTCCCAAATACTCTTGATCGTATACATGTCGGATTTGTACTTACCATTATGCTGCACTGGCACTGTAAATTGAGCACCAGCACGCTGTAGAGCACGATATACAGCCAGTAAAATCTCGGGAGCATCTCCTCGGCAGCGGACGCCAAAGTGCCAACGATTTCTCTTGCTTTTTTTCTTTCCTGTCTGTGACAAAGCAGCTTCATTATTGGCATCCAACAAGGTTTTCACTATCAACTGGTTATTCTCGCCTGGAACAAGGATACGGATATGACTGTCGACAGTCTGTTCTTGATTAGCCGGAGGCTCCGAATGTGACCATCTCGATCCCTCAATCATGGGATCAAGATATTCCGGCTCTTTAGAATTGTTTAGATCATCCGCATATTCCGTAAAGGCAGGAGGAGAAACAGAAAGAAACGAATCCACTTTCTTTGAATTTGAGAAATGACTCTTTTCTTGAATAATTTGGTTTTCATGTAGTAAATCATACGCCTCCTTTAACTCATTATTACTCTCGGAACGTAAGGCTTCGTAAATGTAATCTTCAGTATATCCCATCGCTTCACTCAGCTTATTAACAATATGAGGATCAGCATAAGAATCCTGAAAGCCTTCCATAGGACGTAGATAATCAGGCAAATTGATATTAAACCATGGATCATGACGAATTTCTTGAATGGTAATACGCTGCATGGGATCTGCAACAATCATTCGTCGAATAAGAGACTGAGCGCCTGGCGACAAGAAATCCGGCATCACGTAAATACAGTCTAAACAAACATTAGGATCAACATCAATCGAGATAAGAGACAGTAACAACACATACTATTTACTTTTTTAAACAAATTAGGAATAAACTCATCATCAAAAGGAAGGCGGCCCACCAACATGACATACAAAACGATACCGCAACTCCAAACATCAACCTCGGGGCCAGCATAGAGTTTTCCATTAATTACTTCAGGAGCGGCATAATTGGGACTTCCACAGGAAGTTTTTAAAAAGTTTCCATCAGTCATAATATTCGATAAACCAAAGTCAGCAATTTTAACATTCAGTTTGTCATCCAAAAGCAAGTTTTCTGGTTTTAAATCTCGGTGAACAATCTTGTGTCGATGACAATATTCTATAGCACAGATGATCTGCTGGAAAAATCGACGACCTTCATCCTCCGTCATCTAATATATGTTAGCTGAATGACCCATGAAAATCGAATAGAAAAAAAATTATTAGGGAAAGGTGCTCTTGCTGAAGTCGTTTTCACAATCTGCCCATTCAGTTCGTCCTTCTCTCCTAAAAACAGAACCTACCCTTTTCTTTTCAACGATATAATCAAATAATTCACCTCCAGCATACTCAATGACCATTACAATATCTGTAGGCGTGGTGATAACATCGTATAATTTGATGATATGAGGATGTCGAAGAAGCTTCAAGTAAGATATCTCGCGTTCAACACGCATATACATATCGCTTTTTTTCAATAATTGCCGCGAGATAAACTTTAAAGCCACTTTTTGATGCGTCTTGTAATGAGTAGCAACTGTCAAAGCTGGTTAATCATACACGGCTCGTTCCTCCTTGAAAACTTACGCTTCACTTTTCCAAATGATCCCTCTCCTAACGTTTCCTTCATCACATACGGACCAATGTGTCGCTTAGAGATGGCTTCAGGAGGTAGGATCCTGGCACCGTTCCTCATCGTTGAGTTCTCCATCTCACGTAAAACGGTTCCTTTAAAAGCCGTATAAATCTTTTGAATAAAAATATATAATTCTCTCTTCTATTCACTCAACTTCCGTGTAAATTCTAGCTCGATTATAATGAACTTGGTGGTAAAGGTTAGGACGGCAGCCAAGCGTAACCTGGAGTGCCGAGTATGGTTGATGTCCATAATATGAATAACGAAGGTCAATGTTTCGTTATAGGATAATACTGCTTTTTGATGCGGAATTAATTATGTAACGTTAATAAAGGAATACACACTGAAATTGAACGCTGGTTTGGTAGAAATGAGAAGAAAGGTAAGGTCAAAGTAGAATTCCATATTTCTGATTCTAGTAAGGTTCATAGATTAATAAAAAGTCATTGCAAAGATTGAGCCCAAAAAGAAAAAGTTATTGATTTTATTATCCAACCCACAAAGTTGTCTTTATCATCAGCAAACATTCCGATATCTATTTATCATTTGTATTAAAGCAATATTGCTTAAACGTTTAATTAATTTGCACCGACTGCAAGTATTCAAGGACTTGTGGAGGCAACCGATGCTCAATCATAGTACTATACATAATCAAGTTCGAAGCTATAAATTGTAAGTTTGATATTAAACCTTTCTCAGCTTCTTCAGGATTTTTATGCAAAGTATTAAACAACTCTTTGATACTAGACATGGCCATAAACAGTAAGAAAGAAACGACATTAGTGATTTCCGGCGGTAATGTCAAGAGATTAATTGCTTTTTGACGCAAAAAAAGAGAATTTAAAGATTCAGGTACATGTTCCATATTTCCATCAAGAGGTAAAATATCCATTTTCGCAATTTCACTCAAAACTCCCTTCCATTCTCCCTTATCATACAGGGTCCTTGCATCCATAACCCGAAGCAGTAACTTGCACATGTCTCTATTGGTCTTACTTACTTTCGCTGATTTCTCGAGATTAGCTTCATAGATTTCCAAAAGACTCCTTGCCAGAACGTCTGGTGCTCCATTAGCTACAACGTTGGGTGAGGACTTCTGTTGACTCTGGTCTTGAGAATCTGCCATCCACAGACCGCGCGAGAGTATACTCTGACTTAGGTTTTTCACAGCAACGCCGATCACGGTATCATAATCTCCTAGGAGGTGATATAAGAGAATGGAATCTCCGTAACGCCCATCATCATCTGCGTTTCTAGCGCCTTCTGCATACAACGCTTGTAATGAGTCTTGATCAAATGGTACTAACGGCAGATACAAATCAAGTAAACCAGTTGTTCGCTCGGTATCCTCCCGAATATCTCCCAAAAATTTTGAAAAGTCATGCGATTGAAGAAGCAATATTTTAACCAAGTTCATGCAACACGTTTTATATGATGAGACAAGAGATATACAGGCGATATAGTCAACATAAACCAATGTATCTACGGAGCCAAGGTAACCAATATAGGCTACGATAAGTTGCGGGTAATTAATGCGCACGCTATCTGCTTCATGAATAAGAATATTTTCGTTTTTTTCATAATTGCAGGTATGAAGAAGGCCATAGTAGGACATGGCGATAGCATAATGGGTAGCTTCAACGGGGTAAAAGGTATACAGATAATTTACAGCACGTTCAAACTCACCACAGATTAAAAGGGCAAGGAAATAATTTACAGGAGTGCTATTCTTAGGATTGAAATATCTCGGTCCGAAAGCTACAATCTTCTTCTGAAGTTGTTGCAGATCAAAGTTATTTACCGAGCGCTGATTCAAATCAGAGGTGAGAGAATTGTTAGCATTAGCTCGACAAAACATTAATTGCATCCACATATAGTCTTCGGAAGTAATGCATACTTCAGGAAGTGAAATACGATGAGGTTCGCATTGACCAAGGAGTTTGTAAATAGCATGCTTAAATGGATCTTCCGGAGCATATTTCATGAGTTGGGCATACTCAGCTTGCAAACGATCACGAAGTTGCTTGGGAAGAGGTTGATGAGGATTTCTAGCATAAGCATTGAAATATGAAGGAAAAGAACGACCAAAACTTTCAAATACATGTGCATTAGTGCTAACAAACTCTGATGCGAGATCCAGCAGACCAGCACGCATAAGGTAAAATAAGACTGCCCACACAGGAATGTCATCAGCAATTGAGATAGTTGGCTTAACCCAAGAATTATTCTTGAAGAACCGTAACCGACTGAAAGCAATCATTTTATCCAATGGTTTTGTCGAAGAAACATGGCCGTTATCAGATAATTGCGCATCAACAAACGCTAAAAACTGAACTTCTAAAAAGCGCAAGGATCCATGGATGATATTATACTGAAATGAAGGATTCACATTAGTCTTGTCACTGCTATTTGCCGTCTTTAATTCGAAAGCATGTACATTATTTGATTTCTCATCCACCATATAGGCTAATAAAGACCATGCATCTAAAAGCTGAGGATATTCTCGATCGATTTTTCTGCTAGCAGAAGCAAATAACGACCATACCCGGACAATGCTACCATGAATGCGAGCATCGTTTAATTTGTGAATAGCAGCAGCAAAGAACCCAACCTTTTCTGGAATTCCAGACAGGCTTGAAAGTTGACTACGGGCTGCTTCATTCCCTAACATTGAGGAAGTTTGGTCAGCGACATGCAGTACGCTTGAGGCTGGTGTTCTCAAAGAATGCGCTGGATGTGATTGAGCAAGTAACGACCCCTTAAGAGTAGGCTTGGCAAAGCTAGATTGCAGAGACATGGTAACGGATGCACCCAAAACAGTATTATCCTTGGAGCGCAACATCTTTCCTGTATCTTGCAAAAAACTCATTTTTCGGTTTTCCCAAGCAACACCGCTATCTTTCATTAATTTTATTTGGAAATCGTTGGCGCTTGCTTGCAGGCCCCCTTCAATACTAGCAATTACATTCTGCTCTTTATATATTTTGGCGTGAGGGCGTTCGTACAACGTACGCTTTTCTATCTCAAGGGAATCCCATTGAGAATGTATGTGAACAGAGTAAATCTTTTGGCGGGTCTGTTCTACATTCATACCACTCTCTGCGAGTAAATAATGTCTAATGTGAGTTAGCTTCTCATATATGACAGAACTTCCAAGGCAGACAATGAATACAGGTTTTTTTAATACAAAGAAGAAAACTTCTTTATTCATTAGCTTTTTTTTTTGGTCCTCTGTTTCTCGGCTTTCCAAATAAAACCTCTTCCTTCGGAAATCTATACTTACGCTTTGGTATCGCCATCACGTGTGGAGACAACCTTTAATTCTAATTTTTTTGCTCGCTCCTCTAATTGATTTAGATTGTATTGAATGACAGGTACTTGAGGCTTTAGCAAAGAGCCAAACAAATGCTGAGATTTTTCCGACAAATCTGACATGCAGCTGGAGACTTGCAATTTATTTGCATTTTTTGTATTTTGAGACTCTTTTTCTGGCTCCTTCAACGCCATTAAAAGGATTTGTTTACAAAAAATGGTAAAGGTCAAGTATAGTAATAATAAGGCCTACAACTACCATACCCAATCACTTTTCCTATAGTGAAGTGTAACATTTCTGTAAGTAATTTAACGATATAAAATGTTATGCAGTAATAAATAAATACAGTAAAAGGAAGAAAACTAAGAGATAATCCGCTTTTCTTTCAGATCTTTGAATCATTTTGGAGACCAACCTGTCTTTCCTTTGCATTTGCCGACTCATATTCATGAAATTCATGGTCGATGAAACGAGCCTAGTTATAAGTATACCCATATCTTCTCCACTGATTTCAATTGAGCCTTTATAATTCAATGTCAATTATGCTTTTTTTCAGTGACCTGATGTTTGGCTATCTCCGGTTGTGCAGCACCAATATCAAGCGCTTCAATCCCTCCAAGAGCGGCCAGTTTAGCTATTTTTTTTATTAGCAATAAATAGCTGCATACTCTTTTCTTCTCCGTCCCTTCTACTTACCTAAGTTTGGATGCTCCTTTGCTGTTTCCTCCCAAAATTCGTCTTGTAGTTTCTCTACATACCGTTAATTATACTTTCGTTTGGAATCAAACACGCACGGTATTGACAATAAAAACGAGCAATTCCAAACAACAAAGAACTAATGAAGAATAATAAAACTAGGCCTTTAGAACACTGCATATACTGTAGAACTAAACTCACAATGCCAATTTGAGCTGGGGTATACAGAGATAACAAGAATGCTTTAAGTAATAGCTTCTTTCGATTTAGGTTTCGATGTCTTCGTAAGCGAAAATATGTTTCTAGTTCTGAATTTCTTGGACTCTGTTCATGCTTTCTCTCATCAAAATGTAAGGATTGATGTCTTCTATCACTTAATCGATCTGCGATTTCAGCACCCGAATTCTGCCTGGCGATAGGGGATTCAACAGTGTCGCTTTCAAGGGTAGCCTTATTCATATCCTGTCTTTTTGATTTATCTTGCATGCCCAAAAACCAGTCTCGTTCCAATGGTGCGGAAGCTGAAAATCCCATAGCTGGACTTTCTATTCTTCCCGCTTTGTTCGAAAATTCAGCCATAATTAAAATTGGAATTGTTTCTATTCTATAGCATACGTTCGCTCACCATTTCCGCTTCTATAAAGAGAACCGCATTTCCGTTGCGTAACTCTTACTTCAATTTCCGGATCACTATTCCATATCCATTAATTACCAATTTATTTCCCATTACTCTTTACTTTGCAATCAGTTACCTTTACACTTCCACCAAAAAAATACTTAAAAAGGATTCATGAGTAATTCCCCTTGTAAAACAATTTATTCAATTTTAAACAAGTGATCGTTAATCATGTCTATTATATATTAAACATCGTATAACAAAATTTACAAATAAAAAAACAAAAACCGCCCATTAACATATTAATTTTAGAAAGCTTAATCAACTTCCTCAACTTCAGGACCGTTCTCGCCTCCAGGGGCGGCACCTTCAGGAGCGGCGCCAGGAGCGGCACCAGGAGCACCACCAGGAACACCACCAGCTTGGTAAACCTTGGCCATGATGGGGTTAGCAACACCCTCCAATTCCTTCTGCTTAGACTCGTATTCGTCCTTGGCAGCAGTGGTGTTGTTGTCAAGCCATTCAATGGTCTCCTTAACAGCCTTATCAATGGCTTCCTTGTCAGAGGCCTCAATCTTGTCCTTAAGGTTGGGGTCATCCATAGAGTTGCGCAAAGAGTAGGCATAGGATTCCAAGTGGTTCTTGGATTGGATACGAGCAGCTTCAGCTTCATCCTCAGCCTTGTACTTCTCGGCATCAGCAACCATACGGTCAATTTCTTCCTTGGAAAGACGGCCCTTGTCGTTGGTGATGGTAATCTTTTGAGTCTTACCAGTACCCTTCTCGAGGGCAGAGACGTTCAAGATACCGTTAGCATCAACATCGAAGGTAACTTCGATTTGAGGAACACCACGAGGAGCAGGAGGAATACCGGAAAGTTCAAACTTACCGAGCAAGTTGCAGTCCTTAGTACGAGCACGCTCACCCTCGTAGACTTGAATCAAGACACCAGGTTGGTTGTCAGAGTAGGTAGAGAAGACTTCAGACTTCTTGGTAGGAATGGTAGTGTTACGCTTGATAAGGGGAGTCATAACACCACCAGCGGTCTCGATACCCATAGAAAGAGGGGCAACATCCAACAACAAGAGATCTTGAGTCTTTTCAGAGGTATCACCAGTCAAGACGGCAGCTTGAACAGCAGCACCGTAGGCAACGGCCTCATCGGGGTTGATGGACTTGCAAGGCTCTTTACCGTTGAAGAAGTCCGAGACAAGCTTTTGGATACGGGGGATACGAGTAGAACCACCAACCAAAACAATCTCGTGAACAGAGGACTTGTCACACTTAGCATCACGGAGAACACGCTCAACGGGTTCCATAGTGTTACGGAAAAGGTCAGCGCAAAGTTCCTCGAAACGAGCACGAGTGATAGAAGTGTAGAAGTCGATACCCTCGTACATGGAGTCAATTTCAATGCTAGCTTGAGCAGAAGAAGAAAGGGTACGCTTAGCACGTTCGCAAGCGGTACGGAGACGACGGACAGCACGAGCATTACCAGTGATGTCCTTCTTGTTCTTACGCTTGAATTCTTGGATGAAGTGGTTCACCAAACGAGAGTCGAAATCTTCACCACCCAAGTGAGTGTCACCAGCAGTAGACTTGACTTCGAAAATACCCTCTTCAATAGTCAAGAGGGAAACATCGAAAGTACCACCACCAAGATCGAAAATCAAGACATTAGATTCACCAGCGGTGTTACGGTCCAAACCATAAGCAATGGCAGCAGCAGTGGGTTCGTTAATGATACGCAAGACGTTCATACCAGCAATGGTACCAGCGTCCTTGGTGGCTTGACGTTGAGAGTCGTTGAAATAGGCAGGGACGGTAACGACAGCGTCAGAAACCTTACCACCCAAGTAAGCCTCGGCGGTTTCACGCATCTTCATCAATACCATGGAGGAGATTTCTTCAGGAGTGAAAACCTTCTTTTCACCCTTGAATTCAACTTCCAAGACGGGCTTGCCATTCTTAGGAATAACCTTGAAAGGCCAGTGCTTCATGTCCGATTGGACCTCAGCATCATCAAAGTTACGACCGATCAAACGCTTAGCGTCGAAGACGGTGTTGTGGGGGTTCATGGCGACTTGGTTCTTAGCGGCGTCACCAATGAGACGCTCAGTGTCAGTGAAACCAACATAAGAAGGAGTGGTACGGTTACCTTGGTCGTTGGCAATAATTTCAACACGGTTGTTGGAGAATTGACCAACGCAGGAGTAGGTAGTACCCAAATCGATACCGATAGCTTTGCTCATTTTACTGTAATTTAAAGATCGTTAAAAAGAAAAGACAAAAAATCAATAAAAGGATAGATGAGGATATTAAATTATATAGAGTATCCTTAATGCAAAAAAAATATCGTTACTTAGTAAAGGGGATTAACGACAAAATTCGTTATATTTTTTATAATGCAACACAAAGGACTACAGATGAAGTATAAGCGGGGAATAGCAAGGTATTTATTTCTAGGCTCTAATTCTGGAAGTTTCGAATAACCCTTACCCTAAAGAAAAAAATAAGTACAGAAGAGTATGGTAGAAGCGAGTGGAATTTTTCAAGGCTTGACGTCAGCATCTGTAGAAAGAGAAAGCAAATTTGAGAAAGCTCACGAACAAAGACGGATAAGAAGCAACGGCGTAACATCTGTATTTTGTATAGTACAGTCGAACAAATTGGCTTAAGTAACCATAAAGAAAAACAAAACAGTGCACTATGTACAATAAAGTAGCTTAAGCTGCATTCTTACTCATTAAATAGCAATCATAGGACATGGGAAAGCATAGAGCATATAGCAGAGAAAGTACTAGTAGTGTATGACTATGGTGGTAGTAAGGGCGAAAAGAAGGTGACTCTTCTTTTTCTAGTGGAGTAAATCTCCAAGTCCTGTCATTATAGTAATGAAGAGTATAATAACAATGCTGGCAGGGGCTAAAAGAATTTTTGTCCTTGAGAGTAGCATTCAAGTTTCCTGGTTTCTGGAAACCACTAAAGAGACGAATACAAACACCATGGGTTACGACTGCTAGATTTTTTTGAGGCACCTTGGCAAAGTATTCAGTCAACTGCTGAGTCTTTAGTACACTGGTCTCAAAGTCTGCTTTGTGGATTCCTTCCTTCTTGAGATATACCTTGTCCTTGTAACAAGCAGTAGAGTCGTGTCTAGGAAATTTGCTGTTTCAATTCTGCAGTTGGTGTTCCGACGTTACATTCCTAGTCTCCGCAGTCTTACAAAGTAGGAAGGATCTTTAAGGGGACATGATCATCTTTCATATAATCCTGGAATGCAATTTGCATGGTTTCAATAGCCCGGCGCAAAATGAAGAACAAAAAATGATTTCCACAGGAAGTTCTGCAGCTCTTAACTTGCATTGAACCTTTTCAGCTTGTTTGATGCCTTCCTCATTTAACATATGATCGTGATCTCGATGAACGCCCTGTTCATTTGTCTTGTGATTAACTAATCCATGGCGTGAAAAAGTTAATAGTTTTCATATTGTCTTGCCAAGGAGCAAAAGCCATGTTTCCAAAGCTTTGTTCCTCCTTACTTTGAGATTTGGCGGATGCCCTTTTGAATAACATCGCTGTTATTTATATTTTACCTATGAAATCAAGGTCTACAACACTTAGCTATTTCATGACAATACACTTATGTGCACCATACGTGATGTGAATATGCAGTAATTACATTTTCCATCTCGTGGATGGAACACTAGAATGGTGAAAATGGATCTCGAATCAACCGTTTCATTCTGTCACTTATAAAAAGCATTTTTATTTGCTTATTATTTGATTTTTATTTTCATGAAGAAAGCATAGAAACACGAATTTATCGGGATCATACTAAAGAGTTCTTATTGTTTACTAACAAAGCTCTTTGTAATACACTCTTCTACTGTACTAAACAAAAGCGAGAAGGAATTATGGAAATAGTAGAAATATTCATAAAAGAAATGGTAAGCATTCTATAAACCATAACCAAGAAAAGGAAAGGCAAATCTAAATATCTACTCATCAGCAATCTTGGCAAGAGCCTTACCAAAGTTCTTTCCCTGAAGGACACCAAGCAAGCCTTCAGGAATCGAACCCAAGCCCTTATAAACGTCGTACTTATACTTGAGCTTTCCTTCCGCAATCAGCTTAGGCATTTCACGGAAGTATTCCTCTTGGTAAAGTGGGATCAAATTCATGACAATGAAGCCTTCAATCGTAATACTCTTCAAAACGATTTCAGTGTAATTCTTCAACCTGTAAGGATTGGGATTGTTATACTGACTGATGGCTCCGCAGAAAATGATGCGAGCGTAAAAGTTGACGTTCAAGAGAACGGCATCCAATGTTTCACCTCCGACGTTATCAAAGTAAATGTCAATGCCCTTAGGACAGAGACGAGGAAGAGCATCATGAACACTTTCATTTTTATAGTTGAAAACTGCATCATAGCCTATTTCCTTCAAGTAGGCGATTTTCTCGTCAGATCCCGCACTTCCTACAACGTATAAGCCCATAGATTTCGCCAATTGGCCGGCGACTTGACCGACAGCACCAGAAGCCGCAGAAATGTAGATAGTCTCGCCTGCCTTGGGTTTTCCAACATGTTTGAGTCCAACGTATGCCGTCTGACTGGGCATTCCTAAAGCACCCACAAAGGTCATCAAAGGCAAATTGTAAGGATTGGAAATAACTTGCACCACTTTCATAGCGTCTTTGGGCACAAAAGTATATTCTTCCCAACCGCTCATAAAAATCACGTGGGAGCCAGTCTTGTATTCTGGAACTGCAGACTTGACGACTTCAGCAATAGTCAAGTTAGGAATCACCTGTCCTAAATCCAAAGGTGGCAGATAACTCTTATGCTTAGGATTCCGCATGCGATTGCGAATGTAAGGGTCAATAGAAGTGTAAATGTTTCTCAAAAGCAAAGGATGCTCTTCATCCACCTTAGCTGCTTCTAAATTAAAAGGACGTTCCTCTAAACCAAAGTGTTCTCCAACTTTGGGATATCCTTCGACAGGATCAATATGCTTTTTCAAGATAATACCGTTATTCGAACTCATATTTCTAACAATAATTCAAAGACTGTATTCTCGTATACAGGATTTTACTAGAGAGTAATACCTCCTATTTATATTCTTCTGTTTTCTGCGTCATTACTATTACATCTCTCGGTTTTGCACACCAGTCCCAGGCCGATCGGAAGTTTCTTTAGAAAGGGGTTAGCGAAGCTTATTGCACTTTAAACAAGCATGATGTTAGTAAGCAAAAAACAAAGGAACAAAACAAGGAAAAACAGAAAATTGAAGTGTTTCCACTTGATATTTTTAATCAAGTTCTTACTCCTAAAACTAAAGAACATGCCTTTATTGTTTCCGTTGAAAAGCATGGGCGTTCGAAATAATCTTTGGTTCAAAACTTACAGATGCAGATTTCCACAGATTGCTTACTATTAAAGTCGTAAAGATCGTTTCATTCCAAAATTAGCTAATTATATTTTTCTTTGCTTTAAACGCTACTCAAAAAAGCAAAAAAGCAAGTATGACACAAAAATAACAAAAGCAAACTTTCTAGCTTGTTTTTAGGTTTCTTGTCCAAATATTTTTTCTAATTTTGCAATATTGAGCCGGCGAAAAAGAAATTTCCCATCTAAGTTCTTGGTTCTTCAAACTTTCTTCTCTTCCAATGAGTACGCTCAACTCGTTTCTGCAGGAATTGACTAAGGAGTCGATGAATCGGTATGCTTCGAATAATCTCATATGTAACTATGGCAAAACCCAAATTAAAGGCAGCATAGCCTATAAGGATACCAAAATTTCTCCACCGATGATGGTAATAATACCCAAAACCATCCAACAGTTCATCTGCAATTTTGTACGGACAAAACTCACAACTTGAGACAGCTTCCGGATTATAAATAATGCCAGCACCAGAGGATTGTAAATAATCAAAAAAGTATGCTCCACAGGTATACCCCATAGGAGGATCTACCACGTACATTTCAGTACGTTCGCATATAATTGGGACGTTATGTAGATTATTTCCAATCATTCCTTCAAGGAAATATTTATATGGGCTAAGATCATTCATCCATTTCCAAAATCCTACTAGTTGGCTAGGCTTTTGAACCATACCATTGAAATATTGCACAAACACGAAAGCAGTACCGCTTAGCATTGAAGCAATACCCGAACTAGGAGAAACCGTAGCAATGCTTATACCGAGGGTAGTATAATACAAAGCGAAAACCATCATCATCAACCAGGCGTAACCACCATAAAAAAGGGTATTGTGACCATTCAAATAATAGCCACTTGGATAGTACCAACAAAGAAAGAATATTGTTCCAAAACAACAATTAATCACTGCTTCCGTGATGAAGAATGCCAATATAAAAGCAGGACGGTTATAGGTGGCAGAGTTCTCTTCATGATACTCATAAATGTCACGTAAATGAATAAATTTTGGTATTAATCCGTTAATAAGAGAAGTAGAAGCAATTGTTAACATATAGGCAGAGAACATTTTATTCTGTGTTCTCTGTATTCCATTGCCTTGTTTATAAAACGTAAATCCGATAAGCAACCCAGCCAACGTATTAAATGCCAACCGATTAATCAGAGCTGCAGAATCTCTCCAGTAAACGGTAAAGTTCCGCTTCGCTATCTTAAACGTTTGGTAAACCGTACTACTCAGATATTCCTGTTCGGAGCGTACTTCTTGATCACTCAACCTGCGACTCAGTAATCTGTCTAACTCTGGTATAAGACGTTTATGCGTGTCTGTGGATTCCCATACAGCTGCATAGTCCACTTTTTTACTTTTGTTTGAATAGTATATACACTTTAGTACATAGTCTGCTGGATCTTTGATACTATTTTCATCGTTTCCATGAATTTTCTTGAAATACTTTATCAACTTCAAAGCATAGCTGCCAACTTCATCGAGGTAGACAGTCCGACCATAACCATCAAGAATCATTATAGAATGAAATAAATTAAGAAGTCTCGAGCTAGGTTGCGAAACTGAACACATAATGGATAAACCTGTATTTGCTAATTTTCGAAGCGTAGCAACAAGCATCCAAGCGGACTGACTATCAAGACCAGAGACGGGTTCATCCAGAAGAAGAACAGATCGTCTTGCAACTAACTCGATCCCAATCGCTGTAAGCTTTTTGTGATACAATGATAAACCTCCACCTGCATCGCCCACAACGAATCTAGCAACATCTAATAGACCTAGAAAATCGATAACCTCGTCTACATACTCATACCGCTCGGACATAGATATGTCAGCACTTTGACGAAGTGAAGCGTGTTGTCGAAGAGTCTCTCGCACAGTATACTGGGGAACAAACATTAGTTTGTTCGAAATATAACCAATCCTTTTCCGTAAATATTTGGAGGTTTTTATCCCCTCCAAAGACACTTGTCCTTCAACAATTCCTGATACACCAAGTTGAGAAAGGATTTGAATAAGTATGGATTTACCTGATTTATTTTCACCAGCCAATGCCATTAAACATCCAGGTTTTACGTAACCATTGAGCTTTTGTAATACACGTTTCTGCACTCCATCTTCCAAAATGTAAAAGGACAAATCTTTCCAACACAGTGACAATTCATCCGTCGTCGTTCTAAAAGACGTGGACATGTCCATTGCCCTATGAGCTTTGTCTTCTTTTTTCTGCTTTAACGCCGCTTTGTTTAAATTATTTTCCCATGAACTCTGTACAGTTGCGTATAGTTTTTTCATTTGATATTCAGGAATAGCCATACACGTTCTATCATATCTGATATAGTTGGCTACTGCCAGTGATAGTAACAAGATAAAGATTGCAAACCCAAAAAGAATACCGCAATTTTTCCACAAAAAGTCGGTTGTATATCTGAAAACGACATTCAAATAATTAATGCCTATGATATAAGGAACTCCTGGCACGCCGGAAGGAGAAGGACATATATTGTTCCGTAGAGGAAAACTTAAATTTGGTATAATCGCCGAACAATTGAATATTCTATCCTTGAACTCGTTCAACATGATGGATTCATACCCATACTGAACAGGGTTCGCATAGGCAAGCCATCGAAACCACCATCCTATATAATTGATTGGCATAACAGAACCGCAAAACGAAATGAAATAGAGAGCAGCGATACCCCCTATAAAAGCAGCAATCTCAGCGGTGCTGCAAAGTAAAGCAATTAATCGAAAGATTGATGCCATACAAAAAGTGATTAAGAAGGTGAAGAGAAAAAAGGTAAAAAAAGCACCAGCATTGACTCTTAAACCGCTCAAGAAATAAACAGCTATATCAAAAATTACAAGAGATACCAAACGAATAGGAAATTCCACTAAAATTGAGCCAAACAAAGCTGCCGAAGGTTGATATAAGGACTGAATCCGATGCTCAGCGAATAGGGACTTTTTTGTAAATATAATACCTACCTCAGACATTGTTTGAATGGCAGTAAATATGATTGATGTTGAAAGTACACTACCTCGAGAAAAAAGGGTTGCAGAGGTGTTTTCTATGAGGTAAAAGATAGAGCCAAGCATAAAGCCTTGAAATAGATAGGAAAAAACAAACGTTAAATGAAAAGAATAGTCGTAAAGATAGTGGAAGTACGTTATTTTAGCAAAGGCCCAGACTTGTAATCTATAAGGAACGGGACAGGGAATCCGATTCAAGAAGCGTTTCCACTTTACAATGGGCGTATTGGATGAGTCCTTTGTATGAAATGCAGAAACGTCACTATGATATTCCATAGACGCATTAATTGAAGACATTAAGTGTGTATAATCCTTACTTTCAAGCCAGCATTGACGGAATTCAGCAGGAGTAGATGGTATAAACCCTTTATGGCTTTTATTAATGGTTCGAAGCCCGGGGTATAACAAGGAAGTGACGAATTCACCAACGGTACTGTGACTTTGTGGAATGTAACCAAGATTTAAAAAGTAATCTTTTACACGAGAAGTCGGACCGTAAAAGATTTGCTCACCTTCATATAAAACTGTTACCATATCAAACATACGAAGGATTTTGTCAGGAATTTGATTGGAAATGGCAATCAGGGTCGATCCGAAGACGCGAGATATAATTTTGGTTCTTGAAAGAATGTGGGTAGCGGACACAGAATCGAATTCACGCAGTGCGTTTTCCCAACATTGCAATAACGGCCGTGCACACATTCTCTCTGCGATACCGATGCGTTTCTGATCACTTCCATTATAAATTTTCAAAATTCGACGATTAAAAATGCTATTCAATTCAAATGCATCGCATATAATCTCACAAATCCTTCGAATCGTCTTGTCACGAGAGACTCCGGGCTTTTTCGTTTCAGGGAGGCGGCAAGCACAGATAAACTCTAATAAACGGCGCACAGAAATGGTTGCAAATGACGAGTGGTCGTCGTCGTTGTGATAACTTAAATCAGTCTTGTATTGACTATGCATTGTGCGGTAATCCAACCCATCATAGTTTAGCTCTCCTTCTAACGTTTGATTCTCTTCAACTATTCCACTCAAAACTTTGAGTAAATTATGACAACCTGATCCTTCATGTCCAATTACTAATAAAAAGGCACCTGGATCCAATAAAGCATCAAATTCCTTTACCAAGGGGATCGCATTACGTTTTGGTCTTCTAGAAAACAGCACGTTCAAGGGATACATCAGTTGACCCAGAAAAGAAGTAATCATGAGCCGTTCATTAAATTTTCCATTGATCCTGAATCTTCGCGCGCAAAACCCCGTGACTCGGTCACGAATTCCAAAATCCTCCAACGTTTTTGCACACTCTCGTATCCTTGCTTCAAATTCTTTTGCTGATTCTACATCTTCACTGACAGGCCCTGTGGTTCCTACCTTTTTTTGATTAATCTTCTTCATGAAACTTTTCCAAGTTTTCCGTCAGATCAAACTCAAAATACTCTCTCACCTTTTTGCCTTTATGAACATGCAGATGGCAAAAGTCTTGAAATTGAAAAGTAAGATGACGTTAACTTTGCTGCTCTAAAAGAGTGCTGCGCCCTGTCGGCATAATAAACTACCGAGACTCATCTTTTGACAGGTATTTTACACTATTCTATTTTGTTTTTTTTTTTTCAAACTCGGAATTGTTAATGACAAATAGAACTCACAATATGCATTTTTATTAGACAAAAGCTTTGTTCATGGTTTTGGTGGTTAGAGAAATAAGGGTTTCGACATTGCTTTAGCAAACTACTGCGGACTACACGCTATCTATCTTCCTATTGAAATTGGATTGTATAATAGGTGAAGTTTAAGAGGGAAATGTGAACGAAATCTATAACAAAAAAAAAATGAAATATTACTTAATTATGCAATCAAAATATAAGTAGATATTGTAAAGGGTGGAAATCATAGTATGTAAAATGATTGATATTTACCAGGTTATAGTCCTGTAGCTTGCAAAAGTTCTGTTCTAATCTACGTCGATGTCGAAGAAACAAAGTTTGAATTGATTATGCGTTCCTGATTTCGCAAGTGCACTCAATCTTTTGATCCTTACATAACGTTAGAAGAAGCAGCCTTTATTTTCTCCACACGCATATATGCTCACACTAAAAATCCGGATAGGCTCTTAGCGAAGTATCACGGCTTTTTATTTCGAAATAATTCAGTCAAAAGTACATATTTTTCCCTTTCTTCAGTAAAATTCAAGATACTAATAAAAAGAAAATAAAAAAGCAGGGACGATGAGAGTTTCGAATCTTTTGTCGACTGCTCATAGTTTATTTTATCCGCTGTTATTTCTTTCTTTCATATAAGTAACTGAATCCAACATGGTTGTGGATTTTACTTTTTTACAAAACATTTCGTCGAAAACGAAAGGTGATTGAATTTTTTTTTTTTGAACGGTCTCAAAGTTCGTTAATATTTGTATTATTATTATAAAACAAGCACACAATTATTTAGACTGTCAATTGTACGTCCAACAATGGCCAAGGAAAGATGACTTTTAATTCCATTGAACATAATTAAATTAAGCAAAGTATAATTAATTCCGATATTTAGAAATTTTAAATTTAGAGTATTTGTATTCTTAGGTATTTGACGTTGACAAAAAGAAACTTCAAGTCTATTTACATGATGATGTCGGGCCTTAGTCTAATCAACTGCTATAGCATATAGAATGTTCAAATGGTACATAAAAAAGTATATTGATATTAAGGTACTATTTTACCTTGACGAAATCAACAGGATTTTCTCCATTAAAGTTACTAACGAAAAGCGATCAGTGAATGTCAGATTTACCAAACCTTGGATTCATAAATCGCGTGTTTTGTAACACAACACCAATAGGAAGAAAGGAAGAATAATAAACATATGTGCAGTCTCATTACAAGGCAGATTAAAGGACAAAACACAATTTCAAAAAATATCCATATGGTTGTCATTTGACGATAAATCATGTATCAAATACTGAAATCTATTAAAAAGTAACTTTTTCTTGGAATTTCCTTTCACATGAAACCATCAACGCTTCATCTACACTTAGCTTCGTCACTAGAATCATAGTTGAGCTATAACTTCTATATTCATTAATCGTTGTAGAAATTCAATTTCATATCCAGGTGTCGAACTTTTCACGCCTGCGGATCGAGACAATCAAACAACCGTCTCTTATCGCTCAAAATCTGGAGCATTAAGGTCTTTATTTTTCATAGTAGTGACTTGACTTTTTCCCCAGATCCGACATAAAGCTTAGTTTCGAGCACATACAAGATCAACACATGGTTGGTTGAACATAATCTAAATTCCTTATGTTCCTTTCCAATTGGCAACATGTTAGAATGAAATAGCAAATCCTATTATAACACTGACAAGAAAGTATTGCACAATAAAGTCGGTATAAACCCTAATCCTTCAAGTAAAAGCAACAAGTAATCCAAACACAAGGACCAAAACAACAGATGATGACAACATTATTCAGCACTTAAATCACATTTATTTAAGCGTGCTTTGTTTTCACGGGGGTTTTTTTTTCAAGAAAATAGCCATTTTAGGTAAAAACTTTCTCGAGCTCGTTTTGGTTGCTTTTAGTAAAAAGCATTGCATTTTTGCAATTTAAAAATCTATGATCAATAGACTTACTTTATTCCATAATTGTATCATTCATACAATGTCTCAAAAGCAAGATACAGCTTTCCTAATCACTGCCCTTAAAGGTACTATCCATTGGAACCACCTCATCATCGACTGGTTGTCAAAATCAAATTCAAAACTCTTTTGGGTTCCTGATAAGCCTTCTGAAACATTTTTTATATTACCTTAGAAAAACTTCCCGGTTTTGCCCACGCAAATATATGTATCGATATATATCAACAGAAATTTCATTGAGCAAAAAGTACATAGAATAGTTGAGGAAAATGCTATCGTTTTTTTTTTAAATCAAAGAAAAGACAGACAAAGATGCTTAGACATTCTTAAAATTAGACGCCTTTTAGATTATAACAACGACGGTAGATTAATGGGGGCAGAAGGACAAGCATAAGAGAAGAGTAGAAAGAAAAAAAAAAGAAGCGGAGGAAATGAATATGAGAAATTAACCCTATAGGAAAATAGATGAAATGATGATCAACCATATTAAATTGGAAAAACAACCTATACATCGCAAGAAACCCAAAGCACTGTAGCTATTCTAAATGAAGTATTCACTTCTTTTCCGACTTGGGGGAACAGTTCTGTCTTCATCCGGTACAGCAGAAAATATGCGAAAATCAGGTTCTAAAGAATCATCTACTTTCATAACACTCGCAACATTACCGCACCGATAGCAATAGTTCGGAGCACTCCAAACAGTAACCAGATTTTTTTCATCAAAATGATACTTGTATCCTTCTTGAACTAGCTGGTGTGCCCTAGCAATCAGCTTTAAATCATTGATGTGACTAAATTCGCTAGTGACTTTTGAACCAAACAGCCAGCCAGCACCACGGGGCGATACAGTCCAAGACTCAATGTCTTCGGGATCCGACCACATAAGGTCACAAAACGAGCCTTCATGAGGAATTTCTTGAGCACGAGCCAGTATACGAATCTGGTCTAATGTACGAACTTCAGGGGATAAGCCACCGTGCACACATAGAATTTTGTTGTCAATGATTGCAGCCAGAGTTAGAAAATCAAATACTTGGCAGCAGTATTTCCAGACATTTGCATTACCATACTTCGTTTGACACTCGTCATAAAATCCATACACCTGTGTAATTTGTCTACTTTCGTGATTTCCACGGAGAAGTGTAATTTTATCAGGATATCTGGCTTTCAATAACATAAACAATGTAAATGTTTCCAAACTAAAATAACCGCGGTCTACAAAATCGCCCATAAAGATGTAATTAGTTGACGGTAGTTCTCCACTGACACGGAATAATTCTAAAAGATCGAAAAATTGACCGTGAATATCTCCGCAGACGGTAACGGGAGTTCTTACGGGTTGAATATTCGATTCTTCCATCAGTATTTCCTTCACCATCTCACATAAGCGTTTTAACTGATGTTCTGGTAAATATTTACATTTTCGAACCGTTGCAATCCATTCATCTAAATCCACCATATTGAAACGACCTTTTTCTTTTTCAGAAATTTATTATTCTTCGTTTTATCGCTTCTTTTGGCAATACTTTGTTTTCTTTTAATGCTTGTTGTAGGCAAAGGATACGTAAGTTGTAGGATTTCACTGTCAGTCTAGATAGGTTAACGAAGTCAAGTGAGATCTGACGAGTTTTTAAATAAATACTTATATCAACTCGTTCGAAAGTCTACTTATTCATATAAGAAAAAACAATTATCAAATCGAATTTTAAAAAGCTTATTACTAAATGTATAGAGATTCAATTATCACTCAGATGATGCAGAGAACGTAAAGTCAGCAAGTCTAGAAATGCCTCTTAGTAATATCTTTTGAAACTTTTTTTTCGTTCAAGCCAACAACGACAGTTGTTTCAAGGAACTTCATTTATATCCCTGAGAAAGAATACTTTTATTCTAGTTCTAGAAATCTTTTTTATTTTTTATTTTTGCTCTTGACAATGTTTGGTGTAAAAATGTTTGCTAACGGATTGTACCGTTGCCATAAAATTTTAACGATACATTTATCGTTCGCTATACGAATGAACGAGAGCGACGATTCTATTTTTTCTGTCGATAAAAATGTCAATAAAAAATAATTATATCTTTTCAGCAATAACAAATGATCCTTTCATTCTAGAGCTTAAAGTTAATCTTTTCTTTCTTTATTATATTTTGTAAAAAATGAAAGAAAATGAAAAAGCAGTTGCTGCTCAAAACCTTAGGCTCATTGAGATTGATCTATTTACATAGGATGAAAAGACCCTCGCTAAACTTGGCAGCTTCACCTTGAGATTTAATTTACCTTTCAATTTCAAAGAACCTTTATTTATAGCTTAAAACCGGAAATGCTATGCCCATTTTTAGCTGTTTCTTTATTCATTTACCTTTGAATATTTCTACAGATGAAAAAGTGTCGATATCATATTAAGCAGTAGGATTACTGCTACTAGTAGAATACCAGGTAACGTAGAGCATGTTCTCCTTCGGTAAAAAAAAATAAACAAAACAAGAGAGAAGAAAAATCGCACGCGTATAAGGAGAAACACAGGAAATATAATATGTTGGTAACAAAAAGATGTTTCTGCTGTAAAAAATCAACCAATTTCCCGTAATGTCTTAACCCTCCCGCAACGAAAGAAGAAGAAAAGTAATATGTCGCTCATTATTCAAGATACCTCATTGCATAAAAGTTACCTTTCAAATTTTTGTACTTCCAACAACAGTACAGTCTGCTCACACCCAGGGTTTGGGATGAAAATAAAAAACAAAGAAAATCCTATGCAGTTGTTCAAAACACTTCGTATTTTGAGTAATACATCTTCGAAACAGATAAATTGAAACATTATAGAATTTGACTCCAATGCTTTCATACATTGTTAATTTCTTTCTATAAACTCCAACCAGTTTGTTTATAAACATACAAGTTTCCCCAGATGCAAGGAATAAACAACTCTCGTTAACATACGATATGCTTTATAGTGAAAGAGAAGAAGTATCAATATAATACACAGAAGCACGTTATGTTCTAGCAGCCAAAAGGGATGCCAACCAAACGTAAACAAACACGAAACGGCGTAAAGAAGACATGAGAGTAGCATAAATGAATATGGAGCAGCTGTGGCTTGAACATGATCTAAGCGAAGAATGGATTCCAAAGTCGACTTCCGAAGATACTGACAGCAAGGAGGAATTTCAGTCTTCTACTAGTGCTACGAATACAAACTCATCTAAGAAGGTAACTACCGCTCCTTCCAGTGAGCCAGGAACCTTTAAAAAGGGATCAGAATCCTCTTTAGATGTTCCGCAATGGAAACAGATTAACGCGAAAAACCCAGTGGCTCGTGACATTTTTGCAAAACTAGATCTAGAAAATCTGTTTGATGGAGGCGGTAGTTCACGAAATCATTCCAGTTCATCCCAAAAACGACCAGACTCCTCTTCTAACCCAAATCCCCCGAGTTCCCCCTTTGCATCCGTCTCCTCTGACCCTTCAAGAAGCTATAATATCAAGTCTTTTCCTAAGCATTCTTTTTCTTCACAAACAAAGCATTCTCCTAGTTTTTTAGAAAGCTCTCCTCCGACCACAAGCTCCCAACCCCCTATTGTCTCAGGTTCTACTTCACCTCATTCTCAGACGTCTTCTTCATCTGCTAAGCAAGAGGCTTCTCCGCATTCCTCCCGACAGCGGCAATCTTCCTTGGTAGGTTCCTCAAAATCTTCTTCCCCTTCTTCCCTAGCTTCTTCCCCTTCCGTCCAGAAAGGTAACTCTTCTCCCTTAAAGCTTTTTCAAGGTGCCAGCGATCCTTTTACCCGTGAACATCTAAATCAACTTGCACAGGATGTTAATTCAAATTCTTTCGAAGCACCTGCAGAGGATTCATTTCCTTTGCCGAGCTCCAGACGAGTTTCCAAACCTGCGCATACTACCGAGCGAAAAGCCGGGCTTAATACTAAAGATTTATACCAAGAAGTAGAAGAAGTCATGGCAAAGCTCCGTGGACGGATACCAGCTACAAGTCGTGAATCAACTGTTTTTCTGCCTCGTAAATTAAGCGGTCTTCAAGAGGAAGAGGAACAAAACGAGGCTAGTGAATTTAGCAAAGATGATAGCTCTAACGCTTTCCCTTCTCTTAGTGATCAGCTGCACTTGCGTGAGTTAGAAAAAAAGCAAAAGCTTTTGGATTTACACCGAAACCAGCCAGAAAGCATCTCGAATTACTCCCCGCCTTCTCTTGTTCAATCATCGTCAGGAACAAAAGGTGAAAAGCAATCTTCCTTTCCTTCTTCTGATAGCCGCATGAAAGACTCTCTTAAGTCAAACAACCGAAAAATACGAAATGATAATCATACTCAACCAGACTATAAACCACATTCAGAAAATCCAAACATGGTTGTTATCACTCCAGCAGACTTACCCGACGGCATCAACACGACCCAAGGGTCAATGGAGTATGATCGTGTACACAATCGCTGGCGCCGTCGCGGTCATGACTCTGATATCGCTTTTGATTTTGGTTCTGAAGAAGAGGAAGATGATTTTTCATCAAATCTCACTGTTTCATATAAGGCTGCTCAAGGTTCTAGTCCTCCTTCAAATAAGAACCCTAATGTTCACAAAAAGCAGCCGAACTCTTATCCTATGAGGAAAGAGAATAATAAAGATCCTAAATATTCAACCTATTCTCTTCGTGATGTTTCCAATACCCCTTCTCACATCGCTTTTTCCTTCCAGGATTTTCTACCACAAGATGATAGTCATGATGATTTCAATCATTTACTTGCCAACAATTCATCCAATATTCCTGCTGATGGTCCAACCTCCACCTTTACTTCCCCTGAGAAAACCCAAGATGATCAAGCGCTGGATGAGGATTACAGCTTTTCAATCTCAAAGCAATCTATCACTCGTTTACTTGAAGATGTAGAGCCGTATCGTCCATTCTGGAAACGGATAATTCAACTAGACATAAGTAGGAGGGGATTAGATTCCCTTATTGGACTTTCTGAGCAATGCCCTTGTCTCGAAGACCTCAATATAGAGGGTAATGAGTTATCTTACTTGACTGGAAGTCCTTCTTCGGTGCGAAATCTAAATGCTGTCGGCAATCATTTATCTAGTCTTACTACTTTTTCTCACTTGATAAATCTTCAATATTTGGATTTATCAGCTAATCAGCTAGAAGATCTGACTGCTCTCTCTCCTTTGATTCATTTACGTGAATTAAACGTGGATAATAATCAATTATGGAACATAGATGGTATATTGCGTTTAGACGGACTTCTCAAATTGAGCGCACGCGGAAATCGATTCAAGCAACTATCGTTCACAAACTCAAATTTAAACAGATTGGAAGAGTTGCTCCTGGGGAATAATGCATTGGAAAACATTGAAGAAATCAGCTCTCTTCAAAGTTTAATGGTGCTACAGCTGGATATTAATCAACTCACAACTTTGCAGGCTAGTCAACCGATGATTCATCTGCGTGTTTTGCGCCTAAACAACAATGCTATACAGCATTTAGAAGTGGATCAATTCCCTAATTTAAGGACATTGTATATGGATTATAACTGCTTTACCCGTATTCCTGATATTTATCGGCTTAAGCGATTGACTAATTTCTCTTTTCGATCCCAAGAATTCAAATCTGGTACACACATGTTGACACCTCCTTTGGACATAAGGAACCTATATTTATCGAACAATACTTCTATAGTACTCCAAACCCATAATATGTTATTGGGAATTAAATATTTGGAATTAGCGAATATACAGATAACAGGATTGCCTCCTGACTTTGCAAAGAGCTTACCGAACCTTCGAGTTTTGGATCTGTCACACAATTATATAAGTGAAATTTCTGCTCTGAAAGGGTTTTCTTTATTACACCGCTTGTACCTTGTCGGTAACAGAATCGAGAAGATGAAAAACGTATGCGAAACTTTGTCTCATCTGAAAAAGTTAACTCACCTTGACTTACGGATGAATCCTTTAACGTTCAACATTTATCCTATGATTGATGACCCTGTGTATGAATTATCTGCTGCTTCTAAATACCATCAGAGTTTTGACCAATCGTCTCAAAGAACATTCAGACATCCAAAACGAAAATGGGCTGACAAAGACCATGCATTTATTGAAACCATGTCAGAGTCGGGAAAAAATCGTCGGAAAATGTATACAGAAGCAGTTACTCTATCCTGCTCTCGCCTAGAATGGCTAGATGGATTGGAACTTGAACTTATTGGAAATGATAATTCTATATTGCATTCTGTGCTTCATGAAATTTAATAGCTTTCAAAGAAACTTTTTGGTTAGTGAACGTGTTGGTTAATATATTACGATCATTCTTTTTTGTGAAGATACGAATTTTTGTAATTGTAAAATAAATTGAATGTAAACGACATAACTGAATAGTTTTACAAATAGTCAAGTAATGTCATTGAATGATAAACATACATAGGCAAAAAAGAAATCATAAAAAAGAGATTAATGAAAATCAACAACCAATCACAAATAAGAGCACACTTTGTTTCTAAAAATAGATAGAGAAAAACCACTTATGTATATAAATAACAAACCACAAAATAATAAAATGATTACTTAAAAGTAGAAGATAACAATAGAAAAATACGAAATAAAAAAACAGTGGTGAAACTCGAAAAGTGATATACGCACCCAACCAGCATGTTCAAAAATGACCCTGTTAGGAACGATTACTTTGGAGGCTTAATATCATCGATAGACCAAGGATTTGGAGGTGGATCCTTGAAAGGGTTTTCAGGATCTCTAAATGGATTTTCGGGAGCATTGTTTTGCTTGTTGCTACGCATAAAAGGAAACCTAAATCCAGAAGATTGAGGAGCAGGTTCAGGAGCATAAGAGGACATCGAGCGACTGTCACCACTTAACGTAGGCTTCAATTTCTTGATAGAATCACCACGTTTGTGAGAAAGTCCGTCGTATTCAGGAAGGGTGTCATAAACGGGTTTTTCCATACTATAATCAGCAAACTTGGGAAGGTCGCCAGTACGGGAGGAAGTAGAGAAAAGATTGCTGTTGTTTTGAAGAGAATAGGGGTTGTAAGCCATGCTATCAGCATGAGAGCGGCGAATATACTTAGATTGAGCCTTGACGGCTTGTCTGCGAGCAATTAACAACAATAAGAGGACGATAAATTGAATACCAGCGTTAGCAAGCACAAGCCATGAAAGCCATTGGATGCGAGGGACAAAGGTTATTACACAGATGACGAATGCGATAGCAGTTATAAAAACATTAAAGAAAAGAATACTAGCCACAAAATTGAAAAAGCCGGGGGAACGGGAAATACGACCAATGTAAGCAAACAAAAGCAAAATCGTGGCAAGTGCACAAATGCAGGCAGAGACCGGAATCAGCACTAAGCCATATGAGGCTTTTTGACGAACAGTGGTCGTCGTGCGGAAACCTTGAGAGGCATGGTTGTTCAAGTAATCCAGTTCATATCCGACCATAGTATTACTGCAATTTGAGCCCTTACAGTATCCGAAGGTTCCAAAGATAACATCATCGTTCTTGGAAAGACCAATTTTTTTGGACAATGGAGCGGTACAGATTGCCAAAACGAAAAACACGATGGTCACAAGCAGCAGAATAAGGGAAGTGGTGGCGCTACGGAACTTCATATTTGGCAGAAAACTTTAGGGGATAACCGGGAAAAGAATGAAACGTAGTGGAGAGAATAGAAACGAAGGATTTTTTTTTTATAAAATTAAGATTAAAATTTCTAAATGAATCAGTTGTGATATGCAAGAATGACCTTCAAAAACCGGTCAACGCTCTTGAAAACCGCACTTCACAACCGTAGACTGTCGGAGGCGATTGAAAAATTCAAAAAGCCACCTTTGTAATGAAGAAGAGAAATTTTCAATGTACGAAGCAAAATTCGTTCTAATTCAAAATTATACAAGAATCGACCGAATTTAGCCTTGGAAACGAAAAATTCAAAGGTTAAATTAAGAAGGAAAATCCAAATATTATGGATTTTGTTGAGGCTCGTGGTAGGTTTTGGTCAAGAATATTTTTGGGTGGTTGGTCGTGGACAAAGGAAGTAGCACGTCAGTTCATGAACTATCCTTACCGAAAGTTTATTGTAAATGGTTGTGGAGATGCATCACGGATAAGCCACGGATGGATATAGGGAACCGCGGAAACCACAAAGAGAGAGAGAGAGAGCGGACAGGTGAAGAGGGAGTAAACAACCCCCATCTCCTTGAAATTTCTTGAAAAGTAGCAAAAGTTGACTCAATTCGATCATGAATCGCTCCGTTGGACGCATTTGCCAAATCTCTCGTGGATTGTTTACCAAGAAGGCTGTTTCTCCGGTTTCCAGAGCCTACAGCAGTGAAGCCAAATTGAGTTGGTTGGAAGAAGTCGAAGCTGAGCAAGAACACGCCAAACGCTCCAGCGGTAGGTTCTTTTGATTTGTTAAGATGAAAAGAGGCTAACATAAATGCAGAATTCTGGAAGAAGGTGACCTACTAGTAAGTTCTTCGTCCACGATTTCTATAAATTCGTTCCCGTTTATTAATCTGTGTTTGATTAGTGTCGGCGGTCCTGCTTTGGTTTTATCAAGCTTGAATGCTTATTACATTTGTAAGTGTTTCTATCGGCTAAGAGAAGAGGGCATCTTTTGGTTTACCCGTCTTTTTCGTTAACGCCAAAGCTTTGCATTTCTGTTTTCAACTATTTCTTCATTTTCTATCTATGCATGCTTAAAAAGTTACTAACAACATGGGTTAGACAAGAAACACAAAGAACACGCCGAGCATCATCATGATCCTGAAATCGATGTTCCTTATACGTAAGTAGAGCAGCAGTGCTGTCCTGGGAAGGATGGTTGATTGTCAATAGCAGCACTCTAAGAAGGCCAATCACTAACACTGAGTTTTTAGATTTGAAAACTTGCGTTTCAAAAAGTACCCTTGGGGTGACGGAACCAAGACTCTCTTCTGGTAAGTATTAACGTAGCATAGCCAGTATCGTTAGCAGCCTGCATAGCATAGAATAGCATAGCACATCCTAGCTAGTATAAGCGGGTCAATTATCCTAAGTGGGTGATGGTGTGCTTATCAACGCAGCTTTCTTTCTAACTGGATGATAGGAATGACAACGTGAATCAAATCAAGGGCACCGACTAAAAAGAAAGGGAAAACTTTTCTTTCTTGTTTGACAAGCTGTCCTTCTTTTCAGTTTTCTTTTCATATCTGTGTTTCGTTGTGAGCCTTTGTAATATGTTTCATTGTGAAGCGTATTCTATGAAAGGTAATATAAAGTTTGATTGCATGCTTTCTTTGAACTTTTTTTTTTCAATTAGGTAGTTCAGAAATAATACTTTTACTGAATTCCGCGTGATTCTTTTCTCGTCTAATCAAGTATTATTATTTCATTGTTTTTATGTTAAGAAGAGGAAGGACACACCAATACTAAACCAGAACTAGAACCAGAACCAGAACCAGAACCAGACCAGACCAGAGTAGATAGACCATTTTCGGTATCTTGAGGGGAAATTCCATGTCCCGTGAGATCGAATGAAATGAAAAGGGTCAGTTCATTTCAACAGCACTTTAAACCCTTTGTTTTGATTTTTGTTTATTCACGTTCTTTATTGAAACCAATTTGTATCTACTCAACCTTATTCTATCTTACTGAACCTTTCCTTTAAATGTCATAGAATGTCGTAAACAGATTTGCGAATTGGTTAAACAACACCACGAGAGTGACGTGTCTATATGAAAATTTTCGCAGTTTTATCATAAGGAGATATGCGTGGAAGGAAGAATTTTGAATGGAGACTTTAATTTAGGGTTTATTATCGAATTCAGCTCTCCTTTTCCGCTTTTTTTTTTTCTTTTTTTTAAAAAAAAAAACTAATTTCTGAGAATGAATCTTTTTTCATTTGATACTCTCAAAAGAGACGTAATTGGTTACGTACCCACAACAGACCCGCAACGCATACGTATTCTTATGGAAATAAGAATTTGCGGTCCAACCTTATATCATAATCAGAAGACATAAATAGTTCGCTGAATCCTCTACATTGTCGCAAGCATTAATCAAGCTTTTATCTACACTTGAGTTACAGAAAATATCGAAATGACTTTTCAAGTAAACGAAGTACCCACAGACCTTCAGAACAGACATACCTTAGACCTCTTTAGCCTGAAAGGAAAGAATGCAGTTGTTTTCGGCGGAAGCAAAGGTATCGGTTTAAATGTTGCTACAGCCTTTGTTCAAGCTGGTGCGAATATTGTGATGACTTATCACAGTACTGATTGTCAAGACATTGCTACGAAATTGGCCAAAGAAAATGGAGTCCGTGTGGATGTTGTCCAATGTAACGTTGGCTGCGAGGAATCTGTAGAAAAGGCTTTTGAAGAAATCAAGCGCCTTCACGAGAAAATCGACATTGTCGTTGCTAATGCTGGCATTGCTTACAGAAGAGAGGCCACTGAAATCACTACCGAAGAGTTCGAACATGTCATGAATGTGAATGTAACGTCGATTCACCGCATTGCATCTAGATCAGGTCAAATTTTCAAAAAGCAAGGATTTGGTAATTTTATTGCTACTTCCTCCATGTCGGGATCCATTGTCAACACTCCTCAAACTGTCTCGACCTATTGCACTTCTAAGGCTGCCGTCAGGCATTACTGCAAGGCATTGGCCGTGGAATGGGCTGGCTTTGCTCGTGTGAACACTGTGTCTCCTGGATACATTGCTACCGACATGCCCGGATATCAATTTAGAAAGGAATGGGCGCCTTACGTTCCTATGCAACGTATTGGTTTGAGCACGGAACTGCGTGGTACATATCTATTCCTTGCTAGTGATGCTTCTACTTTTGTTACTGGTTTAGACTTGATTGTGGATGGTGGCTATACTGTCATTTAAGGCGGATTACCATGCCACCGCGCGCCATTCATGGACTGTAATGAAATAAATGTTATGAAGGAAACGTAACTCTTCAAATATTGACAAATGCTATGAATTTGTTCCAACTTTTTTATATTTTACGGATACTCTTTATTTTTTTTGATCGTGGAGATTGCAACCCGAACCTTCATTAACGCTTGATTAATGAAGATCCAAACATGATGTTAGTATGAGCAAAAAACCCCTAGAATTCATTCTTTTTTTTTAGAACTTTTTGAGATGATATTTAGACTGATGCAAATATTTTAGCAAGATGTGACTTGCAACGAGTGAGAAAAGCAACATATAGAATGTTGCTGAAAACTGACATAGAGGCGCGACATCCGAACTGGCACATCGCGATTTACGATAGGCCTTGGGTTTACAGAACCCTTTTATTTGTATCCAAAAAATGCTGAAAGTCTGCATATTCTCTCATGAACGAGGAGGCTGTTTCCCGTTTCTGCTTCTGTTAAAAAAAATCATGAGTACTCTGAAATAATGGCCGTTATTAGAAGATTTCGAGGCCAAGCTTCCTGAAACTATAGTTATAAACAATTGATGTCAAATAACCGTTTCTTTTTTCCTTTGTTATACATATAGAGATAGATTACATATAACAATGATATGAGATTCGTCGCCATAAAATACAGGAACGTAAGCAAAACTAATGAACCACAATTCCTAAGTAAAACGCAAATGTTTCAAGTATGATGCTTGATAATCCGAGAAGCAGCTTCTTTTGCTACTTTAGGACGCTGGTCATTCTTCTCTTCTGAATTAGGCTGGACTTGCTTTTCAGCGTGTTTTATTTTTCCAACGTATTGCTTGACTCGCTGTAACTCAGACATGATTGAAGCTTCATTTGTAGAAGCACCATGAAGCTTGTAATAAGAATACAGAGCAGAATTAATGGCATAGCTAAGACTTACATACTGCTTTGCTTGTTCTAAATCATCTTTTTCCTCGACAAGATCGAAAATAGATTCAGAGTCTTTTAAAGGCTGCAATATCTCTTCCACCTGATTCAATTGTTCATTTAACCTCTCAAATAAGTGAGAATACTCGGAATTCATTGTATTTTTTGAGATTTGACAACGCCAAAGTAGTATAGAAAATTTGTGTATAGGATGAATAGCGAAACACTTGTAGAGTCCATAAAAGGAACTTAAAAGAGGTTGTCAAGGTTTGTTAGCAAAAAGTAATGTCGTTCAACACTCTTCGTTACAGCACAATACCGAATTTGTATTATTTTTATTACTTTGTTTAAACTACCCTATCCCAGTACGTAATCTACTATCTGATTGAAAACACCCAATGACACCCAAGCTGAGAATCAATTGCTTACAGTCAAAGAAAACGGAAGAACTTCTGCATCAAAAGCGAAATTATATTAGTCATCAGCAGATTAGAATGCCCTTTTTACGTCAGGCAGCTAACCAGATTCCTGGACATTATTAATATATATATTCACGAAGTAGAACTGGAGTCGTTCTCATATTTGTTGGCCTAAATTTTTGAATCATTCAACTTAACCAAATTTAAATTTTGGTTGGCCTAGCTTTTATATTTTACAAGTTTTGAACGAATTCAGAAATACTGAAAATGCCAGCTATAAATGGATTTCCTGTTGGACCTATTGGTTTTGGGTTGATGGGGTTCACTTGGAGACCCCAGCAGACCCCTGATGAGCAAGCGTTTGAAGCTATGGACTATGCTGTAGAACATGGAGCCACCTTTTGGAACGGAGGTGAATTCTACGGAATGAATCCTCCTACAGCTAATTTGGATTTGCTTGCTCGCTACTTTGAAAAGAGGCCAGAAAATGCTAACAAAGTTTTTTTGTCTATCAAAGGAGGTTTAGATGAAACCTTGAGTCCACGGGGTGATGAAGAGTCTGTTTGTAAAAGTGTTAGGAACGTCCTTACTCATCTCCGCGGCACCAAGAAGCTTGACCTTTTTGAGTGTGCTCGTGTCGACCCCAACGTGCCTATTGAGGATACAATGAAGACTCTCAAAAAGTTCGTCGATGCAGGCGAGATTGGTAGTGTCGGTCTAAGTGAAGCATCTGCGGAAAGTATTCGTCGTGCTCATGCCATTCTTCCCATAGCTGCTGTCGAAGCGGAATATTCCATGTGGTCACGTGAGATTGAGGAGAACGGTGTCCTTTCAACTTGCAAGAGTTTGAATATTCCTATTATTGCCTACAGCCCCTTTGCTCGTGGATTACTTACGGGTGCCGTCAAGACAAAAGATGATTTAGAAAATATTGCAAAATCTTTTCCTTTCTTACAATTCTTAGATCGTTTTCAGCCTGAGATATTTGAGAAAAACCTCATTTGTCTTCAAGCTTTGGAAGCGCAGGCCAAGTCTTACAACCAAACGCTTTCTGAAATGGCTTTGAGCTTTTTGATCACAGTAGGTGAAGGCAACATTATCCCCATTCCGGGAGCCACGAATGCACAACGCATTGAGCAAAACTTGAAGGCTGCTTCCAAACCTTTATCTGCAACCCAAGTCAAGGAAATCTATGCTACTTTGGACAAGTTTCCAGTTGCGGGCTATCGTTATAATGAACAGATGGAACCTACACTTTCTGTCTAAAATTTTCACGACTACCATTGTACGATACAAGCTTTACTAATATATTGAATCTTTACATTTTTATTAAAGATGTATTTGTTTAACTTGTACAAATCGTAGACTGTACATGGCTCCCTTACTAAGAGTCTCTTATATCGTACAAGTTTTTCAGTAATTGTATAAGTAAACAAACAAAGAAAAGACCAAAAATGAAATCAATCCCATACTCCAGAGTTTCGGTAATGGAAACGGGAAAATAAAATATGTTTTTTCACTCATTTTTTATGAGTTAAGATGCCGCAAAAAAATTCGCATTTTTGCATCAGCCGGGAGTCGAACCCGGAGCTGATGCTTGGAAGGCATCCATGTTACCGCTACACCACTGATGCTTACTTGGAAGGTTAAAATTTTTGATATATATATATAGAGTATATGTAAGATTCAAGCGTTGGCTTATCCCATACTTATATGTTCTGATTGGCCAGGATCAATAGAAACTTAGGATATCATGTTACGACGTTATAAGTGATGATATTCAAAGACCAGGCTTCTCCAGAGGAATACCTTCGCTTTATATCTTTTTTTTATTTATTACCAAGTGTCTATTTACTACTGATTATTACAGACCCCATTGATCTTTTGTTAGTACATACAACCTCAAACTGTCTGATACAATCATTGGGTAAATTTGCACCATTAGCGCTTGTGTTTTCGACGTGTTAAATTCTCGTGTATCCCAAGCAGTTTCCTATTTACCCTACTTGGAATACGTTGTAGTTCATTAAATATATTACGAGAATCGTTGGAAAGTCAAAAAGGGTTGGGTTACTTAACGAACTGTGTTGGTACATACAATTTGGTTTACGGTGTTGTAAAAATTTCTCAGTATCCGAAAAGCATCTTACAAAACAAGTTCATAGAGGAGATTGGGAAAACGCTGAAACTGGAACGTAAAGAATACTGTCTCTATTTTATTTGTGTGACTTAGAGGAGACGCTTTTTGCGTGTTTTTTTTTGGAACAATTTGAGTGCATACCGGTTAAGTACGCTCAAAGGTAATAAATTCAAGAATTGGAAATTGGAAAATAATTTTTTTTGGACGACCTTATCAAATTCTGCACGATTTTACTTGTGTTTTTATACATAGGTATTTGACGAGAATTAAAGTCTAAGCATATCAGAGTGTTGGTTTTCGTACCATTTGTTTCGAAAGAAAAATGCTTATTTCTACCTCATTGGAGAATGCCGCTGCTATTGTAATTGGCTCTGGGAAATCAGCATGCAAACGAGTAGACCTTTGCTTGTCAAAGGGTGTCTCAAAGGTTGTTTGGTTCTGTGGATCAACCTCTACTGGAGGATTTGATTTGGGCCCATTTCAAGAGAATAAATTAACTATTGATAAGGTACATCTAGTACCCATTTGTTCTTTCGACCCTTCTACTTCTTTGTTCACGTTAGGCAATGCTCTCACTAGCTATATTATTGACATAGTCTTCATTACCGATACGAAATTTCCGTTAAACGAGAAAATATATGACCTCTGTAAAAGAAACCGCATTCCCGTTAATATCGTAGATTGTCCTTCCCTATGTTCTTTTACTCTTCCGGCATGTTGGTCAGAACCACCTTTACAGATAGCTCTTAGTACTACTTCAAACGGTTGTCGAATTGCGCAAAGGCTTTTGCGACATGTTGTTAGTAGTCTGCCTCCCGGAATCGGTGAAGCCGTACGTCGTTTTGGTGTTGCCCGTTCCTCTACCAAGAATCCACAAAAGAGACAATGGATTAATCACGTTAGTGATTTCTGGCCCCTCGAAAAACTAATTCGTATGTCTGAAGAAGATATTCTTTCTGTTATCTCAGATGATTATATGCTACCTCTCACCTCCAGTGAGCCCTCTTTCACTGGTAGCTCACGGACAAGTATGTCCTCTCAAGAAGACCTTACAAAGGAAAAAGTATCTCTTCCTTTAGACCCCAATGAATTTCCTACCAACAAAAAAGGCTCTATCGTGCTTGTGGGTAGTGGACCAGGAGATCCTGAGCTTTTGACCATTGCTGCCCGAAATGCTATTCAAAAGGCCGACTATCTCTTAGCCGATAAGTTAGTACCTGAGTCTGTTTTAAAACTCATCCCTCGTCATACACCTTTATTTATTGCGCGGAAATTTCCAGGAAATGCTGATAAAGCCCAAGATGAGCTTCATGAAATCGCTTTGGATGCATTAAAGCGAGGTGACTATGTAGTGCGATTGAAGCAAGGTGATCCTTATATATATGGAAGGGGTGGTGAAGAAGTATTGTTTTTCCATAAGCATGGGTATGTTCCAAAAGTTATTCCGGGTATCAGCAGTGCGCTGATGGCTCCCGTTTCCGCGGGAATACCCATAACTCAACGAGGAGTAGCAGATCAGTTTCTCGTTTGTACTGGTACAAGTCAAAAAGGTGCTATGCCGGTAATACCTCCATTTGTTGCTTCCCAGACAGCCGTCTTTTTGATGGCGCTACATCGATTGGATATTCTCGTCGATGCTCTGTTACAGAATGGATGGCCTAAAGATCTTCCTGTCTGTATAGCAGAGCGAGTCTCTTGTCCTGATCAACGATTTATTTTCTCAACTTTGGAAATGGTAGTCGAGGTGTACAATACATACGAATCACTTCCTCCTGGCTTATTAATTACTGGATACAGCTGCCAAGCGTTAAGTGAAGTTCCACTAGTGAGCAGGTTTTCTCACTAATATGCTGTTAATAATGCTTATGGTTTAAATACAAAAAAAAAAAAAAAAAAAAATAGAAAGAAAAGAAAAGAAAAGTGATATTGACGTTTTTGTCTGATACTCGCAACTCAAGTTCAAGTGCTCGGTTCCTCTTTTTGTTAAGTACTCTATTGATGGTATTCCCTCCTTTTGTACAGATTAGCTTATCTACTTACTTGGCTATTTAATGAAATTCGGGTTTTTAGGGGAAGAAAATTCTTTAGTCTAAAGTATCAATGTCTTTTATGATTTACTATAAGAAAAAAAAAAAGTTGCCTTCTTTGCCTTTTGATACGAACGACATCAACTTACCTACCATTCGATATAAGAGATCCTAAAGTAATGGTGTTTTTTAATTCACAAACACCCACAGGAGTTGAAATAAATTGATTCTTTATGGCTATCTAACAAACGCTACGTATGACATATAAAAAATCACAGGCTTCATTATTTACAGTAGGTGGTTCCAGTATGTTGCAGCAGTAAATTTGCTTAGATGTAAGTCCAATTGTTCATCCAACTTTCCCTCTTGGGTTCACCTTCACTCACTGCTTTTGTCAAGATGAATATCAAGTCGGATACCTCGTTAACATAATTAATATAACAGAATGTTAAGGAAGTATGAATAATGGTCGTAGGCTCACAGGGGTCATCCCATAATACAAAATAAACAAACAACAACTCATATGCAATGGATTTTCAACTGATAAGGACAATCAAAAGCGAAATTATATTACTCATCAGCAGATAAAGATGCTCCTTTTACATAAGGGTAGATAATCAGATCCCTGAACATTTTTGTATATATATTCACGTAGTACAACTAGGGTTGTTTACTTTAGTCGGCTTACAATTATCGAATCACTCAAATCAACCAAATAAAGAGTTTGGTTGGAACGAATTTCAGAAGTACTGACAACATTTCTTGACACATTACAGTTTGGAATTGACTTTATAAACATGCTAGCTATAAATGGATTTCCAGTTGGACCTATTGGTTTTGGGTTGATGGGATTCACTTGGAGATATCAGCAGATCCCTGATGAACAAGCATTTGAAGCTATGGACTATGCCGTGGAGCATGGAGCCACCTTTTGGAACTCAGGCGAATTCTACGGATTGGATCCTCCTACAGCTAATTTGGATTTGCTTGCTCGCTACTTTGAAAAGAGGCCAGAAAATGCTAACAAAGTTGTTTTGTCTGTCAAAGGAGGTATGGATGAAACCATGAGTCCACGGGGTGATGAAGAGTCTGTTTGTAAAAGTGTTAGGAACGTCCTTACTCATCTCCGCGGCACCAAGAAACTTGACCTTTTTGAGTGTGCTCGTGTCGACCCCAACGTGCCTATTGAGGATACAATGAAGACTCTCAAAAAGTTCGTCGATGCAGGCGAGATTGGTAGTGTCGGTCTAAGTGAAGCATCTGCAGAAACCATTCGTCGTGCTCATGCTGTTCTTCCCATAGCTGCTGTCGAAGCGGAATATTCCATGTGGTCACGTGAGATTGAGGAGAACGGTGTTCTTTCAACTTGCAAGAGTTTGAATATTCCCATTGCTGCTTACAGCCCCCTTGCTCGTGGATTACTTACGGGTGCCGTCAAGACAAAAGACGATTTAGAAAAGATTGTAAGTTCTCTTCCTTTTTATGAACACTTCGATCGTTTTCAGCCCGAAATATTTGAGAAGAACCTCGCTTGTGTTGAAGCTTTGGAAGCGCAGGCCAAGTCTTACAACCAAACGCTTTCTGAAATGGCTTTGAGCTTTTTGATCACAGTAGGTGAAGGCAACATTATCCCCATTCCGGGAGCCACGAATGCACAACGCATTGAGCAAAACTTGAAGGCTGCTTCCAAACCTTTATCTGCAACCCAAGTCAAGGAAATTTATGCTACTTTGGACAAGTTACCAATTGTGGGTCATCGTTATAATCAACACTTTGAACCTACACTTTCTGTCTAAGATTTTCACGACTACCATTGTACGATACAAGCTTTACTAATATATTGAATCTTTACATTTTTATTAAGATGTACAAATCGTAGACTGTACATGGCTCCCTTACTAAGAGTCGCTTATATCGTACAAGTTTTTCAGTAATTGTATAAGTAAACAAACAAAGAAAAGACCAAAAATGAAATCAATCCCATGCTCCAGAGTTTCGATGATGGAAACGGGAAAATAAAATATGTTTTTTCACGCATTTTTTATGTTTTAAGATGCCGCAAAAAAATTTGCATTTTTGCATCAGCCGGGAGTCGAACCCGGAGCTGATGCTTGGAAGGCATCCATGTTACCGCTACACCACTGATGCTTACTTGAAAGTAATGTAGAGTAAAAAATATATAATTGTAAATTACTTGTTTACTCATTATATCATTCAATATCAACTTGCCTCTGAATTCAATGTCGGTACAAGAAAGCAGAAATAATTCTTTATATATAGTAAGTTATTAAGATTCACTGAAATTTCTATATCCTGTGCTATCATACGACTAAACTAAATGAGAAAATGGAATCTGTTAGTTTTTCTGCGAATGAAGAAATTTTTTATAATTAGTCTCTGAGTAAACTCTGTCTTATACTTTAGAAGCTTGTAACTTTCATATAAATGCAATTGACCCTGTATTTTAATTGACTCTCAACATCAAACACTATTCAAACGTACTATAGAAAAATATCTTTGCATATTTTTTTATTTATTTTTTTGTTTATTTTTTGTATTCTCTTTGAAAAACTTGGCTACCTGGGAATGTATTACTTTTATAGTGCTTGCTTGACAATGCTGTTCATAATAAAAAAATAATGTGATAGACTAGCCGAAAACAAAAATTGTCATTGATTAAGAAAAGAGAACTTGAAATGGATGAGTATATTACTACACATAGAGATTTTTTACAAAATCTATTAGTATGAACTACGATAATAGTCATATATTGTTTAAGCATGGAGCTGATCTATATAGTCGAAGAGGAGGGAGTAAATTTTGACATCTAAAGAAATTGATAATAGTCAGTAGTTGGTTTTAAAAAGATTATATTATGTACATAAATGATTCATCTTTGTATTTGCAACCTTAGGTATCATGGCATGGGTTGCTTCATTGTAAACATAGGGACGTAAGGCCTCAGGTACAAAAAGATATTAAGATATCTTCTTTGGCGAATTTGATCAAACCTAAAACAATTTAATAGCATTATTTACAATTCCTACTCGCTTGGGTAATAATATATTAGGATGAGCTTGTGGTAATTCATTTCAATTACAGCAGTGATAAACGTTTCTATCATGGCGCACACAGTTGGATTGCATAAGTTAAAGATATCTGAAAATATATCATGCTCACCTTGGTTTTTAAAATAGCATTGACTTAATCTAAACTTACGTCGACTTTTCTTGTATCGTTAAATCAAAGGAGAAATAGCATGTGTGTACTTGCATTAGTAATCAAACAATGATAGCAGCCGCATTCATTTCAATGCACTTTACACTACAACTTTGTCGCTTTGATATAGACATGATTAAGAGGTTAAAAAAATTGGGCTGTTCTGGGAATCGAACCCAGGACCACCATCACCCTAAGATGGTATCATACCACTAGACCAAACGGCCAATTTGTTTTAAGACTGTTAAAATGAAATACAAGTTGAATATGGTCAAAAGGAAAATGGTTAAGTTAAAAATTTAGGCCAAGGAGTTCAGTCGATGTTGGGATAAACAAAATAAAGCCTTCAATAACGGAAATCTTTTTACTAAAACTTATCCATCTTACTTATAATGTCTAAAAATGCCACTTTCACTTATTTGACTTGTACTTTTTTTTTTGGCCTTACTGTAATCGCAGTGTTGTTCCAGAGGTAACAACTGTTTTCATTAAATGGAAATATGAATTTCAGTAATTTGGTCCTTCATTGACTTCTTTAGTTGAAAACTCTGTAGAGCATTAAAAAGTATCTTTTTTCAGAAAAATAATTTCGTTTTTGTTGTCCATTAAAGTACTAAATACATTTATCTTTAGAGAAGAGATCAATGTCATGAGTGCAAGTAGTCCTAGATAAATCTGAATCCGGACTAATACCATTCAAAAATCACGCTTCCATAATTGGATAACATTCTCGTCTCGGCTCCTTGTTCTCCAGGCTTACGGAATTGATATCAATTCAATTGACTTGCCCGTTAAAGTATCCATGCTTGCCTGTGTATAGGCCATACTTTATAGCATAGAATCGAGACTTCGCTGTAATCGATCAATTACTATAAGAAGTATAGTAAAGTTAGTCGCCTGTTCCACCCAAGTATCTTTTCTGCTAAAGAGGATGATGTTCTTGGTTTTTTAATGACATTCCCGATTTCGAACATTCATCCAATTTTTTTTGGTTTTTTCATTCATTTCAAATATTTTCTTCGAGTCTTCCTTTTCTGCTGGCTATATCATAATCCTTTAAGAATATCTCTCCTTCCTTTGATGAGGAATCAGTTAGTACTGGAATGTTAAACCCATTGGAAAATGTTTCATTTATTTCACCCCTTGTCTTAGGAATGTTATATATTTCATCTTATGCTTGGAAGAAAAATTGGGTAATGATAGCAAACACATAAACAAACATATGTGTAATGTAGACCGTGAAAAAAGCGTATTTTTGAATGAGCACCTAATGTGGTATAGTACATTTATTTTTTATGGTAACTTCTTACAAACCTTCAATATATGTCTTAGGACTATTCTGTCCATTATATCTAAATTTCTTTGCTTCAGTATCCAAAGCATCATCACCACCAACATGGCTGACAGTTGTTTGCTATCAGTAACTCAACCGCTATATTTGGTTAAGAAAGCTCATGCTTCTATTGCCAGATTGACATCTAAAGGCATTAATGCTTCAAATTTAAAGACGCTCTACCATCTTTACTCGCTTGATACCATAATTATACCCCTTTTGCAATAATTGTTTATCTTTCAAAATCGACGAAAGACGTATATTTAAGCTTTCTTCTACCGAAAGTAAATGCTTCGTTTCGTTATTGAGCTTATCCAGAGAGTAGCGTAATTACCAATGGTCTTAGGAACGCATAAACTCATCACTCGGTCCTATCTGCATTTGTTTATTTCTAGACGATGTCAAAATTTGCATACAAATCGAAAAAAAAAAAATCAAACAGTTGAAGAGCTGTTTTTGAATGAGCCCTGCCTTACATTTTCCCTACCTTTCAGTGAACACTCAAAAGCAAACAGTTTGTAAACTATGTAGGTTTGTCTCTACACATATAATCAAAATCACCTTTTGTTAAGATAGGATAGTAAATTACAGTCTAACAACTTCATTTTCTTGCAATTTTATGTTATTCTTACGTTTGTTGCTACGACTGAAAGGTATGTCATTTTAGCTTTTACAGCTGCTTCACTGAGTTAGAAGTTTTTGATTTTGCATGTTCAATGATGCTCCCTTAAAAGTAGGCCAACTAGTCAACCAGGCGCGTTGGAAATTCTATCAAACTTTCATTGAACTCCAGCTTACGAGTATAATTTATTTGTCAATGTTTGATTCTCATGGGAATATTATTGCAAATATCTCCAAAAATAAATGATATCATATTGAAATTCGTCTAAGACGATTTGCGTCTTTTCAAAACACAGTTGCTGTCCAAAAGTAAACACTGATGAGAAACCTTGCACCAGCAGGTATGAACCTTCTTCATTTAAATTGAGGATCTACTGATAATAGTATCAATTTAGGTAGAAATTGTTAGTCAATTTCCACCAACCGAATTCCTACGAATTTTCAACTGTTGACATATCCTTGCAAGACTTAATTATTGGAAAATGGAATTGAAGGACATGCCTCACATCTTACAGCTGTACTCAGGGAATGAACGAATGTTGAAACACATTTGGTGTTTGGTAAAACGCAGACACCAAGTTTTGAAGACTGGCTTCATACTAACGACAATTGTGCTAACATCTTTTAGTCGCATTGTATTATTTAATTTCTTAATGGACCACCATAATCAAAACTTACGTCTCTTCATCGTATTTGATACAATTATAATGTTGGTACTTTGCTTTTTATATCTTTGTTTCCTTTCGCTGTTCAACCGAACGTTCTTGATTGACTATGATAGCTTGCCTAATCTATCAGATCAGACTAGTTAAAGGCATTAATGATATAGCAAATTCATACCTAGTCATGTTCAAGACGAGTATTTACGTAGAACCCTCTGTCAACGAGTTTCTATCACATTAGTTGAAAGCAAATCAGGGATTTGTATGATTGCTCGCCAAGCCGATGATCCCCAACTTCATCCTTGATTGTCAAGATGCATAAAAAGACATAGACCATTTGTGCTTTCGTTCAACATTTCACTGTTTTCCGATGCTGAGAGAGATTGACTGGAGTGGTAACAGCTTTTTTCTTCAATGGCTTGATATGAATAAAAATACTCTGTTTATCCCTTCGCTATAAACCAGAAATCATGCATTAATTCCTAATGAACGCTCGAATAGTGCTCCTTCCTCTACTCTGTTGGCGTTGGAATTCTAAATAAATGAATAACATAAACACTGATACAAATAGAAAAGACACTCAATAAAGTCCATAAAAGATTTGTTCCTTCTGTGATACTGCTTTCGTTATACATATATGCTAGTAACGCATAATCTAGAGCAATAAGTCCAATCAATACTTTTAAACATAATTTTATTTTTCCCCAATTATCATTTGTTTGCAAAAGAGCTTCACGATACGTAACTGGCATGCTAAGGGACCGCCAAAGGTAGAAGATCCATGCTGGAAGTCAAGAGGGGAATACCTTGATCCTGGTTGAAAAATGTCAAACGAAGAAGAGGAGAGCGTGCACTCGTGTACCTTGTCTACTTTTCATCTTTTGTTATCTTCAGTTCTATGATGCATACTACCCAACGGTCCAATATTGTACAAAGAAATTTTCCACCGATGAATTTCACTTTCAGTTCAAACTTTGTCTGAGTTGGTTTTTACTTGTTTTGCATATTGCTCCACTAACAATTCATACCTTTTCTGTGTTTTCATATGACATACTGGATCGTTTACAGGAATAATATCATCAACCCCTTGACTCTGTCTCCTTTAATTGCACCATTGAAACTACACGATGAGCTGCAGAATGCCTATTGTCTAAAATGGTATTTCACTGTTCAATTTTTACCAAATTCTCATTCATTTACTTTTGAAAAGTGTTTTTCTAATTCGCTTCATTTGTAATATAAGCAAATACGATCCCTACGTAAAGACTATATGCCATCTTCATATGTAGTATTTCGGGCTCAATAATATGCTGTTGCTTGACTTTTTGGAAGGGGCCAAATAAAAATAGATTTATCTCAATGGCAATATTCTTTCACCGTCTCTATGTTTGGTCAACCTTTTTTTCTAGGCAACTAAACTATGTCTTATTCCTCTGGATTCTACACATACATGGACGGTTAATTTTTACCTTAAATAATTAGACAAAACATAGTAGCTGTCTACGGCCATACCTAGGCGAAAACACCAGTTCCCGTCCGATCACTGCAGTTAAGCGTCTGAGGGCCTCGTTAGTACTATGGTTGGAGACAACATGGGAATCCGGGGTGCTGTAGGCTTTCCTTTTTGTTGCTCTTTACTTTTTTATTTGTGGTTTGGTTTTTTGTTTATTCCTTTTCGGAAGGTTGATTCTCTTCCAGGTAAGGTAAGGCATTCTTTCTGCTATGCTGATTCACGTAACAGCAAGCTATAAACTTGAACGTTCATCAATACTTCATTAGCCAATTAGAATAAAAAGAAAGCTAAACATATAACCTAACACGAAAATTAATAATGTTACACAGATTCAAATGCAACTGCAAATGCGAATAAAAAAATGGCAAGTTCAACGGAAAGAGAGCAAGACTAACACAGTATGTACGATGGTAAAACGTCAGTGCACTTCATGGCCAAATATGCAGAAAGAAAGAGAACAAAACATAAGCAACACTTTTGAAAAAGACAAGAAAACCTAATATGCAAGCAGAGAAGAGAAAGGGAGAAACAAGAAACCTTTCCTTAGAGCAGAGAACCCGGAAAGTGTAAATCTACAAAATGTATAAAAAATTAAGGGGAGAAAGAATTAGCTGCTGCTTTGCAGATTTTTACCGCTTTCCGTATCCCTAGATTGGTGATGTTGTCGTCTTACAAACTGTTCGAAACGTTCAGAAGATGGTTCCTCATCTCTAAGACTATTAGGATTATTTAGCTCCTCTAGATTCTCAAGAGGTATTGCATGAATTGGAAGTTGATTTTCTCCCGTCGACTCGGTTCCTTCAAATGTCATTTCGTAGCCTATAACATAGGCAACCCAACCCAACAGAAAAAATAACGAATCCAATAAAACTATTCATTATTAATTAGCACAACTTTCAACAAGTATCATCCGTCTACTGACATACCTGAAACCAAGTTTAGAGAGAACCAAAAGGCCAAGACGATAAGAATAGCTGCCACACTATACTGAACCTTTATGGAAGTATCTTTCAACATATTATTCTTTAAAAAAGGAAAGAGAACGTAATATGAAAATGAAAAATCAAGTATCAGTGAGAATAAATAACACCAAAAAACTCGAAGTCCTTCATTTGTCGTTCTTTTTGCAGCAGGTGGAATTCTCGCAAATGCCGCTGGGCTAGAAATATACAAGAATCCGCTCTTAACACTACCAAAAAACGCACCATAGTAGTCTAAACATTTTGCAGCAGAAGCGTCGTTTGACAATTCGTCGCTCTTGTTTTCAGGAACGAGATTTGGATGTAAACATAAGCAACCTTTTTCCAAATTATCCAGATGTGAGTATGGGAGCTCGCTGTACTGCGGTAAATCACTGTCAGAACTCACAGGAGAAACTCGACAGGAAGATTCGGCTGCTTTGGCAAGTCCTAGCAGCTTTTCTTTTTCTTTTTCGTTCATTGTTTATCGTTTTAATATGAAGAATCAAAACACACCATCAATTGCCATTTACAAGATTCAGAAGCGAGCTGCGAAAACTATCGAAATTTGATAGTAAAAGAGCAAGGAGCGCACAAAAGTTTAAAGTAAAAGCAACTTAATTTAAGTCCGCTACAAAATCAAATAAAACATTTCATTACAGCTCTGAGAGACGAAAAATACAATGGCAATGGCAAAGGCAAGAGTTTTGCTGAGGTGAAGTTATCATCAAACCAAATAAGCTTTCTTTTGGTGCCTTTCGCTATTTCGTTTACTACTTATTCCTAGGTATCGGTATACATATGTTACTTCAACATTTGAGTAGCACGTTACTTTCTGAAGAGACCGTTACTCAAAATGCATTCTAGGAAAACATATCTTCCAAACAACCAGTGGTGAACTACATTCGATAAACAAAATAAAAAATAAAAATACATCATCTTTTCAAGTTTCAGAGTCTACGGCCATACCTAGGTGAAAACACCAGTTCCCGTCCGATCACTGCAGTTAAGTGAAAACGTCTGAAGGTCTCGTTCATACTATGGTTGGAGACAACATGGGAATCCCGAGTGCCGTAGGCTCCTCTACTTTTTTGCTGCTCTTTTTATTTTTTTATACGTTGACTATTTCCCGTAATCGTTTTCTCGATAGAATCTTTGCAAGTTGTTCCTTTACAAGTGACAAAAGACTAATTACAAGTTCAATGAATACAAATAAAACGATCGTATTCAATTGCAATTAAGAATAATGGTAATAATAAATAATATACGCCTGCGTATAAGGATCTAGAATGATGCCAACGATTCTCAGATTACGGTTCCTTTCAATGCGCGGATTATATGCATGCCTTTTTATTGTCCACTTTTCTTCGTCATCTCCAATTCATATTGATACAAGGATGATTTCGTAGTCAAATCCACTTATAATTAAATGCAAGAACGTTAAACAAAAGCATAGAAGTAAGTGCTTGTGATTCGTTCTCTTTTCGCTCAACCCACAATAAAATAGATTTCCTTGACGAAAATTCAAAAATACTTCCAGTCTTTATCGGCATAAAACAAAAATTCAAAAAGAGACAAAACAAACGAAAAACTAACTTTGTGTAGTAGAGTTGTTCTGAAGCTCTATTGCTTCATTCATAGTCGTTGATCGTGGTAATAGTACATCATCCCTTATTTGATATCTGGAAAGCCCAGGCAAATTAGTGTTTTCATTTAAGCGTTCGACTTCCAGACTACAGAATTCGATAAAAAGGTCAAACAACAAACCGCAGATGGATGCGATGATGATATAAGCAAAGTTTGAGCCACTGCTAAAAAGTTTCCTGACGAAGGCTCCAGCATAGAATCCAAACGATTCCTGAACGTCTTGAACGTTACAATATTCTAAGTACTTAAAAAAGTTCCTGACGAACCTACCGATGGCGGGAATGAGTCCTATAATGGTACAAAACAGCCCCAAGGCAATACTTGATATAAAATACACGCCGATAATCACCAATATAGAAAAAAGTCCTACTCCATAAACGTAAAACCGAGGATTACCTATTTCTTGTTAAAATGCACGTTCGAGCTATTGAATGGGAAATCCCAAATACTCAACTTACAGCACAATAAAACCATCAAGATGAAGGATGGGATGAGAACAACGGAAAAAAAAGAATCACTCGAAACCCAAGAGTAAAAAAAAACAAAATATACTACAAAAATACCCACTAGTACCATAAAAAAATTCGCAAGTATATATAGGGGAAAGCATTTAACGACTACATTTCGTGGTAAATAATAATTTCTTAGCTCCATAAATCTATTGCTGTACTCGGTTGAGAAAGCATCGAAATAGCCCGATTCTGCCATTCCCGACTTTCTTCTCTCACTGATTTTATGAGAAGTCGGGTTGGGAGGTTTCTTTATTACATTCGGTTTATTCAAAGGACGTCCACTCTCGAGATCAACCTTGTCAACATTAGCTTGGTTGTACGCAGGAGGATCTTGTAAGCCTCTTGATTCTTTTCCAGACATTTTTTGAAATAAATAAAAAGATCAATTAGTAAAAAACCGTCAAATGAAGACGTTCAATCCGTATTTGACGTAAATATTTCACAAATGCTCACAAACTGCAACGAAATGCAAGTTTCGAGAGAAATAGCAATAAAACTTAAAGTAATTCTACCACCTTATTGAAAGAGCTCGTATTCCAATCAAAAGCAGTCCAATTGGCAGAAATTGAGGGAAAAGAAGTTGGCTTCAATGGAAAATTTCGCATCGCTTACGCAGCTTTGAGTCAAAAGGCAAGTAACAAGTTTCATAAAATCATAAAGCGACCTTCATTCTCATAGTTTATTTACGATCATCTGTTGATAGCTGCTTTGGTGGTTTAGTGGTATAATGCTTCGTTGCCATCGAAGCGACCCGGGTTCGATTCCCGGCCGAAGCAACTTTTTCCTATCCATTTACAGGATGTATTCTTGCTTAATTGTGAAATGGACGTTACATCAAAATGCAGTTTTCTATAGTTTAATGATAATAAACAAAAGCTTTTGTAAGAGAAGCGATTGATTGATCGATTGTTTTGCTTTGGCTTAAAGGAAGTAAACTATTTTTTTAAAACATTGACTAAACATTCTTCGCTATTATAACTTTTTACAACGCTATTTTAATCCTCAAAGGTGATACACCAAATTCATTTCCATTAAGCATTTCCACCAAAATAATAAAACCAATAAAAGCTTTCTTCACACGTAAAATTAAATGCTCCTATTTTTTCCAAAAAAAATCCAGTGCCTAATAATATGCACCAATTAAGATATCAAAAGAAGGTCTAGTCACTATCACTATAGACGTCCTGTTCCATTTCACAACCCCATAGTGAGTCTTCCGGATCTTGAAAGTCGTCTACGGGAACAAGTGACATGGGCCGTACACCTTCCGCCAAAGAATGTAGCTCCGGTTGTTTCACATATTTTGCAATGGACTCGTACCGAGACGAATCTACACCTTCGCAAAGCACGAGAGCTTCAAGACCTCTTTCAGCAAATATGGAGGCTCTTTTAAAGTCGCCGTATACCACGCATGTTCGAAAAGCATCGAGGTATGAAATAACATCCATCCGCCCAAAAAGGTTTTCTTGATGAGCAATCAAGATTCTGTGTCGTAAAACACGAAGCGCACCTCTAGGATTCATAATGCACATTTTCGCAATTGTACGATCATAATATGCTAGTTGCTTTCTTCGAATATCACTTATCTTAGCTTCCTTTTTCTCCTTTACTGAACATGCACTACAGCTACAGGGGAATCCAAAGTGTTCCAATAACACCTTTCTCCGTTTATCCCGACTTTTATGTAAATCGATGTAGGTAGTCAAAATTTCTTCTCCACCATGGATATCACGAACTGAGTGAACGGTAACCTGATCCAAAACTGGATTCCACGTATGTTTTACATTTGGACTGCAATCATGATTCATCCTCGAACCCAAAAGAAACATTCCACCTTTACTTTCATCAATCGTAAGAGCATTGGAATAAAAGGGTCCCAAGAACGGACCCATGGTATCAGGATGCGCATTGAATAGATTATGAAAAGCCTCTTGTTCCTCTTTTGTTTTCGATGAAAGGGCTTCTTCTATCTCCTTTGCATCGCTTTTTGTTCGAATCAAGGGTGTTTCTGAATATATCCTTGTCCCTGCAGGAATGTCAATTTTCGCAACCATACCCATTCCTTTTCCAGGAATGGGAGTTACTTTGTATAAATCTGTTTCATACGGGTTCATAAATAATGGTCTCGCACCTGTTCTAATAGGGACTAAATATTTTTTTGTTCAGTAGTCGTTATAGGGAAACAACAGAATAAACAAAAACTATGCGAAATCAATCTTCTTTTTTTAATAAAACGCCAAGAAATTATAGAATTAAAATCAATCTTTTAATAACTTGCAAAAAAGAGAAATAGTATTCTCTTCTTCTTCTGCTAAGTATAGTTAACTTGTATGCTCAAATCAATGGTTTCATCGAATAAAATACGTTCTTTCATTATGGGTAGTTTGAGTCTTTATCTTTGTTTATTTTTTCAAATTACCTGCCGCCTGAAACGGTCTCCATCCAGCCATTACTTTTACCAATTGACACTTCCTAACGAAGAAGGGTGGTAGTCTTTAATATATTAGTAAAAAAAACTTTGAGACTTAATTGCCCTAATGCTATATGATTCGACAGAATACCTGGTAATTCATATCGAAAAGGAATATACCAAGAAGTATTAAAGGTAAACAAAGATGCTCTCTTGGTCCTTGCTCGCTAATTAAAGATTTATATAAAAAAATATGATCATCAAATAGCATATGAAAAGGCTCATAAGTAAACAAACTTAATGTTATTTTTTTTTTTTTTAAATCTTCAAAACAATCCGTCCAGCGATAGCTCCTTGGGACATTTGTTTGTAAATCCCAGGAAGCGTAGAGAAAGGCTGGACCTTGTAATGAGGTTTGACAAGTCCTCGAGACACGTACTCAAGGGCTTCAATGGAATCTAGACGATTACCAACATGAGAGCCACAGATTTTGAGCATTTTCACAGTCAACCAAAAAATGTCTGCGTTTAGCTGGGCATCAGCCGGCATGGATACGGTGACGATGGTCGATCCTGGGCGAGCAAATTGAGTAGCTTGTTGATAAGATTTGGCACTCGTGGAAAGCACAAGAACACCATGAGGGCCTCCGTTTGTAAGGTCCTTTACTTTACCAATGAGATCCGACTCCTTTTGAAAGTCAACAAATGCGTCAGCCCCAAGAGACTTACAAAGTTCTTCCTTATCGCTACCGGTATCAATAGCAAGGACTCTCATGCTCATGGCTCTAGCATACTGTACTGCAAGATGACCCAGACCGCCTCCTGCACCAGGAAGGGCAACCCAGCCGCCAGGATTGACGCCTGCTTCTTTCAAAGCTCGATACACCGTAACTCCAGCACACATAATGGGAGCAGCCACTTCAAGAGGGACATTTTGAGGAATAGGCGTAACATGGGCGGCATTTCCGATTGCATAGGATTGAAATGTTCCGTCTACTGAGTAGCCAGATAAGCTGATGTCAGGACAGATGCTTTCGCGAGATGAAAGGCAGTATTCACATTGACCACAAGTGCCATTCATCCACTTAATTCCCACACGGTCACCTACTTTGACGTTATGAACGGCCGATCCAGTTTTAACTACAATGCCAGCGCCTTCGTGTCCACCTACAAGAGGCATTTTGACACTCAAGGGCCAGTCTCCCTGAAGAGCATGCAGATCTGTATGACATACACCTGAGTATTTAATATTCACAAGAACTTCGTCTGACTGGGGCTCAGGAACGGGGATTTCTTTAAATTGAATTTGCTCAGGGCCGCCGTGATTGTGAAGCACAGCACCGATCTGTTGTTTTGGGACCTCTTTTAGTGAAGGGATAGCATTTGAGCTAAAGGCCCTTGTCATTAAAGAGTCCCTCGTTTCATGATGCAAACTGTTGGATGGACCCTTGTTATAACTTCGAACAAGAATTATACTCGCCAGAGAGCGGTTGGAAAGCGACTGCTTAATAGGTGTAGAGCAAAGGGCATTTGAGGCAAGGGGCAAGGCCTTTTGAACAGATCGTAAGTATCGAAGCATATTACTTGCTCGACTTAATTTTTCCAAGTTTTTCTCAATTAAAGATATAACTTTGAGTGAAACAACTAAAAAATGAAAAAATGAAGCATCAAAAATGTCAACTCAGCAGCTACTATTTTATTTTAAGATTTTAGGTAGCTCGTGAAAGTTCTGTGTAATTTCCCAGAGGACTCAAAACATATATTTTATAGCAAGTCTATATGACATGATTCCAATTCCAGCTTAAGTAATGGCTAAAACAAAGAAAAGCATGTAGTGTTTCTTCAATGTCTTTTCCTTCGATTTATAAAAGAATGAAATAGGAATGGAAGTTATTTTTCCAAAAAAAACAATCCGTTGAATTTTGATCTGTTTCCCATTTCTCAATGCGATTATCTTTTCCTAAGAAAAATAGAGGCCTACCATCGTTTTATAACAATTGAGAAAAGTTTTCATTGTATGTTATTTTCCCTATGCCATCTTGTTCTCGTTCGCAATTTTGAAAAAGGCTTTTCCTTCAAAAGGTTCTATGAAACAACGTGAAGAAAAGAAATCTTTAGCAGCCATTACAAAATCGATAATTAAGTGAAAACCATTCTTTTTATTTTCAAATTTGAATGAACTCCACAAAAGGCTCTTTTGTTTTTTGTTCGGGATCGTCTTATCGTGAAACAACATTTTCTTAAGCTTCATCAACAAAAATTGCTGTAGTATTGACCCAAACGTTCATGTTCGCTTTTCTGGTTTTTGAATTGAATACTCAGAGAAAGAAAAAAGACGGTGAACACCGTGAGTTTTGGGCTTTTCTTGAGAGGAAATGAGAATGAAGAACTCGCTACAGACAATGAAGACATTCCACCTTCACGCTGCATGTTGAACTTTTCTTGATCATTTATACTTATTTATCATTTCAATTTCCACTTCCATCGACTGTTTTCTTTTGTTTATTACTTACTCTTACAATGATTTCCTGGTAACAATGTCCTCTCGTTCAAGTCACTGCTACATAACCAAGTAAACACTACAAAGACAACTCTTTCCATTCAAATAGCCTTTTTTGTGTGTTTTTTGTTTTAAAAATCCTTTTGAAATTTCTGTTTAGAATGAAATACTAGAAATTTTTGTAACTCTGACTTTCGCAGTGACTGTATCGTGCAAGCGTTTCCTTTGAACTTTTTTCTTCTTGATATTGATATTTTGCTAAAGCATCCTTTTTTTTTCTAAACAAAATATAACAACCAGAGGATAGCTGTCTCATCCCGCCTTGTTTTCTCCCAGCATTCATTTCAAATCGCGGCCTTTAAAAACAGATGTTGAATTCTCAAAAAATGGAACACGGAAAAATGTTTGATCAAATATTAAAGCTCTCACATGAAAAGGTTTGTAGTCTCCATGTTGATATTCCATTATATCTAACTGCTTTTCGAAAAGATTTCTGTCCCCGAACTGATTACCCTGTTAGACATTCATTACAACGACATGTTCCATGTAAATCCATGGATGAAAAAGGAAATAAAAAAACTAGCCTATGAATTTGTGAAAAATGACCCAAATCAGCAGCTTTCAAAACATGATGCTTGCGATCTTGTAGAGGCGTTTATTAATGTGCCCGTAACATCGCTTGAGAGACAGTCGATTTCATCGAGTTTTCCTTTGTATTCCACAAGTGTCGAAGATATATCTTCTGATTTTTCTGCAGAGTATGTTGTATTGTCTTTCAAATGCTAACGCACGAAAAGTTCCAGCCTCTTACCTCAGTCTGTTACATTGTCCTATAGTTTATCTCGATCCGCGACTCCTGAACATCTTTCTGATGATTCATTTGTCGCAGCATTCCAGAAAACTCGGTCTCATTTTGCATATTCAGACTCCCTACTAGAATCGACTTTCTCAAATATCCAAAATTGTATTGCATCCATCCAAAACGTCAAGAAAGAGGTATGTCACTTTATTTTATATACAGTTTCTAATGACTCCTTGTAGGATGTTTCATCTCAACTCGTCGAGCTTCATGTGGGACCGGAAACTTCACTTCCGTCCTCAACAACTCTTCCTTCTTCTTCCAAAAAAGCAGTTCCGGAACCTAAAAGGTCTAAACCCTCGCAACAAGCTAAAAATTATTACCCGATTTCCAACGTTTGGGAACTTCTTAATTCGTCCTACTATATAAAGGCCTGCATAGCCCTTCTGATTTCCATCATTCTCTTTTTCGTCCTCCATACTTCGTCTAAATCTAATCCTTCTAAAACTCGTCCCTCATAACCAAACATGTTTAAAAAATTATTTATTATTAGTTTAGGAAATTCATTTCATCGTTTGTAATCTTCTGTCGTTCGAGTTCACTGTTATTAAGTATCTTTTCTTTTTTTTTTTTCATTTTTTTTTCGATATAGCATTAACTCAATTTGAAGTTTAGAACTCGGCGTAAGCACAAGTCGTTAGTATACTTTTCAACCTCAAAATCCCACATTTGGCATAATACTAGCTTCAGCTTTTCGTCTTTCGACTGCCTGATTTTTATATTATAACTACTAGTTTGATGGTATCAGTAAACGTTTATGTTCTTTAACTTCATGTTAAGTTCCAACAGGTCATTCGGATCTAGAAAACATTAGTAATTGAAACCATAAATCCTCTTTCACGTACCATTGATATACACTGCTTCCTTTTCGATTTTTGGTTCCAAAGGAAGATAGTCTCCTAGTCCTGGAAGTTCCTCATCCTGGGTTAAGGTATTAATCACGTCCCACCAAAGGGGATTTGCAGTTGCTACCATTTCAGCATTTCCAAATATATATAATCCTCCTAAATCAATTGTTAATTGAAGAAAAAGAACAGAATTCTTCCTTACGTCTGGCACGCGAAAGAGCGACACAAACCCGATAACTCGAAACCAAAAAACCCACTGTTTGTTGATCATGGTTACGAACTAAAGAAAGAAGAATCACATCATTTTCTTCGCCTTGATAGCCGTCAACAGTGGCAACCCGGATGTTTTCTTTGTTAATTGGTAAATGTCTTGCTAACAAATCGTCTATAACCTTTTTCTGTGCGGCATAAAATGTCAAGCAAGTTATCTGAAGTGGATTCACGCCATGATTAATTAAATAAGAAGCAAACTGAACTAGCATTTCTGCTTCAAATACATTAAATTTAGAAGCAAAATCCGTTTCTTCAACGCCAGCATGAGTAAAAAAAAATCTTCGTAATTGTCCCATTCCTGGAACCGCAGACCTGCCCTTTGCTATAATATGATCAGATAATCCAATATAGACTGAATCTATTAATTTACGAATTTGAGGATGCATACCTGTTAAGTTAGTTTCAAACCTTCGCTGTTACACACAAACTTACGTCTTTGTACGCTTAACATATCGCATACCATATTGTTTTCTACCAGACGCTCAAACATTGAAACAGATAGATTAAAGGGTGCTTTGGCAAGCGCAAATGTAGAGCAGCTCGGACGCAATTGTTTATGGTCCCCGATTAAGATCAACTGTTCTAAAGACGGAAAAACAGCAGGTACAATTGGACCTTCAAGAATATTGGCGGCTTCTTCAATAAAGCAAATTTTTGGACGAATGTTTTCCAATATACTTCGATACTTATTTAAACCCGTTGTAGTCATTCCAATAACATTGGCTCCACGAAGGAGAGCAGCGACACGCTTGTCGGTACAATTTATTCTTTCTTCATCTGCTTTTCGATAAAGGTTATGCAAACGTTTCAACCGGAATTCCGCATCTTCATAAGCTAATTGAAGCCAATGCTTATAAACTATGCCTCTACTAAATTCTGGAATATCCCAAATGTTTTCTGTAGCTAGAAAACTTTTCAGCTCTTTCAAATGAAGCTTAATGCTTTCACAAAAATCATACTTCCGCTTGAAATCTCTAAAGATGCCATGCAACTCGTCATCCTCGAAAGCAGGATCTTCCTTTGCTTCTTGTTCCAATTCTTCTAATTGTTCAGCCTCAATCTGTAATTCTTCTTCATAACCATCAACAATCTCTGTGGGCGTTATTAAATCCAGTTTCGTTTCACCTAACCAACACTCGATCTGTTCTTCTTCTGTTGCCTCATCGCTTTCAACAGCAGCGTTTACCCAACCGGAGTTTTCTACCAATGATTGGAGTTGAGCCGTGGTAATGATTCCTCGACTGTGTAAATATGTAAGTTTTACGAATTCACCAGAAAAGTTCGACATAATGTTCAGCATTTGTTTCATGAGCCGCCCTTTTTTTTTTCGAATATCATTATATGTTACCCGGAATGTATTTCTTGTAGACTTAATCCTTTCAAAAACAGATACAGCTTTAATTTCAGGAACTTGAGTACGAGAACCAAGTCGTACAACTGAAGCACCTTCGTGGAGGAGCTGAAGGAGAATTTGATCAACAGCGTGATTGGTTTGACAAGCAACTAAAATGGGAAGCACATTCGAATTTGAATTTTCTAAAAGAATCTGAATCGCCTTCAAAGCAACAAATGTCTTTCCTGTTCCAGGAGGACCTTGAACAAGTGCCAATTTTTTTGTGAGCATGGATTGAAATGCTTTTAACTGAGACTTGTCTAATAAATAATCATCATAAGAAGGAAAAGGTTCCAGGATGTCAATTGGCGGCTGAGAGCTCCCTAAAATGGAGTTGATTCGCATCAAGGGATTATGTTGGACATACCTGGCAATTTCAGAATTGCGCTTACAGCTAACAAAATAATCCTTCATAGGGAAATGGTGCACAGACAACTTTTGAAGACTTGATAATACATGCTTGTAAGCTTCCCAATAGCCGGAAGTAGCTTCAATCATTACGAATTCCTTCCTTGAATCCAATGAGAGATTTAAGTCATTGAAAAAAACATCAACTTCATGAGGATATTTTTTTAAACCGCTTAAGGGACGAGCGCAAACCGTTCCCACACGAAAATGCTCAAAGTTATCTTCACTTAAAAGAACAATACTTCCTGAAATTAAACGTCGACTCGTGGCCCAAGGTATCCGTTTTTGAGCTCTAACAGAAAATGAGAGTTTGGAGACAACTGAACCAGTAGCAATTATGTGTCCAACAACGCGAACGTGATCGTAAACAGCAAATGAAGGAGAGGAGATGGAAGTTGGATCCTTCTTGTATCTTAAAACACTTTCTCGAAGAGGAGAAATAGCATCTTCTCGAAGCAAGGTATAATGTACACTTAGATAATGATCGAAGTCTTTATATCTACCAAATACATCGTTTTCTGGCAAATCAACAGATGCAGATGAGAGTTCTTCAAAGGTAGGAATAGAAGGAAGAGAACGCCAATGACTACCTTGTTCTTCTTTGCCCATACTATTAGGACGATGCGGTACTTTGTGTTGATATGCATCTGCATTAACCTTAGAATCCAAAGATACTGGATCATTCATTGATTTTCCTTTTGTTCTTCCTTCAACAAAACCATTTTTCTTTGGCGAAATGCTGCAATTCTCAATTTTTACGTCAACTTCGTCAATGGTAGATTTTCGGTAGCTTGCCCCGAACCGTTTTTCCTGATGCGTTTTCATTTGATGGATCAAAGTTTCATCAGGAATATCATCAAAGACAACCTCTTCAGCATCAGTAGCGTTTTTTTGTTGATCCCACATTTCCAACGTACTGGCTTCAACACTTTGCCAGGGATTATGGACTTCTTCCGAAAAAGTTATCTCTTCCATCCTTCAATTCAATTCAATCGTACAGTTAACAGAGACCCTTTATAATGAATACAATTCCGCCTCTCTTTGTTCAAATGCTCACGAATAGTAACTACTTATTTCAATAGCCTAAATTCACAATAGATAAATACCAATCACCTACTACTGTTATTGTTCATTTGCAATAAAAAACCGCCATGAATTTTTAAATTTGACTGTATACGCGTAAGGAACGGTTTGTTTACAATGAAAGGAAACCCCGTCATAAGGAGTACCGAATATTACGAACTGTTACATGGTTCGTTTGTAAAGCTTTATATGCTTTAACAGTATTTAGCGACAACAAAAAAGCAGTATTATATTGCCTAGAACTGATTTACGAGGCAGTTCGTACTAGCTTATTCTTTTCTCTGCTACCTTTGAGCAGGACTCTGGCTTTTCTCACATTTCATTAAGGGGACGCGATTCTTTGAGATTTGAAGTTTGTTTATGTTGTAAACAAAGTATTTCTTTTTACTTATTGTTTCTATTTGTTTTATTTTTGCGTGAAATTTTGGGAGCGCTTCAGAATGAGTATGTGGACTTCTTCGATCCATTTACCTAAATTTAGCAACCGTTTTATGGGTATTTTAGGGCCCCATGGAAATTGCTCATTGCGTTCTTCTGGAATTCTTGCTTTCCGTCCTATTCGATGTTTCTCTCAGACCCCTAGTCCATGGAACCAAGACTCCGATTTATTAGAGACCGGAGAGCGAACTGGGTCTAGTATTTTTTCTTCCCTACCAAATGAATTTCAGGCACCTTCTCGTGAACCTTCTCAGCAAAAATCTCGCCCATGGAAACGGATATCTACGAAGCGTCTTTTAACCATGGATCCTTCTTACACACATCAATCGAATATTCTCCGCTCATCCTTAAAAAAAGCTGGCAACCTTTGTCGTCAAATCGCCAGAAAGCCTTTCTATCATGCACTTTTACAGATGAAGTTCTCCGAAAAGCGCGTTTCCCGATCTATCGCTTCTGCTCTCGTAAATGCACGCAAGAATGCCGTTAGCAAAGCCGGTCTTGATGAAAAGACCCTTTACATCGACCAGGCATGGGTGGGAAAGGCAACTTATATTAAAAAAATTATTACTCGAGGTCGCGGTGGTCATGCTGTTGAGAGACGTCCTCGAGTTCGTGTTACCGTCCTTCTTAAAGATGAACGTGCACTTCTACGTGATCTACAACGTCGAAATGATAGAACAAACAGCCGTCGTGTTTGGTCCCCTCTACCCAACCGCCCTATTTACAATAAACTTAATGCTTTTACCTGCTAAACCCTTTCCTAAACAACATCTAAGCTTGATCAATTCTAATTTATATCTCTTTCTCTTTTACGTATAGCTGTTTCCCTCCTTTCATTATGGTGATTACCAATAGCACAACCAAACAAATAACAAATTAATTACAGCGAATTTCTCTAGCACTGTTCATTGTTTTTTATCCATTTTTAAATTTATACATTCATTAATCTTTATAAAAAAGTACTGCTAAACGAATACATGTTCTTTTCCGTGCGAACAATTTATCTTAATGCGTTTTTTAATTTTTCGTTTAAAATCGTTTTCATCAAAACCATTAATTTGATAACAAATCAGAGGCCAAAGGGCAATGAATCCTAAAATCAAGCATCTCAGTTCAATTCAACAAGCATAACAATAATTTTCACATTTGTACCGAAGTTAGAACCTTTCCCAACGATTTTTCTTTTATAGGTATTCAGCCGCTTCTCATTTTATAATATATTTGACGATAGCCTCCTTTTTAGTATAAATTGAAAATATTGGACGTATCCAAACGAACTAACTTTTTTTTTGTTTTGTTATCTTATAAATCAGGCCCATAAATCCAAATACAGCTGCCCTTCATGGATTACAAGAATAATTGTAACAGTTGCCCTTGAAAAAGAAAAAAAAAATTAATGGGAAACCATAACAAAATGTTACAAATGATTTTGTTGCTAGAAATCATCAATCAGCAAATTTTTAAGGTAAAAGGCTCTTTCACCTGTTTTATTGAAGTATACGTTGTTATACTTCAGTCATCCATCTGAAAAGTCGTTTCTTCTTCTAGTGTTGAGTTCCAGGCAGGGAAGGTATTAGCAAAGGATACCCTTGCGGATCCATTGTTTCCAGGACTCAACGTATAGTCATTCTTTGTATCATTAATTCCACCTGTCCCTACAGGTGATACGGACCCGCCTCTAAATATTGGTTCACTCTTGAGCCTTGCGAGATGCTGAGGTCTAGTTATTTCATTAGTTGGAGAACTGAATACGGATTCTTCACGAACACCAAATGAAGAGGGCATTTTCATTGGAGCACCCGCAACGCTAGATTGTTGAGGGGTAGTTTTAGTAGAGCCGGTATTACTTTCAGCATATTTAGATTTTGAAAAGTAAGCACCAAATCTACTATTCTGCAGGGTGTTTGCTGTTGAGCGAGGTGTTAAGGTTGGACTCATCATGGACAAAGGAGCAGATAATTGTTTTAAGCTGGAACTCATTTTACCAATAGGAGAAGAACCCAAAAAGGATTCTTCTAGACTACCCATTGGTGTATTTAAGTACCTTTGTTCATCGTCACTCATGTCCATCTGATGATTCAAATCCACGCGATTCGGTAAACTAGTGGAGACTACTGAAGGGAATGCATCGGCATAAGAATTACTGCGAACTGCGTATCGGCGAGTAGCCCCAGAAGAAAGTTGAATCCCGGTAAGAGAATGATTAACGGAAGGACGACGCTTAGATAAACTGCTTCCAAGCTTAGTACTCAGTTGAGGGCTCTGTAAAGGTACATTAGGTTTCACTGATTCTGCAGGTGTCAATTTCGAAAGAGAAGGGGTTCTTTCAGAAGAAGGCCGATTTGCATAAGTGGCTAAGAGAGATGGATGACGAGTAAAGTAATCTCGGTTACTTTCATTACTCATCTGCTGGTGCAATAGTCCTTTAGCACCACCTACATTTGTAGAGGATGAACTAGATGCAGCACTGAATGAAGATGGTGAGGTAGCCAAGGAGGATGGAGCAATGGAAATGCCATTCATAGAAGAAGTTAAACCTGTATTAATTTCAGAAGAATAGTCATCCAACTGTTTGCCGGAATTTATTGAGCCTAACATCGATTGAGTAGACGTAATGTTATTCATATAAGAAGACGCGGAAGAGCGTCCTGGAGAGAAGGGAGCAAAAGACGGAGGGGACGCAGACAAAGCTGGATTGAGAAGGTTGCTTTTTATAGTCACGGAACCCTTCAAGTCCACTTGATCAAAGGCGGTTCTTTGTATTTTTTGAGGGAACGAAGAGGAAATCGAGGAGCTCGGCATGTGTTTCATGGTAAGACCAAATGGATGATTTGTAGCAGGATTCATGTCTGAAGACAAACCAGCAGGATTTGTAGCGTCATTTACTGGTAGCGAGTGAGAAAGTGCACATTTTGAGCCGAATTTGCAATTTCCTTTTAAATGGTATTTACAAACCGGACGTTCTGTCTCAAGGGAATGACTAAAAGGGCAATTCTCGCCGGCAGTACAAGTACCGTGACGAAAGAACTTGCAGGGAACATGCTGCAAATCTACACGTACGAGAGGTTAGTAAGGAGGTGCATTTTAAGAACAGTAAAACATACTTTTAACAGGAGCGACGTGATCCTGTGCTAGCTTTGGCAATGGTGATTTTACCGTTCTGCGGTTATCGAGAGGACGAGGCTCCATACGTTTTGCTGCGGCAGAGGAAGCAGTAGACATTGTGATCATTCCAAAAACAAGAGAGGAGAATTCACTATAAATCGAAAAACAAAAAATTCAAAGAGATTTACAAATAACAGGGGAAAAAGATAAATATGTGTATTCAAAAGGAAACAAAAGAATATGCAAAAGAAAAGGAAAACTGTTGACGAAAGGAGCTTTTTGTATAGAATACTTCACAATGGCGAAGAAATTTAGGAAACGTTCGAGAGAAAATCAAATATCACAGAAATTATTGCAGAAAGGACTTGCTAAAAGAGCTTCTTGCTTCAAGGAATAGACAAAAGGACAAAATAAAAAGGGTTTGGGCAAAAGGAATCCAAGAATACCAAAGAGTGCCGTTGAATAAGGTAAAAAGAAAGGAAAGAAGGAAAGGAAACCAATGTCTAAACCTTGTTGCTGAATTTTTTTAAAAACTAACTAAGGAAAACGGCTAGATGTACACAAAAAGAGCGCAGAAATCAAAACAGTCAAGCTCAATTACTTCAACACAAGCAATTACCGGAAAGAAACACTTCCAAAAAGGGAGAGGAAAAAAGAAGGGAATCGATTACAGACGAGCAATTGCACCAAGAGACACAATTCAATTTAGGGTAAAGGCGTGTATTGCACCCGAAGAGAAGAACGGATATACAGGATTTGCAGTAAGGGAGAACGAGTGCTGCAATTGAACAAGGAATTCAATTGCAACCAGAAGAAACAAGTAAAGTGTTTCCCAAAACGTTATTCCGTCCACAAACTCCAGAATGATTGGTAACGTTTGTAAGTTGAGGAAAACAGGATACTCGTTAGGAGAGCTTGAATGGAGAAGCTGCTGTTTTTTTCAGCTCTCTTCAACTGTCTCAAAAGAATCTTATCCACACAACGAAATCACTTCTAGTAGTTGGTTCACGGCAAGTTTTTGAATGATTAGCAGCAGGACAAAGAGCTGATAACTCCCTTGTGATGTCTAAAAGACGTGCCTTTTTTATATACCTAAGTTATATAAAAAAATCAATTCTTTTCTTTTGTAAATGAAAATCTAGCTATATGCGTTTCTAAATGCCATTTTTCTCTCTTTTTTTCTAATCTATCCTTTTCTTGGTTAGGGAAGGGTCGGACATCTTTAAGATAATCTTGATACCGTGTACCAATTCAAGCTTGAATACCCAAGTGTACAAAGCCCTCTTTACGCTCTCTAAACGTGCACCTTTTTAAACACCTTGGGAAAGTTAGGTATCTTGCTGGCTTGTATTACGCAATCTTGATATCAAATGCTACCTAGATCTGGGTCACACAATTAACGAGATAGAGATAAGCTTAAGGAGGTAAGAAGTAGACAATTTGGTAAATCCTGAAAAGGAGTGTATTAAGGAGTGTGAGGAATAGGAAAAGACAGAAAATAATAAAAAATTCATCTATTTTTTCATTATTTCGTTACCATTAGTTACTTTCCGTAAATATTTGCATGTATACGAATACAATGTCCGTACTTTTTGAAAAGATTTGCTCTTTTTTTTCTTTCTTTCTAGACCGGAGATCAGTATCCTGATGATGCAGCTATTGTTTACTTGTGATCTTCTCAATAATATTACAAGAGCCCTCTAAGAAAACAGATATATCTCCAAAAGTAGATAGAAAACAGGGCAGGGCTTTTGGCGCCTTCCTTCACAGGAATCCATTTGGTTACGGAATGCTGAATGCATTGCGCATATGCTTGAAAACATCGCATCGCGTCGTGTGATTAAAGATGGTTTCAGTAAACAAGTTGATTTGATTTGTTCATTCAAAAAGAGTCAGAAAAGCACATTGCAACACTCCGCGGAGGTTCCTTATATCCTTTACATCGTTTCTTTAATCTGATCATATCAATTCGTCCACTGGTAGCTTGTACTACTGGTCTACTGGTTGATAAATTGCAGTGGGTTTCTTTTCATATCTCTGTCTCGCTAAGCAAGTGTCGATCTCAACTGATATTGAATTAAAACCATGTGACGAAAATCACAAGTTTCCGATAAAAAATATTACAATCTCTCGCAAGTCGAACCCTTGTCTTGTAATATCGCTTACTCATTTAGAGTTTTGAAGACGAGGCAAGCATCTTGGTTGATTCATTTGCATTCCAAAAAACGATCCTAGGAACTATTCATAGAATATCTCTTCCATAATGGCAATGAATACCCAAGTTGCTTTTTCTTACCTTTGAAATCATCCTTTTCAGCCCGTCATCAGATGCAATTCAACAGAAGCAAATGGAAAAGAGAAAAAAAGTCCCCTACAATACCTGTTGTTTTGGAATTTGTTTTCTATTTTTGTTTCTCAAATCCTCTTGGCTTTCTTTCTCTTACCTCTCCTCATTTAAACAAGGAAACGAGCCGTTATAAACGATACTATGATATACATCATAGTATTGGACAATATACTATGATACTTTAAGTAAAATTCTTTTCAGTGCAAATCAGGCATCCAAAAAGTCGTTATTTAGGTACATTATTAGCTTTCCACAATAAGAAGTTCTTCTTGAAATGATCCACTTGTTTGATGTGATATGCCATGTCATTTCTTGAGGTTTTGGAAGAGAAGAAAGGACTTCTCAATCCTAAACTGGTTCTGATGGAGAACCCTCTTTCTTTTTTTTTTCCTTTCACATTCTTTATTCTTACATATCACAACTCTTTGCATCTTCGTTTTCCGTTGTTTCTTTAGCTTACTGCTCTTCTCTCCTTTTATTTATCAAATCCCAGTGATACGCTATTTCCTGTAGGAGGAACGCGAGAAGGGAAGCTGACTTGACTTGCCAAAAACGTATTTCCTGCCATGGCTCAACATGTGGGTCCACTAGCAGCAGGCCTTGTCTGGCAACTACTGAGTGCAAAAGAAGAAGCTTGGAAAAGTTTAGCACCCGCGGCTGTCGAATTGGCTACTGCAGAGATGGACCAAATTTGGCACCAAACATTAAGTCATAATCGCCGTGGGAGCGAGCAGGAGGAAATTCATTTACTCTATCTTTTACATCGTTGCTTGAAGACCCAAAAGTTACATCCCACAACTATTTTGCAAGCCTGCGCGTGCTTTCTAACCTCGAGCGACACAGTCAAGAACCTTGCTTGGTCGTTTTTCAAGGACTGTGAGTCGGACCTAATGGCTTTAGAGTTTACAAAATTTTTTCAAAGCTTTGAAAAAATCTTTTCCGTTGAACTTTGCCGCCTGCTAATTGTTTGGACAGCGGTGCATTGCATGTCCTCTTCGGTATACTATCCCGCCTTACTTGACCTCTTGCCTATTCTGTCCAAAACCATTCAACAAAATTTAAACGATCCGAATAATGTTGCGGAAATGGAAAAGGAGTTTTGGCTGAAGTGTCTCGTTCAACATTGCCTCTACCATGCTTCTGATTCATCTTTGTTGTTTTACTTGGAAATGTTTTTAGATTCTCATGAGCTTCAACAATGTCTCATTGTAATCTTAGAGGATAAGAAGCTTTTGAATCGTGTAAAGGATCATGGCAATCCTGAAATCCGCATGATGTTAGACAATGCCCTCAAGCATTACAGGAAATTACAAGCTCAACAAGCTTCTGTCGTCTCTCGTGATTCCTCTAATACTTTTGGTGTTGATTCCAATGACATTCAAAATCTAATAGAACTTTTCCCTCAACTTTCTATAGAAGAAGCCGGTGATTATTTAGCCCAGAGCAATGGTCAGATGGAGTTAGCTTGTGAAGCGGTATTAACAAATCTAACTTCCAATATACCGTCTACTTCATCTCTTCCTCCTCCCAATCGTCCTTCTGCTCCCCTGTCACTCAATGATACTGTAAAAGCAGTCATCCCCAACCGTAATACATCGACCTCTGATTTGCAGTCCTCACAAGAGCAAGATCGTTTAGATTTATTAAACGTCGCTCCGGAAAATATTTATTTAAATAAAAAACCAGAAGAGATCGACTTTTGGAAGTCTTCTGCTTCCGATAGTCAAAAATCGAAAACTCTCGACTTGTTGACCTTGGCTGAAGATGATGAGTATGATGACACATATGATAACGCGGATGCAGTTGTGCCTGTAGATCCTGGTGTTCAGGATGATAACCCAGAAGCAACGTCGAAAGATGCCCATGAGTACCAACGATATATTAATCAAGTCCTCTTGCGCGCTTATGAAAAAGACCCCAAACTTTTCGATCAAAGCGCCAGAAAAACAAAAGAACGTGCTGATCTCATTAAGCAAGCTGATAATGCTTTGACGCATGAGCAAATTGAGGGATGGCGACGTATGTTTACCACAGATACCAAGTTTGCGTCCCTTATCAAGCGTGAAGTCCAATTTGAGGTTGGAAACCAAAACGTTGGGTCTTTAAATCGCTCAAAATATCGAAAATCAAATGAAAAGATAGAAGAGGACGTCAAAAAACCATCCACACCTAGACCTTCGAGACCTCCTCCAAACCCAGCTTTGGCGAAAAAGAAGTATGTTCGACGAAAACCAAATAAAGCGTCTAATGAAAAAAAGTAATATTTTTGGGATTGTCTTTTTGTTGGATATTTATGCATGAATTATACTACCGGTAATGGATGAATTTAGATAATACTCGATAGACTAAAATTTCTATCCTTGTTCTTTACTTATACCTTAACAAGTAAATAAAATAAATAAAATCTTAGGATTTATTGAAATGATTATCTTTTCACAGCTTCTGTTGCGATATCGGCTAACCCAATACAACATAGTCGGCTGCATTACTACTAGGAAAAAAATCACAAAGAAAACCAAATCATAGAGAAAAAGCTCTTCAGACTTGCCAAATAAACTGCCTTTCTAACGTTTCAAGTTAAAAACGAATAAATGTACATATGAACTGTTTCATTCTATTGCAACAAGAGAATCAAAAAGACAGAAACCTGCATCCTTTACTAACTCGATAAAAGAAGAAGAGATAGACAAAAAGAGTGTGATTTTAGAAGAATAAAAAAGGCAATGAAAGAAAAAGAGTAGTATTAGGTACAAAGATGGTAAAGAATAAACGGAAAGAGGGAAGTTAATGTAAAAGTAAAAAAAAAGGATCCTATACATAAGCAAATTTACATAACGATAGTACCGGGGACTTCAATGTTGGCGCTAATACTCTTGTGAGGCAAGATGCTACCGCCGTTGACATAGATTTCATCATTGACGACAACGTCGTCACCCAAAACAGAGACATTTTCCAAACGGCTCCATGATCCGAGGGTAGAGTTCCATCCGACGATGGTGCTCTTCACCCAGGCATGGTCACGTACACGGGAAGACTTGAGGATAGCGCATCGTTGAAGACGAACACCATCACCAATGGTCACATTAGGACCGATAACAACGTTAGGGCCAATCTTGCAGTTTTTGCCAATGGTTGCAGAAGGATCAACCAAGACATTGCCAATAATGGAAGAGCCAGCAGGGGACAACATCTCAGGCTTGTGCTTTCTCAAAGAGGTCAAGTAAAGGCAAGTGCCAGTAAGGTAGTCTTTGGGTTGTCCAACGTCCATCCAGTAGCTCTCTAAATCAAAGGAGTGCAGCTGATTGTCTTTAACCATAGCAGGGAAAACTTCCTTTTCGATAGAAGTAGGACGAGGTTGGATGCGGTCAAGAACTGAAGGGTTAAGGATGTAGATACCAGCATTAATTCTATTGGAAACAAATTCAGAGGGTTTCTCAACAAAACGCTCGATCAAGGACTTAGAGTTAGGGTAGTGAACGACAACACCGTACTTCGAGGGGTCCTCAACCTTGGTAACAACGATGGTACCTTCAGCGCCATGGGCTTTATGGAACTTGGCCAAATCAGCAAAAGGATACTCGCAGATAACATCGCTGTTTAAAACAAAGAAGGGAGAGCTGTCCTTGCCAAGGATGTCACGAGCAAGAGCAAGAGGACCAGCAGTGCCTAAGGGCTCGTTTTCCACAGAAAACGTGATCTTAACCTTGTATTCTTCTTCATACTTCTTTAAAGCTTGAACCATAATTTCAGGGCGGTAGTTAACAGCCAAGACGATGTCAGTAACACCAGCAGCAGCCAAGGCTTCGATTTGATGAAGAATCATGGGACGATTGCCAAATTCAACCAAAGGTTTAGGCAAAGTCAAGGTCAAAGGACGGAGACGAGTACCAAAACCGCCGACGAGAATCAGTGCCTTCATTGTTGCAGAAATAAGCAAAGACTAGAGACAGGAAAACCTTAAAAAGAAGTTAGTATATGGATCTATAATTGAAACCAAAGTAAAAACACATAGGTGGCTTAGCTAGTTGATCCGATTCAAGCCCAAACTGAGTCATCAGTCTTTTGAAGGATACAGCAGCCAGAGAAGATTATCGGTGCCAATAACTAAGGGATTATAATTGAGTGGTTTATAAACTAAGCTATCCAAAACCCTACGATTTTAGGACTTACTCAAGTGCTCAAGTAAAGAACTTGAAATAAATAAAAAAGATGGTCCTTCCTAAAACAAAGGTTTTCTCAATCAAAACCTCTTAGGAAAGTTGATTTAAGGTGGTTGGTAAAGAACAGGTGGACAGAAGGTCCCCCACAACTATCATTGTCCCAATAGGGGAAGGGTAAGGACTGAAAATATGTCACGAAAATATCAACAATAGGGCAATCGTCAGTCATAGTAAGTACTCACAAATAGTGACAAAATTTGTTGGTATTGTTTATTCACTTTTGCGTAAGCATAGCTTTTGCTTGATATTAGCGACTCAAAGAACTCTTCACCTTAGAAGCATTTCCTTCCTTACTTAGGGTAATCATTCGCAAGAAACAAATCTGCGACATAAGTATAGCAATAACATAATAATATCGTAATATCAATATAATATGTATCTCACGAGAATAATGATCCTTTCAATAGTATCAATGGCCGTATCGTAGCAACATCAGGGCTCAGTAATAAAATTCTAGGTTGTTTGGACTCGTTGCCAGGAGGTTATGAAAGAGGCTTGTAGGGAGAGTGCCAATGTTGAGACGTTGCTACGAGTGAAGAGGCGCATACGAGACTGATGTCCACAGCTTAGCGAGAGAGGACAGAACGAGCGAGCTCGAGAAGTTGGTAACAAGAAGCCACAAAAATAGAAACCGGAAAATCAAGCCAGGAAAAGTTGCTTAACGTTTAATGCAGATAATAAAGGAAAGCGAGTGGCTTCTGTCGTTTTTTCCGCATTGTCTCATGGAAAGACGCGACTGCATTTTGCATAAACAGAACGCAGTTGCTGTTTTTCGTTTTACAAGTCTCTTCCTTTATTGGGATTTCAAAAGAAAACAAAAGAAAACATGATACCATCAATAAATTGGTAGCACCTAATTAAATAGCACCTAATTAAATCCTCCTATAATGCGCGTTCAAGAAGGAAATAAGTCATCGTCGCACACAAACATACATCCTTTTTTTATTTTTCAAGTTCAAAGCTTTCTGTGAATTTAGATTGAATAAAAATCGCATTTTCCAGAGAAACTATCCATAAACAACATGTATTGAGGCAAAAGACTTTGGTAATTGTGAAAAACGCGTAAACGCGTTTTTCACAGTAAACAAATGTTTTTTTTGCTTGCGATAAACAATTCACCTGTAAATAAAACAGTCAATCTGTTAATTAGTTTTATATCTTTCTTTCAATGAATCTATTTACGTGCAGATGCGTAGTATATGCATCCAGAGTATATCAAAATCTGAATATAAAGGTCAACCTTCTTCTACCTTTTCGACCTTTTTTTTTGGTTACTTTGCAAATGAAGAATTTGAATTGACTTTCCCTGTTGGACTGCAATGGAATTTATAATCTCTTCCATTTTAGAAATTAGTCCTTAAAATAATGTCGCGTATAGCATTGGCCAAAAAGTCATCCCAGGTTTAATGGTTCAGTTTTATTGTGTTTATTCTTTGGTGTTGAGTATCAAACAATATGAGTAAAAATTAAGAGTTTTTTTTTTAATTATGAATTATGAATGAATAACCAAATGATCATGTTTGATATGGTATGCGTTCCTAATCAGCACGTTTTTGGGGGATTGCGCATTCGTGGATAATACGTGTTCAAGACAGCAAAAACCCTTGTATTTGTTCCGAATGTAACCTCTGTTTTCTTTCAACAGATATGATGTGATTTTTTCTTGGCTCTAGCCTTGAAATTTGGAAAAAGCTAATCGCATGATTTTGCAAGTGTCAATATTGAGTTCGTTGTCAAACAGGAAACACGCGATTTTGGCAAATAGAAGCCATAAAATATGAACCTAGTAAGCGAAAATGGGAAATTTTTCTTTGTTTTCTGAATTCTCAAAAGAACAAAAGGAAAAAAGTAATAATACTGCAACAAACTACTTATTTTTGTTTGTTGAGTTGGCTGTTTCTTACAAGTATTGAATCGTGAAATAGTTTTGTTGCTGCTTTTCGATAAGTTTAGTCATTGAAAAAGCAATTGCGTTTTCAAAAACGAGTTTTTAAAAATCCTTATCCCATGAGAGGCACAAAGTAAATTTAACAAATCCAAATCTTGTGTTACATACGCGTTCTACAATATGACACCAAGCCGCTTGAAAGCTAGTCTCTTTTTGTGTTTCCATTTATTCCTTCTCGTATTCCTCGTCGTTTGGTTTCGTAACGCAATTTTCATGTTCATGGATGACTTTCAAACAGACACCATTCCTTCTGCTGAACTTCAATACCTGAGAGAAGAAATTCATCTTGCTTCAAAAAACATGTCTCTAGATAATTTAAAGGCCGCGGAATGGCTCCCAAATGTCTCTGGACACGAACCCTTGATTCCCAAAATCATTCACCAAACATGGAAAACAGATACAGTTCCTGAAAAGTGGAAAGCTGCCCAAGAGAGCTGTTTAGCTTTGCATCCAGATTATAAATATATTTTGTGGACTGACGAAATGTCTAGAAACTTCATTGCTGAACATTACCCTTGGTTTCTCAAGTACTTTGATGCTTATCCCTACAACGTTCAACGGGCAGATGCAATCCGTTATTTTGTCCTTTTGCATTATGGTGGGATCTACATCGACCTTGATGATGGCTGCCAACGGCGCCTTGATAGCCTTTTGTATTATCCTGCTGTCTTCCGTAGAACTGATCCTGTGGGCGTCTCCAATGATGTTATGGGCTCCGTTCCTGGCCATCCTTTCTTTTCCTTCATTATAAGCAAATTAGCGAGCAATGCAAAGTCTTATATCTTCCCATATCCGACCATTATGTTCAGTACGGGCCCTTTATCCATCAGCTTTCTTTGGGAAAACTATAAAAACCATTTACCAAAAGACAGTTCCGCATCTGCAAGAATACGTATTATGTTAGAAGAAGACTACAAATTGTCCAACGAATCTTACTTCACTTATTTTGAAGGCTCTTCTTGGCACGAGAAAGATGCTTCCTTTATTCTGTGGGCAAACAAACATATCTTGGGTCTTATAGTCTTTGGCTTTTCCACTTATTTTGTTCTTTCATACTTCGTTTTCTCTAAATTCCTTGACAGTCGTTTATGTGAAAGATGCTTTTTCTCCCGTCAACACAAAGTTACACTCCCTCTCTCAGAACAAGAAGATGTGTAACTTCATCCGAGCTGTCTCAACTCATAAAACTTGTTACACTTTTTTATTGCTACTCATCTCAATTGAATTCAATCCAAAGAAGCAAATACGAGCTTGACGACTAAACTGACCACTGCCGAGGGAATGTTTTTCTAAATTGTCTTGGATTCCTTTGGCATGTGATGTAGTGTCTCGTACGATTTGCTAATTTTCCAATACCGCGGCACACCGAGATGAACCGCGAAGGTGAGGTGATTTAATTTAATCTTTTTCTCAAGAGCAAACTCTACGCAAAGTCAGCTGAGTGAGATAAACATTTGGTAAAGAAATCCGCTTTAGACTCATTGTTCAGTTTAAAAATTTCTTTAAAAGGTTTGTTTATTCATTGGAAAGTTTCGGCTTGTTTCCTGCCTTCGTCGTCTTTTTGTTTATAAGTCTTATGGAAGGACATTCCAGCCAGCATGAAGTTGCAGAGTATGCTTCCCAGCTTGGTACAGTTTTGGATGAAATCTTTTTAAATGTTGGATATTTGTTGCGCTCCTTGCTTGCCAATGTTCCTAATGCATTATATCATACCCAACTACAAGGAGAATGCAATAAGTTTCAAGATTATTGCGACTTAATTGAAATTCGTCTTTTAGAGGCTAAAAAAGTGATTGAGAGAGATTTACGTACTTTGGAAGCTGCTCAAAGACTTGAAAATGTTCAGACTACAACCACCGCAACAGCGAAGCCGGCGCTGCCAATGGGTATGGATACGAGCTATACTCCGTCAAACGGAAACACGAGCAATTTAGACTCAGGATTGCATCCTGATGCATTTCAAAATAGGAATAATGCAAACAACTTTTTCAACCTTTCCCCTTTCAATTCTCAGCCCATGGCAAATGAAAGCGCTATGCCTAGGTCTTCGGAAGCTAAATTCTTTGAAGGCATAGATCCGAAGCAAAAAATGTCGGCTTCACCCAAATTGAAGGCGACTTCCAGTGGCGTAGAATCTATGGGTAACGAAACACGTTCTGAACCCTATTCGAATATGCCGTCCGGTATTCACACTGGTGGTTCTCGTGAACCTGATGCCTTTCAATTTGGCATGCCACCGGAAGCTTCCTCGGATCAAGCCTTGCAGGCGAATGATTTTCTATTGCCAAGTGTTTTAGGAAACACCACTACTTCTCCGCAAGATAACCTGTCAAATATATCTTTCCCTAGCTTGGATACGGCGAATGGGTCTATACCGAGAAATTTTGATTTTTTACAACAACAGCAGCAACAGATTTCTCCATCCTCAAATCGCCCTAAGTCCGTCAACGCATCTTATCCTCCTTCTTCTTCCTCTACTTTAGACACCAAGACACAGGAAAACTATAGTGCTGCTTTCGGCAATGATAACTCCTTCGCAGCCCATTTGAATAGCACCTTTGGCAATAATTCTCTTAATTTGTCTACGGAGATGCCCACCACAGACAGCATTAATGATTTGTTTGGTGAATCGTTTGATTTCACCATGTCGGGGAATAACCAGTAAACCGAAATTTATTATAGATTGGAATGGACTTGCTTTTTTCGTTTGTTTCTCTTTCGCATTTTGTTAGATAGTTTTCGTTTTGATTATACACTCTTTTATTAGGTAGTCTATTGTTTATATGGCATGAATGTTATGAATTGTTTGTTTAACTTCAATTTCCTTCCTTTTGAGGCTATAGTCTTGTAAAGTTGTAATTAGGCAATTATATAACGGGTGAAAAGCAAGAGATTAGCCTGTTTGGTATGTTCAAACATACTACTGTGAAACTTTTGTATTTTTTGCAACGGCAATTATGAACCATGAATAAAAGAGGAAAGGCCATGATGGAAAATTTTAACATTGTCATTTATATATAGAGTATAAAAAATGAGTATGTAAAATAAACCATACTAAGTTCATGAGAAGAGGGTATGATATGTTTGAACAACGTATGAAGGCTTATTTCAAAAACAAAATTAAAACATCTAAGACGGTCATTATGTCACATCAATATAGATAAAACAAAGAACATGAGAAGAGAAAATCCGAAAATAAAAAATAAACATAATATGGTAGCCTGTAAGGACGTATAACCTGAGTAAGGGATTCGATATTAGAAACAACCTCGAAGAAGAGTCGTAATCCACATCTCATTGCTATTTCTATTGTTTCATCCAAATCCAATTGAATTTCTCAAAAAAAGGAAGCCCCAAAAGATTATGTATATGGTTTAGAAAAAAAAGCTAACTGCATTAATAATAATCATTACTATAATCATTATTGGAATCAAGCATGACTCCGGGCTCATCAACATCGCCAGGGGTTCGTGTTAAATTTACGACAATGCAGGTAATATTGTCTGTACTTAATCTTTTTAATGCGTGGTCGACCAGTCTTAGAGCGGCTTCGCGACAGCTAGTGAATTTCCGAACAAAATCAACAGCTTCTTGATCCGAAATCACATCCCAAAGTCCATCGCAGGCTACAATGAAAAACTCATCGTGGCCTGGCCAAATTCGTGTCTCTGTCGTGAAAGGGTGAGCGCTCACGAGCTCTTTCAAGTAAGTGTCACCTAAAGCTCTTGTAACGGCAAGGACACCATTGATCCGGTTCTGAACCATCATTCCACCTAATTGAGTGACCCGACGAGACTCGTTTTCATCAGATCCCTTGTGATCATAAGACAGGCGAATAGCTTTACCATCGCGACAAAGTACAACACGAGCATCACCGACGTTGGCCGTATACAGTACTCTTCGAGACCGATTATTTTCATAGCGGAAGAATGCAACTGCGGAAGTGCAACCACAGACATCATTATTGGTTTCTTTTACAACGGTATCATTTACTTCAACGAAGGTCTCATCAAGCAAATCTGTCACAGGGCGGTCAGGAAATTTTCTCAATTTTTCCAACAATATCTTGTGAAGGACTCTTTTGCAGTAGTCAGCGGCTTGGGCCCCGGCATGTCCGTCATACACGCCTATAAAGCCATCATTTTGATTTCCTCCAAAATCATAAAAACATGTATGTGCATCTTCCATGGCTCTCCTCCAACGTTGGTTTTTGTCTTCTACCATACCAGCTAACCAGTTGGATGTCTTACTAGGTCTCGTACTACCTATTCGCATTGTACGTCCTTCGTTATCTTTTACATCAACAATAGAACTTCGTCCTTCTCCTTCATCGTAAGAGATACTTGCCCTACGGCCATGATTCGAAGGTCCCGAATCTTTAAATGGATTCATTTTTTGTAATGGCTCCAGTAATGCATTAGACACTGGGTTATTTCCTTTCATACTCAACAACTTGCAAATTTAGGCCTTTTTGGCCGCAAAAAAATGAAATCCAAGGTAATTATACGACAGGATTTCAACTTTCAAAGAGAAATTTTAATTTTCTCTTTATTTTTGATGTTTTAGTGGACGAACGTTTTAATTGAATGTACGTGTTCAGGTCAAAATTCACTCTCATCATATTTTGAACGGTTTACAGCGAACGAATGTGTTGCGTCATCTATGGAGTTTTCAATGCTCTCTTAGACTACGTTACATTTTATCGTTCCTCGTATTTTGTTTTACAACGCTTGTAGACTGCGCTATCGTAGTAAACATAAGATCTGAGAAAACGGAATTATGTCAAAGCGTTCAAAATTCATAATCGAAACTGCATGGTCTTGGTAGTTGATACGTGTCTTTATGTTCTTAAAAAAGATAAATATAAATGGATTTGATATAGTAAAAGGCGTGTATTGGTGAAACAAACCGGACGAAATCTTCCATAGTCTACGCAAGATTCCAATGAATATACTTTCAGACCTGAGTCCGTGAGAGATAAAGGCAAAAATGTTTGAGTCCTTCTTTCTATGAATATTCCTTACATCCTCTTCAACTTTCAAAAGTCTCACAATGTTACTTGGTTACTGTCAGAATGCATTTCATGAAAGAGGTTGACAGACTGGGCTCCTCCCATTGTTTTATTTAATTTCTTCCTTCTTGATACAATCGTTTTTTTTTTTTGTTTGACTTGCAAACTTTGGCTATACGCTTTTCTCCATACTAGAATGGATGATTGATCCAAAGAATAAATTATTAAATTATTAGCAAAGTTATTAACTTAGGTCGTAGCACAAGTGAATATAGTTTTATACGAAGTTTAAGAATTATACAAACAAACCTACAAAAACTTAAGAACGATGGTTTGCTTGTATCATATCACGAGGTCCAAACATAAAAGTGAATGGTCATTCAAACCAATAACCATAAGCAGCATACTCTGGTCAGATACAGCAAAGCTTTTCAACTTTTCAGCTGTATTTGAGCGTAATTCTCTTTTGCTAATAGAAAGAGGGGACTATAAATAGAGAGAACTCAAAAGGACTGATTAAAATCCGATAGTGATATTCAATTTGTCAAAAAAAACTATTATCATGTTCATTAGCCAGAATTTGTTATACAAAATTGAATTAGCCAGCGCGAACATTTGGATTAAAAGATAAAGAATTAAAAGGGAAACCCACATCAGCAATCAGCGGAAGGAAAGTAAAATCATAAGAACGTTAAGGTAAAGGAAAGACACAACGAACGGACGTGCAAAATCCAAAAATAAAAGAAAATTCGAAAGATAAAGCCCTAATTGAATCGGGTAGCAAGTGCAAGTCGACAAAACACTAGCAACCTTAAGAGATAAATCTATCAATTGGAGCCATTGGGGGACTGCTTGGCATTGCCAAATCTGTCGTTAACGAAATCGTTCTCCTCTCATCTGCGTCAGCCAAAGGCGACTGCATGAACTCTGGGAATAGCTCAACACTTTCTGTATTTTCAGGTAAATGAGGTGAATTTTCCTTATTGTCGGCTTTTACAGCTGCTGCCAATGCTTTGGATAGATCAAATTTGGGCTTAATTTCAGGTGTCAGCGTAATCTGATCCAGATCAGACAAAAACAGTTCTGACCGCCAAGGTGATGGACTTTGTTTTGCTTTTTTGGGTTTCGGAGGTGTTTTAAATAAACTTTCCAGTTGGTCATCCACATCCTTATCCAAATCACAAACGGGAAGAGTAGGTTCTGCATCTTCGTCTGGCTTTCTTATTACTTGCCTTAAATGTTGTTTTGGTAGCCGATTTTCATTTTCCTTATTTGGATTACTGCTCATTAATTTCTCAGAATTCGATCTTTGGATATTATCATTGGCCGCTGACGGTAATACAAGCCAACTGCTGTTTGTACCGATTTCAGATAGTGGCTCTCTTAACGACTCTCGTACATTCTCATTTGTAGTTTTAGTAATTGGAGAAGACTGAATCCTTCGCAAGTCATTATTAAGTAAACTAGCAGGCGGTCTTTCTTCAAGGCCGACGTTTGTAGACGAAGTCCTTGATTCGGTCGCAGAACCAGAAGACTTTGGGTTCACTTTTGGAAGTGGAGAATGGCGGCCTGCTGTTTCTAGCTGTCGAAAAACTGGAATCAAGGGCTTTTTCTGTTGAGACAGTTTGTACACAGCGATTTCCAGCTGAGCAAAAGAATCCAATTCAGAAGGCTTTTCCACCTCCAGGTTTTTATATGTGCTCCAAAGGCTTTTTGGTCGCATCGAGTGTCGTGTGGTCCAATAAATTCCACAAGCATTGCACAACATGATGGTTGTATTCATAAAATTAGCATTACGCCAATTTGCAGTTTTGATAGCACCACAATTTTGACAATAAGGAGGAATTTTTCCTTCACGAAGGCTATTTGATAGTTGCTCTTCAATTCGATCTTTTCCTCGAATAGTTGGCAAGCGCTTTTCTATACGAGCACGGGCAATCCGAACTTGCTCCTTTATAAAATCTTGAACATGCTCTCGTTCAGACGGAACGCTTAAATTTGATGCGTTAAAAGGAACAGCACTTGCTTCACGTTTACGCTTCTTTTTAGACGCAGCATTGGATATGGATTCTGCGATTGAAGTGGATGGACATACAGGATCTGTCGCAGGATGAATATTGGACGAAGGTGGCTCCATACTATATGGTTCTGAAAAAGGCGCAGCAGGGTAGTCATTCTGAGTATTATCTTGAGGGTAAATGGAATCAAACTCTAAACTTTCTGAAGGAGGATCCGTAAATCGAGATGATAGAGGGACAGGACTAGGATACAGATCAGATTCGGGATTTGGAAGTGTAGCCAAGTTTGCGGACGAGTACGCAGAGTCAAAGAAGCTTGTGGAATCGGATTGGTCAGAAGAAGAGTTGTCAAGGATGAGAGAAGGAGGGAGAGCTTCATTGTGAACTTTAGAAGAAGTTGAGGAAGGAACAGCTTGTAAGCGAAGACGAATTTCTAGAGAGCGTTGCAAACCAGTCTCTACTACTCTGCCATTCAGCCAGATAGTTTCTGTTGGAAAACTTTTAGAAGGCCCTGGGATAGATTGAGAAGACAGGGATGAAAGGAAGCCTAACCCGACAAAAAGCTCGTCAGCTTCCAAATGATCTAAGGCGTAAACACTGAATTCTACGTCTGATTTGTAATTGAGTTCTGGGCTAAGAAGGTTAGTCAACAAGGTAATCAACACAGTATAAAAGCGACGGTAACAACATTTAACCTAACAAAAGGATCAAAAAATCACGCATTTCCTAAAAGTATATAGTTTTTATCCGTTATTTTTCTTCCTTAATTGTTAGGTACTAAATTCAGCATCATACCTGCAATTCAAAATAGCCTCTACAGCATATCGAGCATCTACCTGACAAATGACTTTTCCTTTATCAAATGTAACTAAGACTTGCACAGGCACAGCATGTTTAGATTTTGCTAAGCAACGGATGGACGATGCACGATCAATGCTATAGATAATACGTACTAAAAGCGAAATGAAGAAGTTAGCAAGTTTTAGATAAAGAAGTCAGAGTCGACCACGTTGTATTCTGCAGCAGGAACAACGGTAACTTTACATACACGGTACTACCAATACAGAACCCAATTTTTCTTCCATAGCTTTGACCAAGAGAGATATCAACCTCTGGCATCAGCTCTTTCCAAACCAATTAATTTACCTAAAAACGAAAAAGCCGATAGATAGTGCTAATCGGGCGATGTGCTGTTGGTAAGTTTGAACGACTAGAGACACGTACACGACGTAAACACAAGGCTCGAGTCGCGTCAAAATACATATGTGCTCTTATCTATATGTACATGTTTTCTTTTAAATTTATACATAGAAAAATCTATTAAATGAGATTCATAATAAAAAACGCGTCTAAAGTCGTGTTTTTGTTATGAGAGCAAACTCATAACAAAGGCATGTAAGAAAGATAAGAACATATGCATTTTAAAGTACAAGCATATGACTTTACTGAGATTTTTTCCTGGTACTAATGAGTTTGGTATTTATCCATCATGCATGAGTAAAAAGAGATATTCTGATAAATCTTTGGCTTTCGAAGCACAGAAAATAAGTAAAGCTAGTTCAAGAGAAATGGAAAGCTATACAACTCAAAACGCATATAGATGCCTTTGTTTACACTTTTGTACTTAAAATTGGGATTGCTGTACTGCGATAAACGTTTTCCAAAATTACGCTTTGGCGCGTTAGTAAACAAATAGAAGAAAATGTAGTTCTAAGAGGGATTTAAGGAAAAGAAGGTTAAAGAATATGGTTTTTATTATTCATTAATCAGACCCCATTGACTTAGAAAAAAAGATATGGTGGACTTTTGAGTGAATGGCGTCTTAGTCAATGGTTTACAAACCAAACAAAGCGGACGCTGGAAAGAATTCTTTATCATGTCTTCGTGGCTTCAAGAAAAGCATAGAACGATTTTCTTAAGTAAAGGTTGTTCTACCCTTCTAAATGTCTTTTCCTTTGCTGCCGTCTACTACCTTTTTTCTCGCTGAGTTCAGCTGGGTTTTAACGTACTTAGATGGAAACTTTCTTTTCCCTTGATACCAACGCAGATACAAAATTGACTTCAATTCGTTGTTTTTGATTCGAAAACAGACGTTTTACCTGATTTCAGTTCGAGACTGGATTTTCTTTTTCCTTTTTGTAATTTTATTTTTTAGTTGAGGTATTTTTTTTAATTATCGTACTTCTTGTTGATCCTTTTGGACTTAGCATACATTACTTCTCTGTCCATACACCTCGTCTAGGATACCCACATTTCCCCAAGTCTCTTCTCACCTCAACAAAACTCGAAATTTCCTTTTTCCATTTAAGGCATACACTTGCAGGTTTGTTTTAAAAACCATTAAAACTCTGCACCATGGATGTCTGGGAGCTTCAGCACTTTTCCGCTCTCTTTTACCTCTTGCAGTGCATCGAAAGCAATCCCAGCAATCCCAATGTCTCTTCGCGCTTGTTAGTGCAGTGTTTGGATTCTTATACCAAGGATTTTCAAAAATTTCTTTCTATAGATCCCCCTAATGCTTCATCTCGAAATAAATTGGAATCTGGGGAAGCAGAACTGAATGGAATGGTCTGCAAGCTGAATGAGACTTTTATCAAGCAGTCTCTTACAATTTCTTCACAGCTTTCTATGGACGAAATCCAGTCTGCTTGTCTCTTGCAAAAGGGCATAGAAGCCTCTCAAGCCTTGGACCGTACACCTATTCAAGCTGCCTTGTACATGTTTTTCTTGTCTCGTGAGCAGCTCCTTGAATCCTTAGAATTGCTTACAAGGATTGCATCATTCAAAGATTTGGATTCTGACATTGCAAAAGCTTTGCATTCTTATTTGAAGGGTCTGTGTAAAGCGGAAAATGACGTTGTGAAGACTTGTTGTGATTTTGTTACTGTTTTGGATAAAAAAATTACAGAAACACTTCGAAATGAAGCTAGTGGTCAAGTATTGGGTATTGCTGATGTTGTTGACTTTCAGGAATACATCAAGTTGTCTCATGAAGCTCATATTGCCGAATTGGAGACCGTTGCTATCATTCTCCATCAACTATCAGAACTAGGATTGTTGCAGCAATCTCATTTTGAGTCTCTCCTGTCCACGCTCAGCAAGAGCGATCCTACTAATAAAATTGCAGTACTTATATTACCTTCCCTGTTAAGCTTTTTGAAAAAGCTTCTCCGGGTCGACTTCCTTCTAGAGGGAGAGGGTAAGATAAATGTAGCACCCCCCACCTTACAGCATATTCATCATCTGCTTATAAAAACAGCTGCTTCGAGCTGGCGTTGTCCTCAGTTCAAGCAGATCTTAGGAATATGGTGGCTTACTTATCTTAATGAAGCTTGTAAACAAGCTACGAATATTCCCTCTTTCATTGACTATGAGTCGACAATTAAAGATCCTGCCAATGATTTTATCCATGCTGGCGTGTTTTCCGATATTATAACCTTTGTTATACTTCCCTTTCGACAATCGGACGATGAAGGAATGGAATGGAGCTTTGCGTTTAAGCCTCGATCACGTCTTTCAATCAGCTGGCCAACTGTCCGTCCTTTGTTGGTAAACATCATTTTTTCCAAGTTTCGTTCATTCTGTCAATCATTTATAAGTTATATGCCTGAGATTTTGAAAATACTTAGGCTCCTTGAAGAGGACAGATACTTAACAAACGCAGCACACCCCGATTTAGCTACTGAGGATCTTCAACAAGTTTTCTTTCCTTTTGAAGAGTTTTATCAGCTATTGTCTTCCGTATATACCTATGATAAGTCGTGGTCATTGGATTTTTGGGCTGACATCGAAAGCGATATGTATGGTTTCTTAACTTGGTCTATGGAATCGCAAACTCCAGGAATTGTTACTTCATTTACACTTTTACTGGTTTCTATTTGTACTAATGAATTTACTGCCACAAAGGTTCATGAATTAATGTCCGAACCGGCCGCAGAAATTAGTCATTTCGATAATTCCGCAATAGCCGGAACGAATTGGTCATATATATTCAATGTTTTCCATTACTACATTTCCCAATTGAAGCCCATCCAGACCGTTGTAACTTCTTCGGGCGTTGCTCGTGTTCATACTGAACCTGGTGAAATTGACATTAATTCTTCCTTGATCTTACAGGGGTATATATTATTATTTGCCAGCGTTACCCGTAACAGCTCTCAAATCTTAGCTGCCCTCTGTGAAGATCAAACACTTAATCCTATCGGTACTTTTTTTGAACTGTTAGAATGCAGATTAATGGAAAGCGTACGCTGCACAATAGTAATGGCACTTGAATCAATGTCTTGCCAATCTTCTGGTTTTCTAAATAACGCCTTATGGAACTATTTGGATAACTGGTTTATTACTTCCGTTCTATTTGACATTGACGGCGGGCTTGCTCCTATATCATTTGCCATTAACTCAAAAAACGTATTCCCTAAATCACCCAGTGCCTTCGGTCCTCTATTGAATAATATAAGAAGATTGACAGCTACGTCAAGTATCAGAATAGCTTTCATTAAATTTTTGACGTCTTTGGTTCGTTCGAAGAGTGAACTCAAGGTTACCCTTACTTTTCCTGAAAATTTGGGATCTTCCTATCGTGCACCTGGTATAAAACCTTATGTGGATTTTGTAATTGAAACTTTGGTTTTATCCTCCACTCAATGGAGAACTGTGCATAATGCAGAAGCGTTAAAAGTCACATATTCATGTCTTCAATTTATCTCTGCTGTTTTCGATGACCTCAATTTGAATCTCTTAATTTATTTCCGACTCTTTGGTAATAGAATCAAAGATAAAGTTCAGAGCAACAGCTTGTATGTTTATTTGACAAGGCATCCAGCAATTTATTTGCTGGAAGCGGTTTTTGTTGAAAATGTCTATTCGGGACTTTTCGACCTTGTTGAGTTCGGCTATGATCAAATAGAAGACGTTGCAGTTCCTCAACTTTTGGTTTCCGCTGTTCTACAGTCTCTTTTTATCCTTCGTGATGTCCTTGCTCTCCAGAGGGAGTTATTCAAAAATGTAATTCCATATATTACGGAATTGGGGATAAGTAAGCATATTTTAGATTTGACAATTTCCAGGAGAGCTTATCGGGAAGTATTTATGACTAGAATATCTTCTATTGTTCACCTTGCTTTATTGGTAGGGTCCCGGCATCAATGTTTCGTACAACCAGCAATTGAAATTCTTAGTTTCTTAGTGGATTCCGAAGGCTTTATGAATAAGGGTAGTACTGACGAAAATAAGCTGCTTTGTTCAATTGTTAGGACAGCGAATGAGTCGAAGCGCATTATATTTGGTTTTATACGGGCATTTGAATTTAGATCCCGTATGTTGCTGTCCTCTGGTAGTGAGTCGTCTTTTATATTGCGTTTTCTTCTGAATAATTTAAAACAAAGCAAAGGCATCTTTTCACTTGCTTTATTGATTTTAGGATTCGATATAACTTCCACAAATGCAGTAATCGTCAGAGATGAGCCTGGTTATGTTGGCTCACAGATTTCTCTACTGAACTCATTATTAAATTTCATAGAATTGAGAACGCAGGACGATGTCATTCTGGAAACTCCTTTAGTTATGGTCGAAGCACTCGAAATTGTAGCCCATCTTTGTTCTTCTCCATTGACCTCTGAAGCTACCTTGGCAGTTATAAGAGACCGCCCTCACTTTCTTGTAAATCTTATTAATGTTGAGCCCATATTATCTCAAAATAGCATACAAAATCTCGAAAATATCTCTACAGAAGAAATAAATGTTTTCTCGAGAAGTTTGCATGCTCGGGCGCAAGTGATGACAATGTTACTGACGGAAATTCACTTCACCTCTTCATTAGGAAAAAAGAAGCAGTCAAAAGAATATGTTATTTCCCTTATTGGAACCGCAGAGAGGTTAAGGACTTCGCAGTTATCTCAAAAATCGTCTGGCTTTAAGATACTAGATTTCATGGATATTCTGAGGATCGACAATCGAAAAATAGCATCGGAATTACCCAAAGTTCCAGGTTTCAATTTAAGCATGTTCGTGACGAAGTTTGATAATGGAGTCAACGATTTTCAGTTTGATACTGACAGAGTTGTTAAAATGTATAAACTTCTCTTTGATACTGAAGCATCGTCTATGGAAGATACAAATGAAGAAAAAGAAGTTTGGTTCAATCAAAAAAAGGAACAATTAGAGGACCTTTCTAGTCGCTTAGATCTTTTCAACTCACGGGTCGTTTTCCTTCAGCATGTTCATGATTGTTTGGAGGCATGGGCTAGACTAACCGGTATATTAATAGAAGACTGTCATTCTGCAATCCCTGAGGTACAGTTTGATGAATTTATTTGGGAATTATTGCGTTTGTTACTTCCTGGTGCATCAAATTATAGCTTAGAAAACCAGAATGCGGTTTCAGTCACCACTGCAGTCATTGAAACCATTGTTCCTTATGCTTTAAAAAAAATGAATGCTTTAAAACCAGAAGAATACGGAAAGCTAACTTACTTTGTTGAAGGAGTACATGGAATAATCGTTAGCTTAATCAAAGGCATTCAATGCCAGTCATCAGACGAAACTATTCGTGAAAATTTATATGGCTCTCTTTTAAGCATTTTGACTACATTTCAAAAATGCACTAGTATGTTGAGCAGGGAACATGGGGATTCAGAATTCTTGAAAACTTTAGAAAAGTGTATGAATCCAAGTCTATTAAACTCTTCCTTTTTGGATGTTTTAACGAAAGATGCATTGTACACAAGTGGATCATGCTGGGAATTGTCGGTTATTACGTTAAATTTCCTGCATAGGCTATCACCAGACATATCAACCCATTTATACAAATATTACTTGCGTCGTAATTTCATTGGGTCGTTTGTCGATGCCTTTTCAAAAATATTCTCAGATATACTTGCTTCTGGGAAAGAGATTATTGAAGTCATAAGTGGTTTAGAAGCAGGACAATGCTTCTTAATTACGCTTGCGCAAAACAAAATTGCTGTTCATTCTGTTTTAACGATGGATTATATACGATTAGTGGTTGATTTGTTATTGCAACTATGTAAACAAGGTATGTTGTTTTGTTTAAGTTTTAAAGAATAGCTACTAACTGAATATAGGTGGTATTCAACACCTTCGACCTCAAGTTCAACGATTGATGCTTCAACTTTTGCAAATCTTTATTTTGGCATTAATGAAGGTACCTTTAAAGGTAATGTCTAATAAAGACAAAGCACTCTTACAATCTGTGTTCTCGCTTTCGAGGAAGTTACAAGATTCTGTTCAAATTAATACGGAACAAACGTGGAGTACAGAAGCTGTTACCGTAAAGAAATATGTTGAAGTAATAAGTCAACTTTTGGATCTTCATAGAGAATAAAAGGCTAGTAATGAATACCCGGCTAAGGGTGAAGAAAATTACACTACATTTTAATGCTTACTTTACAAATAGAGGATTAAATAAAATTATTAACGGGTAACTTGGTTATTAAATACTATTATTCCATTTTCGAAAAAACATAGGTAAAAACAACAGATATGGAAAAAAGTATGGACTTATTAATAGAAAAACCGTTAATATAAGCAAAATAAAGGATAAATCGGATCGAAACGATCGTACTATTAAACTTGTTTCGTTTATATTTTTATTAAGCTGTTTTCCAGCTAATATTTTTGACCCATGAGCACCGCCAAAACCCAGAACCAATCCAAAAACCCAAACATTAGAAATGAATTTTAAACCTTTTGAATATCATACAATATTAATTTCAAGAGTAGAGACAAAGATAAACATTAGTTCAACCATTTGTCGAGATATTCGCAAGTGACCGGTGATACCCGACTTCCAACAGCGCAAATATCTGCCACGGGGCAAGCGCCGCAAGGTACTTCGGTGAAAGCATTTGTGGTATCTGGAGAAGGCCGGACAGAACGGTAGGACACACCATCAGATCTTTTCTCAACCTTGCCATCATATATTAAAACATCAACTAAGGAAATAACATTTCCAAGAGAAAGATCTACTTCAGTAATATTTGTGTTGCGAAGCCATGTATGTATTTGTAAAGCTGTAGGATACCCATTGTACTCAGGGGACCATATCATATCAGGGCCAGTAGCGTTTTTCTTTGGTGGGAAGCTTTTTGAGTGGATAAACCTGTATACGACCTTTTTTAGATTCTCAATGAATTCTACATCGAGTTCTTGGTCGGTAAACCAAGGACCACCTGTAAGCTCACTACTGGGAACCAGGTCATATAACATGTAAATTTTACGGGTAGGATTTTTCACACTCTTTATTGGCTTTACCAGATTTTTAGATTCGAGTGATTTAAGGCACCGATTGACCACGTGAACGTGCAAGTTGGTCCGCAAGGTTAGAGTCTTTGTCCATATACCTTCATTGCCAGCATTCTTGATAAAGTCGTAAACTATTTGTTCATCTCCTTCCATAGTAGAAACACTAAGCATACTGTTAATATAAGTCCATAGCGCGAAAAACGGACTACATGGTAATCCAGTAACAGAAAAGTGTAATATTACATACGTTTTTGCCTCTTCTAAAGGAACAGCGCGATAAACTAAGGTATTCCCTTGCTGAAGGGCTTCTAAAAGCCGCCTACCGAGCAGCAAATTGAGAGCACTGCTCAAATTGCTCACAGAGATAGAACTTCCAATTCCATCGATGAGTTCTTGTTGTGACAATGCATCAGGAATCTTTTTAGAACAAAAATCATATAACTGACGAGCCGTGCGAGGTAAGGACTTCAGTTGGTCGGCCATTACAGAAAATATTAGAGGTATGGGTGAAGGAAAGGTGAGAGCCACAAATGTACAACATAACCCAGAAAGTTGAACTGAGTCAGAGTGAATTCTCCTGTTATTCAATCTTATTTCATTTAAATTAAAATTGGTAAAATAAACGATAGATGCTGAAGACAATTTCTCGTTCAGTTTCCATGCGACGAAAATTTTTTAAAGGATACGGCGAAATCGGTTCATTTTGAATCATAGCATGGGACTTTGCTTTTTTCTTCTATTGTGACGAATTCATCCTATACTGACTCGATACGTTGAGCTACCTGCTTTTCGCTTGGTTTCCTTGTGTCTACATGAAATGTAATATATGGCTCATACAAGAAAGACCCAATAATTTCATTCTATGCTGCTGCCAGATGTATTGAAATCAATAGAAAAATCTTTAATAAAAAAAGAGGAAAGGAAAGTGCTTGTTGGTAAACTTGGTAGGAATCGTCAAACTTTATGAACAAGTTCAATATCCTTTGGACTTACGCTGCAATATCTCTTGAAATTTCTACAACCCTTATTATTCCCATTGAAAATTCGAAACCCATCCAAAGGTATACTACTAGACGTTCATATTGTTTACCCTTTTACTATGAATACACCAGACGCTGTAGGCTCACAATCCAAAGTATCTCTGAACCGATGGAGCTTTTTCAGTAAGTCTGAAATCATCAATGGATGCTTTACATCCTCTTATTTACAGGTTATTTTTGAATCCGATAACCCATTTTCTATGAACATCTGTATTTGGATAGCTACGATTTCTTCTATTCCTACCAGGGGATATGTCGAAAGGTTTAAGGTCATCTAGAGTATTTTTTACCTTTTTTTTGATAGTCATTTTCTAGAGATATTTTCTCATAAGTATCATCTCTTCATGTTTTTGATTTTGTCTTACATTTGGTGTTTGTTTACAAATACCAATTACGTATGCCTGTAAACAAGAGTGTTTGCCGAAACACTAACGTGCGCCCCGCAAAATTGCACCTTCACTATAATTTTTAACAAGTTACATTTCATTTCCTTCAGGTTTCTTTTATCTCGCTATGTCATATACTGCTTCTTACCGTTCCGTCCTTTTTCCCTGTTACTGGAAACAAAGTGACAAATCCGACGAAGTCTCAAGCGGTTAAGTCATACGTGAAGACAGCCTTCCCATTACAAAATCCCACTCTCTTTCTGTTTGCAACATTCGGTGCAATTTCACGAGCTTTTATGTCAAATTATTGAATCTACGGATCAAATTTCCTAGTTTTTGTCTGTTCCGGATCAAAAACACTCTTTTCTCCACCTTTCCTTCGTTCCTTAAGGTAAGACCGTGTCAACAAAACCCTACAAGATATTCTATTTGGTTTTCTAACAATAGAAAAATAGTAGTTTATTTTATACAATTTTCTAAACATACATAATTTTTAACTTTATTTTGATTTTACTCGTTCCTTTGATAGGTTGAAATAGCAAACTGATCAGATCGATCCGCAATCTGTTGTCGTCTTTTCTTTCTTATTTTATCGTTTAAATACGGCTTATTTGACTGAATTTCCCATGTCCATCGCTACTTCTTTCAGCCCAGCAAAAGCTGCTTTAGCTTCTGGTTCCGCTCTCTCTTGTAAGCGACTTCTTCAATCGACCTTGAATGTAAGACTTTTTATTAGCATCTCATAATCTTTCGCTTTTGTTGGAAGGGATGGTTGCGAGACAATATATGTTGCTACGACAAAAATTCCATGGTTAACGCGGTGAATATTTTAACAAGTTTGGTGTTCTCCTTTTCAACGGTTGATTTGGTTTCAATGTCCAGTGTTAATTTAGCTCGAATTCCAATCATTACGAGTTTTGGAATGTAAATTTTCGCTTTTTCCTATTCACAGGCGTTGTTGAAATACCCCTATGCAGCATAGCAAACATCTATACTATTCGTCTAGCTTTCCTACCCTTCCTCTGAAGCCTTTGCAAGCAAATGTTGAAGATTTTGAGTGCTCATTATGTTTGGATTTCGTATACTAACCTTACTATTCTAGTATTCTTCGGAGCAAAAGAGAATGAACTCTACTTCTTCCTCCGAGCCTTTGCGCCCCAAGGGTGTCCAGCCCGGTGAATTTCGTCAAGAATCGGACACCTTTGGCCCTGTCCAAGTGCCTGCCGAGAAATACTGGGGTGCCCAAACTCAACGTTCCCTTCAAAACTTCCGCATTGGAGGCCCCGGCGAGCGTCTTCCCCTCCCTTTGATCCAGGCCTTTGGTATCTTGAAGTTTGCTGCCGCTTCCGTCAATAAGACTTTTGGCTTGGATCCCAAGCTTGCTGGTGCTATTGAACATGCTGCTCAAGAAGTTATTGACGGCCGCTTGGACGACAATTTCCCCTTGGTAGTTTACCAAACTGGCTCAGGTACCCAATCCAACATGAACAGCAATGAGGTTATCGCCAACCGTGCTATTGATTTGCTTGGCGGCACCTTGGGCTCCAAAAAGCCTGTCCATCCTAACGATCATGTCAATATGTCTCAATCCTCTAATGATACTTTCCCCACTGTTATGCATATCGCTTCTGTTTTGCAAATTCGCAGACATCTCCTTCCTGCAATGGAGCTTCTTCGTGATGCTTTAAAGATCAAACAAGACGAATTTCAGGATATTATCAAAATCGGTCGCACTCACATGCAAGATGCTACTCCTCTCTCATTAGGTCAGGAATTTTCTGGTTATGTTACTCAAATGGAATACGGTATTGCTCGCGTCCATAATGCCCTTCCTCGTCTCTCACTTCTTGCTCAAGGCGGTACTGCTGTAGGTACTGGTCTTAACACTTTCAAAGGATTCGACGTTAAGATTGCGGAGAAAATCTCCGAGATTACTGGAATTGAATTCAAGACTGCTCCCAACAAGTTTGAGGCTTTGGCTGCTCACGATGCACTTGTAGAAATGAGCGGTGCTTTGAACACAGTTGCTTGCTCTCTCATGAAGATCGCCAACGACATCCGTCAACTTGGTTCTGGTCCCCGTTGTGGTTTGGGCGAATTGGTTCTTCCTGCAAACGAACCTGGTAGCTCTATCATGCCCGGTAAAGTAAATCCCACTCAATGTGAAGCTTTGACGATGGTCTGTGCTCAAGTTATGGGTAACCATACCACCATTACTTTCTCTGGAGCTTCTGGTCACTGTGAATTGAACGTCTTTAAACCCGTTATGGCTAAGAATCTTTTAAGCAGTATTCGCTTGCTCGGTGATGCTTGCGAGTCATTTACTGATCACTGCGTTAAGGGCATTGAGGCCAGCCGTGAAGGTATTGCTCGTCATTTGAATGATTCCTTGATGCTTGTCACTGCTCTTAATCCCCACATTGGTTATGATAACTGTGCCAAGATTGCTAAGACTGCTCACAAGAACCAAACTACTCTTAAGAAAGAGTTTGTTGATTTAGGTTATGGCTCTGCCGAACAATTTGAAGAATGGGTTCGTCCCGAGTTAATGATTTCCCCTAAAAAGTAAACATTGGTTTGTTTATTAACATAGCATTGTTTAGGCTATGTTTAGAAATTTTTCAAGCCTATGCCAAGAAAAGTGAGTTCATTGCGATGATAGCATGATATTTTACTACGTTCTTGTCAATAATGGCTTGACCTCAGCAATAAACACCCTTCTCAAATCGTATAGCTATCATAAATTTTTTTGAATGTCTCTTCATGCTTCTACATGGTTGTAAACTAGGAGTTGTACAGTTTGCACATGACTGATTGCAAATAGAAATGGTAATGAACCTATGCTGTTTGATAATTCAATAACCTTATATAAGTAAGTGCGTGATTCCCATAAGGACGTGTTCAGATTATCTATATTTCGTTCTTTTTGTTAAAAGCACACGTTGAACGAAACCATCGAAAGTCAATTTATAAGTAAACTAAAGTGAAATCAACAGAGAAAGAACACAATCATAACGAATGAGTTCTGTAAGCCTCCTAGAAATCGATTTTGTATACACCGGAAGATCGAATTCCAGATTCAAATCATAAACAAATCTTTCTGCCACGACAATAACTTGATAGAAATATATTTAAACAATAGTTTGCCTGACCTTTGGCGGCAAAATTTAACTACACCCAAGCGAGCAATACCAACACCGACCTTGCACATTGCCTTCACCAAACTATCCATGGAAGAAATAAAACTTACTCCTGGTCTTTCTGAAGAAGGAAGACGTTTGTTGAGACTGTTGAAAGATATTCCTTTAGACCCTGTTGAGATACTTGAAGAAATTCCGAATACTTTATATGCTTTTCGCGATTCTATTACAGCAGAGAATCGTCCGGCGTGCCTTGGCCTTTTAGAAACATTATTAGGATGCTTTGAGTTACCATTACCAGATGAACCTATTGTTAAAGCCCTTGAAAAGCTGTTGGAGCCGATGAGTTGGAACGATTTGAAACAATTTGGCATTGAAGCATATTTGGTAACAGGTTTAGAACAGCCTTCCCCTGAAGTGCAGGATTTTTGTCTTAAATTAATTCGAAGAGCAAATTGGCAAGAAAAAGATGTTTCTGAGAACCTTTTTGACTTAGTCCTCACTTGCTTGAATTCTCAGAGTATTGGAGTTTCTGAAGAAGCGTTTCAGCTTCTTTTAGACATGTCTGATTACTGTTTTTACTTTGATCAGATTGTGCAAGAGTTTACAGATATGGATTATGAGATCTTGGATACCACTCTAAAAGTACGCTGGCTATTGCTTTTCGCTAAACTTGCAATCAAATCCCCGGAATATATGAATAAACTAGTAAAGAAAGGAAGATTGATATTTGATATTGACGAAAATGATGATATTTTTTTACGACTTTGTTATGTTGATGTGTTGTCCATATTATTGGATACCCAATTTACATTCGAGTACATTTCATCGGATAATCCAAAACCATTAGACCAAATCATAAGATGCTTTCAGAAAGAAACGAACTCTTTTACGGATCATATTGGTCTCACATTTCTCCCAATCCTCTGCCAGAAATTTCCTGGCATATATCGAGCAATCGATGAACAGTATGATCTCTTTAATATTGTTCGTCAAAGAATTTTTAAGAAAGACTCCACTTCCGTTCTTTTATATGGCCATTTTCTAGCTAGTGAGATCATTACTAAACTCTTAATCCAGAAATACGAAGTGGAGTCATCTGAAGGATACATTCCTTATCCTTTGCTACGTATGTTGTTAATGGATGATACAGGCTTTACCGCTTTAGCCACGGCCTTACAGCAGCCAAATTCGGGTTTATGGGCTAAGCTTTGGGAGAATCTACCTGGCGATAGTATATCGAGTATTATGAAGGCTTCATCTTCACCTCTTCGTCGAACTCGCCAGTTGGGATATCAATGTCTACTTCATATCGCACAAAGATCGCCTATCCAAATTGCGTCCCGAGCGTTTGCCATCGAATATTTGTTGGCAACAGATGGTGATCATGAAACCTGTGTGCTCCGTTATGAGGTTTTACGAACTCTGTGGGAATCATCAAATGAAGGAAATGAATTGCCATTAGGAAGATATCAAGATGAAATCCAAAGACGTCTTCAGCGGGGTGTTTTTCCTGGTCCCTCATCTACTTTGAAAATTGCTGCAGAGACAGCTTAATTTTAGAGATATGGTTAAAAATCAATTCATAGTTTATTGAATGTGTTTATAGTTAAAATGCAATGCAAAGGTACGAGTGATGCTTAATCAGATTATAGAATCGGCTTATGGAATTGTAGATGAATTATATTCCACTCATGTACCCAGCCTAATTAGAAGATGGGATTGTTTTTCTTGAATTTGTTAAATACCTAATGACTTTAGGGAAGAAAGTTCTTTGACTCCATGATTCGTCTATGCTTCCTTTTTATGTCTATCGTTAGCAGAGAGTATTAAGTTAGAAGACGTGGAGCCATGAAGATCCTAAGAATTATTTTTCTGTTATTGGCTTAAAAGGCATCAGGTAGCTAAATTATAGTTAACATATTTTATTTTCAGCTTAGTCTATGTTCACCATTTTGTATAAATTCTATATAGAAATCTAACTATTAAGGAACCTTTGGATATATTAATATTTAAATAATAAGGGTTTAATTAAAGAGTTTATTTCCTTCTATCCGTCAAAGTTGAGTTCTCTTAGCATAGGTTGGTTGAACGAGAAAACTGCACTTAACTGAAGAGAATCCTAGTTTTATACAAAGTGGGACATATTAGCCTAAAGATGACGGCTGAGTTAGAGAATCAACGACCAGAAATTGTTGGAAGTGATCAAGTTGAAGATCCGTATCCTATTCGTTTTGAAGGGAAAGTTGTTCATGGATTTGGCAGAGGATCCAAAGATCTAGGGATTCCTACTGCAAACATATCTGAAGATGCAATTCAGGAGCTTTTGAAGTATAAAGACTCAGGTGTCTATTATGGATTCGCTATGGTATCCAAGCAAATATTCCCAATGGTTATGAGCGTTGGATGGAACCCCTACTATAACAATAAGCTAAGGAGTGCAGAGGTTCATTTGATAAATAGAAAAGGAGCAGATTTCTATGATGAATGGACGCGCGTTATCGTACTTGGCTATATCCGTCCCGAGTTGAATTATGAAGGGTTGCAAAAGTTAATTGAAGATATTCAAACGGACATTAGAGTGGCTTTGAGAAGCCTAGAGCGTCCTGATTATGCAAAATATAAAGCTGATGCCTTTTTCAAGGCTTAAAAGCTATGTTGAAACTAGAAATTTCTAAACTTGTATATGTACTCTTTCTGAAACATCGTGATTAAAAGGAATAAATATTTTACAGAATAACCGTTTAGAAGATAAAGTAGACAAGGAATCTATTTAGAAATACCCAGGTTTTTCTCTTTTTTTACCTACATGTACAGTGATTTTCTGTGCTTCCTATGAGATATATAAGTTCTTGAGAAATCAGACAAAGATTTAATACTAACAATGAATTGAATTGAATGAATAAACCGGTTTTGGGGTATCACACTTGTTTATAGATAAAACGAATGTACTAGTTATTTTAAAAAAAGCGGCCGACAGGAATTGGATGAATAGAACAATCATAAAGGTAATCACAAATCATAAGTATCAAGACAGGAAAATCAACAGCTTATTCTATAGGATAATCCCAACACATGCACATAAAAAGGGATTTAACAAAAGGGCTGAGACAACACCGGTTTTTTTCTTCTTTTTTATATAATCATACGGACCGGAGCATATAGATTTTTCATAAAACGAAAACAAAGAACCAAACGATAATAATTAAAACACACATATACACCACGTATATAAAACTTGGCTTAAACGGACGGGTGGTTTACGTCTTCCCAAAGACAAACACGTTTATCGTAAAAAGAGCAAGTAGCAACCAAGTTATCTCTACGGCGCCAATCACCACCATAACACATGCTCTGATGGTCACCAAAGATGCCGCTACTAGCATCTATAGAAGAAAAGTCCGTCGCGATGCGAAGAATTTGGGCACCGCGATGCATCAAGACACCTAAAACTTGATGATAATCATCGTTAGAATACATGTGTTCTAAACGCCAAACGCCGCCACCAAGATTGGCATTGGTAAGAGGTCGACCAATACGTCTTGTGTCTAAGGTATGCATGGAATCTCCATACTCACCCGTGGCTATATACGGACCGAAGGGAGGACGAGAAAGAACTGAGACAACCCCTGACTGGTGGGTTTTAATATCCTTCCACACACAGGAAGAAGGGATTCTTTGATCATAGCAGTTAAGCACTGCATCGTCTCCACCAGAATAGAGCATGTTGTTATCATCGCGGGAATAATGAACCGTCCAAGCTTCATATTGGTGTTCTTTCCATTTATTCTTGATCGCTCCTGAAGAAATATCGATTGTAAGGACAGCGCCGTTGGAAAGTGAAATCGAAAGGTCTCTGCCATCGTCTGAAAAATCCAACGCAAGCATAAGTACACTGGAATCGGCCACCTTGATGCCTCGCAAAAACATAAGTTCAGCACGAAATTGATGGCGATAAAACGAGATATGACCCGTAGAATGGGCAACAGCTAAAATGGAAGGATCGAGAGGTGACCTATTGAATTGTTAGACAGCCAAAGACAAGAAAAGTGAGTTCTATGCAGCTATAATAGAACTGTTCATGCAATAACAGACACTTGATAAACCACTACGCTAAACAAAACACACAAAAAGTACGATTTTACGTCCTTTTCAGCAACGAATTTGATCCAACCAGATGACCGCATATTACTCTACCTGCGTGCGATATACACTTACCATTTGAAATCCAAAATAGCATCACAGTGCATCACAAAGACTCGGTTTCTGAGCGTGTTAGAATCCGTAAGATTAGAAATCCTCTATTCCTTACAGTTGCTTCTCCCGTGTATCGTACAAAACGAGTTTTCCATGTCGTAACCTAGTTGCTTCATCCAACATGTACGTGCCGACAACCAGAATGTCGTCAAAAACGACAGAGTACTTGCATACGTCTGCAGGCCAGTCTGTATAATCCGTGGCAATTCCTTTAATACCTTGATCTGCCATACTCGCCAAGTTTGGAATTTTCAAGTTGCCTTTTGTCAATTGTCAAAAATAAATTGGATACCTCAGTAAACTGCGTTATCATTTATAACGGACCTAACAGTGCCAAGGATAAAATAAGGCAGCACGGAATTGTTGCTCAGTATCGCTTTACGCACTTCGCTATACCTTCCAATCTTTCTTACTGTAAGGTACGAAACACTCGGCTATGGACTGTGGGACTGTGGACAGGCCCAAAAAGACAGTCACACATTTGTTATAGAGGGGAGCAACAAAATTTGGCAGCTGCCTTTTCTTCATAAACCAACAAAACAAATTAAACACCACGAAAATGGTTGTCGGCAAGGAAAACAAGACTAAATACTTCGAGAAGCTCCATCAACTCTTCCAAAAGTACCACTCTGTCTTTGTTGTTAACATTGACAATGTGTCTTCTCAACAAATGCACACTATCCGTAAGGACTTGCGTGGTGCTGCTGAGTTGATTATGGGTAAGAACACCATGATGCGTCGTGCCATGCGCGGTTTCATCAGTGAAATCCCTGAGCTTGAGCGTCTTATGCCCAACGTTCGTGGTAATGTTGGTTTCGTTTTCACCAACGATGATTTGAAGGAAGTCCGTAAGACCATCATTGCTAATGTCGTTGCCGCTCCTGCCCGTCCTAACGCTGTTGCTCCTTTGGACGTTTTCCTTCCTGCTGGTAACACTGGTATGGAACCCGGTAAGACCTCTTTCTTCCAAGCCCTTGGTATCCCTACCAAGATTACTCGTGGTACCATTGAAATTACCAGTGAAGTCCATATCGTTGCGAAGGATACAAAGGTCGGTCCTTCCGAAGCTGTCTTGCTCAACATGTTGGACATCTCTCCCTTCACCTATGGTATGGATGTTCTTTCTATCTATGACCAAGGTAACCTTTTCAACCCTGCCATCCTTGACGTCTCTGATGATGATCTCGTTGCCAGTCTTTTGAATGCTGCTAAGGTTGTTGCTTCCGTTTCTTTGACTGCCAACTACCCTACCATCGTGTCTGCTTTGCACTCCATTGTCAACTCTTACAAGAACTTGATCGGTATCTCCTTGGCTACCGAGTACACCTTCGAGGGTACTGAACAGGTATGTATTTTACGTAGGTTTCAAGAGTCGTGTTTTTTCGTTCTAGGTATTATCAGCTGGTTTAAAGCTGCAGTTCTTTCTTGCTTTTTAAGTAGAGCGAAGCAGTGTGGTTTAAAAACCGCTGATGATCCTTGTTTCGAGAAAATGGTACTATTCACTGATGTTGATTGATGAGGCTTGAAAACTCGCTATTTCTATGAGCGTATGTTAAACACTCTAATTTTTTGCTGAAACATCAAGTTGTACTAATCTTTTGAAACCTTATTTATTAATTTCTAACTTTAACATTTACTAACACATCTGTAGGCTAAGGCTTTCCTTGCTGACCCCTCTGCTTTCGCTGCTGTTGCTGCCCCTGCTGCTGCTCCCGCTGCTGAAGCTCCTGCTGAGCAGAAGGCTGAGGAACCTGAGGAGTCCGATGAAGACATGGGTTTCGGTCTCTTTGACTAAACTCCTCTCTTGGTAGCTTCTGAATAAACTGGTTATTTTTTCCAAAAAATTCAATTACTGTAGTCGTATGGTGCTTTTAACAGATAGAAGTTTTCAAACATTCTAGTTATGCTATGTTTATGCTACATTATAATGAAAACTAGTGATTTCGTAAAACAATCCAACCATATGATTCTCGTTGTCTATAAACTATTAAACTCACTCTTTTGGCTGCTGGGAAGACTCTGCTTTTAAAAACTTTGAGTGATTTTTTCTCATTGTGTGAAGCTGTGCCAAAGGACAGAATTTTGTGTCTGTCTTTATTAAACCTTCGTTCTCAATGCGTTCTAAAGTAGGATTCTCTACGCACTGAACAAATCCTTCATTTGTGAAGCCGATCGTCTGGAAGCAAGGACCGAAGGTAACACTAGAGTCTAAAGAAGCAATGATATAGTCCGTTGTTTTGTGCAAGAAAATGGCATGAAGCACGGGTCCTGCAAGAGGTAAAGCTGAATGATAAGCTAAACGCTTTTCAGAAGAAACTTTTGCGAAAATTAGACCAGCGATACCCTCACATGCAAAAGCTATTAAATTTCTGGAAGGAATAGGAATAATGGAAGAAATCACCATTGGCTTGTCAGCAGATAAATAGTTGGCGAATGCTGAGCGGACGTCAAAAGCGTCTAAGCATTGGCAGGTTTTCAGATCCCATAAAAAGACATGGTTGTCTCCTCCGCCGGATATTAAGGTAGAGTTATCGTATAAAGAGATACGAGAGACAAAGCTAAAAAAGTTGTTAATTTTCAACTGCAAAATACTGGATTTACGAAACTTACTCTTCATGGCCCATGCAAAATCCCTCGATTACATAAGCTGAAGGGAACCGAGAAATTCGAATATGCTCATCTCTATCAGAGCTAACGATAATTTCTTGATCAGGCTTACGTGGGTCATTTGTAAGACAAAGCTGAGTTAAAATCGAAACATGTCCCATAATAGGTTCTAATTTCCAGTCTTCTTTAGATTCCTTTTTTTCTTCTTTATTTTCTGAAGCTGTATTTTCTTGGTTTTCAGAGGATGCATTTTTGAACCACTGCTCATTCACACGGTAAATATCGCCGAATTTATCACCAAATACAAGGTCACCAGAATCGTGAAATTTCATATCTGCACAGCGTTTAGGAATTGTCTTTTCGTAGCACAAACGAGCTTTAGCAGCCTCATCGATCTCCCAAAGTCGTAAGCATTTATCTTCGCTTACGGTAGCCATACGGGATTCATCTTTGGAAAACGCAACTTGGCGAAATGCTTGTCCGTAAGCTGCTGCCTCTTTATTTTTATGCTGTAAGTCATCTTGGTAGCAAAACTCAAAGGTTTTTTCTCCAGTAGTCAAAGAAAAGCCCAATAAATAGGGACCAGAACAACATACGAGTAACTCTCTTTTAGGGAGGTAAGAAATGAACTGACAAGGATGGTTAAAAATACCTGCTTTTGGTGTTGTTTCTGTCATTTTTACTTCAATCTATAGGATAAGTAAACAAAGACGCAGACCAAGCTAATCAAACCGGATTGTTTCCGTTTTTATATAAAGACTGTACAGACCCTGAAAAGACGATGCTGTAAATAATTGTCGTAAATCAAATTCTTCAAAGTCCTTCGGCCACAAGGTATCTTGGATGCACAAAGAGTTGAGAGCTTTGTTTATATTGTATAGAATCAAATTCCTTTAATTATGCTCTATCAAAAAGATAGGTCGTACAAAATTTCAAATAAATCACAGTAACAGAAGGCTATCGAAAACTTCTCCAAAATAGACGTTCAGGATTCAAAAACTTCAAGTTTTTTGGATCTTTTCGCTTTAAATAAAAATATTTGTTGATAAAAAGTTGTAATTCTGGAATCTGGAAGGGTTGGTTGAGGACATTTCAAATTTGAAAACTTTTCTGTGTGAAGCTACTCTCTGCCCATCAGGCTCAAAGTCTACCAAACGTTGGATTCTGCTGTATTCGTGACTTTTTAGGAAAATATTATTGAAATTGCTTTCTTTTTTAGAAAAATTGGGCAAAATCCGTGTTCTTTTGAAAGTATCATTGAACATTTCCAGTCTGTTCACTTGACGAATCTTTTGGTTTTCTCGTGGAAAAAATGAGACAGAAACGCGCAAAGACTTACAGAAAGTTGATGCACACGTATCAACTTGTTTTTGGTTTTCGAGAACCATATCAAGTTCTAGGTAAGCACTTTTCTGTAGTTTTTCAAATGTCCTTATGATTCGGTTTGGCATAAACGCATTTGGTCTTCTTAAATATGATCGTATTGGATGAAAAAGCTAATTATTACTTAGTTGATGCTGATTTTATCTCAGATTTAACGAAATCAAAGATGGATATTAGGGCTGCTATTTCTAGAACCGTGCAAGGAGATATAAAACCAAGTATGTACAACACAGTAGAAAATTTCAAAAGGTGAAAGGCTTGCTCTGGTTTTGAAGGTGTTTTGTTCACCTTGTAACGAAACCAAGAATGACAGAACCTTGTGCATGCTTTTCCTTTTTATTCGTTTTTTTATTGATTGAATTACTAACTCTGTCTTTAGTGGTTACTCAATGCTGTATACGACAACTGTACAGTCGGTCCCAGGAAGCAAAACAAGAAATTCAAATCGCTAAATCGTTCGAAAGAAGACGTTGTGGCCATATTGATGAAGCAAAGTCTCCTTTAGAATGTATGCAGAGCTGTATCGATGTTAACGGAAGAAATAAACACCGATATGTTGTTGCAACACAGAATACTGAACTTCGTGATTTACTTCGCTCTGTACCCGGAGTACCACTTATTTATATGAAGCGCTCTGTAGTAGTTCTAGAGCCTGCTTCCAGAGCTACAATCTTGGAAAAGCACGCCAAGGAATCTTCCCAAATGGGTTTATCAAAGGAAGAAAAGTTAATATTATCTGGCAAGAGACCACATAGTGGGTCTGAAAGGGAAGAAACGGAAGAAACGGGCAAAGAAGATGATAACGAAGCTTCTGAAAACGTTGAGGAGCAACCAAAGAAGAAAAAGCGTAAAGGCCCTAAGGGTCCTAATCCTTTGAGTGTAAGAAAGAAAAAGAAGTCAGCATCACAATCTGCTCCATCTGAAGGTCCCCTTCCAGTAAATATCATTGGAGACGTGGGTCAACGCAGAAAACATCGTCGGAAGAGAGATTAAGGAACTTAGCAATAAAAAATTTAGAATCGGGTCATGCATATATCCTTTTGTTTAGTACGTTATAAGGTAATTTGGTATTGTATTAAAGAAGCTCTATAGAAGATGGTGTAGGGAAAAGTAAAACACCATTGTTGTTGAATTCAACTTGGAAATGATTAGACACAAACACAAGATGAAGTATGTGAAGTATTTGCCTTTCATAGGTACTCCTGCTTGTTTCATTGACAGCATGAATCCGTATTTTACCTAGAACAATCTTTCACTTGAATGATATAATTAAACAGAGAAATCACTTCCGATTCCTTTTAGCTGTGTTTTCATCCTGATGTATCTGAGCACTCCACGTAGCGCATAGCTGAAAGCTAGCATTACAAATGGACGTGGAATACAATGCTAAGGTTTTTTTCTAATTACTGATAATGATTGGAATTTATTTTGTTTTTCTCTCCACTTTGTATGGATATTTTCTGTTGTTACTTAACACTGAAAACAGTAAATAACTAGGTAAGAAACGAAGCCAAAAATGCAAGCATCCATTGTCCTCTGCCTTGCAACATATAAATTTTCAGACTTATTGTGAATACGAGAAAGCCAGTTGCCAAAGGGTCAAGCTCGATGGACATGCCGCGCAAAGAACCATTTTTTGAGTTGTGTGGAATATTTATTTATAATTTAGTTTATGAATTTTACTCTCAAATATGAGAAGATTTTAGTCGCACTGTTGCATTATACTGGGTATTATGATCGACTGCATTTCACATTATCATATTAAAGGGATTTGTTACTTGTATTTGTCACCAAAGGAGAATTATAATATGATGGGTCGATAAAAAGCGATGGAAACTGAATGTAATAATCCATTACAAAAGGACAATACAAATCATTTCTTTTGACATTCAAGCTAATATATTGTCAGGGGCGTTCCGTAAGCGATTCTGTCTCATCAGTTTAACGATTTCCACAGCTAGGCTCATCAATAGCATTCGAAGGATAATTACTTAACTTTTAAGCTCGTTCAAACAACAAAAAATTCTTTTAAAAGGAAGGGTTCCACTCATTTCCCAACCTAACCAAGGAAATCTTCCGTATAGGCTATAACATGTCTGGCTACGAACCTATCAAGCTAGAGTAGGTTCCTAAAAGTAGTAAGCAAAAACTATTATGTAACTAAAGAAGCTCTTTTAAGACTGACTGACTATTAGTCATCGTCATTCACCTTGACTTGACAGAAGTTTATGCTTCTTCACCAAGAACCTTTTACGTCGGTTTTCTACGAAGAAATAAAAGACATTTTTACTATTTTTTCAGTTACTTGTTCTTCCAGCTCTTTCGAAGAGGTAAAAAGAGCAAAAAGACCTCCCAAGGCGAGACTCGAACTCGCAACCTTCTGATGACCTTCTTAAGAGTCAGACGCTCTAAACCGATTGAGCTACCCGGGACTTGCTTGTTTAATTATCAGCTAAGACTTCTGTATTAGCTATTATTAATTTTGTTATTGTAAAAGTCTAAGTGTATTCGGTCTTATGATAATATTAATTTAACTGACACATTTATCTTATTTACTTTTCTAACAAGACTCAACTTCCTTACAACTGATTGATGTAGTAGGCAAATGAAATTACAAGAATAATGTACCACCAAAGCACAACTTACATAAAGGAGCAAATACAAGCTTCATGAATAAGAAAGCACGGACCAATTGTTTTTATTACCGTTTCGCCCAAAGATTCTACTTGACATGGTGAATTCAGAATGGACTGAACTGGCATGAAAAGACGATAGGGTTTGGCAATGAAAATAGCACTCGTCATTCTAGATTCTCTATTTTTTATATATAATTGTATTAAATGACTTTTTAGATCACATATCCAAACCAATCCACTCTTCAGGTGCATAAATATTTTTACTCGAAACAAGATCATCCCTAGATTGGATGAGTCGAAGTTCGCAGACATTGCTTAGTAAAAACTGATCTTTTTCAATGCTAGGGTCTCGCTGCAATTGTTGAAGGGTATATTCCTTTGTTCTCACAAGTACAGAGTGCATACAAGTTAAAACTTGTCCAATCACCTCCGTGAAGAAACCCAAACTCGATTCTTCTTCGTTTACATCTTTGAATGAACTTCGTTTTTGTGGAGATCTCTCATCCATGTACTTCGCCAAGGTAAGGCTCGAAAATAAATCTCCTGTTCCTGTAAACGTTCCTGAAAGGGAAGGATACGAGTACAGGAAAGAATGAAAGGTATTATTTTTGAAACAATAGCCTAAGCAAAACAACAAATTTGATTCATTCATATCTTGAAACGAGGTAATCACAGCTTGAGGAACCTTGTATAATTGGTAGATACGCTTTAGCCCGTATAATGCGGTCGACTTGTTCACAACAGAAACTCCTGTTAATAATCTTTACAGATAATCAGTCAATAAAAATCCTGCTAATAAAATAAGGTGTTTCATTGCAAATCAATTGCATAGAACTTACTCGACCTCAAAAGCATTAGGTGTTATTATAAATGCATGGGACAAAACCCTTTTATATGTATTTAAAACATCTTTCTCCACATAAGCCTCCCCCTGGTCTCCCATGACAGGGTCCGCTATCCATTTTACATTAGGGTGTCGACCTTTGTATTCGATTAAAAGATTCGAAACTACTTGGAGGATCTCTCCAGTTGGGATAAAACCAGTCAAAATTGCATCGTAAACAAAGTCGTTTTTTTCCAATAAGGTTGCCAATAGTTCATAAACCTCAGATGCTTTGCATACACGACCTCTCTTATTACCATAGCCTGAAACATATATTAGACCAAAAAATCCACTTATAGCAAGGTACGGGCTAGAAGGCTTTAGAAGAATTTAGATTGAAATTGATGATTCAAACAAAAGTCCAACTCCAAGTTGTCTCAGAACTCCTTCGTATCAAGAAAATCTTCTTTCTTCTGAGGACCAAACATACCAAGATGGTTGGAAAAGTGGACTGTAGGTACAACATCCACTTCCCACTCATGCAATTGCAATGGGAAGGTAGCAGATCTATTTCCTACATAACCGTGGCTGACAGAAGACTATACAAGGATTGTTAGTTGCAAGATCATATTCAACAACATACTTGAATGGATAAAACACGCTTTGAGGCTTCAGGATCTGGCATTTGAATGAATTTTAGAAGAAACTAATTTATGTATATGAACAGGTGAAAGTAACTAAACAATGTTATGGGTATAACTCGTCAATGGAATACATGAAAGCTAAGAAAAGGTAGTGGTACATTTAGTAAGCTTGTCATTTAGCGTCAACATTCTATGGGATTTGATGTTGCTACTTTCTATTTCTTTTCTTTTCTTTTTCTTTTTTAGTTTTAGTTTTATTTTTATTTTCCAAAAGGAATGAAATAAACTTCATCCTTTATTCAATGTTTCAGCAACGCTAAATGAAATGTACAGTCATTTCCAATAGGGTTGAAATGAATACGAAAAAGACATTCTTTTACATTTGAAAAGAACAGATTAGGAAGATATGAGTGGAATACAAGCTTCTAATTCAATTGCTTGACTTACGCTTCTTAATGGATAAGTTGGATAAAACAAGAATGAACAAGCTGGCATTCTAAAGTATTTTAAATAAAAGCTTTGTACACAATTAATGTGGCTACTGGATCCTTGTTTCTTCTACCCTTTGTAAAGAGACAAAGCTCTTTTGAAGAATAAAGGATCTCACACTTGAAATTCACGACATTTTTAAATAACTTTAATGTAAAACATGAATTGATGAAAAAGAACAAGTTCATGATGGCTGGAAATGCACAGTAATTTTGGTTTCCCCCATTATCTTCAGCATGCTTATTTCTGAATCATTGAAGGTTTTCACAGTAGCAAAACCTGAGGAAAATTTGGCAAACAATGTGACATATTGAAACTGAATAACAAAATAATTGCGGTAGCGCTATCCCATTAGCTTGGTCATTCTTTCTTATACCAACACCTTCGTACACCTGACTGACCTGTGACTGACAGCCACTAAGATATAAACCCACAAGAGGTTTTCTCAGATAATTTATTTCAATTCCTCTCAGGAATTCGTTTCTACTCAACCCCTATTCGCATGTTGTAAAACTCGATACTTCCTTCATACCATTTGATCATTACCAACCCAATTAATAATTCTTCTGAAGTTTAGATCATATTCATCGAAGTTAAAAGAGATATTTCTTATTAAATACGAAAAAAATCCTTTTTTGGAACATTTATAGGGACTCTTATTTTCTGCAGTGCTTTCATTATGTCAAACTCTGCAGACGCATGTATGGTTTGTCTGAAATTGGGATGACTGGGAGATTATATCGAAAATTCTATAATTCGTTCAAACTCTTTTCATTGAATTCAAATATTCTGCTTCATCCCTGTCAAAGCTTCTTAAGACAACAATGACTCATTTCGAAAATCTTAGTGCTTCCCGGAAGTTATAATTGAATCAAAGTATACTAACTATAGTTCCTAGTTAAAATCCTAACGAGTTCTCAAAAAAATGACAAGCCGTTCGTGAAAAGGAATCCTCAACGGCTTTCTTTTCGAGATAACCTCCGAGTGTACATTGAACATCCTCAGGCGCACAGTAATGTATTATATTATGATGAAGATTTTGTTTTTATTAGGGATAAATATCCAAAATCAAAGATGCATTTGCTCTTGATGCCACGGGATCCCTCGTTAACATTGGTTCACCCTCTGGAGATTTTAGCAAAGCATAGGGAATTGGTTGAAAAGTTGGTTTCTATGGTGTTTCGAAAACTCCCGGATTTAATTATGAGAGAAGCTAGAAATAGTCTTTTCTCGAACTCTGATCTGTCGTCAAAAGTTTCGTCGAAAACGCTTTGGGATTTCATCAAAATAGGATTTCATGCAGGACCATCCATGAATAATCTTCACTTGCATGTTATGACTCGGGACCACGTTTCTCCGAGTTTGAAGCATAATGCTCATTACATATCATTCAACTCCCCTTTTTTTGTTAATATTGACACTCCTATCGCTCACCTTCCCGTTCGAGGATCGCTTTCCTACTTATTTCAACAAGACGTTTGTTGCTACCGGTGTGGTAAATCTTTTGGAAGGCAGTTTTCCAAGTTAAAAGTTCATCTGTCAGAAGAGTTAGATTCATGGGTACAAGATACTTTAGCATCTGAAGCATTACATGTGTGAAATATTGCTTTCACTTTGTTATAGTCTATTACGTTATTTATTTATTGATTAATTTATTATGAATCAATGAGAACGGTATTAATTAAATATATCGTAAAGATCCAAACGGTAGTACTTCGTTTATCCTTTTCTGTCCAGTCAAAAGCATCACTAAACGATCGACACCCATACCCCATCCAGTTGTTGGGGGAAGTCCGTATTCTAACGCACGTACAAAATCAGCATCTGGAATAGGTGTTTCTTGGTCCCCTAACTCGGTACGGTCATAATGTTGAGATTCGAACTTCTTCTTCTGAGACATGGGATCATTCTCTTCTTCGTAAGCATTACAAATCTCACTTTTTCCAAGATACAATTCAAAGCGCTTAGATACGCGATATTCTGTTTCCCCATATTTAATTGTTTCAGACTTTGCTAGCGGAGACATGGTTTCTGGATGGTGTATAATAAAAGTAGGACCATCGCTAAGATGTTCTAAAACGCAATAGTCAAAAAGTTTATCAAGTAAATGAGAGACTGTAGGTGTTTTTGGTAGCTTAAAGTTCCTCTGTTCATATATGTCTAACAAAAATTCGCGATACTCTTCAGAGTTATTAATAGTGCCTAAAGATTGATTAAGACTTTTTTCAAGAGATGGGATAAACTCAAGAGTTTGGAAGGAATCGCTTTCCAAAGAAACTCCAAGATGGGGTAAGCTCATGTTTCCATGTACATTCATGCAGATTTCTCTTAGCAAACCTTTGGTCATCTCAATGAATGTGTTCAAGTTAATAAAAGCACAATAAGCTTCGCAGCTGGTAAACTCGGGATTATGCGTGGCGTCTAAACCTTCATTTCGAAAATTCTTTCCTAACTCAAAAATTCGGTGCATGCCTCCTATGACTAATTGTTTTAGCCATAGTTCAGGAGCACAACGTAGCGAGAGTGGCTGTTTTTGAGCATCGTTTGTAATAAATGGACGAGCCATAGCTCCTCCAAAATGGTGTGAAAGCATTGGGGTTTCTACCTCTGTAAACTCATTCTTTTGGAAAAAATTTCGAATACATTCTATAATCTGAAAGCGCTTTTTTAGTACACAAAGGGTATCGGGATTTGCAACTATATCGACGTAACGTTGCTGAAATCTTTTTTCTTGATTCAAAAGGTTGGTAGGCATTTGGTGAAGACAAGGAGACAGCAGAATTGGAAGCTCGGTTGCATAAATGGATAGTTCTCCTTTGCTGGTCTTGCCAATGAACCCTGAACATTGTATATAATCTCCTCGTCGAAAAGCCTTGATGATGTGGGAGAAAGCGAGGGATTGACTGGTATTGTCAGTAATATTGTTTTTACTGATAGTCAATTGTATTTTAAACAGCCCATCACAAACGTCTATAAAAGCAAGCTTTGAACTTGCGTATCTCAGATTACTGATTCTACCACAGACTGTGTAGGCTTCATTATATTGTCTGGCGTCTGGCAAAAGAATATTATCCCAGGACCGTAGCTTTGAAATTGCAGTGATTTTTTTCGTGTCTGATATGGATGGATACATTGGCATCTTCAAGCTTTCAAATACCTCTTTTCGAGTGTCGAATTTCTCAGACGAACCTGGTTTTTTGGAAAATAACCTTCTCCATCCTAAACGACCAAAATTAATATACTTTGTTGAAGAACATTTTAAAATATGAGCCCTTCGTAATAGCATTAGATGAAGAAGAAGGAATAGAAGTATATGGGTTATTAAATGATGTTCCTTCTGGGTTTTTGGTTCCTCAATGAATTGAAAATACCATAAAAGACACTTTTACTATTTAAAATAAGTTGGGTTTTTTACGTTTGTTAAAGAGTGCAAAGTTCTAATACAACATGCTTTTGTTAAGGGCAGAATTGTATAGACAACCAAGAAGGTATGTATTGAGAGGTAAGTAAATCTGCGGTGGAAGCCCCCCTCCCAAATAAAGGAAAAAGAACAAAATGATTGACAATATACTACACACATGGGGAGTTTTAACAGAGTTATTGAGATTGATTCACAACTGGTTAGTCAACAAACTTTACGCTTCATCACATTTGGCAAATCACTCTGTTAACTTTTTCATTGCTATATCTATTGTACATTTTATAAAAGCATCTTGCAAAGATTATGTAGCTTATATATCAATTCTATAAAAGATTCAAATTCTTCTAATGGAAGCATGAATGTAAGTCGATTCACGCTATCTTAAATTATCGCAAAAACCTTTATAACCAAGAAAAAACCCCAGTTTCATTATCAAACCATTTCATAGACATTCAGCACGATGGCTCTTCTTCAATTTTTAAAAATTAGGACTGACCACCATTCTTCGTTGAAATGTACCAAGATTCCACATACGCTTTGATTCATAATCAAGTGCTGCAACTTCTTGAAGAAATAGACACTCTGAACCGGACTGAACTATAAAGTCGACACCACCCATGTCCATAACAGTTTTTCCAGACTGGTGAACTCGCATTACGCCAATTTGACCAGCAGGAGGTTGAAAGCCAGGAAGTGGTAAAGAAGTCAAACCGTCCCGATAAGTTTCCTTTTTCTTAGCTTCACTATCACCTGTGGTTTGAGGAACCTTTTGCTGAGTATCCGGTTCCTCTTTGACTTTAGCTGATTCTTCAGGCCATATGGGATCAATGTCTGCTTGACCAAGGAACTCTGGAAGTTTGTCAGGGAACTGAAGCAAAACGATCTGATCGTTACCTTCGGTTTCTTCTCCTTGCTGTGACAAACCCAAATCTTGAGCAAGTGTTTGTAAATCAAATGCGAGCTTCTCTTGCTCTTCCTCTTCTTTATCCACGACAACAGCTTGAATTGCACTTTCAGCATGATGCTTCAAAACCTCATCAGCTGATTCAGGGAGCGTCCGATCTGAGATAACAGGAACAAGCATATCAGATCCTTCTAAATTGATAGCACCCTCTTCTTGACCCGACAGCGCTCTGAGTTTTTGTATGTTGACCATGTCTCGAGTATGACCATCCTCATCATCTCCAGCAGCGGCAGCCAGCTTTGACAAAGTATCTTCTTTACTTTCCAATTTTACACCTGCGGCAGAGGGTGGAGGGATGTATGCAGAGCCGGCTGGACGACCCCCAGAAGAAGAAGCGTTGGGACCAAGCGCAAAAGGACCAGAGGCAGTTAAGTTTAGCTCAGGCTTTGGTCTCTGTTTTTTCCATTGTTGCTGGGATTCCACATTGTATTCAACCTTGACCCGACTATCGACTTCCTTTTCCTCCGTACTGGGACCAGCTTTTCTTCGAGGAACAAACTTGGGCGTGAATTTTCTCATAATTGAAAATGTGAGAGAAATCTTTTATGACCTAATTATATTATACAAATTTTGCGCTCAACCAAACTGAAGGGACGTGATATGAATGATGCAGAAGGCAAAACAAATATATATGTATATATAAGCAAAAGTGAATCCTTCGTTTAAGCCAATTCCACTTTTATATTTGTAAGATGATAAAATTAATAAAGATATTTCAAAGAAACAGAAACTTCGAGTTATTTATAAATCTACCTAGCACTTTTTCAATGTGTGTTGGAGTTTTACTTTCGATCCTCGAGCATTCCTCAAATGCACTTTACAATTCTCAAATGGTTTAATTTTCCAATCAAGAAATTAAAGTTATTTTTTTCTCTTCAATGCTTCTTCCTTAATGATGGCTTTTGGTAACTTTTTTTCTGGTGTAAGCGTGGATCATCGATCGCGGTAGCATTGCTACCCAGTGAGAAGCATGTTTGTTTACAAACAATTACATTAAAAATGGATGTAGAAGAACTCCTTGAGGAACCTAGATATGCCGTAGTTTCTAATACTTTATAATTTTATTCTCCTTTTTTTTCCTTTTATTTTCTTCTTAAATCCAAAAACCTGTACAAAGAAAGATCAAAATTATTTTTTTAGCGAACGTTTTCCTTCATAAGAGGTTCAAGACAACTCAAATTTCGGTTTCGTCCATTGTTTCCTGAACTGTAAAAAAAAAAAAAAAAAGTGAATGCTTAATTATGCGAAAAAGATCCACGCAAAAAGTCAAGAAACCAAACAAGAGACTGACCTTTTTCAGTCCTTCTTTCGATCCTGGGAACAAACCCTTTCTGTACAAGATTTTCGTAATAAAATAAAAATAGAAACCAAACCTCCTTGAGGAGGCAAAAAAATTTAATTGACGACAACGGCAGGATTCGAACCTGCGCTCCCAAAGGGAATCCGCTGGGCTACTTAATAGCAGGCGAACGCCTTAAAACCACTCGGCCACGTTGTCTTGTTACATACCGCTAACAATTATACAGATTTATAGGGTTATTTGCATACAGAAACGAATATTCTCTGCATAGAAACTTGAATGAAAGTTAGTTCCCTTGTGAACGCTCAATATTTAGAAAAGATCTTCTTGAAGCAGCCAGGAAGTTCGTTTCGCTTACAGCGTTGGGGATTAATGATCGTCTGCATATTTTGTAAGTAACTGTATAACCGCTCTAAGTCCTTCATATTTTAATAGAAACCATCAAAAAGAACTCAATGTGTCTTTTCAAACGAAAAAAGGCTCTTCTAATCTTTTTTAGGTGGTTTGTTTATTGAATAGTGTTTTTCCTTCTGTCTCGTTGAAGTTGCTTCTCCTTCCTTAAAACAACAGATGTTTATTTGTTACTTAAGTGTTCACTCTCACTTTGATGCGAAAAACAACACCAAGCAACAACCGAAATTCATAAAACTCCTGGATTTGTCTATATCTTTATAAAATTCAGTAGAAAAAAAATGGATACTGGGAATGCATCGTATCCTCCTTTAGGAATGAACTCCGTGGCTTCGCAAATCGCACCAATTCGAGACGTATGGGCAACGAACCTGGAACAAGAAATGACTTTAATCATGAATTTGGTCACCCGTTATCCGGTAATATCTATGGATACAGAATTTCCAGGAGTCGTAGCCCGGCCTTTGGGAATTTTTAAGAGCAGCGGAGATTACCATTATCAAACGCTGCGGGCGAACGTGGACACTCTAAAAATCATTCAAATCGGACTAGCCGTGAGTGATGAGGATGGAAATGTTCCCCCAGAAGCATTCACTTGGCAATTCAACTTTAAATTTAATCTACAGGAAGATATGTATGCTCCAGAAAGTATCGAGCTTCTCACGAAGAGTGGAATTGATTTCAAAAAGCACCAAGAAGCAGGAATTAACCCTGCTGATTTTGCTGAGTTACTCATTGGAAGTGGTCTTGTCCTTCAGGAAGATATCACTTGGGTTACCTTTCACAGTGGTTATGACTTTGCATATTTGTTGAAGGCCATGACCCAGTTATCTTTACCTAGTGAGTATGAAGATTTTTACAAAATTTTATGTATATACTTTCCTAAAACCTATGACATTAAATATATTTTGAAGTCTCTTCTCAATAGTTCCAAAGGACTTCAGGATATTGCTGATGATTTACAAATCCATCGCATAGGCCCTCAGCACCAAGCCGGTAGCGATGCTCTGCTTACCTCTAGAATTTTCTTCGAAATTCGCTCCCGGTATTTTGATGGCAATATCGACAGTCGAATGCAAAATCAGCTGTATGGTTTAGGCACATCTGGCAGTTCTTTGTGGATGAATACCCCTAAACCTCAATTTCGCGATTTGCCAGGAGCTCAGCCCAGTCCTAAGCCCACAGCTCCTAGTATCTCTTCTGCATTTGCCAATCCACCTGCCTCGGTTTCTCTTAATTCTACTTTCCGCTTTCCTCCTCGGGTCATTTAGAATTCTACCTCCTTTCATCTTTCTGCCATTGTTTTACCCTTTATCCATGAACTATTTAATTCTTTTGCTTTTTTGAATTTCAAAAAGTATATTGTTAGCGTTCCGTATTCATGCTTTCAATTCCCTTGCCTTCTATTTTAGTCCTTTTCTATTTTTTTTCGCTTACTACCTGCTCGCCTCACACTTCTTCTATTTCCCTTCTTTACCGTTTCCAACGTTTGGCTCTTTTGTCCCAACTATTATTTTCCTCTTTGTTTGCCTCATGATACTTTGTAGATTAGGTCATAGATCGTTTATTCTTTGTGAATTTGAAAGGAACAAGTGGTACTCTACTTTGAACAGCATATTCTATGAAATAATTTTGTTTAATATCCGCTATTAATATAATCCTGCATGTATTGACTTGTGCAAATAGATCCTAAAAATCTTTTCCTTTGCTATAATTTTCTATCATCCTTACGAATTGTAGTTCTAATTGCCAAACTTTCCGTTTGTACATTTAATTATTTTATTGTACAAACAAGAATTTACAACAGAACACGTCTAGTAACCAACTTTCTTATTTTCGCTTGTAGTAAGTTTAAAAGTCTATTTTTATCAATCGCGCTATTCATTCGTCAATCAAATAAAGCTCGCTTCTTGGTTGCTCAAATGTTTGAATTCTCTAAAAAAAACCTGTTACCACAGCCAAATTTCATTTTGCTTAGAAAGGCTGTAAAATGGCGACTTTACTCCCTCCTAAAGGAAAAAAACAAAAACGGGAAGAACAAAACCCTACTCCTTTTGAAATTCCTGAAAAGTTTCCGCTTGTAAATGTTCAATTTCAAGCTTCAGATGGAAGTCATGAACTTCCTTCTCTTTTGGTCCCTGGGAACAGTTCAGCTCGTCAGTTAGATATCCTTTTAAATCAATTACTTGGCTCTGTATGTAATTTAATTAGTTTCAACTTAATTACTAACTGTGTTTAATTTCAGCCTGAGGATCCTGTTCCTTACACTTTTGCTTTAAAACACGACGATGATACTGTGGAGATTCCTGATAATCTTTATACTACCGTGTTCCATAGCGGGCTTATGAAAACCGAAGATAATCTAACCTTGTTATACACCCCTCAAGCAGTTTTCCGAGTTCGCGCAATTACTCGATGTGCAGCTTCAATGAACGGACATGATGGCACCATCATTTCTGCACAGTTTTCTCCAAGCTCTAGCTCTCGTTTGGTTACTGGAAGCGGTGATTGCACAGCCAGACTATGGGATTGTGATACTCAAACCCCAATTTCTACTCTGAAAGGACATCATAATTGGGTTTCTTGTATTTCATGGGCTCCTGATGCTTCCGTTATTGCTACTGGAAGCATGGATAATACAGTATGTGTGATTTTCGTAGTCAATTAAGCGCTTTTTTTCTGCCAGTCTACTAATGTCTTAGATTCGTCTTTGGGAACCCAAGAAAGGTGCTTCTCTTGGTGATGCACTTCGTCGTCATACCAAGCCAATTATGGCTCTTTGTTGGCAACCTCTTCACTTAAGTCCTGACTCTGGACCATATTTACTCGCCTCTGGGTCTAAAGACAATACCATCCGTGTTTGGAACACCAAACTTAGAACCCTAGTTTATACACTCTCTGGTCATACTGCCCCCATCACGTGTGTAAAGTGGGGTGGACAAAACTGGATTTATTCTTCTTCGTATGACAAAACCATTCGTATATGGGATGCAAAGGACGTAAGTAACTATTCTTTATCTTCTTTTCTCTTACTGATATACTAACATATTCAGGGAAAATGTTTGCACATTTTGAAGGGACATGCTGCTCGTGTAAATCATCTTTCTTTGTCTACAGAACATGTTTTGCGCTCGGGCGCTTATGATCATACTGATTTCAAGCCAAAAAACTTCCGCGAGGAACGTGATAAAGCAAAAGAAAGATATGATATTTGTGTAAAACAGTCCGGAGAACGTCTTGTTTCTGCGAGTGATGACTTACAATTAATGTTATGGGATCCTTATAAGACTACTAAGCCTGTTGCTAAAATGCACGGTCACCAGAAAGTTGTAAATTATGCATCGTTTTCTCCCGACGGTCGTCATATAGCAACTGCCAGTTTCGACAGCTCGGTACGATTGTGGGATGCTAAAACAGGGAAATTTCTTGCTACACTACGTGGACATGTTGCTTCTGTGTACCAGTGTGCTTGGTCTACCGATTCCAGATTATTAGTTAGCTCCTCCCAAGACACGACGTTGAAGGTTTGGGACATCCGTACGAAAAAGTTGAAGTTTGATTTACCAGGTCATCTTGACCAGGTTTTTGCCGTTGATTGGTCTCCTGATGGACAACGGGTAGCCTCTGGAGGTGCTGACAAAGCTGTACGGATATGGACTCACTAAAAAAATAAATAGGGTACAAAGTGTCAATCTTTAGTTTCGCTAATTAATTAAGGGATTTTTGGACATAGTTTTTAGAAAAGTAATGATAAAGGTTATTATCATTGGCTTAAACTGTTTTAATACTACATTTATGCAGACTGGCTTACCATCTCATGTTCGCTTTTGAAAGGGAGACCAAGAAATATTTAAAACAAGTTCACATTATATATAAATTATGCATAGATATAGTACTATAACATATAATTAATCTCATAAACAATCGTTACTGAAAGTACTAGTTACCAAAAGTCATAAATTCAAATCACATAATGCAGCAAGCCAATCCATGAATCACCTTGTCAACTTGATACTTTATGCTAAGCCAATCAATTCGGCAATGAATCATTTCGTAAACTTCTTCTGTGTGGAATGCAGTAGAAAAACGAGTATTATCAGTAGCCAGTTTTCCAATTTCTTCAGCATTCTTACCGTCGATAATGAATAGATGTGCAATTTCTTTTAATGCTTTGAAATAAGGCAATATGGTACGCTGTTTCAGTGAAACTACAAATTCGTAATACATGTTTAGATCACTTGTATCATGTTAGCAGATCTTGTCAAAAATAAATAAGAATACCGACTTACCTCAGTAGCATCAAGCCTCCTTCAACAGTAAATTTACGTTGCTTTATGTAACGGGTCAATGAATTGAATAGACGCATTCCTACTTCTTTGTAGAAGACGTCCAAGATCTCATGATCCGTACAGCCCACTAAAAGCCTCATATGCGAACGCAAAAATTGAGTGATGCTTTTTGCTGCCACCGAAGGTTCAACCATCGTATTTGTGATACCGACAGACTGAGGACAAAAATAATTGATAGGGGTCTTCGATTCCAGCAAAAAGTCTACATGTTCAATAATGACATCGATTCCCTTATGTAGACCATATGCAGCTCTTTCATCCAAAAGTTGTTCGAATTTTTTCTTTTCGGCAATTGCTGGATCAAACATGTCATCTCGAACGCATATAGAACTCATCTCTTCATTATAGAAAGTGTCCATCATTTGTTGAATCAAATCCCCGACGTTTATGAGTTCGAGGAATTTTACAATAGGTTCAACAGTATTATTAGCAAAGTCTTTTCTAGGATCAAATAATGACAAGTGCTCAATAGCTCGGTCAAACCCATGTTTAAGATGCCCTTGACCCAATTGCCTCAGTAGTTGAACGAAGAGATCCTTCTGCAAGCCTTGAATATCTTCGTCTTGGCTGTTTGAAATCCCGAGAAAAATTTTGGTTCGAGCGAGGCTAATTTTACATAAGTGCACAATTTTCAAAGCAAGTTCTAAACTGAACATGCTACTTATACCTTCCAATTTTGAATCCAAAACAGCGGCTTGAGCCGCCAATTCCGTAGTAGGAAGATGGGATAATTGATCTTGCGAAACATAAACATTTGCTGGCACAAATCTTGAGGCATCCAAATTCTCTAAACCATCGTATGAATCGGCATCATCAGAAAGTCGTACTCGATGAGTTAAGTTTGCTTGCTCATTATTCTCGGAAGGAAAAGAAAATAAAGAAACAGGAAGCAACATGACGTTCTTGAATGTTTCCAAGAAATTATTCTTTGCAGTATTTTGACCAACGTTTCTAAAAAAGAAAGATTCAGTAGCACCTTCCTTTTCTTGAATGGACATGTCCCACTGATCAACCACAGACTGTGCGACAACCTTGAAATTATGCAGCTCCTGGGAAATATAAATATCGACTTGAGATTGAAAGATAGTGTCTACAAGCAGAGGACCATTATGAATAGTAAACAAGCGCTTACATAAACGATAAAGACCAGAAATAAAGATCAAATATAACTCAACTTCCTCATCACCTATGTGTTCAACAGCCGATGAAACATAATTCTTAAGGCAATTCCCAACGCTTTCTCTTGCATACGGGATCTCAACGAGCTCAGGGACTGGAAAAGATGCTGAGGTAAAGGTATATTCAGACGTTAGTAACTTGATTGTTTCGTCTATTACATTTTCGAGGATTCCCCATTGAATGTGTGAACCCTCATTGTCGGAATTAGTAACGAAGAGACTGTATGGGTCAAACTGAAAGTATGATTGTAAATATTCTGTCTGCTTCGACAAGTACAATTGAATATATACATTGGGCGCTGAAAATTTATGCAATACATGAGAAAATTGGCTAACGAGCTCTAAATTTCGCGAATCAATACCGAGCGCCAATTCATCTAAGCATGCTTGCTCAAACAAAACGGCCATATCCAAAATTGCATTCTGCATAGATGAGTCAAACCATCCGTACGGTTTTGAGTTACCGAATCGCAGTAGAAGCTTTAAAACAACAGCTTGTTCTTCCGGCGTTTGGAAGGCAGAAAATGCGATAGGATCTAGTGTATTACTTGCATAGGCCAAATTTCGATATATTGGAGCCAGCGTTCTCCAGACACGAATATAATCTAGACGCGCTAGTTCGATCCTGTGACTTACTTTGTCAAATACATGTATCACATCCTCTCTACCTTGTTCTGAATAATAATCTATCGCCGACGGTAAAGATGTTTCGCTTTCCGGTAGTGTTTCTAGCAAAGAATGTGGTAATGTTCCAATCGATCTTTCGATAGCAATGTAACTAGAAGTACTTTCTCCTTGTGAGCTCTTATTCTTTTCATTGACGCTCGATACTCCTTCACTGGACACTCCTTCACTCCGAGATTCTAAATATAACGATTTCGATAATGCGGTATCCCATGCCCCCATCAATAATAACTTTTTGATATAGATGGTGTTCGAACGACACAATTCGTAAAATTTCTTACATACTAAATGACAATTACACAGGTCTATAGTACCAACAAGCGAGAAAATTCGCAAATAAATGTTAATTGTTAGCTTTCCGTACAGGGCACCTGTTTGGTGTATTTGGCGACTTAAAAGCTTTTTACGTAATTTCCTTAACGCATTTTCACGAGCTTCAGAACCCTTCATTCATGTATTTTGCTACCGGTCAACATTTATGAATTTGGTGGATTTCTACCTCTTTTCTTTAGATTCTGAAACGTTACATTTCCTTAACCGACTTAAAACAGTCTACTGGGGTTCACTATCCTCTTACAACTGTCACTTAGACTCCTCCAATGTCCCTTCATTGCAATGGTCTATTCATTAAAGGTCAGTAGTGTAGAAAAGAATGAAAGCCAAGTTATACACACAAAACGAAACAGAAATGTCGAGTATTTCGATTGTTTAACTTCAATTTCGACATAAAATGACTTCAATTCAAACACTAAGCAGACTATACCGTTTAACCTCTTAAATAATACATGAAAAATTACCACTAGCAATAAAATAACCCTTCTTTATCTGACATTTTTCCTCTAAAACACCCACATGTCTAGATAATTCATCTAATCATTAAGTATACCTTTAAAGTAGTCCAAACATTTTCCACTCCCCAAAAAGGTGTTTCTCAGTTCGCTTGATAAACTAATCAATAAATAGCAAAGCTTAGCAACAGCCAACTAAGCTTAATTAACATCTTTTTCTAAAGCTGCAAAAGGATTCATAGCACTCAAAGATTGAGAGGGTGTCAGCTTTAGGAACGCCTTCTTCTTTGAACGGATTCGTGGCATGCGAACCTTACTAACGACATTCTCTTCATTAACTTGACAAACATCACAACGATCTGCAATATTTGCAGTCAACAATCTTCGATTTACCAATGGCCGTAATGCAATTAATCGTGAGGATATACTAGTCAAGTCTTGTATATCTATCGGCTTCATAACCACACCATTTTCTACATGGAAAATGGACCAAGTAAAGCTTTGCAAGTCACCTATATCAGCCAAAGCACTTCTTATTTCTTCCTCCAAATTTTCAGATCCCTTTTGAAAATCAGTAACAAGAAGAGCATTATATTCTGCATCATGAGATGACTCAGGAATCTCTTCCTGCACCCCAGACACCGATTTGCTCGTAGCAGATGACGACTCACCATCCAAAGCACTGTCACTTTGCAATGTCATCGTTGGATGCTGCAAATAATAATCTAACGCTTCCGCTAGAAGCACGTTTGGCATCTTCATGATACCTTTATTATAGACAACAACATTACGCTTGGGTTCAGAATCAAATGATTCACTATCTGAACCATACAATTTCGCTAAAGTATGAATAAACAGCCGTTGTTCACGTTGCATTGGGGGAAAGCTGGTACTGGGTTTTCCGCTTTCACATAGTTCACGAAGAGCAGACTGGATCTCCTGCCCAAACTCTCTATTGTTTCGATAATAACTCAATAAACCCTTCGTATATTGTGAAACTTCTTTAGCTCTGCGATCTGGGTTGATATTCAACGCCTCTGATAGAACACGTCGACGTTCTTCTCTCGCACAACTAACTGTACAGGGTATTTTATGCTCAGGAGAAGGATTATCAAAACTTGCACCACACGGCGCTCGGCTTTTAATCAACCCGCAAGAGCATACAGCATCCACCGTTGCTCTGCATGGAACCTTTTGATCACATGGAGTTTCGGAATGGCAAGGTAATTCACATGTGTGTTCACAGTATAACCTACGCTTACCGCAAGGCTTTTTGCAAACAGTTTCGCACTCACCTTCGGGATGGCACGTCTTCTCACACCTGTGAATTCCGCAACCCAACAATTTCCCACAAACCGAACCGCAACGAACGTTTCCCTTCGAGCACGGTTGATTTTCCATTAGACGTTTACCACAAAGGCAGTACTTTTTCAAAAGATAAGGACATAAGGGGCAGGGTTCCGAAGGTGGATGACAGTTATGTTTTACCTGAGGATGTCCACATGGTTTCGGTAAAGTACAAAGATAAGGACAACTAGGTATAGGTGTGCCACAAGGGATAGGAGGATACAACTTTGTACGTCCACAAGCACAGGTAAGTTCTTCAAAAGAAGCTTCCAAGCATCGAGGACAAGGGCCACGATGGCACATATGTTGGCAAAAATGATTTCCACATCCCAACTTTTTATTGCAAGAACGCAAACATATATGTTCTTCTTCAAATTCTTCGGTAAGCAAGTGAAAACGAAGCAAAGCACCTTTCGGACGTAAAGCCAACCGAGCTTGCGCTTTGGGATAACCGCTACAACACTTCTTATTACATTGATGTCGTCCACAACTAAGTAATACATTACAAAGCCGCTCGCAAGTTGGCAAATATCCATTTTGAAGTTCTTCGCAGGGAACTTGCACAGGATTGAACTTACACCTGCATGGAACAGTAACAACTTCTTGACAAGAGCTACAAGGACCTGGATGACAATTCTGTTTACATTGATGCCCACAAGGTAATTGCTTCAAACAAATGTTGCCACATGTTGGAATAGGATCTTCACATGTAGCACGCTGATGGCCTTTCAATAGATCAGCAATATTTTTCTTTCCACAGAAACACCTTGTTACGACATTTGGAGATAAAGGACATCGTTCAAGAGCTTTTGATCGAGGATGACAGACCTTGGAACATCTATGAACACCACAATTAAAAAATTGCTTACAAAGTTCACCGCAGCTATAATAACCCAAAAATTCGGTAACTGCATCATCCATTACCTTAGTGCAAAGAATAGGCTCTGGTAAGACAGAACACGTGTAAGTTTTTGAATGAGTACCACAATAGCAGCTTCCAAGAATAGGCTCGTGACATGCACCACATAAACCTGCATGACAACGCTGTTTACAAGTATGCTTACCACACGGTAAAACTTCATCACAAATATTATCACATCTGAAACACTCCTGGGGAGCTCTAGACTTTCCTGAACAACGAGTGATTTTACTTTCCTTACCGCACAGACAAAACTGTTCAACAGTGGCAGTGCAAGGAGGACAAGGTCCAGGATGGCAAAGTAATGGACACGGATGTACACAATCTTGACCTCGAGTTTTACCACAGGGTTCCCCACAAGAATGAGGTGTCAAGCCTTTAACAAATTCAGGTTCATCTTGCTTACCGCACCAGCATGTATATTGAAGAGATTTTTCTTTTTGTGAAGTTTGACAGGAAGGACAGCGCCAAACAGGCTCATTCCTTTGTTCAATAGAATTTTTCATCCATTTTCTTGTACACTTCAAATGAAACACATGGAAACAGGTTGAACAGGTCCAAACAGGAGTGCTTGGTCTCACAATATCAGTACAAACACTGCATTCGTAAAGCATTTTTTTCATCTCGATAATCATTCTCGAAGTCATATCAAGCTTAGAGAGATCGATATTCTCTTTTAACTTTTTTGACCCTTCTTTCTTTTTTCCTTTAGAAGCTCTTGATGCCTCTTTAGACTTTTCGGCTTCATTTTGCTTTTCTGCATTCTTACTGTTAGATTCTTTCCTGTCTTTCTTGGTAGACTTATTATCGGTAGTATGTTTGGTGGAAACGTCGTCGACCTTCTTCCTTGGTGAAGGCTTCCCTTGATTTCTATCGTGATTCGTCTTATTCTTATTTCTATCCTTGTTCTTTTTGGATTTATGTTCCTCTTTCTCTGAATTCAAGGGCTTCGCGTTTGCCTCATTGGTAGTTAAACGGTTTCCAGATGAAGATTCCGTTACCAGACCGATGCCCGGAACGAAACTAGGGGCATCGGCTGACAAAGAGGCTGCTAAAGATACCTTTTGTGAGCTAGGAGGATCACTACTTAAGGAAGCAGAAGGGTTTCTTGTGCTGTTTTTGTTTACATCATTTGAGCTAGAAGATGCCAATTGAGTCGATGGATTTTTATTCTTTCTAGGAAACCTTCGGCTACCCTTCTTTATTTGATGTGCTTCAGAGGAGTTCTTAGATGTTTCCATCCAGAGTTGAGTATTGTATAAGGACAGATCTACTCGTGGCAAGCTGTGTTGTGTTTTACAGATAAGTAACAATCAAGTAACACAAAACAACCATATCTAAGTAATATATTTATAGTTATCTGAAAAGAAAAAAAGATTAATTATTTTGGGCCCGAATCCCAATTTTTTTTAATTAAAATTATTTTTAAATTAATAGGACCATGCACCTGCATTAAAACACAAATGACACAGAGCTTTTCAAAGTGCTTGAAACCTCGTATCATAAAAAATGTCAAAAAGATACTTCTCAAATCAGAGCTCCGAATTTAAACTGTAATATACCACATTAGGAGTAGCATATAATTAAGCCGAACTATTTCATTTTGGATCTGAGTAGGTTGGTTGTTCCCTAGACGTAACAAAACCAACTGCAAAACAATAATAAATAAACGCGTAAATTCCGTTCACGTAACCGAATCCTACTCAATTTTTGATTTTTAGCAAAGCCATAGATTGCGGCCTCAAAATTTTTGAAAGCAAACTCATTGAAATCCAATTTTTTATAAGCATAAGTCAATGATTTCCACTTTAATGGTAATTAAGTACAAAAATTATCAAAAAGAACGAATATTAAGCAGACTCTTCAGTCTCATCACGGTCACTAAAACAAACCTTGGCTACTATGCTGGCACTGAAGGATAGTATTGACAGGTATGTAGTCGAAGCAATAAAGCCATAACGATCGCGAAAGAATCCAGAGACAATAGGACCGATAATCATTCCAAGGGAGTAGACAATGTTGTAAGCACTAAAGAGCTGTGTATAAGGGCCATTATATCCAAAGAAGGTAGGGTGTTCTAATTCATATTCAGCAACATAACGAGAAGACTGTACAAATCCTGGAGATGATGTGAAAGATAAGACAACCCCATTCAAAGCCAAAAAGATTCCAAACAAGTATACGTTGAAGGTAGAATATGTTCTAGGGATGCACAAAAGGAGTAATGTCGCACCCAGGACAGCGTAGGAAAACATACCAATGGTCCGAGAGCCTCTACGATCTACCATAGAACCGGCCCAAGCTCCACAGAAAAAGTATGGGGTACTCAAAACACCAAACATTAAACCACATTGAAGGGAATTGAAGCCAAAAATCTTCTGCAACTCCAATGGTACGGTAGCATCAAAAGAAGAAAACAAAGATGAATTCACGAAGCTCGTCCAGAATGGACCAATGAGTTGACGATGAGATATAAGTTTATATATAGGCAGAAAGAAAATTTTAACGACTGGATTCGGCGAACTGCTGTTGGTAGCCATAGGATCATCTCTAGGACGTAAAATTGGCTGACTTTCAGGATCATCCTGCAAACCTTTCTTTGCTTCCCTTGGTTCAACCATAAGAACTCGGAGGACTATATCAATGAACAAGATGATGAAGCACATACCAAACGCAGCATAATACCCAAGAGATTCATAGATAATCCCTCCGAAAACAGGGGCGACAATCTCACCAAGCGAAATAAAACCAAAAATTCCACCCATTGTCGACCCAACATGCTCTGGTCCAACCACATCGACTAACAAAGCCAAACCTACTGTCCAAACTACCGCAGCAGACAATCCTTGAAGAACACGAGCTATAATAAGCATAGGCACATTTGTACCTACAGTCAATAGACCAGTTGCAGATGCCAAAAACAAAAGCCCAATCAACATAGGCATTTTTCTACTTAAGAACTTGTCAGCAAGATACCCAATAGGGGAGCTTGCTGTAATGTTTGCAACTGCATAGACAGAAAGAAGCGTACTGATGACAGCTTGAACTTTTTCTGGCGGAACACCAACTCGGTCCACCAACGAAAAAGGAAGAATAGGAGTAATAACACCGTAAAGAAAAAGATCCGTAAACAACGCAATTGCGATTGTCCCTATAATAAAGGGAAGACTACTTCTTCGCTTCACACTAAGTTTCAAGAATTCCATGCTCTTTCCTGACTAAATCTTTATAAAACAATATATTTTCAATCGTTTATTACTGAGCACTTAAATTATCTTCACCAGTTCAAAAATTATTCAATCAATGAGACAATTTTCCTAAATCAAGTCCAACTGAAAAAGAATTCACCCAAGAACCAAAAGAAAAGCCAGTTGTAAGTTTTGGGAGAGGAGAATCGGAAACGATACAGAGAAAAAAAAAACAGAACTACGGGCGCTTTTTTGCTTTTTCTATATTTTTGCTTAGGTTAGAAGCACTGTTCATTGCATTTCTTTTAAAGGTAACATTGTTCTTTCATCATAGTAAATATTGCTTAATACGATGTAAACAAAAGAAGTTCATAGGTAAAGAAACACTCCTTGAACCTCTCTCGTTTTGCTAGAAGAATTAAGTCAAGGCTCCATTATAGGCCTAACTTCTCTAAAGCTCTATTGCGTTGTGTTTACAATCAGTACCTATTTAGACATGAGAATCCAGTTTGAACACTTTGTTTCTTCTTTCAATGGCATGATTTAATGCGTTTTAGATACAAAATTACTTTAACTAGTACCGTTTTTCTTTAAAAGCTCACAGTGCTGCTGTTTTGGAAAACTGATGGATCTCACAGACTGAAAGAACATAATCACCTAAATCACATCGCATGGTATTCTCATCCTACACTAAATTTACTTAAATCTTTTGGTTTATTTCCTCCTTTTACAAGTACTTTACTGTCTGTCTTACTTATACCGGCCGTTGGAAGCATTTTCGGTTCTGCAAACAAGCATAGTTGTGATACTTCAAATTTGAAAGCAGATAATATGTCTGTTTTTTTCCCTTAAAATTTCTAATATTATATAAATAACCGAGATACGGTCAAGTTTTGCAGTCCTTATGCAATAAACTGATTATTATTTACTTACCAACCACCTCAACGATTTTCGTGGTTCTCGTACTCATCATGTAACCTCGTGTATCAAATTTGTGGGTTTTTGAATTGTTTAAATATGGAAGGCTTTATTAGTAAACTTCCTTGTCGTAGGACAGTCTGCGTTTTTTGTTTTTTTATTTTTTTTGCTGGGAGATCTAGGGTCCAAAAAATTGTTTCGTTGGCTTACTGTTGTGTTATTTAATTATTTTTCTTTTGTTATATAGATTTAGACCTTATTCGTTCGTTCATGCTATACAAGTACAAAAACCTACTTTTGCTTCTCTTGACTTGGACGGAATTTAAAGATGTAAGTGCTTTCCCCCATAACCATGGACAAACTGGTCTCCATCATCGCCATCACCATGCAAATCTTAAGCGTGATACCGTGCAGTGTGCTTTTCCACATGCCGAGAAAATGATCGCTGTAACACCAGAAGAGGGGAATGCTGGCTGGGCTATGTCTCCCAATCAGTACTGTACTTCAGATTCTTGGTGCCCATATGCCTGTGAGCCAGGATATTTAATGGCTCAATGGAGCCCTCATGCAACTTCTTACACTTATCCTGAGTCGATGCATGGAGGGCTCTACTGTAATTCCAATGGTAGTGCCGTAAAACCTTTCGAAAACAAGGATTACTGCTATCCCGGATCTGGTAACGTATTTGCAGTTGATGAATCTGGGAACGGTGTTTCTTTTTGCCAGACTGTTCTGCCTGGTAACGAGGCTATGCTTATACCAACTTGGGTCTCTGCTAGTTCAAAGCAAGTATTAGCAGTCCCAGATGCCACCTACTGGGACGGTACTGCTGCCCATTATTATATCAATCCCCCTGGTGTTTCTACAAGCGAGGGCTGTGTATGGGGTTCTTCCGATAAACCCTATGGAAACTGGGCCCCCTACGTAGCTGGTGCCAACATGGATCAAAATAACATTACTTATGTGAAGTTGGGTGCAAATCCCATATATTTGGATGATCCTTACTGGTCTACAATCAAGCCAACCTTCGGATTAAAGGTTGAATGTGAGGGCGATACCTGTTCTGGATTACCATGCTATATGGATCCTCGTGAAAAAGGTGTCCAAGGATGTCCTGATGGGAGCCCTAATGGGGCAGGGGATGCTTGTTTTTGTGTTGTTGGTTTTCAACCAGGAACAACCGCTCGAATCGTCGTGGTCGACTACAGTGATCAATTGAGCTCCTCGTCGGTTTTTGCTTCCAGTACTGCAACTGCAACTACTCCTTCTATATCTACATCAGCAACGGCGTCAAGCACCTTGACTAGTGGTAGCACTTCCTCTTCGTCTATCCCAACTTCTGATACCCAAACGACTTCTCAAAGTTCGTCTTCGATTTTCTCAACCGCTCTTAGAAGCACTGTCAAGCCTAATGCCAGTATAGAGAGAGGTGACTATGATAAAGGGAGTCAATCTTATCTTAAAGGAAACGACGCTTTTTCTTCGGCTGGCGTCCTTTCTGATACTGGCTTCGTAACCGTTGATGCGCCTAGTTCTGGAAACGGTCGAACGATCGATCAGAATAGCGGATCCGTTACATCAGGAAGCAATTCTTTTGTTACCAACTCTATAGTAGCTGGTACGAGTTCTTCTAAAAGCATTCAATCTGATGCCCGCAACAGTGAGTTGTCTACTTCTACCAACGACCCTGTAGTCACAAAAATGACTACAAGTATACTCGAGGGAAGTTCATCCAAAGATCCCAACAAAGAGGGAAAAACTGTTTCCGGATCTGAGATGTCTACTAACAGTGCAGAATCGAACATTTTCCTTACTACGGTAACTTCTTATTCGAATTCTGCATCCCCAGTAGTCCATACAGTCAATGGACAGGAAACGACCTCTACTACGACGGTAGTTGTTCCACATATGCATGCAGAGATACAAACCGTCTTTGATATAACAGTGGCACCTAATGTGGCACATGAGACAGCTTTTGCTACTGTTTTTGAGACAGCAACGCAATATGCTTAACAATACCAATTTTACAGATCAACAGCATATTTACAATCATGATGATTGTTTAATTGTTCTTTGGTATTCTAAAAATTCTGAATAAAAACACAATGCTTATTGTGTTTTCATTGACTTTTTAAATGGCTACAGTTATTGAATGAAGTCAAGCTCTCACACTCCTTAATGATTCCTTTTTTTGTTGGTTTTGCTTTTTGTTACCATTCTTTTCCCAGAAAATGTTTACTAATCAATTGGTCCTCAAAATATAGATACTTGTACTTTTATAATCTAAAATTTAAGGATAGTAATGAATGTTTGGTTTTGAAATACGATTAACTCAATACTTGCAATCAAGACGAAAAAGGTGTTTATACTAACGTTATTTAATTGTTGTCTTTTTACCACAAAGTCAAGGGAAGAATCAAGTTGACTCCAGACGTTTTGGGATGCCATCAAGGATTTAAAGGTAAATAATGACAGATTTTACAACTAAGTCTTAAAGATAAACACATTTCATATAATAACTTGTCTCCATTTCAAGTATTATGCTACATTTCATCTAGGCTTGTTTACGAAAAAAGCAGTCACATTTGTTGGTAGCGTTTAAACAAAAGCATTTGTGATAAGTTCACTCATTTATATAAACGCAAACAACATGGCTGAAGTTACTACCAGACCTTCCGTTTTGAATGCTGCAGAAGAAGACATTAAGCAGCTCCTGGCTGCTAACGCCCATATTGGTTCCAAAAACTTAGAGGTTCGTATGGACCCCTACGTCTGGAAGCGCCGTAGCGATGGCGTCCACATCCTCAACGTTGGTAAGACTTGGGAAAAGTTGGTTTTGGCCGCTCGTATCATCGCCACTGTTGAAAACCCTGCCGACGTTTGTGTCGTTTCTACTCGTGCTTACGGACACCGTGCTGTCTTGAAATTTGCAGCTCATACTGGCGCAACCGCCATTGCTGGTCGTTTCACTCCCGGTAATTTCACTAACTATATTACTCGTACTTACCGCGAACCCCGTTTGATTATTGTCACTGATCCTCGTGCTGATGCTCAAGCAATCAGAGAGGCATCTTTCGTCAACATTCCCGTAATTGCTCTTGCTGATACTGACTCTTGCTTGAATCACATTGATGTTGCTATCCCTACCAATAACAAGGGCCGTAAGTCTATTGGTTTGATTTGGTACTTGTTGGCCCGTGAAGTCCTTCGTCTTCGCGGTACTCTATCCCGTAACACCCCTTGGGAAGTTATGCCCGATCTCTACTTCTATCGTGATCCTGAGGAGGTTGAACGTGAAGAGGAAGCTAAGAAGGCCGTTGCTGCTGAAGCTGAAGCCAATGCTGTTGCTGAGGCTGCTACTGCTGCTGAATTCGATGTTACTGATGCTGCCCAAACCGCTGTTGACCCCTCCGTTTTGGATGCTGCCACAGCCGGTCAAGTTGCTGAAAACACCTGGGACGATTCTGCTAACTGGAACACTACTGGAACAGCTCCTAGTGATTGGGCTGCCTCTGCTCAAATGGCTTAAATTGTTTGCTTGTGTTTTTATATGTAGCATATTTAGATTTGAAGTGTAATGAAAGTTTGGTTGAAACATTAATGAATGCTCATCGATGTATTGTCTGTGCAACTAGTATTACCAAAATCTTTAACGTTTTGCTCATCAATTGTAAGCCTAACTATTTCAAGCCTGCATGAAAGGCTATTGCCGAAGATCAAGAGCTTTGTATGAATAATAACTAACCATAACAAATAGTTGCATAAGTAATGAATAATTTAATCAGACCGACATTGCCTAAGTCTGCTTCTCCAAAAAAAGTTAACAACATTCCATTTATCTTTATAGTGTCCAAAAACCCCAAGTCATAAGTCATGAAAGGGAAAAATCCGAGATACTAGTATTTCTTTTTTGTTGCGTTATGTCAAGTAAGCATATAAGATTTCTAACATTTTTTCCTTTCGAATGGGCTTGGTTATGTATCTCGTAATACCCATATCCTCGTTTCCCTCCTCAATAGAGGGCTGAATATCAGCTGTTAATAGAATAATTGGTACTGATGACCTGATATTTTCACGTTGCTCGAGCTCCCGCATTTTCTTACTCACTTCTATACCATCATAATAAGGCATATGGTAGTCAATAAACGCAAGGTTATAATATCCACAAGGATGAGATGCGATTAACTCAATCGCTTCTTTTCCATCTTTAGCACTCTCAATTTTTAGGCCCAAATGCTCTAATTGTTTAACCAGCGTTAGTCGTACAACACTGTTGTCTTCAGCAACTAAAATTCTAATTCCTTCAAATTGCCAGCTTTGCCTGTTGGATTCTGTTTGTTCATGACCAAGCGGCAAGTAGGAAGATGTTTCGCGCAGCTTATCTTGTTCGGGATGGACAATCCTCAAAGTTGCATCTACGAACTGTTCTTTGGTATATGGTTTCGCAATCATGGTTCTCCTTTTACCTATGTATTCAGAAAATTCCGGCGATATTGACTTTTGGTCGTAAGTTTTGTTCAGTTGAGGAATACAGGAGACAAAAATTACATTCAAGTCAGGAAAAGTCTTAAGTTCAGTATTCACTTTTTCCAAATGTTCAAGGGAGTCTACATCTAGAATCAAAAGGCAGCGAGCAATGTTTAAATACTGCCGACCTTGATCAAGGAAACTTGCAAAAGCTTCAGGGCAGCTGGTTACATGAACCAGCTTTTCCGCTTCAGTCAAAAAAGTAAGGATATTATCAGAATCGAGAGGTACATTCGTTGCACGTATAACAAGCTTATTTTTAATATACTCGTTGAACTTAACTTTCGCTTCAACCAAATTTGCAGTAACTTCTCTGTAGCGCTCTTCCCGTAATTTATGGACCATCAAGTCATAACAAATTCTGAACGTAGGAGGAGTTTTCGAAACTGTCACAAAAACAGAACCTCCCATAATTTTACATAACTGCAAACATGTTGACATTCCAAGGGCTGACCCACTTAAGTCCATAGGCAAATTATCATTACAGTATTTGTTCAACGAGTTTATAAGATTAGCTTGGAACACTGCATTTGGTTCTGGTCTACTATCTTCAACCATAAAAGTAAGCCTTAAATCATCATTTTCCCCATTCTCAAATATATAGGCTTTCACGCTTATAAAGCCACTTTCAACCATTTTTACAGAATTATCAAGTATACTTTTAAGCATTTGACCAATTTTTGAAGCATCGCCAGCAATGAAATAAGGAATATCATTCGAAAGTTGATAGGAGAGAGTTACATTTTTGCTGACAGCAACAGAATAAACAGAGGCGATGCAGTCAACAATTACTCTTTCCAATGAAAACTCTAAGTCTGATTCCAATGTTACTTTGCCGGCTTCCAACTTGCTAAAATTCAATAAGTCATTAATGACTTGTAATAACATTTCACAGCTAAGCCGTGCTGCATTTACAATGTCTCTTTGTTCATAATCCAAATTAGCCTCGTCTAACAAAGAGAGCATTCCATAAAAGCCAGAGAAAGGTGTCCGTAATTCATGTGATATGTTGGCCAAAAAATTGGATCTTAATCGCGTTGCCTCTAAAGCAGCGGCTCTCGCTTCTTTCTGATCCCCTATATCAATAGTGGCACAAATATATGTCGGCTCTGACTCATTCAAAATAGGCGTGCAGCGTGTTAAGTTACATCTGTAAACTCCATCATTTCTTCTTATACGTACTTCTTTCTCAAATGGAGCATTAACGTTGCTTTGAGAAATAATATGTTGTTCTAAAATATCATAATCCTGCGGATGTATAAATTCTTTACAGATATTAGGCTTTCTTAAATCAGTATCACCGCAATATTCCTTCCAAAAAGAGCCAAATAGTTCAATCTTTAATCCGCTGTCATATTTAAGCTTTGAAAGTAAACAAGGCATAGTATCTACGAAACTTCTATATTTCGCTTCTGATTTCCGAACCAAACTGAGTGCCTCGCGTTGGGATTCTATAATTTCATTATTAGCATTTGTTGCTTCTTTCACTTTATGAAAAAGGGAAATATTGACAATCGCGAAGCTGACCTGAGACCCTAAAATAGAAAGAACTGAAACATGTCGACAGTGAAACGAAAAAGGAGGTCCTTGCAGATACAAAACAGCAAATACTACCTTTTTTTGGATGAGGGGAATTACAATCACATTTTTTCCTTTATTGTTTAGTTCGTTCCATTCTTCGCAGTGTAAATCAAAGTCTTTATGAATGTTATGTGAAAATAACACTTTTTGAGTGTGGACGACATAGTTTATTACCTTTGAAGGAACGAACGGCTGTCTTTCCGAAACCGGAATCGGAGGAGTAAAGACTTCGTTGACGTTTTCTGTACGATATGCTGCAACGGTAAAATGATTGTCTTCTCTTATAACAATTGAGGCTGCATCTGCCGAAGAATCTTCAAGCATTCGAAGCGTCATTGTTGATAGTAAGCCGTCTAATTCAGTTTCACTAGCAATAGTTTGACAGGACTTCATAACTGAGGTTAAATCAATTATATCTAACGAAATGAGGAGTTCTTCTAAAGAGACAGTTCCAACATTCGCCATAGTACATGCCTGATCTTCGTAATCTTCATTAGGAAAAGATATTCGATAATTTGACTCGACTAGATCATCATCTTCTGCTTTGTCACTAGTATCGGTAGAATAAGGTCTTTGTTCGTATGCGGTATCCGTTTGGACAATCTCATCAACAGTTAATTTCAGTAAATTAGGGGGCATTTTATCAATGATTTGGTTTTGTAACGTAGTATATTTTCTCTTCAACCCTAAGGATTTGTATACTTTCACAGACTGTTCGATGTAATGAATTCCCGAGGTAGTTAAATTTATTTTGCAGAATAATTTTCCGACAGCTTCAAGAGCAAAAGCCTCAACCAAATATAAATTCAATTTAGTCGCTAAAGCAATAACTTTCTCGTATAGCACTGATGCTTTCGTCAAATCACCGTCTAAAGTAACCTTACTTGCCTGTAAAAAATAGAAATACAAGGTTATCGGACTGCAACTTTCAGATGAAGTACTTATATACTCGAAGAATTTCAGCTTTTCTAAGAAAAAGGTTTTCTCGTTATCAGAAAGCATACCATTAGTCAACCCCTTGTTAGTAATAGCCAGGCAAAGTAAAAAATAGCCAAAGCAACCTGTAGATGTCAAAAAAAAACCCATCAAAGTACCTTGAGACACTATTTAAGCCGTAGCAAATAACATCTTCCCAGTCCTCTGTGAGAACAAGGTTTAACAAATGCCAAGAAAAATACCAACGCCCAAAGGTCTCTGATAAATTCTTTTCAGGAGAGGCTGGTAACTGCCGCTCTTTGTTATACAAAGACTCGCAAGGGCCCAATTCAGTTTCTCCTAAAAGGCATTGTATTAGGGTTCGTAAATTAGGAAAGTATACACTATCGGCAACCCAAAGGCGTTGTTTTAAGGCTTCACCGTAAACTTCGTCAAACTCGATCAAAAAATCGCCATAATTGGAAGATAGAAGAAAACTGTCCCAGAGTGAAAAGACCGAAAGAGAGTTCCCAAGGAATCTGCTAGATGGTTGACAGTGTTTCTGGAGTGTTCGGATGGAAACCATCCTTTTCTGTAAAGTTTCCGTCACATATCCAATCGAAAGCAAATAAAAAAATTCTGTGTAAGTCTGTATTGTGTAATTTTGGATCTCTTGATTGAGTTTTCTGGCAAGGTTACACATTTTAAACAAAGGAGCGGAAGGACCTACGATGGTCATCGCAGTAACGGAGAAGAAAAGTAAAGTATAACCAGAAAAATCGGTAAATCCATACTCTAAAAAAGCATTTGCAAAAGCAATTGAAAAGTCCACAACAATGGGAGAGCATTGATAATATCTAGATGCGGCGCTAAAGCCCTGAAACAAGAAATAGAATATTTCAGTGCTGCGGTCGTCTAAAATGGTTGCATTATCAATCTCAATGCTTTTTTCCTCGTCCGCATACTTCAACACTTTTGGGATTAATGACTTCAAAATTTCCTTCGAATCTTCGAAGTTATGTTTTTCGATAGAAAAACCTAGTTGAGTTAAATAATTTAGAACAAGAGAAAGAAGCTCTTCAGAGCGCAGGCTTTCAAATAATACTCGGCAGCGTAAAAATAACGACTTGAAAGCCTCAGTTAAATTAGCGGATTCATTTTCAGCAAGCTTTGTCATTTTCATGGCCGCCTCTGCATTACCGTTAACCAAGTTGGCTTCAGCACAACCAACATATATTTGGATCATTTGTTTCCTCTCGTCATCGTTTTCTCTATTGTAATATTTATAAGGCAATATTTCGATGCATCTATTATACAAATTAAGTGCTTTCTTATTTGCTCCTATTTTAAGAGCTTCTTCAGCAGCCAGGTAGAGATAAGTAAAATTCAGTGTTGAATTATCTTCATTCTTTATGTATTCAAAAGCTGCATCAACATGAGAAGCAATATCGAATAGACTGTATTGATCTCGATTGTTAATACACAACTCAAATAGACGTGCATGCATACGTTGTAACTTCTCTTGACTATAGTAATTCTTGATGGTTTTCTTGTAGCTTCCACGAGAAATTGAGTATGAGTTTGTCGAAGTGGCATATATGATGCCCTTTCTAAGTAATAAATCCAAGGACTCATTATCGAGGTCAAACCCTTCGACTTCTTGACAAAGCTTTTGAACAGTTTCAAACGAAAACGATGAACCCATCATACTACCCCAAGCCAAGAAGCAACGACAGGGCTCAGGTAAGCTAGAAAGCTTTGTGATTGAGTAAGAATCGACATTGATATTATAACTTTCAGGGCTAAACAAATTTACCTCATCGTAATCTATTGACCACTGACGGGTTTCCCAGTCAAAGTATATGACCTTTTTGTTGTAAAGTTCTGACAGTAAATCTCTCATCAATAAGGGGTTCCCTTTACAAACATGATAAACATAGGAAGTGAAAGGATACAAGTCTTCCCCAACACGGTGAAGAGTTGTCTGAACGTAAGCATTTACCGCATCAAATGCTAGCGGTTTAAGTTGCACTTCCTGAACAAATCGAGAGAAGGAAAGGAAATTTTTAAGTAAATTAGCATAAGAATCATCACATGTTAAAATTATACTTATAGGAACATTGCAACGAATTAAACATTCTAGAATATTGATTGATAATTCATCAGCATAATGAACGTTTTTGATGACAATGGTTGACCGCTTAAGCGATGAAATCATTGTCAGTAGAGTAATTAAGGAACTAGAGAGAGAGATCTGATGACCAAATTGATTCCGCTGGTCAGAATTGTATTGAGTTTCTTGGCTATTAGCACTTCGACCTAGGGACGACGAAGACTTAACAGATTCATTCGATGAAGTTGAAAGAAAACTTATAATATTGCCAACATATGGACTCTTATCAAGAAACGGCTTTACTTCGGGAACTATATCAAAAACCGAGTTTAAAAGATACAAATCTCCTTCCAAAGCATGTTTCAATTTTTGAAAAAATTCATGTACTAAATGCTGACTCTCAGCGAGTACTTGAAGAATTAACTGAGCGATTCCACGAATCAATGCAGAATTCGAGAAAGACTCTGATGGTTCACATTTTGTGATAGCCATGTACCCTTCCTTCCTATCACAAACGTCTTGGATAAATGTAGCTTTACCAACACCTTCAGGCCCAGTAATTAATATAACAACGATATGATCACTATGCTCGTTTCCTTTTAAAAAGGGTGAGTCGTGAAAAGAAGAGTCTAAAGGTAGGGAAGTTGATTCGGTGTGACGCAAAAGAGATTTTACCTTTTCAATCTCACGTTCACGGCCATATGTAGAAGAAGGAAGCATAAATAAGGATGTAAAACCTGTGTTATCAAAGATTCCTTCTCCACTCGTAATTCCGTTTACTAAATTGTCATAACAGATTTCTAAGTCAGCTAAGATACTTGAGCAAGAAGTGTATCTGTCGTTAGGGTTTTTTTTTGTCATTTTTTCTATTATTTTAAAGATAGTCTTGGGAATTTGCGGACAGGCATCGGCAATACTTGGTAGATGTTCTGTTAGGATGGAGCGGATCGTTTGGATAAAGGAATCCAGATGGGGATAACCTTCAGCTAGACAATAATAGAAAAATATTCCTAAGCTATAAATATCCGTTCTGTGATCAACAGGGTACGATGTTCGCCCTGTTTGCTCGGGACTGATATAAGTAATTCTCGACATGGATTGAGAGTCTTCATAGAACCGCTGCCAGTTATACGCTTGCAAGTAATTGTGAAACGAGCTTGCACCACTCCCAATATTTAACATAATTACATTCGAGTAATCTTTTATAGGGCGGAAGGATTCAAATCGGATTTCCCCATGAACGATATCTTTAGAGTGCAGAAATTCAACACATCGACAGACAGAAATGCAGTAACGAATATAGTCAATAGGATGGTTTCGAAAGTAATCATAGAAAGTGGATAAAATATCATGATGTCCAGCGTCGAAAAGAACGTGTGCAGATAAGTCGATATGTGAAAACTCAATAAATTCAATGGGAACAGAAACAAACCGACGGCAGCGCTCATCTTTTGATAAATTGCAAAACAGCTGATATTCTGCTTCCATGCGAGCTATCTGAGTTGAGAATTTAGCAACCACTTTACGATTACCAGCTAACTCAAACCCAGCGTATAGAGCGTAAGTATTATCGACTGCGTATACTTCTTCAAATGGTTCTGTTTCTAGTGTGTATTTTAACATGCTAGAAAGAGCTAAAGCTACACAATTTCGGAACTCATTTTTTGAATGCATTTTAACACACACAATGGCTCTCTTCTTACATGATTTCCGTGTGAGATCTCTTATTTAAAGAAAAATAGCTCAACAATCTATCAATAAATACTTCAGAACCCAATGGCTTACCGTTTACGAGATTGGTAGAAGTTGCGTTCGGCGAGACGTAGAGAACAGGAAACATTTCTTCACTACGTTGAATGAAGTACAGAATAAAAGACGATAATTGTACAGTTTACTCATTGTATTATTTGGAATTATAAACTCTTTGGAAAAACATAATTCAACGCCGATTTCGACTACGGGTTTAATGATTGATTCTGTTTACAAACAATTCTTGGTAATACAAAGTAACAGAGACTAAACAACTTCATTTTAGTAAATGATCACTACGATGCGAATATGACACAGCATACGACAATCTCCAACCACGTATAGCAAAACCTTGACTACTTGGCGTATGCCTACGATTATATGATGGTATAGCATGTACAGCCATCTAAACTATAGAAGAACTGCATTATCGACTGAGAACTACGCGTCGAAAGTTTCCAGTTGAATATTTAAACAAATAATAAAGCCCAGACCCTCTATTCTCATCACTAAAAGGGACTTGCTTTAAAAATTATATAAGAAAAAAGAAATCTAAATTTAACACTCAAAAATTTCACAAGTCCACGAGTAACAAGAATTGCCTCTAAAAGAGATTGTATTCATAGCAACAAGTTTTAAACCTAAGGCCTAATGCAAAATTAACAAAAAGAAACTTTTGCTAACGTTTTTAGAAGCGCAGAGGAGTGAAGAACCAGGCAGACTTGCCGGTTTGGTACTTCTCTTCAAAAGTCTTCTTGACAACCTTCTTGGCGGCAGAGCGTTGGGAAGGCTCCTTGAAGGTCTCAGCAGAAACAAGTCCCTTAAGGTTATCAAGCTCAAGGGCGTAACGAGTAGGCATCAAGTGGTTGTAGTTAACAACCCGGATGAAAGTCTTCACGCGAGATCGCTTGGCAATACGCTTGGCACCCATAGACTTGGTGACCTTCAAAGGATAACGCTCAACACCAGCAACAATAGCATGACTGAAAGGGTGGCTCTTGGTGCCTTGGTCGAGGTTTTGAAGAATGACGACCTTCTTACCGGCAAAACGACCACGAGTGACTACGGCAACCTAAAACCTGTTAGTTTCACTTTCCAAACAATCGTAATTTTGTCAATAAATTCTTACCTTTCCTGGTTTAAAAATCTTCGCCATCTTGTTACTATGTGTTTGTGGTTGGGTGTACGCACCCCAAAAAAATTGTGAGGATTTTGGATCCAAGATCGTGACTGCTTTTTTTGTAAACATAGCTTAGGTGGAAAACGCACGCGTAGTAGAATGAATGTGAAAGTTAAAATCATTAGAAAGTAGACGATGATAAAAAGCATGATGATTTTGGTGTTACATGAACCAAAGCAAGGTTGTTTTATACGTTTTTAAATTCATTTCTCCTAGGTAAAGGGTAAGAAAACTTATTTATGAGAAATAATAATGGAACATTAAAATGAAGAAATATCTATAGATAAAAAAGAGAAGCGATATGTAGATTTGTCTGACACACGCAGAGAAAGGGAAAACAGGATATTATATTCATTAACAAAAAATGGGTACATACAAAAGCCATGGGAACAGTAAGTAAAATGTAAATAAAAAGAAATGTAATGATAGGCGCCATCAACAATCAGCAACAGCAACAGAAATAAATATTTTATTTAGGAAACGAAAAGCTTGCCCGAGCAAAGAAAACCATTGAAGGAAAGAAGGTTGGATAGATGAGGAGGGCGAAATTACTTTTTGGTAGAAATGGACGAGGAAGATGCATGAATAGGTTCGACACCTTCCATGATACAAGGGTCACTGGTACCTGTACGAGGACCCTTGAACCATTTTCTAGCAGAAAGAAAATACCAAAATATGATTAACATCATTGGACCACCGAACACTAGACAAGTCCAATTCATTTCAGCAGGAGCAGGATGTTTAACGGTAGGGAAGCATAATACGGGAATCATAAGGGCGACAAAAAAACACGCAAAGAAACCAATAGTGCGGGAGAACTTGCCTAAGTTCCAAGGGCCGGGACGGAATTTGGTATCTTTGGAAAAGACACGCATGCAAATGGGGGTTGTGAATGCGACGAAGGCGCCAATGGCAGTAACGGAAAAGACAGCATCGATAGTGATTTCACCAGCAAAAATCAATAATAAGACACAAGTATGGACAGTGAAGTCCAAAAGGACAGCATTGACTGGTGTTTTGGTTGTAGGGTTGATCTTGGCAACCCAGCCAGAGAATGGCAATACTCCATCACGGGCGTAAGAGTAAGCTATACGAGAACAGGCGATAGAATTTCCCTGGCCCATGATGAAGGAAGAAACGACAGTAAGAGAGATGATTGCGAGGGCGGCCTTTTGCGACATGACTTGTGACAAGAATTCAGCCCACATGGAAGAATCCGTATGGACAACGGCATCCTGATCGACCATTGTGTAGGCAATAACTAATTGCATTACCCAGCCCATAAGACCACCAATGGTAGCAGTAAGGACGATACCGCGGGGAGCATTAACACTGGCATTTGAAGTCTCTTCACTCATATGAAAAGGAGCGTCATAGCCAGACATGGTCCAAATGGCACCACAAAAGGACATAAGGACAGCAAATCCGTCGGGCCATTCGGTATAGTTGGTTATTTCACTCCAGACTTTATGATTATCGTTGAATCCATGGTTTTTGCCAGCAAATGCCAGAATGACAATGATGGTAACAAAGAGAAAGACGGTGTTTAGGTAGGTGCTAGCGGAATTGACACGGGCAATGAGCTTGGTGGGTAAAGAAGCAATGAACGCGTTGATTGCAGTAATGGTTAAAGTGACGAGAAACAGCTGGTAGTTGCTTGGAGTGTACGAGCGATGGGCTATGGAAACGGCACCAAGAAGCATGGAAGCCGTAGAGTAATTGATGGAGGGGCCCCCGATCAATTGACCAAGATAGTTGGACCAGCCAGTGACCCAAGCAGCGAAAGGACCCCAGCCCTCAGGAGCGAGGACGGCAGCGGCATAGTAAAGTCCACCGGAGGTAGGCATGGACGAGCAAAGTTCAGCCATACTCAAGGCGACGCATTCGACTAAAGCGATTGCGATTATCCAAGCCCATACAAGACCGGGAGAACCGACGTAACCAAGGTTATAGGTCATAGTAGTAGCGACAGACGGTAATAAGCCTAGCAAAGAGAATGATACGGAGAAGACACTGAACAAGGATAAGTTACGATGGAATTCTTGTTTGTAGCCTAATTTACCCAAATCCTCAGGGTTGTCAGAGTCATTTCCATGGCCGCCAACTTCTATATCGGAGCTAGCGCTCGCTTTTTCTGGGATTTGTAGGATAGAAGATGCTTTCGAGGTTTGAGAATTAGGGAAAGACATATGCGAGTTTTGACTAGCCATACTTTTGGAAGGAGTATGGACTCGTTCAGAAAGAAGGTTAAAATTACAACACACAATCAATAGTCAATAAACAAGAAACAAATCATAAACGAAAATAAATGAATGTGCTACCTACTCTAATACTCGCAAGATCCCTTGTTTTTAAAAAAAGAAAAATAATAATGATAATAATGATATAGTATCAACAACTTTATAAAGAAGAAACCAAACAATACAAAACCAAGTCAGTGACTGAAAGCAGCGTTCGGCTTCCATTGTGTATTGTTTTATACTGAAATCATAAGAATGGATCATCCATCATTCAGATATCTGAGAATGTACCTTGACCAAACCTATCTGGCATCAAGGTGTGGTGGCATTCTTATCAGTAGGCAAGAACAATGGGGGTGAGGCAACTATAGTAGTTGGAATCGATTAAGGAAACAAACGAAAATTGTTTAGGGTGAAGCTTTTCTTTTTTTCCAACTTTGAATAGTAAATTTATGGTGCAACCATCTCGTCGAAGGAGGCCATACTTTTCGTCTTGAACACTCCCTTTTACAGTTTGGGATAGATAACTTTTTGTTTACCAACGTACCCACACTACAGCTCCGTAAGCAACAAAACTAACAAAGAGAAATAAGGAAAGAAAACTCTATAAGTAGAAACAAATGAGTATTATATATGAGTTCATCGTAAATGAAAGCGTACAACGATCGGTGAAATAAGATGAGATACAAGTCCAATCCCCATCGAATTGTGACCGATTGGTCGTATCGTCCACTTACTCTCTTGGATGCCAACGTTACTTTGGTTGGCGGAAGATTTTGTCACTTGTCATGTTACTATCAGTCGCACTTGAAACATCTTAACTCAACTTATGTTTGCGGCAAGCGAAGATAGTGCTTACCAATTACATTCGTTCAAGATAACGCTTATCTTCTGATAGTTGCTTTTTGCTTGACCCACGTATATTGTACGTGATATAAACGGTGGATACAATACCCATGTTTGCAAGGGGTTTTCTTTTTCAGTGCGACCAAAAAGTGTAGAAATAGTCAGTTTTATTTCTTTAGAATTCCTTAACTGTTTTTTTTATATTTTGCTGCGCATCGCTTTTTTGAAAGAATAACGTAGTGAAAAGAATCATCAGGAAACGCTTCCTTCTTGAAGAAAAATTAGGATCTGTTGGGAATACATTGTCCTTGCCTTGGTTTCATCAGCACGAATTGTATCTTCTCTGTTCACTTGTACGGAACCGTATACCTTGATCTTTAGGAATCACTAGATTTTGTGCTTACTGTGTATCTGTGTTTGTGAGTTATATAATTTCATTTCTACTTGAAAGCTATTTTTGGATTCATTTTCATCTTCATTTGCCGTTAGATTTTAAGATTCATTTTTGTGATCTTTGACCCATTGTGTCTGTTGTATCCATCCTCATACCCATCATAATGTCTTCTACTACAAGTGCTACAGTTTCACCAAGCGGGGTGAATGGGGGTGACTCTAGGAATGTCGATTTGAACCAGTTTTACAATGGTGGTGACGTAGCTTGGGTCCTCGCTAGTACTGCCCTTGTTTTTATCATGATTCCCGGTGTAGGATTTTTTTACTCTGGTTTAGCCCGTCGCAGGAGCGCAATTTCCATGCTCTTCCTTTCCATGATGTCTGTTGCCGTTGTCGCATTCCAGTGGTTCTTTTGGGGCTATTCGCTTACTTTTTCCCACAACGGTGGCCCTTACATAGGTTCTTTGGCCAACTTTGGTTTGCGTCAAACTTTAGGCAGACCCTCGAGTGTAGCTTCTGGGCTTCCTGACCTTTTGTTTTGTATCTTCCAGGGTATGTTTGCTGCCATTACTCCTGCTTTAGCCATTGGTGCTGCTGCCGATCGTGGTCGTATGTTGCCTTGCCTTGTCTTTGTCTTCCTCTGGAGCTCTATCGTTTATGACCCTATTGCTTTCTGGACTTGGAATCCCAAGGGTTGGCTCAGTGTTCTAGGATCCTATGACTTTGCTGGCGGTTCTCCAGTCCACATCGCTTCTGGTATGACTGCTCTGGCTTACTCCATTGTAGTTGGAAAGAGACATGATCATGGCACTGTCAAATACCGTCCTCACAATGTTCCTCATGTTGTCTTGGGTACTGTACTGCTTTGGTTTGGTTGGTTCGGATTCAATGGTGGTTCGGCTGGTTCTGCCAATTTAAGAGCCATTATGGCTTGCGTTGTCACCCATATTTCTGCTTCTGTAGGCGGTATTGTCTGGTGTTTTTTAGAGTATATTAAGACTCGTCACTGGTCTGCCGTCGGTTTTTGTTGTGGTGCAGTTGCCGGTTTAGTAGCCATTACCCCTGGATCTGGTTTTGTGCCTCCTTGGGCTGCAGTTGTCATTGGTGCTGTCGGCGCGTCTGCATGCTATGGAGCTACTTATTTGAAAAAATTAATTCACGTGGATGATGCATTGGACATTTTTGCCGAACATGGTGTCGGCGGTATGGTTGGTAACATACTAACAGCTCTTTTTTCTGCTGACTACATTCAATCCTTAGATGGCTCCACTGGAAACAGTGGTGGTTGGTTGTCTCATCACTATATCCAATTGGGTTACCAACTGGCCGATACTGTTGCTTGTGCCGCGTATTCATTTGTCGTTTCCTGTGCATTGTTATTCGCCATGAATTACATTCCTGGTCTTTCTCTTCGTGTTTCTCGTGATGATGAGGTTTTGGGTTTGGACAATGTTGAAATTGGTGAAACTTCTTACAAATTCTCAGAAGAGCCACCAGCCTTATCGCATGGTATTGAAGTCAATCCTCGCCAAAATGGCAACGAGACCTCAAAAGAGAATGCTCATCAAGAGGAAAAAGAGACGAATCGTGAAATCCCTTCTGACGTTGTATGAGCATTTTTTTTCTTCTCCGTCCCATCGAGTATATGTTGCATATTCAGTAAATAAACAAACCGTCTGAATCGTTTATCGTTTTTTTAATGTTTGGCTTTCCTAAAATATATATGTATATAACCCTTTTAGCTACATTGGAAATTCCTTCATAATTTTCCTACCCAAATCTCGTTCGTATCATACTTCAGAGTTGGTGTCATAGGCTTTCTTTCTATCTTTGGAAGTCTGTTCTTATTCAACATAAACATTTTTTAATACCCAACTTTTTTATTTTTGACTATTCTAATTTCTGTTTTATGTTTTTATATCTAATAATATATATATATATATATATATATATATATATATATATATTATATTATTTATTACTTACGTTTACGTACGTCGTCGTGTACTACTTAACCTTTACGTTATAGTCGTGTTAGGTAAGTTAAGTAGACACGACTAAACTAATAAGTAA